TTATAAAATTAATAAAATATTTAAATTTTAAAAATTAATTTACTAGTATTCTTTATTTTAGCCCGGAAAAAGTGTTTTATAAGCATAATATACTAAAGGGTAAAGCTAACTAGGCCTAATATAATATTAAGGTTTATATTATTAATTACTAGTAAATAATTATAAAAATAAAGGGTATTATTTAGTGGCACTTATAAAAAATTTACCGTGAAATAAATTACACCTTGCTAATTATTATAAATACCATGGGGATTATATAAAACCTTTTTAATAATTTTAAAAATACTAGTAATTCCAGACTTTTTAGTCCCCCTGGTCCTAAACTTTTTGGTCTTAATTTTAATACCAGCTTTTTAGGCCCTAATTTTTTTAGTGCACTATAAAACACACCTTAAAATAATATTTAGTTTAAGTATTTAAATATTTTAGCGGTATTATAATAGCTAGGTAACTAGTTAGCTATTTTTAATATATACTTGGTATTTTTTATAATAGCATGCTATTAAACTATAAAAAACCTAGTAAATTTTTTAATAATTTACTTAATAAGCTTTGCTATAACTTAAAAACTTTATATTATTAATATTTATAGTATTATTAGCCTACCAACACCCAAGGACCTAAAAAAAAAAAAATTAAATTATTATTTAATTACCCTGCGCGGCCTACATAAAAACACTATTTAAATTTTATATAAAAAAATATTAAGGCTGGTTATTCTTGGGGATGGGCTTTTAAAGTAATTATTAATTATATTAAAAACATGCCTAAATATTTATTTAAAATAATATTTACAAGTAATATAGTAAAGCTTCTTACAGCCTTAAAAATATTTTATATTAACTATTTAAAAAATATATAAAGCAAGATTTTTAATCTAGTATTTTATAATATAAATATATAAATAATATATAGGCACTTTACCACCTATCTTAGGTATATAAAAAAAATAAGCTAGTTTATAGCTAGCCTTTTTATAATATACTTTAAAGGCTATTTATTTTAGGTAATACCCTATTTTTACTTTATTTTACTTTTATTTATACTACGCTTTAATAATTATTTTATACTTGCTTTAAATGCTATAATACCCTATTTTTTTATGCTTTTTAATATTATTACACCTTTTTAATATTATTTTATATTTTTTTATTAAGTTTAACTCCGGTTACTAGCTGTTTTATAATATTTTTTTTTAATTTTTTGGTTTTTAGTTTATATTAAGCTTTACTTTATTAATAAAAAGTCTTTTTTATTTATTATACTTTTTTAACTTTTATTTTATAATATTATATTTCTTATTTATTAAGCTTAACTTTAATTTAGTATTTAGTTTTTTTTTTATTATATGCTATACTTTTTAGTAAGGGGGATATATAGCCGCATACAGGCTATATCCCGGGTATACAGGTTCTGCCCTGTATTACTGCCTTATTATATAACATAAAGATATTTTGGCCGCTCTGCGGCTTACTTAGAAATCAAGACTCTTTTTATCCTTATAGCGAGCTTATAGCTGCCACAAATTTTATACCTAAATTTCCCTTTATTTTTATTTTTTTTAATACTTTTATTTTTAAATATTTTTACCACCCTTAGCTTGCTTGTTATTAAAATATTTTTTTTTTAAAGAATTTAGTAAAGTTTAAATTTAAGTTTATATTTTTAGTAATATAGCGGCAAGAGGGCGGTTTAAGAACCTTAACTAGTAATTTAAAAGAATTAATCTAGATATTAATAATAAAAAATAGTTTTTATAAATTATAAAACTAGGATTTATTAAAAATAATATTTTTATAAGCTTTAATGAACTAATTTTAAGAAAACTAAATTTACTAAATATTTAAAGCTTAATAACTTATAAAATATTTAAATAAGGCCCTTAGCTTTATTTTATAAAGGCCTTTTTCCCAGGATTTTCTTACCTAAAAAAAATACCTAATAATTTAAATACTTAAAATACAAGGCTTTTTATTAGTAAGTCTTTTTTATAAAGTTATTTAACTAATAGCTTTAATAAAAATTTCATTATTAATATAAGCTACTACTTTTATAACCCAGGGCTATATATTAAGTAAAATATTTTTATATAAAATTATTATTTTAGCTTTTTAAATTAAAATGCCTCCGGAGTATTTAGCTATATTATTTTAAAATAAAAAGTATAAAGTAAACTAGTTTTAAAAAATACCTTTAAAAGTAGTAAAGTTAGGAATATTATTATTAAAGGTAGGTTTATTATTATTAAATAAAAACTTTAAAGTAACTTTATAATAGTTTTATATAAGTTATATAAATTACTTAATAATATTTTTATAATTACTTTTAAGCTGGTAAGTGTAGGCCTAGTATATTTTAAAGTATTTATTATAAAAATAAATTACTTATTAATTTTTATTTATTACTAGCTTTATAAAAATAAAATTAATATAAATATAAATAAATAGCTTGGTAACTAGTTTTTTAGGCTATTTAAATATTTATTAAAAAACTTAATTAATTTAGTAAGTATTATAGTACTTAGGTAGTTAAAAATTAAAAATATTAACTTTTTATATTATTATAAAAAAATACTTAAGTACTTTATTATTAATATATTTTAGGTATTAGTAAAAAGCTTTAAAATTTTCTTAAAGCTATACTTTTTAAGTTAAAGTTTTAACTTTTTATTAAGTTAAAGTATTAGCCTTTTCTAGCTTTAAAAAACTTTTTTTTAATTTTATTATTTAAAGGCCTAAGAAATAATTTTTAAGGTAAAAAACTAGTTTATTATTTTTAAGTATAAAAATATTAAAATTTTAGGTATATTTAGCTTTTTAAAAAGGCCTTGCTACTATAATATTAAGGTAAAATTTAAAAATATATATAACTTTATATAATATAAATAATATAATCCCTTTATTAAATATTTTTAAATAAATAAAAACTAATTTATAGCCTTATATAGCTATAGTTATATTTTTAGCTTAAATATTATTATTTTAAAATTAATTTAAAAAGGTAAAATAATTAAAATTATTATAAATATAAATAAAGGCACTAGTATTAAAAATAAAGGTATTTTAAATTTTAAATTACTTAAAATACTAAATACTAGGGCTGCTTTATAATATTTTTTAAAAATTATAAATTACGCGTTTTTTAGCTATTTTACTAAGCTTTTTAGTTTTTAATATTTTTTTTTTATTTTTAAAAAGCTTGGTATTCTTAACCTTTAACTTTTAAAGCTTTTTACTATATTTATTATTTTTTTTAAGTATTTTGCTAATTTTTTTTTAGTTTTTTATTTATTTTATAGGACTTTAAATAATATATAAATATATAAAGTTATAATAAAACTTTATAATATACTTATATTTATAAAAATAAATTAGTTTATTATTAATTAATACCTAGGAAGGTTTATTAGTAAAAAAACCTTTAATATTTAGATTATTAATAAAGGGTTAATTTAACTTTTTAATAAGTGTTATAAAGGTTATTTCTCTTGTAAAGGTTTTAGCAAAGCTATTAATAATAAAAAAATATTATTAAAACTTAAAAATAAAGGTAAAATAATTAGTTTTACTAGGTTTTTTATAATTTAATTAATTTATATGGTGCTTTATATAAGCTATTAAGTATTTATTAATAATTTTTAAAAATATTATATTAGCTATTTTATTATTAGCCTTAGGTTACTTAAGGTATAAAATCTTTTAATAAGCATGCTTATAATTTTAAAGTTACTAGGTAACTTTTTTTTATTAAATTAATATAATAAAAGTAGTAATATAACTATTAAAGGCCTTAAGTTTAGTTTTAAAATTAATAAAAGTAAGTTATTACTTTAGTTTAACAAGAACCTTTATAATAAGCTTATTTTTAATAAGTTATTAAATAAAAAGTGTAATTAACTTTTATATAATATTATTAATATTTTAAATTTTTAAAAAAACATGCTTAGCATGGTTTTATTTTTAATTAAATATTTTAAATACCTTTTTATTAATATTATTTTTAAAAAATTAAAAAAGCTTAAAAACAGGAGTCTAGTAAGTTACTTTTAAATTAAAATATTTTTAAACTTTTATAATAATTATAATATATAAAATATAGCTATATTATACTAGCTAGTTTTTTTAAACTTTAAAAAAATTATTATATTTAAGGTGCTGGTAGTAAAGCTTATAATAATTTTTAAATTAATAAATTAAGTATAAAAGTTAAGATTTAATTAATATTTAACTTTTTAAGTATAAAAAATAATTAACTATAAAAGGCCTTTATATAGTAAAGGGCTGGTACTTAAAAAATATAAATAGTTTTAAAAAGTTTAAAAAAGGTAAGAATTTAATAAACTAAATTATTAAGTAATTTTTTAGGCTTATAACTATAAGGCCCTTTAAATACCATGTAAAAAAAAGTTATTAATTAAATAAATATTAAAAAATTAAATAAAAATATAATAATATTTAAAAGCTAGAGCTAATTAGGGTTTATATAAATAATTTAAGCTTTTAAAAATAATAAGAATTTTAAATACTTTTATTAATACTTTATAATATTTAAAAAATTATAGATATTATAGTTATACAGGCAAGTAATTTAGTAATAGGTATTATAATATTTTAATTAAGACTGCTTAAGGCGCCTAAGCGCTGTTAAAGCGCTACAGCGCTTCCTTATTAAACTAAGCAATCTCCACCATTGGCTAACATTATCCTTTGCCCTCCTAGCTCTGTCTTCAATCCTGTCATCCTATCCTGTCAGAGAGCCAATGTTGCATTATCCTGGTAAGTCACACTGCAACCCTTGGAAGGCACGACCACTGTTGGAAGGCAGTGTAAGCTAAGCCGTAAAAGGACTAGTTTGTCAATCACCAACTTCCCCTTCTGGAAGGCTTGTGGGGAAGAAGGTTTGACCCTCCAAAAAACAGATTCCCATCTCCTCCCAAGATCTCATGATCTCATCTCTTGCTCTCCTTTATTTCCATCATTGTCCGGCCTTGAATCGCCAACATGCTCCCTGGGTTCTTGCAGAGTAGTTACGCTCGGTACAAAGCAGATACCAATACCTTTGCAACATGGCTACTGGAGACAGCCAGCCAATGTGGTTACCAACCACCTACACTGTCTAGTACTGTTCCTCCCACGAAAAAGGGTAAACGCAAGGGCAAAAGGGACGACCCAGATGCAGATCCAGTTCCTTACAGTGTTACCATCAAAGACCTGCAAAAGCTCGCTGAGGTGGTTGCAAGTTCTGCTCTCACAGTACCCAACCCCATCCTCGCGATCGCGAAACGCGCCATTAAATTAAGAAAAGCGGTGACTTCTTGGTTTCTGGGCAAGGGCGATTCCGCGGATAACAAGCGCCATGCTCATTTCATTACTGCGCTGGAGCAGATATGTGAGACCCTTGAGTGGAATGTCAACCGGGCCTCGAAGCCAGACGCCAACAAGCCGCCGATGACTTCTGAGGGTCAAAGTGACGACGCTGACATTGCCATGTTCCTTAACAAATTTGCTGTCCTCACGGTGGAGGAACCTCAGGACGATGTGCAGGCTCAACAGCCATCCGCAGAATCAAGGAGGATCGTCAAGGTGACGGTCGTTGAAGAGCACGACAATGACACAGCGGACCCGTATCTTGGTCCCTTGTTCTTCCAGACTTTCTGTTTGCTTCGAGATCTTGACAATATGCGGAAGTTCCTTTCTAACACCTGGTCGGAGTATCGGGATGGCAAGATCGACCTGATGAACGCTGCTGTCGTGACTGACAGTGCATTGCAACTTGCTCGGGATCTTGTGAACGATGTGGAGGCTGTCTGGCGCACTCTCCGTAGGGGGAAGAGGGATGATATCCAGAATATTGTTTATAATCTCTCTGTTTATAACCGCGGCATTTCTGCGACTCCATCGACCGAGATCGGCCTCCCATACAACAAGGACATGGCTGATGTAGCCGAATGGTGCTATATGCCGACCAAGGTCTTGCTTGAGGCCTTTGCAAATGTTCTCCAGGCCGATCATCACCCAGTCTTTAAGAAGGGCCACTTCGGAACCTATGATCCAAAAGCGGACAGAGAGGGGATGTCTCTGGGCGAGCAATTCAACGAGGACAAAATCATCCTTCTCTCGATTCTACCAGAGTTCTGCATGCTCGATACGTTCAAGATCCAGATGCCGACTGAGGATGCGATAACCCGAGGCATTTGTGAATTTGCCAGAACCAAAATGGTTACTCTATGGCTTTGCTTCTCCACCCAGATCTTCCTCGATGTTCATCATATCATGCGACACAGCACCTTGGGTGCATTTGGAGACCTCCGAATGGCTGGAATTCGCATCCAGAAGACTATCTATGAATACCTGCAACTGTCCAAAACACATCCTCCGCCCAAATTTTGGCCGAAACAGGGTGACCAGGACATTCAAGATATAAGCTCGGCCGTGGAGGCATGGGTCATACAAGATGTTTTTCTTGATATTCGAGCGCGCTCTGGGCTCAACAGGGTTGGCTCCCCGCCCGAGAAGCATGTCCTCCTCTCGCAGCACGCTATCCTTTGCGGCTTGTTCTTGTTCAATTTCAACCTTTCAATGCAGCTTGTTGGCCAAGAGCTCGTCACCCAGTGGTACGATGTCCAACAACTAGCCTTCCTGCATAATCTTGTCATTTCTTCTCCAATGCAAAAAGACCTCCGGTGGCCTGATATGGACGCTTTCATAAAAATCCATGGCGAATCTCACATCTTTGTTGGCTCGCGGCCCAAAAATGCCACCGAATCGCTGCAGCGGCTCGAGTTGGCCACAGGCGTCTCATCCGTCGCCAACTTTGCCCGCGATTCCCGGAATAAAAGAGAATTCCACAAGCCTGACGGCAAGACTTCGCGCGTGCTCACACCCACCACTGCAGTATCAAACCTGTTTTTCCCACAGTACATTGGCGGACCCAAGCCCGACGCCGGAATTGCAAGCTTTGACAGGATCCTGGACGAACTTTCCCAGAAATCAAAGCTTGAATCATCATATTCTTCTTCTTCCAGCAAGGAAATTCAGCAGAGACCCACCAATCCAGAACTCCGCATCGCCCAAATGTGGTCCAACACCCATAATATCGATATCCTGCACCTTCTTGCATTCCTCAAGGCCAAGCTCTTCGAAGAAGAGCCCATTATCCTGTACAACTATTTCGGCATGCACAAGCGCGCCGTCGAGTTACTGCGTCTGATCCGCGACAAAGAGCACCACAAATTTGTCCAATATTTCACGTCCGGATATCTGCCTGACGAGTCGTTTATCTCCAACATTGTTCTTCTCATCCATCACGTTGCACGAGGCTCGGCCGAGAATGCACGTGCAATGGGATTTACACGATCTGCCACAGGTCAGGAGGTATGTAGCCGGATTGTCATGAGCGCTGCCGACGTGATGCGCGGATACTTGGAAAAAAATGGGGCGGTGGCATGCAAAGAGCTCAGGGTGTTCTGCAAGAACAAAAAGCCAATCCAGAGTGATAATGATGCTACTGATAAGGATCGGGACAACTCGGACCGGCTGGTGTATTCTTGGCTCAGCCTGGAGGATGTTCTGGGTCCCAAGGGTGTCGCTTCACTCATGACTGGAATCCCCGTAGCGTGAGCTCATGGACTTGAATGCTAGAACACTTGGTAGTAATTGCCTCATTGCGGCTGCTTGCCTTGTCAAGGTGGAAAAGTATGAATATCATGAACTGAGAACGGGCGCACTCAAGAGTGAAATCTTCACTTGTCAAGACTCGAATACCCTCATCGTGGACTTTCTAGGTGACGTTCTCTGTCAGGTCAACATGAGTATACAGCCGGTCAGTCGACCACCATTCTGCTTCGTAGACTTAGGGTTAAGCAGCGTTCCACACCATGTTCGCTGGTAGTGCATGTCGCTCTGGTAATTCCGTCAATGACACCATCTTTGCTCGATAGGTTGACAACGTAGACTCCGCTTTCCTGTTGCTTAAAAACGTTTATATCCGCCTTGGATGAGAAAGCAGGGACTGTCACGTCGATGGTGATCACTTAATCCCACACATGACTGATCCAGGATATCGACGCTGTCGTTCGTGTCTATCACAACCACAATGTTGAGAAAAACATCCAATCGTCCTCCAAAGCGCCTTGACACTTCGTAATCACAGATTCGGCGCTCCTTGGCTGGCGCAGACCGATTTCCTGGAAACCGAACCAGGGGTTGTCTAGAAGGACACTCGGAGACGTCGACCCGATGGACAGCAGCACTGCGCTCAAGCTACAACTAGGCAGTTGCCAGCCCAATGCCTGATGAGGCGCCAATGATACATGCATCTAGACAGTAGGTGAGCACATCTCAGGAGTGACGGCGAGCTAGATGTGCACCTTATCTTGCAGGGAGATCATTGCGTCGCACAATCACATCAATATCAACACGCCCCAGGACAGGGATGCTTCTCACGAGTCACATCTATTATGCAGTCAGCCAACTGCTCACAACCTCTTCGAAGTTCGAGTTGCGACCCTTCTTAAGTATAGTCTTTCGATCGATGGTTTCAGGTGTTCGTCAGGTAGCCTCTAACACCGGTAGCTGGTGTTGGATGTGACAGGCAGTGGAGTCTGGAGGGCCGCTGGCTGATACTCGAGAAGGATAGCGCAACATGACTGGCGCAGAGTCCTCGAAGGACGATAGCGTGAGATCCAATTGTCAGGACGGTTTGTCCCTGGCGATGGCGGTGCGTGAGTGGCTGTGGGGAGTGTGACAGAGGGAGGGGGATGCAGCCCGGCGCGTAATCAGACCAACCGCAGCCCCGAGCGTGCTTGCCCGGTTTCTGCAGCACACCACCCACTCCAATCACTGCCGACATCTCTCTTCGTCACCCCAATCGCCCGACATGGCCGTCACCCCAATCGCCCGACATGGCCGTCCCCCAGTCCATATCCGTCAGGGATTTGCGGCCTCATTTTCAATCCCAATCCCAATCCATCGACATGCCCCCTCGAGCTCGAGCACTCGAGCAGTCATACATAAACCCAATCGGTCTCCACGCCTCGCGCTGACGGCCACCGGCTTCAGAATGCTGCCGTTTGCTACTCTTTATTCAACTGGGAACCTCGTCCGACGTGACAGCGACATCCTCCTCAGTCCTCCGCGGGAACGGGAACTCGATGAGCCGCTCCTCGCAGTCCAAATCGGCGGAATTGTAGGAGCATACGTGATCTTCGTCGCTATCATCCTAACCCTACTTCTTGTCGTCGGCCGCCGTCTTCGCAGGACAGTCCAGTCGTCCAACTATACCCTCCAGGTCGAAATGATGAAGCCCAAGCACCCACCCATCTCGACAACCGCCGCAGCCACCAAATCCAATGCCGCGTTCAACTCGATCGACCCTAGCCCCGTCAGCCCGACCAACAAGTCGCACGGGTTCAGGTCCTGGACGAGCTTGACCAAGGCCGGCGGCCAGTCGCACTCTCGCTCCAACAATAACAGCGTGGGCACTATCGACCACAACTCCGTCGTAGCCGCCGACCGGCGCAGAAACCAGGACCAGATGGAGATGCTCTATGCCGCTGTCATGGAGCACGACGAGCGCCGCGCTGCTGCAAATGCTAGTTCGCCGGTGAGTCCAACAGACGACGTCAGTCTGAAGGACCTCTCTCCACGCTCTCCATCGAGCTACCAGAACCCTTTCTCGGACTACGCTGCTAGAGACTATGCGTCCAAAATCCCGGAGGAGAAACCGCTTCCCCCAATGCCACAGCCACACCACCAGTATCCCGCCCCCGCCGTGACGACCGCTCCACCACCGACCAGCCCAGGCGGCCGCTCAACAACGTCCCGCCTCTCGCGCATCTCGAACCTCTCCCTCTTCCACTCGAACCGCGATGCCTCGCAATCTCACTCCCACTCGCATTCAAACTCCTCCAGCAGCAGAATCCGCTCCCCACGCCTACCAGGCCGCAAACACGCCCAACCCCTCGGCATAAACATCTCGTCCCCACTGGCCTCGCCAACCCCCACCTCCCCACACTCCGACCAAATCCCGCTCTCCCCGCGCTTCTATAACCCCGCGCCCCCGCCCCTCCCGCCAAAGGCCGGTGCACCGATAACCCGCATCGCGACAAACAACACCACGACCTCGCAATCGCATCGAACCCCCGCGCCCCCTCCATTGAACCTCCAAGCCGCAACCCCCACAAGCGCGAAGGCCGGACGGAGCAGTTCCTCCCTCCCCTTCCGCGAAGCATACCCACAACTTCTATCTGCACCGCCCACGAAAACAACTATCCTTGAGCGGCCCGAGAAACAGGCTAATGGGCCGCGGACGGGTCTTCCGACGCCGTATAGCCCGTACATGCCGTTTACGCCGCTGACGCCGCTAACGCCCAGTCGGATTGTGACGAAGAAGCAGCGGAAGAGGCAGGGGAAGGAGAATGGGCTTAGGGCGCTGAATGAGGAAGATGCGGTGAGAGGTGAAGATGAAATGTGGGGGTATTAGATTCTCTTCTTTTTTTTTCGTTCTTTTTGAGCTTCTAGTTGTATTTAATCGGTAATTTTGGGTTAGTTGGTTGTTATATATCCCGAGAATGAAATATTACTCTCTATACCCATGCAGATATCCGGTTGCTTTAGTACAAGCCTAACAAAGTACTTATCTAGTACTAGTGCACGCGAAAGACGTATTACGGCCGCCCTAGTTGCTGCGATACCTTCTCGCTATGGCGGATGGCGGCGGAGAGAGAGCCCTAACCGACACGCGGAACCCATCAGCATGTGATAAGCTTTCATGCACGATGCGCCAGCCAGCTAAGTCATTTGATGGAAGCGTGATCAATCTCTCCGGACGCACAGTCGATACAGATCCGTGACCCTAAAAGACATACCTACGCGTCTATAAACGAATGATGCTATTCGCCTTGGACATAATACCAGAATATCTGAGCCCTAAGGCGGACAAAATTGCAACAAAAACGAGACCCGCTGGTAAGGCTGAACAGAATGGCCCTCTTTAAACGGCATGTCAATGAGGAGGTGGAATCCAACATCTATTCCCGCTAAGCTCATCTTGTCTGTCCCTGTCAGCCTCGGGCGTCCAAACGCTAAATGGACCGGAAGCGAAACAGCGCGTCTCTCCGTCTTCTGATGAAAGCAGAAATCGCAGCGGAGCCAAAATCCTTGTGGCTGGGGGTTGAGTCAGTCCTCCCGCGACGGCTGCTAAAGCTCTTGCTTGATTTGGGTCGGTAAGTCACGGCCGCAGGACTCCGAAGACGGCGGCGGCTGTAGTATCTCTATATCGATCGGCGTCGGTTGGTCACGACCGCAAGATCCGTTGACTCAGGAGAGTCACCTTCTCGAGCCATCTCTTCATTCTGCCTGATTATCTTTTCAATCTCACGTTGATAAGTCTTAGCCAACCGAGCAAGGTGTTTCATCTCCTCTCGGGCTTCGTCATAAGGACTGACGATAAATAAGACAGTGCGTTTTCGAGTTAGTCTGAGCTTCCGCGAGACATCTGCGACATGATCCACAAAAGAGGTCAAGTCGGGCACCATGTCTCCCAACTTGGGTTGTAGTCCACGCTGCGCGATGAGCGGCATTATAATATCCCATTTCACTATAGGCCCAGGAAAGCCCTTTCTAGATCTTGATCTCATGCGCTGATTTTCTTCTGCGATGATTTCCGCATTCTGATTGAGTGTGTCATGGATCCCGCCCATGACACCCGCCAGAACCTGCAGATCGCCCATCGGCCGCCTGGCACTCTCTTGGATATTTTGTGAAGTCGTGTTGACCTTGTTGGCGACTGGTGCTGGCTCTTGACCATGTTTGTTGGGTGCTTCAATTGATTCTTCAATGATACTCCCCGTTTCGTCCTCCTCTGTCTGCCTATGGCCTATGTTCTTCGACATAAATATATCCGGAAATTGGGTAGTTGGGAAATGTTTCGCTATCTTTTCGAGGCGGCGGGCAAACGGCGGCCCCTTGACGAGTGAGATGCGATAGTTCATCTTGTCTCGATATTGATCGAGTAAATCATAGTAGCCATTGTCCGTACAGCCACAAAATAGAACGTGTATACAGTGCAAATTTATGACATCCTGGAAAAGATATCCTGCAGCATGACGAACTGTCAGTCAACAATTTTCAGGGCTTGAGAATGGTCTGATCAAGGTACCGACCTTTTACTTTGCCGTCAGCCTTTTGAGCGGTTCGTCCAACATCAACAAAATTGCAGTACGGATTCGCAGAATTAAAGCCTTGGACAAAACTATAGACGTCCGCTTCTTCAGAGATCAAGCCAGCGTTTCGGTACGCGCCTTGCAAGCCAGCTACGGATGCAAACACGCGAATATGAACCGATGTCCAATCCTGACGAAGTCCGGGCCACAAGACTCTTATATAATCTCGAACAAGATGAATAAAGTGATAGGCCAAGTCCTTGCCACCACGAAAGCCCTTTCTAAGCTGCTCTGGAAGAAACTGCGCAGGGTCAAAACTGGTCAATCACGGTTCAGCAGGTGTATGTTGGGAAGACGAGCGTACATTCATCGCATCTCCATCCACAATAACTGAGACGAAGTTGAAGTTTGACTGCCAGGCGTAAGTTGCGAGTATAACAACGAGGTAAGTGAAAAGGATGTACTTGTGCTAGTCTCTGAGCGTGCTTTTGCAAATCCTTGATTGGTCTCCCGGCCTGATCCTCCAGAAAAGCATGCATGTGATGTCTTTTGAGTCTATCTATCTCGAGCCTTAGTGTTCAAGAATCTTATTTCATTCTGAGCCTCCGTTCTAGTTTTCTGGTAATCAAAAGAGAGTCTGTTGGACGGCAAGGTGGCGGGATCAAGACTCGTCGCGCCATTGGGACCTGTGGTGCCAGGAGTATGCTCTTGTGCCTCTTGCGAAACCGGCTCCTGAGCAGGGGCACCTCGAGGGACGCTTGGTCGATTAACAGCATCAGAAGAGCCACGTGTGAAGCATAGAGGCCTTTGTTGCCAAGCGCGTGCAGTGGCTTGAAGCAACGGAATTCTGCGACGAGCTCTGACCACCATTGCGAGCCAACAACTGAAGCCACGAGTTGCGAGTTGAGGGGAAACCGTGAGGAGATGGAAGCCGTGAGACTAGGTATGCAGGTGCTAGCCGGTCACGTGCTGGCCAATAACACGGAGTACTATTCCCATTTCATAGACCCATGCTGAACCACGCCACGCCTTGGTGACTCTGCATCATGTCTGTCTTACTGGCTTACTCTATCTTTACCCCCTGGCATGGTATTGCAGGTTGAGCATTACTTATCCTTACAGGGCTGATGGGGCTCGCGAGACCCCTGTGGTCGTTGGCAAAGTCAAGACATATTGGCAGTAACTGGGCCAGAGACAAAGATGCATGTCTTGCAAGCATCGTTGTCTTTAGTGACGGAACTGCAGCCTACCTCGCACATACGTACATATCCAACCGGATCCCACGACATTGTATCTGCAATGTATGCGTGCACGCATCGCAACTATCCCCTAGGACTACTCCATGGAACTAGTGCAATTCCGCAACTCCAGCATGACAAGTCCTTAATCGCCTGGGCTTCCTGCGATCGGTCTGAAGTAAGTACCAGCTCAGATCTTACTTGAGCCCCTCCCTCTGCCAACCCTATCAAGCAACCAACCCCCACCCTGCAATGTCTGAAACACGCTGTTCGGATCATACTTCGCCGCAATTCCCTTCAGCCTTTCCACATTGGACGCTCCGTAACTAGCCAGGGCATCCTGATCCCTCGACGCATAATTGATATACTTATACCGCAACCAAACGCCCTCTTCCCGCGCAGTGGCTTCCGCAACATCAACGATCTTCTTCACTGCGTCTCGGACGCGCTCTTCGTCGGCGCTGTGCTTGCATTCGCCCATTGCAAGGTATGAGGCCCTTCAAATACCGTGCAAAGGAAAGCTGTTGATTGAACAGATACTAAAGAATTAAATAAAAAACGCGATAATATTTAAAAGCTAGAGCTAACTAGGGTTTTTATAAATAATTTAAGCTTTTAAAAATAGTGAGAATTTTAAATACTTTTATTAATACTTTGTAATATTTAAAGAATTATAAATATTATAGTTATATAAGCAAGTAATTTAATAGTAAGTATTATAATATTTTAATTAAAATTACTTAAGGTACCTAAGCACTATTAAAGTACTATAGTATTTTTTTATTAAACTAAGTAATTTTTATTATTAGCTAACACGCCCCCTTAACGCCTACTTACTTTTAAATTAATTAAAAATAAGGCTAGAAATATTTACTAAACCTAGTATTTTAATAAATTTTTAGTATTATTACTTAGTAAGCGCCTTTATAAGGCTATTTATAATTATTTAATTAATAAGGGTTTATTTAATATAAAAATTTTTATGTTAAACTTTTTACCTAAGCCATAAATTATAAATATTAATATAGTAAAGCTTTAAGCAAAGTTATATATTAATATTAATAAAAATATTAATTATTTATTTATTATTATATTAAATTAAAAGTTAGTATTAAAAATTAAATTACATGGCTTTAAAAACTTTTTACTACTAGTATATTACTTTAAAAGCCTTAATAAAAGTAAGTAACTTTACCTTAATAATAAAAGTAGTAACTAAGCGCTGCTTTATAGCCTTTTATTTAATTAAACTTTTATATAACTTATAAATATAGCCTACACTAAAAAATTAATTAAAGTAATTTATAAATATTATATTAAAGTATAACTTATAAATCTTATATTTTTTAATAAAAACCTTATTTTTAAAGCTATTTAAACTAAAGTATTTAAAAGTAAGAAAGCATGTATTATAAAAATAAAAAATAAGTTAATTTATTACGTGTTAATAATAATTTACAGGATTAATAAGGTATTTTAATAAGTAACTTATTATATAAAAAATATTTAAATAAGTAAAGGTACTAGCATATTTAATAAATTTAATTTTTAATCTTATTTTTTTAATATTTTTAAAAATAATTATATTAAAGTTTAGATAAAGCTTGCTAGGTAATAAAAGCGGGGTAAAAAATAGCTAAATTATAGTATTTAAGTAAAATTAATTTATAATAACTTTAATATAAAAATTTTAAAAAAGCTAAAGCTTGCGCTAAGGCCTATTTTAAAAAATTTAAATTTTTAAAAATTATTTAACTTTACTAAAATGCTAAAGCTTGTATTTTACTAAAAGTTTTTTTTTAAAAATAGCTATTATAAAGCAGCCTTGCTTGGTAAAAAGGTTTATAAAAATAAGATTATTTATATATACTAGGAAAATTATTAACTTACTAGTAAAAAGGTATTTTTTTTAAATATTATAATAAAGCTAAATTTACGTAGGATAGTAGCTAAATTAAGTTATTAAAAATAAAAAAATTTTTTAAGGCTATAAATAGCTTTAAAAGCTTTTAAAAGCTTTTTTTCTTACTTGCAGCTATTTAAAAATTAAAGGTATATAAGTTTATTAAGGCCTATATTAAAAAAGGTATTAATAATATTATATTACCTTATATTTATATTAAAAAAGGTAATAAGCATTATAATAATTTAAAAAAAATAGGTAAAGGTTATAGCTACTTAATTATTTTTATAATTAATTAATTTAAAATTTTTATATATATAAATTTAAGCTTTAGCCTTAAAAAAGTAGCTATTTATATTAAACTTATATATAAATACCTATAATAAAGGGATTAGTTTATTTAAACCTACTTTTTATTTATTAATTACCTCCCATGCTCCTATTTTTTTAAGTTTATTTAATTTAAGGTTAATAGCTTTAAAAAATATATTTTTTAATAAATAGTTTTTAAGATCCTTCCAGTGCTTAAAAAAAGGTAATAATTTATTTTAATAAAAGTATTTTTTTTAGGGTTTTAATAAAAAGTAAAAAAGGCAAATTATATATAGTTATAAAAAGTAAAATTAAAAGTAATTATAATAATAATATAGCTTATGTAGTTTATTAAGGCGCTTAAATAAAACTTAAAGTTTTTTTAATTACTTTAAGGTACTAGCCTTTATTTAATTAACTATTTAAAAAAAATAACAGGTTTAATTCTTGGTTTTTTACCTTTTTTTATATTTTTAATAATAAAATAAATAAAAGTTTAAAAGTAGGCTTACTTTACTTTTTATAATAATTATTAATTAGCTAGGTTTAAAAATAAATTTTTTTAAATTTAAAAGCATGTAACCTATTATAAAGGCTATAATAGCTTATTAAAAAAACTAGCTAATATTAATTTTTATATAAAAATTTTATAATAATAAGGTTTTAAAGTAAGGTTTAGAGTAAAAAAAGGTGGTAATTTTTTTAATAAATTAAAGGCCTTATTTTTACTAGAATTAGGCCTAGGTATAACCTTATATTTAAATTTCCCTTTATTTTTATTTTTTTTAATACTTTTATTTTTAAATATTTTTACTACCCTTGGCTTGCTTGTTGTTAAAATACCCTTATTTTTTTTTTTTTTAAAAAAATTTAGTAAAGTCTAAATTTAAGTTTATATTTTTAATAATACAGCAGCAAGAGGGTGGTTTAAAAATCTTAACTAGTAATTTAAAAAAATTAATTTAAATATTAATAATAAAAAATAGTTTTTATAAATTATAAAGCTAAAATTTATTAAAAATAATATTTTTGCAAGCTTTAACACGCTAATTTTAAAAAAACTAGATTTACTAAATATTTAAGGCTTAATAGCCTATAAGATATTTAAGTAAGGCCCTTAATTTTATTTTATAAAAATATTTTTCCTAGGATCTTCTTGCCTAAAAGAAATACTTAATAATTTAAATACCTAAAATATAAGGCTTCTTGCTAGTAAGTTTTTTTTATAAAGTTATTTAATTAATAGCTTTAATAAAAATTTAATTATTAACATGGGTTATTACTTTTATAACCCAGGGCTATATATTAAGTAAAATATTTTTATATAAAGTTATTATTTTAATTTTTTAAATTAAAATACCTTTAAAGCGCTTGGCTATATTATTTTAAAATAAAAAGTATAAAATAAACTAGTTTTAAAAAATGCCTTTAAAGGCAGTAAAGTTAGGAATATTATTACTAAAGATAGGTTTATTATTATTAAATAAGAATTTAAAAGTAACTTTATAATAGTTTTATATAAACTATATAAATTATTTAATAGTATTTTTATAATTATTTTTAAGCTAGTAAGTGTAGGCCTAGTATATTTTAAAAAACTTATTATAAAAGTAAGTTACTTATTAATCTTTATTTATTACTAGCTTTATAAAAATAAGATTAGTATAAATATAAATAAATAGCTTAGTAACTAGTTTTTTAGGCTATTTAAATATTTATTAAAAAGCTTAATTAACCTAGTAAGTATTATAATATTTAAGTAGTTAAAAATTAAAAATACTAACTTTTTATATTACTATAAAAAATACTTAAGTATTTTATTATTAATATATTCTAGGCGCTGGTAAAAAGCTTTAAGATTTTCTTAAAGCTATACTTTTTAAGTTAAAGTTTTAACTTTTTATTAAGTTAAAGCGTTGGCCTTTTTTAGCTTTAAAAAACTTTTTTTTAGTTTTATTATTTAAAGGCCTAAGAAATAATTTTTAAGGCAAAAAACCAGTTTATTATTTTTAAAAATAAGGGTGTTAAAATCCTAGGTATATTTAGCTTTTTAAAAAGGCCTTGCTATTATAATATTAAGGTAAAATTTAAAAGTATATATAACTTTATATAATATAAATAGTATAATCCCTTTATTAAATACTTTTAAATAAATAAAAACTAATTTATAGCCTTATATAGCTATAGTTATATTTTTAGCTTAAATATTACTACTTTAAAAGTAATTTAAAAAGGTAAAATAATTAAAATTATTATAAATATAAATAAAGGCACTGGTATTAAAAATAAAGGTATTTTAAAGTTTTAAATTACTTAAAATACTAAATACTAGGGCTGCTTTATAATATTTTTTAAAAATTATAAATTACGCGTTTTTTTAGCTATTTTACTAAGCTTTTTAGTTTTTAATATTCTTTTTTTTATTTTTAAAAAGCTTGGTATTTTTAACCTTTAATTTTTAAAGCTTCTTGCTATACTTATTATTTTTTTTAAGTATTTTATTAATTTTTTTTTTAGTTCTTTATTTATTTTATAGGACTTTAAATAATATAAATATATAAAGTTATAATAAAATTTTATAGCATGCTTATATTTATAAAAATAAATTAATTTATTATTAGTTAATGCCCAGGAAGGTTTATTAGTAAAAAAACTTTTAGTATTTAAATTATTAGTAAAAGGCTAATTTAACTTTTTAGCAAGTATAGCAAAGGCTATTTTTTTTATAAAGGTTTTAGCAAAGCTATTAGTAGTAAAAAAATATTATTAAAACTTAAAAATAAAGGTAAAATAATTAATTTTATTAAATTTTTTATAATTTAATTAATCTGCATGGCGCTTTGTATAGGCTATTAAGTATTTATTAATAGTTTTTAAAAATATTATATTAACTATTTTATTATTAGCCTTGGGTTACTTAAGGCATAAGATTTTTTAATAAACATGCTTATAATTTTAAAGCTACTAGGTAACTTTTTTTTATTAAATTAATATAGTAATAGTAGTAATATAGTTATTAAAAACCTTAAGTTTAGTCTTAAAATTAATAGGAGTAAGTTACTACTTTAATTTAATAAAAACTTTTATAATAAGCTTATTTTTAATAAGTTATTAAATAAAAAGCGTAATTAACTTTTATATAATATTATTAATATTTTAAATTTTTAAAAAAACATGCTTAGCATGGTTTTATTTTTAATTAAATATTTTAAATATTTTTTTATTAGTATTATCTCTAGGGAGTAAAAAAAGCTTAAAAAAAAAGTTTAATAAATTACTTTTAAATTAAAATACTTTTAAACTTTTATAATAATTATAATATATAAAATATAACTATACCATACTAGCTAGTTCTTTTTAAATTTTAAAAAAATTATTATATTTAAGGCGCTGGTAGTAAAGCTTATAATAACTTTTAAATTAATAAATTAAGTATAAAAGTTAAAGTTTAATTAATATTTAACTTTTTAAGTATAAAAAATAATTAATTATAAAAGGCTTTTATATAGTAAAAGGGCTAGTACTTAAGGAATATAAATAGCTTTAAAAAGTTTAAGAAAAATAAAAAAATTTAATAAACTAGATTATTAAGTAATTCTCCGGGCTTATAACTATAAGGCCCTTTAAATATTATATAAAAAAAAGCTATTAATTAAATAAATACTAAAAAATTAAATAAAAAATATAATAATATTTAAAAGCTAGAGTTAACTAGGGTTTTTATAAATAATTTAAGCTTTTAAAAATAATAAAAATTTTAAATACTTTTATTAATACTTTGTAATATTTAAAAAACTATAAATATTATAGTTATACAAGCAAGTAATTTAGTGGTAGGTATTGTAGTATTTTAATTAAGACTGCCTAAGGCGCCTAAGCGCTGTTAAAGCGCTGCAGCGCTTCCTCATCAAACTAAGCAATCTCCACCATTGGCTAACACGAGGAACCCTGTGCCGAAGGTTAGTTTGAATTTCGAGTCGCAGGTGCAGTGTTTTGAGTCCACGAATTAGGGCTAGGGGGGTGGAGAGGGGAGGGGTTGGAAAAACGCACACTGTTGCCCAACAGGATCCAGGCCCAGCGGGGTATTTGCGCTCTTCTTCATAGCCAGCGAGGACATCGGCTGAAAGACAGTTGTTATATCGAGGCCCTCGATGCCTTTCAGGGCAGCGGCTTGCTCGGCGCGGGCCTGCTCGACGGCCTTGTAAACCTTTAAAGAGGGACGACTAGACATTGTGCGGAATTCGTAACTGACAGAGAGCATATCGTTAGTCGTTTAAGTTCCAGTCTCTGAGCCAGGATGACAACATACACCTTCGCCTCCGTCGAAACAACATCTGCAATTCCCTGCCCAAGCTCGTAGACCGTCCTGACTGCCGGAGCGACCAGACTTGTTACGGCAGGTATGCTAAGGAATGGGGCGAATATAGCCGGTTTGTTCTCGTTGGCGTCGGCATCGGGGGAGCAGTAGACAAGCACAAGCAAAATGGCGCTCTCGTTGGCGTACCAGATAAGCGTTGCCTTGTCGTCCGACTCTATTGCGTCGTGGTACTGAATTAGGGCGGCGGCGAGGGCATCGTATGCGGTTGGTGGGTAGACGCGCGCCTCGCACCAGATTCTATTCGGGACGGTTACCATTGTGAGGTTCGTTACGATTCCTGTATAACCTTGTCAGACGATTGCAGGAGGGTAACTGAGGGGAGATGTACCGAAATTAGAGCGCCTCCCTTGAGGGCCCAGAACAGGTCTTGGTTCTCGTTCGCATTGGCATTGAGGATGCTCGAGTCTGCCAGGACGACCTGGTAATTTAATCATAAATGTAGTCAGTAATCGTGGATTTACTGCCGGTTCAGCGACGAGCATACCTCATAGTTAACAACTCCCATAGCCCCAATTCCATACTGGCTATTCTGGAACGAGATGCCTCCACCCAGGATCAATCCTGGCACACCAACATGCGGCACTCTTCCGCCAGCGACAGCAAGGCCATGAGGCTCCAGCGCCTTGTACACATCGAGCCACCGTAGCCCGACGCCGATATCCGCCGTGCTCTGGTCATCTGAAAGCCTGACTTGGTTAAATTCCGCGAGCGAGATGACGACCCCGCCGTCGTTGCTGTTTGCACCAGAGTGATTGAGACGCCCGCCGCCACGGACGGAGAATTTGATGTTAAATAAGACGCAGAGGGATAGTGCTGCCGCGACGTGTTGGCTGCTGCTAGGTGTTAGAATGATGAGTGGGCTGAGCCAGCAATTTGTGGACCTGCAGGGCAATCAATCAGTACTTCAAGGCGAAAGAACTCTGCGGATGTATGTGTAGTAAACAATAGGTAGGTACCATGGCAATTGACGTTGGAGCTCGTAGTCTGACGATCCGCGGACAAAGGCTTTGTCTCCAAAAACAAGCGAGAACACTTTAGCCACAAACAATGGCCAAGCATTGTCTTGCTCGGCAGCCGAGAGATCCGCGTATTGACCCAGAATCTCTAGGACTTGCTTGTTATCTTGCCCATTGGCCTTGCTGACGGTAGCTACCACCACTTCTGGTGAGGGTGCTGGACCAGCCATCATGACTTGGAAGAGCAATTGGAAGAGCAACTAAAGGAAAATACCTTGCAACAGAAGTACATCTAGGTTGCGATTGCGGGATGGGGAAGATATATGGAGTTAACTATCCTATTGTACTCTTTGAGGAGAGTGGAATAACTCTCATGAGACGGCCCGGAGGAAACTTATCAGGGCCATTCTAGGCATGACTGCCTGTTAAGGTTGCAAGTGCAGCTGCGGATATGGGCACAAGACATGCCATACGTGCATTGACTCCTGCAGGTCCACAGGCACAAGGCCGAGAGAGCCGGTGCATCCATCGTTGCGACTAGTATGCTCTCTAGTCAGTCAGCTTCCGGGTACTACGGAGCATTCCCCAGATATAGCACATCAACTCAACTCATATCAAAACCGTGGCTCAGTTTAGTGGGCCTACAGCTCTTCTCGATCTCAGATGTGATAGAATTGGACTTCTTTCAATCGAAATGTGGCACGTTAAGAACATCCGAGGAGTAACGATAAGTAGATATACCAAGCATTTAAACCGGTGCGGCAGGTGGATTCTGTGGTGAGTAGTGCGGCGGCTCATCTCTGATGTTGATGGTAATTTCCATTGGGAGTTCACCTCGCCTGCAGTTGCGGTGGCGTAGTATCCTCCAAACATCCAACCAATCCACCAATATAGTCCACGAGGTCACCATCATTTGTGTGCTCAGAACGGTTGTCGCCAAGTTCTCCATGAATCTCCAGTCGTCTGTCTCGAACCGATAGACTCTATGGGCTTCATACCAGGCTGAAATCGCCAAAACCCCAAGAACAAGGGCGCATGCATTTAGGATCGTTGCGGCCGCAGCAGAATTGGCTACAGCCCACAAGCTGGTTGGGTCGTGATATGGAATGTAGCGGCCCGACGGCAGTACCGCAGCTAACCGCCTGCCTTCTCTGCAGCTAATGAGTCCCATGTAGGCCAAAATCATCAGGGTGACGGCGTATTGAAACCGCGAGTTATCCTGGGCGACGAGTTGAAAAGTGAAGACGGTGTTGGTGATCCCCTGGTCGGTGATGCAACCACCCTGGTGGCAACAGATCATCTGATTGAGAGGAACTTGAGAAACAAGGACGCTGAAGTCAAGAGGCGGACTGGAATTGGTGACGCTCGGAGTCCCGAGGTCTCGTCTCATGGGGATAATAAAGTTATGCCACGGGATCTTTGGCCCGCCGTTCGCCGGCCAGCCAGCCTGCTCCATGTCGTTGTCGCCGAACGGGAGACGAGAGATCAGTTCTGTATCTCCAACCCAGATCTCATTGACGGCGTTTCCTGGGGCAGTGTAGTCCTCTGATTTGACGCTTTTGACGACAGATAGCTTTTTGCCCATATTCGATTGTGCAGTATCATATAGGATAGAAGTCAGCCACCACTATAGATTGGAATGAAGCAGTAGATAGAATTGAGGATGCACAGTTAAGGAAGACATCCTGACGTCGGTTTCCACACTGCTGGACTTTTGGGATCTGGATGGAAGGTGCGATTTTGACAATTCCACGCGCCTTTTCTTGCGCCCTCCTGTAACACGACAACGGTGCCAATGCTTCTCTTAAAGATCTCAGATGCGGATCTCAATTTCCTTCAAGAGATAAAATCAGTTTGGAGTGTTGGCAGTTGAAGAAGTGGAGGTCATGACTAACCAGGCACGAAGGAAATTTAGGTTCCTGGCATTGCTTTTCCTCCAGGGACCAACCAATCAGAAGCTCCGACCTGATGTATAGCCTCACCAATGTCATCGCTGTGTCAATGCCTTTGTTGATCAGCAGACGTTCAATCTTGGAAAATGATATGAATCGATGTCCTCCAGAGCCTGGCTCTGCCGATCCCATATAAGGCCGCATCCCCCACAACTCCCCCATTTCTCATCAACGTCTCACTTTCCGATCACCAACTAACGCTGTACCATCATCCAAGATGCCGCTCTCCATCTACTCTGCTGGTTTCATCGCGGCGCTCGCCGGCCTCACTCAGGCTCTACCTACGCCTACCACAACCTCGATCGAGGACCTGACCTCGTCCGGCACGGGCACCTCCGCGATCACCAGCCTCGCTCAACTCCCATGTATGTCTCCTCTCGCAAAGCATTAGCCGAACATCATAGCTAACATATTAATCAGCCTCAGTATGACCCCCATAGGCTTCGATCGAAGTCCAACAAAGAACTCTAATCACATAACAATACTAACAACCCCCAGTCCGGTTCCACCTCGGGCTCAAGCTTCATGGGCATCGCCGGCAGCAGCGACCTCGATCTCGGAAACCTCGAAGAGCTCCCCAAGCTCAGCACGAGCCTAATCGCTGGCAGCCTACAGAACCTTCAGCACAACGATGAAAACTCGGGCAGCTCTGACTCCGGCTCTGACTCCGGCTCGTCTTCGGGCTCGAGCTTCATGGGCTTCGCCGGCAGCAACGACCTCGATTTCGGTAAATTGGGCGAAGAGCTCCCTGAGTCTGACTCGAGCTTCCTTCTTGGCAGCCTTCAGAACTTCCATAGCAATGAGAACAAGAGGTCCGAGTCTGGCGATGGCTCCGGCGATGGTTCAACCTCTGGATCAAGCTTCATGGGCTTTGCAGGCACTGATGACCTTGATTTTGGTAACGCGGAGGAGCTTCCTGAAAATGAGTCGAGCTTTCTTCTCGGGAGCCTCCAGAACTTCAACAAGGGGGATGACCAGAAAGACGATAACTAGATGCGATAAGCGAACGGCTGCTGGGGATCGGGGTGGAATGGTGCGAGTTTGTTCTTTTTGGGTAATTATCACCTTCTATCTGCATATCAGTTCATGTCTGTCTATATGCTGTTATGTTATAGTACATAGTCATAATATAATGTCAAGTATACCTCACTTCTTGGAGAACAGATCCTGCCAGAACTGCTTGAATCCATAACCCTTAGCCTCATCTTCATCATACACCCTTGTCGTCTGAGACGTAGCCAGATGCTCAAGTACACTGGGTGCCTTGATTCCGACAGACACCGGTTTCCGCACCCTCTCTGTGGCACGCCGTCTGATCTCCTCCGCGAGACTCGGCGCAACATCAGCATAGCAGGCCTCTAGTTCACGTTCGAGGTTGAGATAAGGTTTTTGAGCTACCGGTGGCGCTTGTAAATTGTAGGAGCGGGCGAGAGCATTGATGGTTTTCACGGAGAGTTCGAGGAACGAGCGTTCGTTGGCAATGTATTGCGGGTCGCGAAGGGGTGGGAGGTGGAGGATCTCTTCTGTTGCTGAAGATTCTGTGGATGGTTCGGAGATAGAGGTCGAGGTTGTGGTGTTGGTACTGGTATCATCTACTGATGATGAGGACTCGGTGTCAAGGAAAGCTTTCTCCAGCTTAACCCGAGCCGCATATCGCACTTCCGCAGCTGCATACGCCTCCGCCCTTCGCATCTGCGCCTCCAAGGAGCCTCCCTGACTAGCGACTAATCTCGCCGCATATCGTCGCCATTCAACCCTCAGCCGCTGCCGGAACCGATCGACCTCCCGCGCAAGTTCCTGCTGTTTCTCGATCCACGGCGGAACAATCTCCTGCTTCTGGATGATCTTATTCATGAAGTACTCCGTTGTATCAATAAACGCGCTGTTGGCATTATAATCCGTCTGCGTGCCCACGCCCTTCCCGCGCTTGATTTTATCAAATTGTCCTCGCGCCACGGCGTCCTCGATACGTTCGTTCGCTAGCGATGCCAAGCCCTGAAGTGTTGCAGGCATCGGTCGAGCGCCTGGTGTAAATCGTTCTCGCATTTCGCGGCGCATAGCTTCCCGCTCTGTCTCAGAGACATCTTCACTTTTGCTGAGCGAATATATTCCCGTCCGTTCCTTTGCGTCGGCAATGCGCAGGCCTGCGTGGCGTGGAGGTTTGGGCGTGAGCCGGGTGTCAATCGGACCTGGCTGATATGGTTTGGGTATTTTGTACGGTGTGCGGATGGGTTTCTTGGAGCTGTCGAGCATTCTTAATGTTACATCGTGTGTACTCTCCTCTCCAGTCCAGGGTGCTGCGCCGGCAATGTCGCGGGTTCCTTGGCCGGCGCTTTCCTACAATTGCCGTATCAGTATACACGCCGTCGAGTTCAGTGACAGATATGGATATACCGGCATATTAGCAATAGAGTGCGCAGCGGCATGCTCGTTCTTGAAAGCCGCCGCGGCAACCCTCTCCTCAAGCTCTTTCTTGAGCTCCTCCGAGAACCCCGCCTGCGAGAGGTTCTTGCGTGTTGACCGGCCTCCTTCGAGGTAAGCTTGCTCTGCCATCTCCGAGAGTCGCCGGGTCATTGCACCCTCCTCTTTCTCAGCTTCATTTTGTGTCTTCTGTTGCTTATCGCCTCCATCTGTCTTTGCCGCATCTTGCCGTCGGGGGTCTGCTGAGAAGCGCCGCCGCGATTGTGTTTGAATTACTGGGTGCYGTGCGAGGGCCTTGGTGATTCTGTAAGTGGTTGTGCAGTGGCCGGCCATATCTGCTTCTAATCAACTATAGAAGAAAAGAACAAGAAGAGTCTATAGCAGATAAAAAGCAGATTCCGAATGCCAATCGCCCTCCGGAGCACATGTCGCCCCATCAATGTTTATGTCAGCAGCGCGACCTCCGCGGACTAGAATTTGAGGTCTTGGCGCTCTTGCTCCGAGAGCACCGCATTTTCCTGCCCACGACCATCATCAGTTGCATCTACAGGGCATCCCATCCTCCGCCTCATCGTTTGCTCTCGTCTTCACCGAACGAACTAGCCGCCAAAATGCCGCCCAAAGGTGTCTCGACCCGCCTCAACCCCGTCCGCCTGAACTCGATCACCCACCTCCGCGTGCGTGATACCAGTGGGAAGCAGGCGACACCCTGCCAGGCGGTTATGTCTGCTATGCTGAGTACGCTCGCCTGATCTTGGACTTTTTCTACCTTGGCGGGAGAGATAAACCGGGATGGAGGGATCTTGCCCGCACCGCAGTGTAGTGCTTCTGAGGATTCTCAATCCCAGTCCCGTCCCGGTTCGGCTTAGACGAGCAGACGCCTATGGTTTTTCGTTCTCCAGCGGATCAGCTAACATGTTATTCTTTTCTTACAGCTTGCTGGGCCTCAGTCGCTGGACAGGTGGAGGGATGCGCTTTGCTGGAGCAGCAATTAAGAGAATGCATGGACACACATGTGCGTATAGCTTCTTTTCTCCCATTGGGTCGTTTCCGCTCTATGGTCTGCCATAACTTGCGCAACCTTACTCTTGCTTTGCGGACACAGGGTTAGAGACTTGTAAGCTAACATATTGGTCTCCGCTATAGAAAAATAATGCCAAAAAGGGGAACGCCATCAACTACCACCTTATGCGAATGTACCCGAAGGTCGTTGGGCCGAAGAAGAAGAAGACGTAAAGTGCATGCTTGGAAACGGGGTCATGTTAATATATTGATGTCGGCGCAATCCTGGGCTGCCGTCTCTACCCGGAATCTTGGATTTAAAGTCTCGGCCATGTGCTTGATGCGCTAGACAGCGGCATTGAAGGAATGGTCTTACATTTGGGTCTAGCTTGCGAGGATGCTCGACGGGGATCACTTGTTATGGAGTTATGGCTTGCATGGGAAGAATTTTTGAAGCAGCCTTTTGTATACATACGGTTTGTATATTATTTGATTTCTAGGCAAAGATTTGTTCACAACGTTGTACCTCAGGAAAGACCGCAGATCGAAGTTGGCTGCAGCTCTAGCTGCGCAGGAGCTTAGTCTCGATGGGCTCAATTTGAGCAGTAAGAGAAATGTCAGCCAAGAACCGGACGCATAAGCAGATGGAATTCTCTACGCTTGTTCGAATCTGAGAATGAGCTTTTCACCCTTCGGCTTGACCGTGTAAGCATCAATTGCTTCAATATCATCGTCATTGACGATGGAGGTTTTGAAGTTGGTATAGATTGCGGCGATAGCCAGTTTCATCTCTAGAGGCTGGTTAGGAAGCTTTCTTCTTTGATCAGGGAGTTATACCTTGCAGAGCCAGATTACTGCCCACGCACATCCGGCCGCCACTACCAAATGCCCAGAACCATCGCTTTCTTTCCTCCAAATCGGAAGGCTTATTGCAGTCCTTGAACCACCGCTTTGGCTCCCATGTTTCGGGATCTGGAAATACCTCAGAATTGCGATGGAGGGAATATGCTTGTGCATTAACTCTTGTGTTCGCCGGTATATCGTCGTACCCAACAAGGGTGCATGCCGGCGAAGGCGTGACTCGAGGTTGGATACCGGGGATCGAAGCATGAAGTCGCAACGTCTCGGTGAGTATTGCCTCAAGAAGTGGCAGGGAGTCAATAGACTTGGGCGATGGCAATTCGGTATGATCAGAGCGGCAGCGAGGAGTGATCCTTGGCTGCAGAGTAAGAAGTTCTCTGTGCAGTTCTTTCTGCACTTCTGGATGTCGAGAAAGTTCCCACAGAAGGTAGGTCAGAACGACGGCGCTGGTCTCGTGGCCCGCTGTGAGGTGGTCGTACATCTCACACGCAATGTCGAGCCTCTGTTGTTCGACATAATCTGCATATAACCTCGGATCGTCTATTTTGAGAGGAGCCTGTTTGGAAATGGCTTGTTTCAGGTGCTTGTATACAACAGGCTCGAGGCTAAGATCAGTCGAAGTAAGAGACGCTTCCGCTTTATCGCAGAGCTCCAGGCCCCAAGAGTCAAGTATCTGATTTGCATCATCGCACCATTTAGGGATCAAGCGGATGCCTATAGCTCTCAGCCGAGTAACAAGGTTTGGGACTTCTTGATGATAAAATTCATATGGCTTTCTGCATTGATATAGGCGCAGCATCTCGCGTCTGTACTCTGGGTTTTGAAGGAAGTTAGTGCCATTGGCCAATCCAAACAGATATGCAGAAACAAAGTCCATGGTCAATCCTTGGTTAAGATCATGGACATCCGTATCCGTTCTCGAATTGGCGGCTGCTTGGAGAATAGGTAGAAGCCGGTCAAGCATGATGGTTTTGGAAATAAGCCGCAGATGGGGAGACGATTGCAAGAAGGACTTGCTATAGATGTTGGATAGCATGCGTTTTCGAGTGGAATGAGCTTTGCTACCTGTCATGGTGAACATGCTCACGGTCCTGTATACTTGCAATGGCTACTTAGTCCCACATTGTTCTTGACATTGGACTTGCCGAACACTGCTTACCCAAACGAACCGAAGACTCGCGGATACCACTCATGCTTGTCAAAACCACCCGTGTATACCGACTTTATGCCCCCGTCGACGCAGTTTATGGAGATCTCCGAGGGCGCAAGCCTAACGATTGGCCCTAGCCGCTCATGAGCTGCGTGGACGGTGCGGTTATTTTGGCCTCGAAACCGCTTCCAAAGAATCCAGGCAGGTGATATTGGGGCCGTCCAGTGGGCATTAGGGAGCTTAGACAATGGCGACAGAAACGCAGGATAGACCGCGAACTCGTAGAGAAGAGATAGGCCCAGCATGATGGGCGCTATCCACGCGAACATCGCGAGCTCCATGGCCATGATGCAGAAGCTAATGGGATCAACCAGGAACCGACTTTTCGTTATAGAAGGAGGTTCAGAAGTTGAAGCCTTGGTCCTTGTTGAATTGGGCTTATCTTCGGCCTCGAAGCGACAAGCTATCGGCAAGCGCCCCGCCGCATACGGTACACCTGCCCTGCTGGTTATCCCCACAATTACCCCAAGGTTCGTTTTACTCGTCAGACTCAGTGGATTGAAGGGTATATCTTGCTATGCATCCACTGAAGCACAAGTCCCAGAAATCATGAATTATCATGGATTGGATGAGAAGATGAAAGGAGTGAGTCCTGGCGGTAACTACGGGAGATGATGGTCGGATGACATACCGAAGGTTCCTTTCATCCACCCAATTTTCTCGCTTCTGACTTTCATTCTTCCTCATCCCATACATTCGAAAGTCTATTTGACCAAGCGCGCTTACGGTAGTCGTTGGTCGATCCCTCTTCTTGACGTTCTCGTGGCGAGCTCCTTCTACAGAGAGCTTTTGAGTCACATCATGACTCATCGCTGCAACACACGTTAGCTTGATGCTTATCTGACGGTGATCCAGACCCAATGTGGCCGTGTTAGGGGTATTGCGCTGTCTTTTAAAGATAGTAGGGCTGCCAAAATTGTGGGGGAGCATGGCCTCGGCTCCCAAGCTGAGACCATAATCGCATCCATTCACGTCATCCCAGGACCAGCACATACCTTCTGTTGAGATAAGATGCTTCTTTCAGACTTGCCTCCAGAGATTATCTATTCAATCGCGACTTATTTGCCAACTGCAAACGCCTTTGTCTGCCTGGCCCTCACCTGCCGGCGACTGCATGAGATCATTGCGAGTGGCGATTGGAGCATCTTTAGAGCTTTCGTGAAGAGTCAGTTCTACAACATACCTACGCCACCTTTCTGGAAAGACGCGGCTCGGGCTCTTACATCTCGCTCTAGAGCGTTGGATAGGCATGCAGTTATAGGCCGTTTTGTCACACGTCCGTCAAATGCAGAGCACCTGGGCGGATCGTCTCAGGCTACTAGAGGTGACAACCCTACGCATGGTTATCGGCCCGCTATAGACTCGTATGAAGTCTGGAATGGATCCAATTGGCATGACCGACGTGAGGTATTGGCATGGAGCGATGGGCATGAATTGGTACTACAGATCCGACAGCGTGGATCTCAGAGTGCGCAAAAGTCATTTGTTTTCAATGATCTAGAGCATATCAGCAGCCATGACGATATCTGCGGCCTCCATCTTCTGCGGCCTGAGCATCATGCGAAAACCCAGGATCGTGAGCATGTGATGCTCGGTCGGATGCGTGGCGAACTTGTCCATCTTACGATTGCGCCAGAGAGCAACGCATATGAATTGAAGCAGAAGTTTCAGACGTTCGGCCTGGAGATCGAACGGACTGATATGAGTGATGGGCCAGAGTCAATTCTCGCGGCCCACCTGAGTAATGGAACAATCGCGCTATACAGTACCACTACAGAGGAAGAAGAGGTCTCGTCATTTGGACGCCTTCATGTACATGCAGGAAGCTCTGCACGTTACAAGAGCTCGAAGTTCCTCTCCCCAAACCGCTTAGCTGTGACGACGGGACGCCCACAGGACGCAATCGCCATCTCTAGAATTTCGCAAGAACGAATAGCGCTCGAGATTACGATACCAGCCGACTTTGTAGGCACACCTGCCATGAACGGACTCACCAAAAGATCAACCGTCACTGCAATTGCACCGCTCACTGGACAGACAGGAGCTTCATCAGGCAATACATTTCTCGCAGCTTGGGGTGGTTCCGCGGTGAGGTACGTTGTTGCTGCACTTGCTGTATACCCAGCAACGCTAATTATGTACAGATTGCATGACCTCCGGTCCCATAAGCAGTACGAGCAACTTTACATAGATATGGCGGATCATAACCCCTTGTACTGTATTCATCCATTCGGACACGACCGCTTCGTCGTCGGTGCGGGAGGCGACGCAGTCGTTAAGATATTCGATCTTCGAATGCCAACCGCCTACGACTACCGTACAACAAGAAGACAGTCATTCTCGGGCCCTTCCAGGGCCCAAAGCACTTCCCTAAAACATCCCAGCAGAGATCTCTCTATCTTCCTTTCTTCCGTCCCACCTTCGGCACGCAACGCCCGATCGACCCAGCGCCACTACCGCGGCCCTATATATACTATGTCCTCTCCGTCTCTTCTATCCCCAACGATATATACAGGTATCGCCGGAGGGATCGTTCGACTCGACTTCGCGTCTACAGATGATTTGACTGGTTCCAATAGTACTTGGTACCGCGAGGCTATTGATCTACCTAGCGAGGATACCAATGGGAATAATACGAACGAAGTGATTGAGTTGTCCGGTTACGAGAGACCGGACAGTAGAGACATAACGGCCTGCTCGAAGCTAAGATCCCAGGTGCCTTTTAGTGCAGTCAATGACCAGAACCTTGCGAACGAGCAGGCGGCGGGCTGGGATAGGAGATGGAATCCCCTCGAGGCGCCTGGTGCTTGGAGACGTCGGGACTGATGGATTGGTCGCCATTACTTGGAACTTAGACCGGCGAAATGGTTGGGCTACGATTTAAGGTATATATTATACAGCATGTCTACCGCTTAGATGAAATTGATCGAAATGCAATAAAAGAAAATGATTCATTCCCAGCTCCATAAGCGCCTTGCTTGACATAAAACGAGATCTATGATACGAGCTATAGATCTATCTTCACCGATATAGTGCTTTTGTTAGACGTAACAGAAGAGATTAAGTAGATAGGATGGGGCCGTCGATCGAGAGATTCCGCGATCCAACCGGGACACTACCGCGGACAGCGATCACCAGCCAGGCATCTAGTCATCGAACTTGAATGACTTGCCGCCAGTGATATCGATAGGACCACCGCGGTACGAGCCACGCTTCTTCTTGTTCTTCTCCTTGGTGAAGCCCTTGCCGCGCGTGACGGAAAGATCCTTGAACGCCTTCTCCGCGTAGGCGTACGGGATGTACTGGTTGGAGGGGTGGTCATGGGGCAGCTCGCTGAGGGCAGCTAAAGGCGTAGGGCGAGTGCCGTGGTGCTTCTTCTTGTCGTTGCCGTTTCCGGGGGCCGGGCTGGCGCTCGAGGAGGCGGGGGTATCGAACTTGACAGCCGGCTTCTTGGGGGCCTCGGACTCAGAGTTCTGGACAGTACCGCTGCTGCTGGAGGATTCCTCTTCGGAGGACGAGGAGTCATCCGAGGAGCCGCTGGAGCTTGAGTCGGAGGGTGGGAGGGGCGTCTTGGTGGCGACCTTCAGGGCCTTCTTGTCGGCCTTCTTGGCGGAGTCGGAGTCAGATTCAGATTCAGACTCGGATGAGGATGAGGAGTCAGAAGAGGAGTCCGAGGATGAGTCGGAGGACGAGCTAGAAGAGGCATCGGATTCGGACTCAGACTCGGAGCTGGAAGAGTCCGAGGAGTCTGAATCGGACTCGGAGCTGGAGTCGGAGGAGCTCTCACTGCTGGACGAAGAGGACTCCTTAGCTTTCGATGTCACCTTCGTCTTCTTCGCCTTGGGAGCATCATCGGAGTCGGATCCGGAAGAGGAAGAAGCGCTGGATTCGGCCTTGCGCTTGACACCTTGAGTGGCGGGGCCGGGAGCAGGGGCTGCCTCATCCTCGTCCTCGTCATCAGCGTCGCTGTCGGAGGAGCTGGAGGAAGACGACGAAGAAGAAGACGAAGAGGAGGAGGACGAAGAGGAGGACGAGGACGAGGACGAGGACGAGGAAGTCGAGGAGGACCTCTTGCGCTGAACCTTGGGTGCTTCGGACATCTCAACATCGGAGTCGGAGGAGCTGTCGGCATCGCTGTCGCTGCTGGCTGAGCTGCTAGAGGAGCTGGAAGCCGTCTTGCCGTTCGTCTGAACTTCCCAGCTCTGAAAGATCTCTAGAAGAGAAGGAATACCGTCCTCTGACTTGGCTGCGCTGATGGACTTCTTGGCTAACTCTTTGGTGAAAGCCGTGCTCGTAGATGAAAAGTCATGCTCTGATAGGAAAGTCGAGACAGCCGAGACCAGGTTCGCCGGCAATGTAGTTTCTTTCGTTGCCTTCGCCTGTTTTGTTCGGGAGGAATTGTCAGTACACCGGACTTGATAACACTAGTTTGGGCAGGTCTGGAGCGCTTTACCTTCTTCTCCCCCTTTACAGATGTGCTTTTCTTATTGTGAGCAGCCATTGTAGCGAGTTGAGACACGCTGTTCGAGGTCAATCTGCTCTTGTGACTTTGTTGATTCTGTGAAAGAAACTTGATGAAGGGAAATTGGCAGAAAAAAATAAAATTCAAGGTGAGCGGGCGGTCCCTCAGGGGACAGCCTGTTATTGGCTGAACATTTATCGAGATCTATCGATCACGTGCTGCGTAGAAGACTTCATTTACTAAGCAGAAGACTTGTCCAACCATTCAATGCAGAGGCAGTTTAGGGGAAATATAAATAATTCTATCAATTAAAATATACCCTAGAATGTACATTGTATAGCAATAGCAACTTTTGAAGAGTAGTTACGCTGATGTTACGTCAAGATACATTAATGCAGTGGAAGGTGCAAGAATTATATGGGGAAGTGCTAGCTCTCATGTACAATGCGGTAACAACCACGAGCTCTCGGCCATCTGCTCCATCCCCATCAATGAGCTAATGAGCCGCTGGAGTCACTCCTCCATTTTGCATGCACAGCTTTGAATATGCAACTCTGCCCCCGCTATAGCCCCTCTGAGATTTCTCGACATTAGCTGGAATAGAATCTCTTCTCAACAACCCCCATTCTCTCGCACTGCTCGTCCCGCCCACGTTCCTCGATATCACCGATCATGTTCACCTGGCTTCGGATATCTCCTGAGTGATCCAGGCTATTGGCGATTTGAACTATAAGCATGAATGGCCATGATCGCCCGAGGGGACCTCCGGGAGATCCCCTGCCGCAAAGGGACCCCCGACGGGGCGCTGAAAGTCGGAGTGGTGGACATGGCAGCTCCGGCGATGGAGCCTCGAGGGCCGAGAAATTCGAAGACGAAAAGCGGCGGATTGTTCAGAGTTGCTTCTCAAAAAAGGATAGCGACGGTGCCTGTACGTTCGAATTTGATCTGGGCCATGCCCTTCATGTCTATGCTGGACGGCGGGGTTGCCAAACGAGTCATCACCGTCATGCAGGAAAACAATCTTGTTACCTTCTAGTCAAGAAATTAGGCTGACTTTTGTTCTTACACCAGTGGTCGAGTCCTACATTACACACGTTCGGATCATAGAAGATGGCGCTTATCCTTCCTCCCCGGCCCCGCCGAATGCGGCCCCTGAAAACAAGAAGGCTCGAGTTATAATCGTCGCTGTGAGACGGTCCGGAAGGGTGCGCATGCACAAAGCTAGGGAGAACAATGACGGCTCCTTCTCAATTGGCAAGACATGGATGCTGGATGATCTGTCAGCCATTAAATCCTACAATGCGGTTGTGCCATCCAATCCGCAGGAGGAACTGCAAAAGCAGTGGGCATCGAACGTTGGCTTCCTGGTAACCGTTGGGAAGCCTTACTACTGGCACGCTAAAACCTCGAAAGAGAAGGAGTTCTTCATCGGCAGTTTGGTGAAGATCTACAAAAAATATACTGGCGGCAAAATGCCGGATCTTATAGGTTTCGATGAGCGTGAGCGACAACTTCTTCTAGGAAATCCACAAGTTAGCGGAAGAGGACCTGCTCCCGGCTCATCGCACTCTGAAGGATCGTTTGTACCTCCACGTCCACCTTCGTCCCATGGGAGCCGTCCTCAGTCTCCTCATTGGGCGCGTGCACGCAGCCGCGATGCGCCGAAACGAAGACCAACCGATGAGGAGCTACCTATACGAGCTCAGCGAAGTCGAGAACAAATGAGCCGACCCTCTACTGCGCAGTCTGGAAAAAGTGGACCACCTCCATTCGCACCGCCTCAACATCCTCCGCCAGTGGTCCCAGCTGGTCAGGGTGATCAGCCGCCACCTCGTGCAATCGAGCGGCTTGCGGGCGATTCTAGGCCACCCAAACATTCCCCGGTATCGCCGTCAGAGTCTAGGAATATGGACATACCTAGCAGCTTGAGAACAGCACCGTCAAGGGATAAGATAAGCAGAGACGCCGAAGAAGGCAGTCTATCAAACCTTCACATGGAGCCCCGTCCACCATCGTCACGCAGCGGGAGAACAGTACCTGAACCACGTCCCATCGCCCGTAGCCAGGGTTCAAGTTCTAGCATACCCGAGGCTCGGCGAGGTAACGATAGCATTGTTCCGGGTCTTGTCCCAAGTGAGCTGCGAGTGAAAGAGCCTGCAAAAGGTGGTAATGCAACACAGTCGTCTACGACCGCAGGGCAGCCGGCGTCTCCCGCAGGAGACCAATCTAACAAATCAAACCTTATGCAACTTGCCGACGTACCACCCGGATTGTTGCCAGGTCCGCCCGCAAGTAACAATGCTACTGCCAAGCCCGTCGAGACACCACAATCTGTTTCGGAGAAAGCAGAGACAAGCGAGCTCGTTCAGGAGAGCAAACCACCTTCACCTCCCGGCATCCCTCCAGAATCCTCCAAAGAAACCGATGAAGATGAGGCCGACGCCCACCGACCAGGCCTTGGACCTATGATCAAGAAGAAGCCAAACAAAGATGTCGCGGGTGCGTTCCGCAAGGCTGCCAACGCCTACGGAGCGTTCAAGCCACGGACCGGGGGTGCGGGCGCGAGACTTCTGGCTGCAGCAAAGAAGCAAGCTGCTTCAGAAGAGCCTGATGGAATCACAGGTGTCGTCCCTGCACCATCCCTTATTCGGAAAGCAGACGAGTCCGGCACGGCGCCTGACGAACGCGTTGAAGACGCCGCGTCTGTGCCTTCATTGCCAGAAGAGTCCACTGAAGTTCCGCCGATGGACCCGGCGCCGCCTGTACCTGCACACGCTATACCTGCGCCAAACATCCCGGAACCTCCTAAAGTTAAGATAACGGAGGCCGTTGCTGATGTTACTGTAGCACCTTTATTGGATGTTACTAAAGGAACTCCAGAAGCAGTGGTCGTCCAAACAGACGAGAGATCGCGTTCCGTATCGCCCTCTCCACGCGATCGCCGGCGCAGGCGTCACGAAGATAATACTATCAAGTATTGCCAAGCACTCGGACTTGATCCGAAGGTTCTTGTAGATCGCGGAGTGGACTTTGATGATATTCTAACCGACCTCGGCTGGAATGGTCGCCTCTCAGATGAGAAAAAAATTGAAGACCTTGAAGCAGACGTACGTCGGGAGATTGGACGCGTCGAGGCTACAAGCTGGCTTGGTAACCTCGAGCAACAAGAGGGCAAGGTCGATCAGCTTGCTAAATTGATTGATAAGACCATTGATGAGTGTGAGGAGCTGGATAATCTCCTCACGTTATACTCACATGAACTCAATGTAAGTCCTTCACCACGCATTTGACATCCTGCGTTGTTGACCCAAATCTAAGACTCTTCGTGACGACGTGTCATATATCGAAACTCAATCCCAAGGTTTACAGGTTCAGACGGCCAACCAGAAGCTCCTCCATAGTGAACTACAAACCCTATTGAAGACGCTTTCTATATCTCCACAGGACTTGCAACCCTTGAAAGAGGCGTCACTCAGCAATGTCGATGGATTAAGGGAAACTGAGCTTGCACTTTCTACTTTGTACAAAGCCATGCTGACGATTGATCCTGAAATCTGGCAAAACAAGAAGCGTTTGGATGCTGCTGGGGGTCATGGTACCGTGGGCGTGTACGCCGACACTGAGATTGGTCAAATGCGCGCCATCCAAGACAAAAAAGAAGAATACCGCTTCCATTCCTCATCCTTCCTTCAACGACTCAAGCAATTCATGGCAATTGCCTATCAAGTGGCGGCACAGAAGCGTTCTGATGCCGCAGCTAATTCCCAAAAAGACCCGATGAAGCTAGACGGCTCAGCTAGGGCTTACGCCCGTCGGGAGCTCTGGGTTTACAGTGCTTTGACTCTTTTCGCCAGGGAAGTAAGTGGGCCAGAGTGGCAAGGCTTGCTTACTTTGTACGAACAACAAGCCAAACAATCCTACCAGGCCGAGTTCCGTGATAACAACATGGCGTGGAAACGGGCGGCCAGAAAAATCACCGGCGAAGAACAAGAACTCCTTTTCACCCATCAGGATAAGGAGAAAGAAGCTGAAGGCATCACAACGGCGGCCAGGAAGCTGACCGTGAGAAGGGGGAAGACTATCAGAGCTGCAGCAGGGCTAAGGCTTCCTTCTGGTGACAAGCAGCGTGGAAAGCTTGAACCTTTCGAAGTATTCGCCGGCACCCTACTGGAGACCGTGAAGATGATTTCAGAGGAACAAAACTTTGTCGTGCGCTTCTTCCACTTGACATCTTTTTCAAACATGGATTTTGGCGACATCGTAGCCTCAGGAGCCCCGGACGAGCGTCCAGTCCCAGATTTTACTATCAAGCAGTCGCCCGATCCGGATCGAGGAATGGCTAAGAAAGTGGAACAGGCTATGGACGAACTGTACTCATTCTGGCCAATCGATATGCAAAACCTCGTGGATTGGTCCATTCAGGCAGACCCTCTGTAAGTTTATGATTAGCACACTGGCCGTTAAACTCCTTAAGCTAACAATCATTTCAGGCAAGGAATTGGTATCTTGTTCGCCCTTGAAAAGTCCATTTCGGACTATGATGAGACCAACCAAGACTTCATTGTTCACTCGCTCCAAAAACTGCATTCGCGCCTGATTGGTCTTTTTAATCGCTTCGTCGACGAACAGATTCGTGGCATTGAGGAAACCAAGGTCAAGATCAACAAGCGAAAAGGCGTAATATCATTCATGAGAGTCTTCCCGAATTTCTCTGCTGCTGTGGAGAACATGCTTTCCGACCCATCGCAAGAATTCTACGACATTCGTCTTAACATCAATGAGGCATATGACCGCATCAACCGCGCCATGTGGGAGTCATTGAAATTCATCGCAAAAGAGGCGCCAGGTCAATCTACGGCGGTAGCGGCAGCAGCCAGCTCCGGTGATCCTGAAGACAAGGAAATATTGAATTATCATATTCTCCTGATTGAAAATATGAACCATTATATTGAGGAAGTCGACGTTCGGAATTTGCCGGTTCTCGAACGGTGGCGCGATCGAGCGCAAGAAGACATGGAGGAGCACCTGAGACTTTACCTAGATTCTGTGATCCACCGACCACTTGGGAAGTTGCTCGAATTCATTGACTCCGTTCAAAGCCTACTTGGCGCAGGCAGCAATCCTACAGATATCGCCAACCGCCCCAGTCATTCACGCTCAGTGGTGAAGAAAGTGCTGGCAGCCTACGACGTCAAAGAGATACGGCGTGGAATTGAAATGCTCAAGAAGCGAGTCGAGAAGCACTTTGGCGACGCAGATGACCCTGGACTCAGCAGAAGTCTGGTATTGAAAGTGCTTCGCGAGTGCGAGGTTAGATATGAGCAGGCCTATGACCGAACGCAACACATCATCCGTACGGTGTATGAAGGCCAGCTTGATCTCGAATGGCGCAAAGAGGACGTCGCCGCTATGTTTAGGAAGTAATGATGTACCATTCCGTCTTCTTCAATTCCTTCTGGTATCCTTTCTAGCAGCTGGGCTATCGTTCTACTATGCAGGTTTCATAGAATGGCGCCTGTTGGATACTCAATTATTACCTATAGCAATCCATTGCATTCTTTATCTTCCATCTTAGCCATGTAGCTCAAGGTGCGGGAGGATATACCGGAGTCTGGACGGTTGACAGTAAACTACCTGGCGAGGGCCCGAAGCGCAACTACTACTCATTAGTATAAGAACGGGTGGGACGGCTGGATGGCAGGATTTGATTGCTGGACTCGCTCAAGTTTGGGCGCTGGGAGCCATGGGTTGGAGGCTTGGAGCCGCTCATTTCAGGTTCAGGGGCTATCACACCAAACATCCTGGTAGAACTGTACGGTACCGGTAGGGCAAGCACGAGGGCTGCCAGCATCCAGCAAACATGCTTGTCTCATCAACCAACCTTTCCAGAAGACGACGAAGCCTTTTCTGAGCCCAGCCCTGGCACGCTTGATGCGATTGGGCCTGTCTCGATTCTCCGCCTCCCACTCTATGAACGATCGACGCCGGCGACCCCCTCTGGATCTTTCGTTCTTGCGCGATCGCCTTTCTTCCCATTTGACACCCTCGAGTTTCACGGGCTTGTGCTCGATCTTAACTTCTGCTCTTCCCTTTCATTCAGACGCCCCCTCGTTTCGTCTGCCTGTCTTTACCCTCCTTTCCTTCCATCCGGTATGCTTCTCTCGCACCCCCTTCTTTGCCTTCTCCACCGTTCCCGCCAAGCTGAGCAAAGGCACTCACTCGACTGGGGACTCCACCTCCGCCCACTACCTTTCCTAGGGGTTCAGAAATCGCACAGGATCAGAATGCAATTGGCAGTCAATTCAGCTGTGTACCTGCTGTGATGATTGCTTTGCGTCTCCTGGACTAACAACTTTGGCCCCTTGCTCGTTGCTGAGCCGTGGCTCGTCCACGACTGTTTCCGATTCCCTTATCGGGGCCCATCTCAGACACGAATCCTCAAGCTGATGATTCATTCTGCCTAGGTTTCAGGTATACAGCTACCCTTAGTCAAGCATCTAGACTCATCTATAGTCGCTTCCGATTCGCGCGGAGCCGAGTTTATTCACATTCCTCTCGAATTCCACGATATACCCAAAGGGATTCCTGCATGTCGCGACCTGTCCCCTTGATCCGACGAGAATACCTGTCCTTCTACCTCCGTTGAATCGTTACCCCTCCATTCTTCGAAACGGCCCGCTGTGACGACTGCTGCGGGGTGCGCTCTGGTCCGCCGCCTCGACTGCAGACATGCCCTGGCGGCCACTGCCTCGAATCGCTTTTGCCGTCGCGATCTATCCCTTCCAGCCCTCCACTCCGGCCGACCTACCGCTAGAACTCGGCGATGAACTATACATAATAGAGCAAGGGGGGAATAATGGCGAATGGTGTCGCGGCTACTTGGTTGCTCCGCCGTCTTTGCTGGCGGGCTTAACGAGCACCAAGGGTCAGACGCTCGAGGCGCGAGTGTTTTCGGGCATATTCCCCCGCAATTGCGTGGAGATTCGCGAAGTTCTGGGTGACACCGAGGGAAACAAGTCTTTAACAAATGGTGACCGCTCGACTGGCGACAGAACGGAGGATGTGGAGGTGGACGTGCGGAGCAGTCTAGCTTCTTCCCAATTCGACGAACATGCTGCCGACGAGGTGTCCGACGTGGTGGTAGCAAGGAAAGGGAAGCCCTCACAAATATTCATACAAAAGACAGATGAGGAAGACCAGTCAACCCCACGGGGGGCACGCGCCAGTCCCTGGGGAATGCTCCCATTGACGCCACTTCCGCGGGATCCTGATGCGCCCAAGCCAGCCGCGCCCGTTCCTATGCTCAAAATCGGCGACGAAACTCCTACTTCGCTTTCGGAGCCGCTGGTCGACGAGATCGCATCATGCTTGCGTGAGTGGCATTCAACCAAGCTACACGAGTTACTCCTCTCGCAGCAATACCAGGTTGTGGAAGAAATGTCGAACATTGTCCAGGAGCTTGATTATGCGCGACGGCAGCTCCTATACAACGTACTAACATCAGGGGAGAAGGAGGCGCTGAGACAAGAGGTTGTTTGGAAGCTTGTGCGAGGCAACAAGCTACTTGGTGGGGAGGTCATTGTACGAGACCCTGAACAGAGAGGTCGCCTGTTGACAGGTGACGATTCCGCCGTACAGTTGGCAAAGCTTCAGTCAGAAATGAGCATGCTCGAGAGCAGCCCCATCCCTGTGTCGGACACCGCAGCCCTTCATCATTTACTGGTGGAAGTCAATGCTGTATCAGGAAATGCCCCGGGACCAGTAGTTCTGGCTATTAACTTGTGCGCCATATCGGAGACCGGGTCTCTGAAACCACTGTCCGAGACGTATATTCTGGACATTCCGTCCCCAGAACAATTCGCCAGCTCGGGCCAGAGCAACAAGCTAAAGACCTTGTTCACTGAATTGGCCGCTACCGATATTGGCGATGGATCAACAAGCGGACCCAAGCTATATCTTGTCGTGAGCGTCCGGGCGCCCGAGGTTGCTTCTACAACGATCATTCCAGCTCAAGCTGCACCTGCTGCCTCCCGCGAAGGAATAACCTCGCCAAAGCCTCCTACGGCCAGCAACTCTGTCAAGGGGCCCGGTTTGAAACCCCGCCGCAGCATTATGTGGTCTTCCAAACGTGGTGTTCAAAGCTCAGACCAACCCAAAGAGAGCGCCAAACCTCCAGAGTCCTCGGGGAGTGCGGCGAGCAACAAGGGAGTAGCCATCCAGTCGCCGAAGGAGTCTACACAACTTCGTACCATAGGCGTTGGTCTGCTGGAAGTCTCCCAGATCCTCCGTCAGGATAAAGACACTGAGCAGATTATCAACATTTGGTCCTCTTCTGAGCACAACGAAGATGGGGAAGGGTATACGGACGGATTTGATGCGCTAATACGTGCATTACTACCCAGTCCAACGGGGAAGTATGTAAGGTCCCCTCGGGCAGCTCGTGTTCATCTCCACCTTTTCCCTTACGTCGATTGCGATGCCGATGCATTGGTTCGGAAGAACCCAACTATGTTGCATGATATCGTGCAAACGAGGCGTATGGGCTTTTCGCAAGCTCCATCCAAGCCGAGATCTGATATCTATGTGACTGTGTCCCAAGCCACCTTTCCTCCCGAGGCTCTTCTCTCGCATCCTCATTCTGGCCAGATTCCCATGCCTTCAAACACTGGGCTTCGCAACCTGCAGCTAACCCTTGAGGTGCGCACTGCATCGGGGGCACGAGTTGATAAATGCGTTTTCCCGGCCTCGTCCAACATAACCCCAAATACCGCATGGAGAACGACTATTACTGAAAGAGGCAAGTCTTGGAATCAAACCATTCGCCTCAACATCCCCGCAGATCAAATCCCAGGGTCCCATGTTATCATGAGCATTGCGGATGCTCCGGAGTTCCCATTTGCGCTGGCTTGGATGCCCCTATGGGATAATCAGGCTTTCATACGTGACGGGCCGCATTCCTTATTGTTGCACGCATATGACAAACATACATCCAGCGTTGAGAACGGCAAAGGTGCTTACCTATCGCTTCCTTGGAGCTCCCTTGGCAAGAATGAGTCTGCGAAGGATGAGGCGATCACAGGGCCCCTGGCTACCCTGCACATTGAAACCCATTTGTGCAGCACCGAATACTCACAAGATCAAGTGATTCTGAGCCTGCTTAACTGGAAAGAGCGGTCCGTGGATGAGATTCTTGATACCTTGAAGAGAGTTCGATTTGTGCCGGAAATGGAGATCGTCAAGCAATTGAGCAGTGTCTTTGACGCACTGTTCTCAATCCTCGTGGAGAACGCCGGAAACGAAGAATATGAAGACCTTATCTTTAATAATCTTGTCACGGTTCTTGGGATTGTTCATGATCGACGGTTCAACCTTGGCCCCTTAGTCGATCACTATACAGAGAACCAGTTCAACTTCCCCTTCGCAACGCCATGTCTTGTCCGAAGCTACCTTCGTCTCTTGCAAGCGAGCTCCGATCTACAATATCACCGCAACCTTCGCGCAACCTTCAAGGTTGGCCGGCATGTGCTGAAGTTCATCATCAACGCCCGCCAGCAGCAAAAGCTAAAGGAAGAGGGAATTGGCGTCACTCGCGTTCAGTCAACATTCAGCCGAGATGTACACACAATTTTCAAGTTACTAGAGGCGCTAATGAAGAATCCTTCGCCTGCGATGGTGGGTAGCAAAACTCTTGTTGTCCAGCACTTTCACGCCTGGCTCCCAGAGCTGTCAGGAGTCCTCAGCCGAGATGAAGTGATTATGATTGCTCTCAGTTTTATGGACTCTTGCGCCGACGTCAAAGGAATGTTGGTCCTGTACAAATTAGTTTTGATTCAGCATTATACTCGGCTGGAGATTTTTAGCTCCGGGTCGGAGAGAAAGAGTCTCGCCTCCAGCTGTCTCGGCTGGTTGGATCCTTACTGGGGAGCTACTGGTGCGGTTTCTGATCAATACCGTGACCAGGTACGTCTGGTTTGCGCAATTGTGGCAGAACTGTTGTCGCAGCCAGATCCGCAACTCTACGCCTTCATGCCGAAGATCATCTCGTCTTATTACTCTATCATTCCTGATGGAGTCGATGATACCGAGTACTTGTCCCTTCTTTTCAGCAAATCATTCCCGTTCCAGCTCAAAGCTTCGAAGACTAGCCAAAGATTTGATGAGGTCCTTGTGGAATTGTCGGCTATCATGGCGGCCACTGCGTCAATACCGAACCCCAAGAGGCTGCGATTGAAGGGCCTAGAGCTCACCAATTTCCTTTCTCAAGCATTCGAAGTTCATACTTCAATCTTGAACTGCGAGGCGTATCCCGAAAGCTGGTTCAGTATCCACGTCTATAACCACCGGGCGACATTGAAGAGTCTTGAGAACCTCGCATCACTAATGATTGATAAGTTGCTTCCCGCTCCAGATGACGCGGAGACGTTTGACACGAGAGTGTGGGAGACTTTTTTTATGACGTTACTCAAGGTTGTCTCCAGCGATGCTCTTGCCTTGGAGACTGTCCCTGAGCAAAAGCGGCGTACTATCTGGAAGATCGCTGGCGATGTTCGAGAACAAGGTGCGGAGCTGTTGCACTCTACATGGGAAGCTATAGGCTGGGAAACGGCTGAGGAGGAGAGAGAACGTTACGGGCTGAAAACACTTGGCGGCTACCAGGTGCAGTATGTGCCTGGTCTCGTGGCCCCTATCATTGAGCTTTGCCTCAGTGTCCACGAGGGCCTGCGCCATGTCGCCGTTGATATTTTGCGCACCATGATAATCAGCGAGTGGGATCTAAATCGCGATCTATCCATCATCGAGACTGAGATAATCTCCAGTTTGGATAATCTTTTCAAGACAAAGAACATGAGTGAGGGAGTCATCCAGAAACTATTCATTGGCGAGCTGCTTGATCGCTTTGAGGGCTGCGAGGCTTTTGATGAAGAACTCGCGATAGCGGTCAAGGCTCTCATAGCGACCGTGGATGAGCTTTTGGATCTGTTTGTCGCGTCCCAAGGCGGTACAATGGCCGAGAGTTTGCATGTTCTTCGACTGATGGAGTACATGAAGGATATGGGCCGAGAGGATATCTTCATCCGCTATGTCCATGAACTCGCTCAAAGTCAGGCTTCAGCAGGCAACTTCACTGAGGCCGGCCTTGCACTCCAATTCCATGCGGACCTGTATGACTGGGATCCTAAGCGGTCCGTCCCCGAACTCACGAACCCTGCCTTCCCGGAGCAGACACCGTTTGAAAGGAAAGAATCCTTGTATTTTACGATCATTCAGTACTTCGAGGACGCTCAGGCTTGGACTCATGCGCTGGCTTGCTATAAGGAGCTTGCGTTGCATTACGAGGACACTGTCATGGATTTTGCTAAGCTCTCGCGAGCTCAGAGCTCCATGGCCAAAATCCACGAGTCCATTGCAAAGGAAGACAAGCAGTTCCCCCGCTACTTCCGAGTCTTGTACAAGGGTCTCGGTTTCCCTCCAACCCTACGTGATAAGGCATACATTGTCGAATGCGCCCCGACGGAACGTATGGCTACGCTTGTCGATCGTATGCAAAAGGAGCATCCTGCCGCCCAGGTTATGTCGTCCGGTGAAGTCAATGACTATGAAGGCCAATRCCTGTACATCAGCCCGGTTAGCGTGCACCGGGATATGGACCACCCTGTCTACCAACGCTCGAAGATTCCTCCATCCGTTCGCGATCATCTCTTGATTTCAGAGCCTACGAGGTTCAGTTCCACGCTGAGAAGACATATTCGTGATGCGGATGTTGAAGAGCAATGGGTAGAGAAGGTCATCTACACAACCTCTGAACCATTCCCGAATATCCTCCGCAGAAGCGAGGTAATTAGCACTGAAGAAGTCGCGTTGACTCCTTTGCAAACAGCTCTAGAACGAACCTGGCGCAAGACACAGGAGTTGTATCTGCTCTACAGGCGCGCAGCGTCCGGTGAAGATATGGGTCTAATGAACTTGACCGTGGCTATAGAGCAATTACTGGAAACCAATTCTACTCCCGCCAGCTGTGTTGTTCACTACCGTCAATTCCTGACCGATGAACCTGAGGATGAAGACGAGGAAGGGGACGCAATCACGCCGAAACCGATCGATCCATTAAAAAACGCCCTCGCTGTGGCTCTTATTGACCATGCTTTGGCGATCAAGCACGCTCTGGCACTGTACTCGCGTCCGGCGCATCAAGCCACCCAAGCTGAATTGACACGGCGTTTCGAAGAAGCTTTTGCACCCGAACTTTCTTCTCTTCGCCCCACTGAGACCACCGTGCCTTCACTGTTGCATCAAAGCCAGTCTCCTATCTCATCAGAAAGCCGTCGGGTGACTGCGCTGCCACGGTCTATTAGCCCGGAGCAGGAGTTGATTCGCAGTTCACGCAAGAATAGCCAGGCTCATCATCGTCAAGGTTCACGGAAACAGTCTGTCAGCCATCGAATCAGTATTATGAACCCGTTCAAACGCTCTAACCATGGAACAAGCAATTCAGTCGCCACTATACAGGGACAGCCTAACGGCACCAAGCCTAATGGCCCTGTACCTGGCTCGTCCGGAAAGGAAGAACCTGACCTTGATGACGCTGCTACCGTTCACAGTCGAACAACTAATCAGTCGCGGGACACGAATCAGAAACGACGGAGCTTCTTTGGGGAGGTCCTGCAAAAGCACACATCCTCATTATCAATAAGCACCAGCGTTAATGGAGACGACGCCAACAAGCTGCAAAAACGGCAACGATCCAAAAGTGCCTCAAGGAGCGTCGCCGACAAGTCCACAGATAATGTCAGCCGCAACGCATCTCGACACAATGTTGCGGCAGATCCTTCAACACCATCAGTCACCAGTCCTGTTTCAGTCACCAGTAAGGGAGGCTGGTCAACCATACCCTCCGTCGTTGAGCATCCGCGACCTGTGACCCGAAGCAGTATTAATTCCGTCCGAAGCCCTGGCGCCCAAACTACCAGTTCATCGAACACTGGTGGTGTGCGAGACTCCGTCATGAGACGCTTCAGTCTGCTCAAAGGAGTCGGACGAAAATCCAGCCGCCTTGATTTCAGGAACGAGCAAACAGTTCACGAAGAGTGATCTTTATCTACATCATTTGTAATGTCTGGACATTATCCTTTCTTTCTTTCTTTCTTTCTTTCTTTCTTTTCCCTTCCCGGCATCATTTGGTCACGTTTGCATAAGCCTTTAATTGGTTTTGTTTTTTGAGCTTTGGAATTCAACTATCCACGCTCGCCTTTTCCCCTCCTTCACTTTTTTTTCCTTATCATTATACCTGACTTTACTGGATTTTATACTCTACCTTGGATATGAACCCACGTGGCGGCGATATCACATCTACGAAACTCTGATACCTCTTTCTCATATCTCTTTTTTGAAACTCCCTACGGAGGGACCTTGATACCTGTATATCTTTCTTGATCGTGTTTCTTTTGTGATTTGGGCTTGTACGATATCCTTATCGAGCTTCTCCCTGTAGTATTTGGCAACCTGGACTTGGTGTGGACTTTCTCTGCTCAAAAGTGCGTCCGTCAAGAAATATATACTTGTCACAACAGTGTAAATTTTCAGAATAGAAGACAACCAATGGATTACTGCCATACTGGTCCATAATATTACCAGAAATGAACGTCTTTGATCTGGATATATATATATCCACAGCCAGATTACGATATTTCCTACAAATATTGTACAATCACTAATCACACCCTTCTATCCATCAACTTCCAAGTCCAGATCCATCACCCAAGGCGCATTAAGCCCCTTATACTCCACCGTGACAACACTCGCATTTACAAAAACCGTCTCCTCTCTGAGCCGCAACGGCCTCTTAGAGCCGGAGGTGAGATCGACATACGCGCCTCGTTCCTCCATTACATCCTCCCTGTCCCAGGGTATCTCTTCTATCTGTTTGATCCCAGGCATTGAGCCACCGCCAACATGGTTTTCTGGAGATGGATCTGAGTCTGACGCCTCCCACTCCACCCGCCGCGCCCCATACCCCTCATGGATATGCCCAAAGACATGCAGCGCCGGCTTGGCCCTCCTCACAGCACGATAGAGGTGCTCGCACCCAACGCTTTCACCACTCCCTACAACCTGGTCCAGGATCCCCTTTGGCGGTCCATGCGTTAAAACGATGTCAATACCTGGGTAGTCCGGGATCGGCGTCTTGCTAGCAGCAGAAGGGTTATATCGGTCTTCGGTCCGCGGGTACGCAAACGCCCAAGCGCAGAACTCGGGACTGTAGGGACTCGCATAGACAGTGAACTTCGCACCTGTGGAGGGGACCGTAAATGTGCGGACTTCCTCTTCCATGTACCGGATTCCGCAGGAGACGGCGTCGGAGTTCGTGTAGAGGGCTTTTATGGCTGATGGGGCCTCGAGCTTGCCGCTGCCTTCGTCATTGTCTGGTGCACCGGTAGGGCTTGTTGGCAGCGCAGCTAAATGGTCTCGCCCCTTGCTATCTCTATACCTGTGCCTCAACCACCCAACGCGGTTATAGTACTCTTCGTCGAGCGTGATATCGTGGTTCCCTGCGATGACGATCTTGAGTTCGGCTGGGTGTGATTTCAGGAGATCGAGCATGGCCTTGTGTTCGGAGGCCAGTCCGACTTTTGTCAGGTCGCCGGCGTGTAGGAGGATTTGCGCATCGGGGAGGGGGTGTCGGTATGGACTTGATGGGAAGCCTGATGCGGAGTGTGCGGGGGAGGGGAGGACGGTGTGGGTGTCGGAGAGAAGGAGGAGGCGGGTTTTTGTTGTGCTGGGCATTTCGACTGTTTTTGAGGCTTCGCAGAAGGAAAGTGTGTTGTTCTAGTCGGTGGAGAGATATGGGCTGGATGGGAGGGAAGTTGGGGTGCGGTGCGGGGAGGATATCTCGGTGGGCTACAGAGTATTGAGTAATGAATCGGAGCAGCGGCGCAAGATCAAAAGAGTAGTTGTCTACAGAGTACAGAGGAAGATAAGGAAAATCAAAGTGCCCGTAAATCATTCATTATCGCTGTCTACTATGTAGCCCCCTAAGCCAATGCCATGGTAAGGTCAGGAAATTCTGAAATTGGAAGTTGCTAACTCCGATACCACACCCTTTTACATGACAATCAAGGCTTCACAAAAATAAGAGGGAAAAAGTTTAATTTTTTGCGATATCTCTTCTCATTTACTCGCGTTTACTTGCGGATAGCACGCTGGTAGAACGCAAGCTCATCACCCTCCAGGATGTAGCCGTCGACACGGCCGCTCTGGCCGGGACGAGAAGCAATGACGGCGTACAGACGACCGGACTCGAACTGTCTCTCGATGGCGGACTCGACCTTGCCGGACTCGGCGAAGCGAGCAGCCTGCTTCTTCACGACGCTGTTGCTCTTCTTCTCCTCGGTGGCCTCAGCGGTCTTCTGCTGGCGGCGGCGACCGATGGGCTGGCCGTAGTGGGCCTCGTACCATTGCCTGAAGGGAGCGGCATCGATCTGGACGACGGCGGACTTGGTCAGGGTGTTGGTGCGGACGAGTTCGTTGTTCGAGGGGTGGTAGGCGACAACGATGACACGGGTCTTGCGGGAAACACCCTCAGAACCCCACGAGAAGTTACCGGACTCGAGACGGAGAGCACGGAACTTCTGGTTGCCACCACGGGTGCGGACAAGGTGGATGCGCTTGGTGCCAATACGGGTGTTGGCAGGCTGGCGACCCTTCTCGAAAGCCCTGTTGTTGCGCGTCAATCCTGCCCAAGATACTGATACCGAGTCCGTCCTCAATCATACCTCTTCTTGCGGTAGTAGGCGCGCTTAGCACCGGTGGCCGAGCGCTTGTGGCGCGAGTCGCGAGAGATACCCATGTTTGCTGTGTGTGTGGGGGACTGTCCAGGCACAATTGATTAGCACGAGTCGAGAGCAAGCGAAGCTGTGTTCCAATGTCCAGTTGCCTCCAATTCTATCCCGTCGAGTGATATCGATGATCGTGGGCGCTGTCAGGGTGTTTTTGTTGAGAAATCAGGCTCGCAAGTTCCCCAATCGAGTTCGAAAAAAATTCTTTTATCCAATCGCTCCGCCCAAGCGCAGACAGCGGCTGCACCGACAGTTTCTCCCTTTGCTTCCCAGTCGTAACGCTCCCTTTCTCTTGTATCGATACCGGATAGACGAGTTGACGGATGGAATATTGACAGACCGATCGAAGGCGCACCGACTTGCTCGACGAGATAGAACCAACGGAAACCGAAAAAAGAGAATCACAGTAGCCAGGAAATAGGATACTCACCTCTAATCCTGCAGCCCTTCACCAGGAACGCAGCGGCAAGGGTTGTCGTGGGTTGTCGGGGAGTTGAGTGCTTGTCGTCGGCGATCGTGGAATCCGTGTGTGTCTTCGCTTGTCGAAGTTGCCCTATTTTCGTGGGCGCTAACCGAAGTCGGCAAAGCGGGTACCCCGTGACCTCGTCTACGCTTGGCTCGTTCTGGCTAGCGCGAAGCCTGACCAAGAGGCTGACATTAATTGTTCTTCCGCTCCGGACCCATCGCTCACCACCCACTCCAAGTCTCGACCACCTCGTGTAAACAACACTGCTCTATACTGTTATGAATCTCGCCATTTTTTCTGGACCATCTACACTTCTATATTTGCTCATCCATAACGCAAGTCTGACACTCAACTTGAAATCTACTAACGAACAGGTAACTCCATGTTTCGCTGCGTGGCTCGGTCTTTGCGCTTCAAGCACAGCTACAGCTCCAGAACCAACGCTCGATCTTTCTATTAAGTCACCACGGATTTTTCCAGCCATGACGCCCAAGGAAAAGTGATCACCAACTCGATAAGGTGTATATTAACATTGGCGATCCAGGAGAAGCTTACGTTCAGGTTCTCCCAAAAGTTGGTCGCGCTTTATGCGCCGCAAGCAAACTCAATTACGGCCCACCGTCCGCTAAGAGCGCCTACGATGTCTGCAAACCCACGTTATTCTATGACACTCAATACTTCGGGGCTGGTATATAGGGCGCATTGATTTTAACGCTGAACCGTCTCGATGCCTTCATTAGATTCATCCAGTTACCCGCGTCTCTATTTACCGAGGAACTTGCCGCGCCAAACAGAGTCGAATACAAGTCCAGCTACCTTTTATATGAATAGGGCGATGCATGAAATTGCTCTGGATGGGTCGCCTGATGGTATACCGCTTATGGATGGCCGTTCTGATCTTCGTCAGCTGGGTTCGCTGCTCTATCTCACGCATCCGGACGGGATCTGGCGCCTGTACTCAATCTACTCAAGAATATGTAATCAATTATTTGGACCTTGGTCGGTAGGATCTCGACAGCACAGACTGGCATACTTATATCGTTCCAAGTATAAGTACCGAGGCTTGTCGCTTACAGTCAGCGTAGTAGACCTCGAACGGTAATGAAATGATTAATTAGCGATTCGACACCGAGTGCTACGGATCGGAATACCACACATTTTAAGGGTGTACAGTAGGGCCATACAACTTCTAAAGTATTATGTAGTAGTCACACCACATGAAAAGCAATTAACCACTCTTCGCTTTCGTTTCCTCTTCAGCCTTCCGAACCATACCATCAACTCTCTTCCAAGCCGGAAACCCCTCCACAAACCCAAGAACCATCCACGTCCACCAAAGGCCCGAGAAAGCCTTAACTCCATACTTCCGCAGCCTCATATACCCCAACAAAACCACCGCCTCAAAGCCATGCGCCGCAGCCAAAACCCCCCAAAGCCACGGCTGCCACTTGCAACTCCACGAAACAAAGCCGGGGTACTTGTCCAGCCCAAGAGTGTCGTATACTAACGAGCCGGGCTCGAAATTCCCCCGCCGAGCATACCCTACTAGAACAACAAGGCACAGCGTGAAGCCTATCCACTCCCCACCCTTCGGCGGGGAGTACTTTGTGAGCTTGAAATCGGAGAGATCAAGTTTCTCCAGGGCGTCCTTGTGCATTGCGACGACGCGCGCGCGGGTCTCGGCGTAGGACTGCAGAGGCGGGTCGAAGGGGATTGTGTAGCGGGATCCTTGCGCGGAGATCACCAAGTCCGTGAGCCGGAGGTCTTCGAGCTTGGGCGATTGGGAGGCTCGTTCTGAGAGGCCGCAGAAGGCGCGCAGATAGAGGGATAGAGAGCGCGCGTGGTCATTGTTCATGTGTGTGATTATGAAGGCTTTGCGGGAGGCGTCGGTGTCGGCGGAGGCCATGTTTTGGTCGTACCCCTGAGGATTTCTCGGATGCCAGACTGGGAGTGAGATGATTGGAAGGGATGGCGATGTGTGGTAAGTAGATATAGATGCTCGGACGAAGTAGCTGAAGTCGGATGAAGCTTGGAGGGGGTATGGAGAGAGATGAAGTCGTGGTGGTGGTTGCACAGAAATTCTCCGGAGTCCCGAGGTCGGCTGCAACGGCCTCGGTCCATAGAAGCCATGTGGTGCTCCGTGCTCCACAGCTTATCCCCCGGTTCGGTTTAACCGACAACTGTCTGTCTTCCTGCCAAGTTTCGTCTACGCTCGAACCAAGATTACCATGAAGCAGAGATATAATTCGATTGACGCTTCTAGAACGCATTACAAATGAACCAAAACCATGATGCCAGGCCCAAACGAAGAACCCCAACAGCATTCAACCAGCAATAACTGTCTTCAGCGAAAACAAAACGTCTCCCTTTCCAACTCGATCGCAGCGCGGATTCTCATAACTCGTTAGGTAGGATGGACAGGAACGGCGGGAAGACCAGGGATGGCACGATAGCGATATATCGAGTCTCCGAATCCTCAAGCACTGTTCAAATAGTCGTCGTCGTTAACTCCTATTCACGATTGGCAGGTGATTCAAACGGCGTCCAATTTCCACGAGTCCCGTCATGACCATGAGAGAAGGAAATGGAATGAGAATTAAGTACTGTCCCAGACCTGCTTAAGTCCACAGGTCCAAGACACCGCAACCAAAGAAAGACATAGGGGTAAAGGGAAGGGGGACAAGTAGGGGGTGTCGACTTACAGTAACGCCAACGTCAGGTCACCATGGATCCTCGCCTTCAGCTCAACCTCAATATCCAAGTTCACGTCGACCTTCAGCTTCAGCCCGTCCTGGTCGTCAATCGTCTTCTTGTTATCTGGGGCCCGCGATATATTGCCGTTGTTGATCTTTTGGCTCATGTTTTGGTTGCCTCCGTCTCGGCTGCTTATTGACTGGGCGTTGGGCTTGTAGGCCTGCATTGCTTTGGCCTGATCCTGCTCCTCTTCGTCGGAGTAGTAGTCATCGTCGTCGTACTCATCCGAGTAGTCGTCATCGTCATCATATTCGTCGGAATAGTCGTCCGAGTAATCGTCTTCTTCTTGGGGAGGGCCTTTGGCGGAAGGCTTCTGCTCGAAGTCGGAGTCTTGCGGCTCGTCCTTGATGGGGTTGCTTTTTTGTTGTTTCTCTGCGGTCGCCATTATGGTACGATCGGTGCGTATGTGTGGTTAGGTGGGGAGAGAGAGGAAGAGGATTGACGGGCGACCGGTATAGATGTATAGAGGTGAAGGTAGGGCAACGATAAGGTAGGTGGTAGAACCTAGGAGTTGCAGATGAAGAACAACTTCAAGAAAAGGGACCAAAAGAAAATGACATAAAAAGCAAGACTACCGTATATTAACGTTAACAAAAATAGAAAGGCCGTATGGGCTGCGATGTCAGTGGTGTTCAGTTCACATACGTCACTGGCTCAACATCACTGGTATCAGAAGCTTAGAGACGCCGGCTACATCATCAATCATCAGACATGCATAAATCAGCCAGCATATAATAGCAGGCGTTCATTAACGGTCGACATTTAAACTAGTGCGCCCATGACACAATCCCGCATATTAAACCATATCGTCATACCTTTACGAAATACTCTGGGCATCAATTCCCATCCCGTCAACCAAGCTGGGGGCATCCCATCCACGCTCTGGAATCGGCACCTCTGAGACAGTGCACACGTGTACTCGCACTTCAGTATCAACGTACCAAGGACCGCACGCCGTCAGATCTCAGGGCGGACAATAATGCGATTCAACCAGCCATCCAGTGCCGACGGTACGGCCGAAGTGTAGAATGGCGGGCCATCGTGATTGGCCCGCCCTTAGCGAGATCCAGCCGTTTCGCAACGGCGTTACGGAGTACGGAGTAGTCTTCCAAGCAGGCTGAAGTCATCTCCGATCTGGGGCTAGGAGGCCCAGCAAGCTCCAGAATGCTCCATGGTAACTGGCTAGGAACAGTCGAAGACACGATGCGGTCCCACCGTCCGCTGACAATCCCTGCTGGGGCAGACGTCATGTCTAGGACGGACCACGACCTCCAGCCTCTAGATTGCCGGCGTCTGGGGGCCTCTTTCATCATACCCCCGGGGCCTCCTGTCTCGAGCACTCGAGCGCGCCTGGCTATTCATGGAAACGATGACGCTGCTGGGTGACTCCTGTGAAGTAATTTCGAATAATACCAGGCAGACACTGCATGCAGGTAAGGGTTATAAATAATTATACCGAGCAGGTATTGGACCAAAGAAGCAGACCTTCGTCACTTGATACCATACCACGCGAAACCAAACCACCTACGTATACACCACCCGTCCTCCCAAAAAGCCAACTTTTATACAATACCCTCCCACCCACACTTGACTTAAATTTCCTCCTCCTTCCTCCTTCAACATGGCCGACTCGAACCCCCAATCCCCCAACCCCAAAGAAGAGTCCTCCGACAACGAGTCCCCCAACAACCAACAACAACAACAGCCCGCCCCCGAACAGGACGCCACCCCAGACAACAACAACAACAACCGCCAGCGCGAACAAGAGCCCAACGACTCCGACACAGAAGACATCCAACGTCCCGAAATGGAGCCCGAGCAGCAGAAGCCCCAGCGCCGCCGCCGCGGCCAGCCCCGTACGCAGCGCCGTCCCCGACGAGACCAAGGACAGGAGGGAGGCCCACTAGGCGGCCTCGGCGGCGTCGACCAAGCCGGCGACCTGGTCCAGAACACAGCGGGGAATGCAGTGAACGGGGTTACAGGGAGCGCGGGCAAGGCTGTTGGCGGGTTACTGGGCGGTAATAAGGGCGAGGAAGAAGAGAGCGGCGGTGGCGGCAAGGGCAGCGACGAGCAGCTGCGACTACGGCTCGATCTGAATCTGGACATTGAGGTCCAGCTCAAGGCCAAGATCCACGGTGATTTGACGCTCGGATTATTGTGAGTTGACCCCTTGCTTTCTTAGGCTTTTTTCTCGGGTTCGCGTTGGGTAGATATGCTGACTGACTGATCAGGAATTAGTGCATGATTCGTGTTGATCGATCTGATCTTCCTTGGCCTTGTTGTCTTCATGATTTGATTCACTGATAGCAACGCCGACTTGATGATGACTGCTGGTGCTTGGTCGCCGGTTTGATATGTGATGTCCACGAATTTGATGTACTTTGGCTTGATTTGGTCTTCGATGCTTTTTGCGGCGGATTGCTCTAGATCCATTGCGAATTTCCTTTACTTTTCTTCCGTTCGGATTTCTGTTACCGTTTAATCAGGCGTGCCATTTCTATCTTGATGGTTGCATTTCTTGTACTCTATGAGAGGGATTAATGATGCGACGCAACTCAATACATCCATATTCCAACACACCTCATATCTAGTAGCATGCCTCATCTCTATAGTAGCGAGATATCTATAATCCAGCGACACGCATCAGTCCGTATCCGAGCGTGACGATCACCGCAAATGACATCAGACTGGCGGGGATGCCCCGCGTGAAAAAGTGCCGCACTTGCAGGTATCGCTGGCCCGTCTGCGGCACTTCCGTCATAATGGCGGCTAGAACCATTGTTAGTTACACAGCACTAAGCCAGTCAAGGAATACATACTCATATTGGGGAAGCCACTCGTAGGCAGAGCCATGGCCACCGAGCACATTAGTGCGCTGGCCATCACCAGCAGATTGGGGTGTGGGTCGTCCATGCTAAGGCCGATTTGTCGAACGAGAGGGAGGATGATCAAGGCTGCGACAGTATGGGAGATGAACGTGGCAATGACCAGGATCAACGCCGAAAACACGATCAGCACTCCATATAGACTGAAGTGCTCGACCCGCGACCGAATGTCTTCTGCGAGGGTATGCAGCAGCCCAGAAGAAGTCACAGCCTTTCCAAGGCACAGTCCACCCGCAGCGAGAATGATGATGGTCCAGAGGAAATTGTTAAAATCTTCCTTGTTCAGAATTCCGGTTCCAAAAAACAGAACAATGGGAATGATGGCAATCACACCCATGTCTCCGAAAATATGCTCCAGCTGATGACTACCACACCACAAACTAATAGTGGTCAAAGTGACGATAGTAATGAAGTACTGGATACCGGAGAATTTATCCTTCAATGGCCGGATGGGTACAATGGTGGTATCTCGGCCGGGACGGAACGTAACCAAAAGTAGCACCCAGATCAACAAAATCGAGATGATGCAGACTGGGAGTGAGATGAAGAACCAAGTACCCCAACTGATACTGGGATACATGTTCTGGAGAGCAATGATGTTCTGCGGAGAAGCAATTGGCGACGCCGCGCCGCCGACGTTTGCAGCAAGAGCAATTCCAAGAACCAATGCTTTGGCAAAGCTGGAATCAGGAGAAAGGTTACGCAACAGAGGCTGCATATGTTAGTTGAGACCACTAATAGGCCGAAACCAAGGGTAGAGTCACAGACCTGGATAATCGAGTAGCAGAGAACTGGGGATGCTACATTACTAATCCACATGCTGAGAAACATGCTCACGAACATATTGGTAAGTAGTACAGCACGATGATTAGTACCGGCTTTGCTCAGTACAAACAATGCCATTCGCCGAGCAATGTCGTACTTGGAGAGCGCTGCCGCTATAGTAAACCCGCCTAGAAGCAGCATAATCACAGGGGTCCACATGGCGCTAAACACAACACCTGTGGCCTCTTTAGGCCCCAGGCGGTTGTACGGTTTCTGGTCCGACTTCATTATACCGAGCAATACGACGAGGAACGGAATAAGCAGCGATGTCACGAAAAGTGGGATCACTTCGGTGGCCCACAACAAGCTCACGAAAACGAGCATCGCCAGGCAGTTCTGCTGCTCTGGCTTCTCCATGATCGGGACCGAGAGCAGCACCACAAAGACAGCTAGTACAACGACAAGGGTCGCAAAGTTTGCACTCCAGAGCCATGTTGGAGCACTGATGACCCCGAAAGGTGTCCGGAGCCGCTTGCTCTGGGCTGCCTGCTCATCGCCCTGTCGACGCGCCGATGCAGGGTCCGCATCCCCCCCAAGAAGTGTCTGACGAAGACCAACATTGGCAGCTTGAGCTTTCCTTTCAATGCCAATCATCTCCCTCCACACGGTATTCCGCTCCCATACGACATGCTCTCTTAAATGCAAACGGAGCTCACGCCTAGCCAGAGTCAGATCGCCGGTTGTTATCAACTCGGCATACAAAGTCTCGATCTGATGAATATAACCCTCGACTTTCTCCATGGTCTGCGGTACGAAAGGATATGCGGGGGACACTTTGGAGTTCATGTAGTCTCGCCGGAGATTGCGGTATATGATCTTGTCGTACTTCTTCAAAGCCTTGGAGAACCCAGTCTTGTTCAGCTGGATATATGACTTGAGTCCGCAAAGAGTGACATAGACCGCAACGATCCGTTTCTTGAGGGAAGCTGCGGCGTTGTACAGATCCAGGAGCTTGGGATCGGTGAGTTGCTCGTTCTGGCTGCCGCGCCGAACGAACGGACCATACCTGGATTCTGCCCAGATTGAACTCCTCATATCTTCAGTACGGTCGTCATCAGAGGGACCAAAGTGGAAGGTGTGTGACTGGCCTAGCATGGGGCGTGTGGTAGGTCGCTCGTCATCGCTATCCTCGTCATCATCGGCAGCTGGTTCGCTTCCCATACTCTGGCGTCTACCTGGACCAAACTCGGCAGATTGGCCTTGGATAGAACCCGTGCTCACTCTCCGCCCCTTGTGCATGCTCTCGTGCATCGGGTTCATGTCGGCCCCGTCGGCCTTGGCTGTGTAATCTTCCGCATCTCTCATAACATCATCGACCTCTTCAAGAATTTCCGCTTCCTTATTCCGGTAGAAAGAACATATCTTGTCCAATTCCGCGTCGAGAGCCTGCTGAAATACCTTGTCGGGGTTCTGCGTGTCGTTAAGCAGAGGAGCGGACTCCGTGTCGGTGGCTTGCTCATTAGTTCGATGGGTTTGTTGTTCCAAAGTATATATCCTATTTAGAAAAGGCGCCAAATTAGCTGCCGCGGAGAGAACATCACACAAGCACGGTCCGAAACTTAACACAGAAAACGCGGGGAACGGGTGACAATGCGAGTAGCCGCTCCAAAGTTACAACGTACAGTTTTTTGAGATTGCTGTAGGCGATGTAATACGCGCTCCAGTCCGGAACCGCGTTGAATTGAATGCTGTGAGAGAACTTCATCTTGGAGGTTGACTCGCGGTCCTTGGCGTTTGCTGAACGGCGACGAAGAGCCTCTACCCAGTAACGGAGTTTGACTGGTTTGAGCCTGCGAAGAAGTCCTGTTCCCGGGTGTTGTTGTGAATGACCGGACGGATCGCGGTTGGTCTGAGGAGGGGTTTTATGGCCTCGTAGGCTGTGCTCTTGGGGTAGACTGCGTGGGGGCCTTGTGGTACGTGAGACGGGATACTCGACGAGTTCGATGTCTTGCGGAATTAGCGAAATCACGCCGTCGTGGTTAGCTGAGGCACTCGTCGCAGACGCGAAGGGTGCCACACCTCGTCTAGCTGCATTCGACGACACGGTGTGCTGTGGTACTGGTCGGTTGTCGGTTTCAATCGCTGGTCGGACGTGCGGCTCGATTGTGGAGTTCGGTCAGCAGGACAGGAGGTCAGCAGCCGGAACTCGAGTCAACGAGCATAGATATCGTCGAGAAAAGACCAGTATACTTCGGATACCTATAGAGACGGCGTAAACAGCATAGCTGAGGCTGGAGAGGTTGTCATTGAGTATTGAGTTCTGCCGCCTCTGATAGACCGCAACTAGGGTTGTACAATTTACCGTAAAGAATAATTCCTTACCCAAAATTGCTGACMGAGGTTMATTCATTACTGACGAAGTAATGAATCACGTGACATAAAAGTGGGTCTAAATTGACCAATAAGAGTGTAGCTTGGCGCTTAGCTTTTCTGCCAGCCAATTAGATGCGGGGATTCTTGGCTTTGCTGGCAGTCCTCTGCTCGATGATTCTGCCGCGGCGCTAACCCGATTAGGAGGCGGCAAGCCACGTGATTTTATTCTTTCGTCAGGAATCATTCCTTACCGAAAAAATCCTTAAATTTCGACTTTCCGTAATTACCGTCAACTATTTTGTCCATCCCTAACCGCAACTCTACCTAGTAGCCCACGGGGTCACCAAATCGGGCTTAGGCGTGTTCTTAGCCTCGGGCGCTTCTCTGCCTTGGCGAGCCCAGCGTACTTACATTTACTCCAACACTCCACATCCAAAGGCCTCACTCTTAACAATCAGTCCATAAAAGGAAGCGCGAAAAGTCTCGTCGTTTGGACCTGTCTCTCTTGTCTCTGACCAATGAAGGCATCTCTGAACTACCGTCCCATATCGCTCCCTGCTTTCACTCCTAACAAACGCTATACCCCGGGTGGCAGTTTTTAAAAGCGTCACAGCTTCTTCGGGATTCTCCTCTTCGGGCTTCTTGAGCGCAGAAATGGGACGGCATAACGATAGTTCTATCAACGCTAATGCTAAAGGAAAAAGTACTTGACTCATAATCGCTGATGATAGACTCGGCTCCGTCACTCTTCCCTGGGAGACATTCCATATCAAATACGGATGTTGAAAGGATTGGCTCTGATTGTTCGTGCCTCCAGGCTCCTTTGGGAATATGATATCCCGGGTTTTCCAGTGCTCGCGGAGCCAATTGCCATGAAATTGGAGCACTCTCCATGCCAGCCGTGTTGCGAGGCAGAGACGGCGCCGTTTCGTAATATAAAACCCTGGCACCCACGCGGCTACTGTCGACGACATAAGCAACTTTTCTAGTGATTGAGACTCGAGGTTCTTAATGTCGCTTCTTGTGATGAACACCATATGTTGTATTCAATTTGTATAGCTATGATGGCTATACAGATATATGGACATGTGTAAGTGCAGCTTCAACGCTCCTAGATATGGGTTACTGATCAGATATCAAGTGCCGATGTGATGATGGCCCGAAGTCGTACTGGCAGTCTATTTGTAAACAGTGCGGTCATGAGGCTTGCTTTGCATGTCCTGGTATGAACAAGTATTTATATCACGCACCTTTATACCAGGCTATTACTTTTGCCTGGCTATCCCACAGATTGGATAGTCAGCTGTCTCAAGCTTGCCCAAAGGCAGCCCCGTTCCAGCATCGAACTCCAGCTGAGCAGGAGACGGCAACTAGGGTATCTCCTAGTCCCGCGACAAGACCAGTGTCATAGTCAACTAGTGAACTTCAAGCAGATTCAAATTTTAACATGATATAGCAGACTATGAAAGCCGGCACTGGAGAGCCTACAATGCTGTCTACCACCGCTTTTTCTAGTACGAGATAAGGCAAAGCAAGGTCGTTATTAAGGCTATGGTCTCGTCCGACTCCCCGTCCGCATAACCTTTGAACCAAGCCTCTAGTGATATGAAGACTGGATCCTGTATCACAAGAAATAATCATCTGGAAAATAGACGCCAAAAATAACCGCTACTGAGTTCCACCAATGCTCGCCAAACTCTTCATCGTTATAGCCACTACCTACAAAAGCGGGTTATATACGCTATATAGCCATCGCAAAGATACTCCCGCATCCACCAAATTCCTTCCTGCCGTGTGCCAGCAACCGTGCCCAATACTCTCTCCCTACCCCCTCGGCTCCGTCTCCGAAGCGCCATCTCCCTGCTTCCAAATAACTGTCCCCTCATCCCCCTCAACCGTCGGATCAACCTGAATGATCTCCGTCACGTCCGCATTTCTCGTGAGCGCAGGATACTCCCACCCACCCCAAGCAAGGGTAGTCGGCATACTCGTCCCATCATTCTCCTGCTTCGTGAAGAAATACACCGTGCCCGATGATGCCGTCGCAAACGCCTGCGAGAGCCGCTTCTGGAACTGGTCCACCTTGGAATACGAGATCGGCGCCAACGCCGATGCCTGCGCTAGGTACCAGTCGTTGTCGACGATGTTGTCGAATGCCACGGCGCCGCGGCCGTCTGGCACATTCGAGCAGTACCATTGCTTAGCGAGGGGGATGGCGTTGCCGCCGTCTAGCCCGCTGTAGAAGAGGGAGTCGAGCGAGCCTACGGTGCCGTAGGACTGGATTTGCGCGACCAGGTCGTCGACGGAGGGGACTTCGCTGCTGCAGACGTAGACGGGCTCGGAGGCGCTGGTGTCGTCGTCGTCGTCGGAGGTCTTGCTGAAGGCGCATCCTCGCTTGGCTAGGTGGGCTGGGGGGATAAGATCACGGGGTGCGGGTGATAGCTGCTGGCCTGGCTCGACGAGGCTGCTAAGAGCCCGGTCTGGGATTGCGGCCGCATGACTAGTGGTGGTCCAGGTCAGGAGAAGAGACAGAAGGACCAGGAGGAACGAGAAGGGCGACTTCATCGTAGGCTGGTATAAAACGATATTATGACGGTACAACGAAATGCGGATATCAACTGAGTGAGTTCCAAGTCCTGGCGGACGGCATATTGGAGGGGAAGCTAGCTTTTAGATACATGGACAGAAAAGGCAGCGCGAGCGAGGTACACTGGTAAAGCGCGAGGAAATTCGTATGGACCAAAGCTGCTTGTTACTCCACCCCCCTCCGTTAGTACTTCCCTGCTCCGTTCATACACAAGCCCAATATTTCCGGATCTTGACCTTGCTCAGCCAATTCCACAGCCGTCTTCCCCTCCGAATCCTTCGCGAGAGGATCCGCATGAAACTTTTCAAGCAAAACCCTCACCATCTGCCGGTCCTTCCGTCGAACAGCCAAATGAAGGACTGGCCCCGGCGTTAGGCCTCTCCCTTGGTCCGCCGGCTGAACAGCATTGATATCCACCACTTTCCTCTTTTGCACGAGAAGCTCCAGGATATCCACGCGGCGATTTCGGACAGCAGCAAAAACCGCATCCGTTCCTGTAACGGATGCTCCGTGATCTAAGAGTAGGTCCATCATCGCGCATGATCCGGTCCCCGCCGCAGCAACCACTGCGGGCCGATGGTTGATCTGGCATCCATTGGGGTCCAATCCATCAGGGCCCGCGAGGAGAAACGAGGTCAGCCGGAGATTGTTTCCCAGAATGGCCCATGCTAGCGGGGGACCCATGTGGCCTAGGTGCATAGTTCGAAGCGCCGGATCATGGCGGCAGAGTAGCTCAAACGCCGGGACTCGTTCGGGGCTGAGCGCGTCCAGGATGACCGTTCTGTCCAGATGCGCTAGTGGGTTCTCCTCCTCGTCGTATGGGAATAGCCGCGTCAGAAGGTAAGCGAGAACGTCCAGCTGCATGGCTTGGATTGCTGTTTGGAGGAGGATCGTTGTCGGGGGAAGTTGGTCCTGTTGAATGGCGGCGTCAATGGTAGGAATCAGCTCATTGAGCTTTCCGTCCGTGATCAAAGCTATTATCATTCTCTCCATGTTGTGTGCTGACCGGTTGTGAACTCGGGATAACGGTTCGTATAATTCTCGACGAAGGAAGCCATGTGGGAACTGGGAAGGGGTAGGCCTAAATGTAATTAGACGCCTTGCCAAATCATCTGACCTGATCGCACCATGATCCATCTTCTGAGATCCACAAAGCTGCCGTCGTGTACAGAGTAGGCATAGAGTGCGGTATTTCCGGGATTGATGAGTTCTTATGACTGTTGGACCTGCATGTGTTGTAGTTTGTACAGGAAAGTGTTTCCCGAGTCCGACCTCAGGCACAGTGGCCATGCGTGATAAGGTGATAGAAGATGATGTCTTTGAGGTTCACAGGATAGATACTCTTGGGGGCATCGCCGTGGAGTTGAACCGTATTCCTCGGAAGGCTGTCGAAAATGCCCGGGCATTGGATGATCCCCAGATCTCGTATTCAAATCTCGGGAATAATGTCTCAGGGGTCAGGGCCACATTATTCCTCCTCAATGCTTTATTGCTCACCGATTGCCACGAAGCTCAAGCTAATGCGAAGCTAAACAAGCATCGGGCGACGCGCCCTAGCCGGGGTGCAATCCTGCGGCCCACTCCCCACTCAACTTCAACTACTCCTCCCCTCCGTTCTCCGGAGCTCTAACCATGTTCAGCTTGTTCTTATGCCATGTCTTTGACAAAATATACCTCGCGAGATTGGGAGCTACTTATATTGGGGAATATGTAAGTACTATTTCTTCTCAGAGTTATCCAGTCTGGCTTGTCTTCTTCCATCATCCACTGAGCTACACAAAGGAAAAGCTGCTAGTCGCAGCTATTGTCGGCAAAGATGCTCCTGGGACTCGCTTCAATCTTGCTAACGCTCACTGGTCGGGCTGCAGCGACTGCTTGTTCTGCAGATAGCCCATGCTCAGAGGGTTGCTGCTCCTCCGTCTCCAATGTCTGCGGCTACGGGCCTTCGTACTGTGGCGATACTTGCATAGCCGCTGCCAGCACGAACGGTACCTGCTCGCAGCTCTCCGAATGCGATCCAGGTGTTTACCCGGGATACGGAACGACTTGGGGTATGTTGAAGTCTCAGGAAGGGTAGACATGGGGAACTCAGCTTACAATGAAATATAGGATCCGAATATGCCGAGGCTGAGACATGTCCTCTCAATGTTTGCTGCAGTGAATATGGCTTTTGTAAGTTGTCATTGCCACAAATACTGGATTATGCTCGAACATGTCGTTGACCTCTATGGTATCAGGTGGAACGAGCAGTGACTTCTGCGGAAGCACAACCTGGGACGAACCCTCGTGCTCAGGGTCTTCTTCTACTGGCCGCGCCATTGGGTATTATGAAGGATGGAACCTTTATACTTATTCATGTCTGCGTATGCTAGTCCCTTATACGGCTTTGAAGGATATCACTGACGTACTCTGCAGAAATGACTCCGGAACAGGTATGACAGCATATTAGACAGGGTGACCCCTCGATCAACCTTGTGCTAATCAGGGCATAGATTCCCGTTGGCGCTTACACCCATTTGAACTTTGCCTTCCTGTACATCGATCCCGACACATTTGAAGTTACTCCCATGGACTCCCAGCAGGTGGATTTATACAGCCGTTTCACGGCCCTAAAGGACTCATCCCCAGGCTTAGAAACATGGATCTCAGTCGGAGGATGGGCCATGAATGACCCAGGCTCTACGCAGACAACCTTTTCCGAACTCGCGGCATCAACGTCTGCTCAGACTGCCTTCATAAATTCTTTAAAGTCTTTCATGGATGAGTATGGGTTTGATGGTGTGGATATTGACTGGTGCGTGTGGCACTTACATGCCAGACGCTCACCGAATGCTAAATGAGATGTAATAGGGAATATCCCGGTGCCTCTGACCGCGGCGGAATCTCAGCCGACTACGACAACTTCGTGACTCTGCTCCAAAATGTCCGCAGTGGATTGGGTAGCAGCTACGGTTTATCCCTTACCCTGCCGACCAGCTACTGGTATATGCAGTACTTTGATATCGTCAACATCGCGAAAACAATTGATTGGGTATAATCTAATATGTCATTCCTTGCAGTCGAGGGCATTGCTGACTTTTAACAGTTTAATGTGATGACTTATGACATTTATGGAACGTGGGACGCCACCGTCGCGGACATCGGAGCTTATGTCTACGCCGATACAAATCTCACCATGATTCGCAAGGGTCTGGAGTTGCTGTGGCATAATGATATTGACCCAAGCATGGTTAATATTGGTTATGGATTCTATGGACGCAGTGCGTTTACCACAACCCCAGCTCCATCTGATAGTACATTGTCAACTAAACCTCTCATCCAGGCTACACGCTCAGCGATGCCTCATGCTCAGACACAGGGTGTCCCTTCAGCGCCGGAGGTATGTTCAACGGATCCTGTCGCTAGGTTGATGTTATACTGTGGCGAAGTGGCTAACGTAGTTTCGTGACCAAGGGAATGCTGGCCCCTGCACAAACACCGAAGGCATGCTGTCTTACTCCGAGATCAAGGAAATCATTACAGACTCCAGTCGGGGTGCCACTGTCACTTTAGACTCCGAAGCAGCCGTGAAGATTGCCGTATTCGACAATGACCAGTGGGTTGGATATGACGATGCCGAGACGCTCCGCATGAAGCAGGAATTCGCCGACTCGGTGTGTATTGGCGGGTAGGTGCTTTCAATCAATCTTATCCACAAGCGAGGCTCGACTAACTTGTATGCCTCATCTTCAGATTCCTCACCTGGGCTGTTGATCAGGATAACACCGGGGCCCTGTCTGGTAAGTTGAGATTGGAGTTGGACATTCGTATTTTGGCATCCGGGACCGAGACTGACCCATGACCAGGAGGGGTATCAAACGTCACCGATCTATATCCGCAGACAAACAGCAGTGGTGTGGGCGGAGAAGTCTACATCGGACCTAGTCTCTGGACCAACGATACCCAGGAAGTTGCTTGTGCGCCGCCTTGTACATTTATTTTGCCTCCGCATTCTCTCTCAACAAGCTCCGTCGTCACCTGGCCAGCGTTCACGACCTCCGTGCTGGTAAGTAACGAAGGAGGTGAGATTACCAGCAAGGAAACGGTGATCTCTGTTGAGCCCTTTACCATTACCGAGATACCCTTCTGGCCGGTCACGGTTGTGGAAACGAATACTCTTCCTGCAACAATCCAACCCGAACAAAGCGTCATGCCCCCACGAATGACAATTGTCCTTCCTGGCTCGGAGACTCTGTTCCCTGTTACGGATGCGTCGTCTACCACAGCAGCCACGTCCACGTCTACAATCGCCACTGGCCAGACGAGCTCAGGCTCAGGCTCAGGTACAACGTCGTCATCTGTATCCACGCCGGCTGCCGTGCAAACAGGCATCACGTCGGGCTGTACAGAATTCTACAAAGCAGAGACCGGAGACAGCTGTTGGTCTATATCTCAAGATTATGGTATCTCGCTAGATGACTTTTACGACTGGAACCCGGCCGTGGGTGATGATTGTGCCGGGTTATGGCTCGATGAGTACTACTGTAAGTCTGTCAATTCACCGTGGATTGATAAATAGAGCTAACCATCCGGCCCACCTAGGCGTTGCAACTTCATCGTTAAACCCTTCAACTACCAGCTCAACCTCCAGCTCAACCTCCAGCTCAACCTCCAGCTCAACCTCCAGCTCAACCTCCAGCTCAATCATCCTGGGCGTGATACCAACTTTCTACTCTACGTCTCACAGCGTGGTCATTCAGCCGCAGCCAACAGTCTCCCAAATCCTCCCCTCTAGTCTCGTACCCCCCGTGAGCTATTCCACCGGGACTCCTCCCAGCAGTGATGGTTGCGGCTCGGACAGTAGCAGCTCCGGATGTGGAAGCCTGGACTGCATCCTATTTGGCTGCAATGGCGGTTGCGGCATCTTTGGGTGTGATGGTGGTTGTGGAATTGGATTCTGCGGGGGCGGATGTGGACTGGACGGCTGCGGTCCGGGTTGTGGTGATGGTGAGTTACCCTCGTACCTGGTCAATGATGCCTTCAACCACAGCTAGACATGGTGGTAAATACTAACACAGGCGTACCTAACAGGCGACTGTGATAATGAAGGTGGTGGCGGCGGAGAAGGTAGCGATGACGACGACGACGACGACGACGACGACGACGACGACGATGATGATGATGACGACGACGACTGCACCTCCAGCCAGACCGCAGACATCTGTACGGTGTATGTGAGTAGTTCATCCGTCACGAAGGAGTCATCATGGAGCACAACTACGACTGTAAGTACTGTTGAGCCTGGCCGCCAAATCTGAAAGCCACTGGCTTGCCAACACCTACTTACATTTATAGACGCTCTGCTACACCACGGCAGGCTGCTCCGTCGACGCATCCACCACGACCACTACGCTCTCCACCACCGCAGCAGCATGTGCCCTTCCCACCATCGCCTCCAACTTCCCCTTTGCCTTCGGCACCGACGGCCCCATCCTCACCTCCATCACGAGATCGCTCTCCGAATCCATCATCATGACTACCGATGCTCCTACGAGCAGCACAACTAAGAGTTCTAGTGGCAGCGGCTCATCGTCCACCACCAAGAGCGACGACAACGACTCATCCTCAACTAGCAGCACCAAGGGCGACGACAGCAGTAGCTCGTCAACCACATCCAAAGCCACAAGCACGAGCACGAGCACCTCCAGCTCCAGCCCCTCCGTGCCGAGCAACTACTACGAGCTCAACCTCTACTCCGACGATTCCTGCGGAGACTTTGTCATTACCGCGGAAGGCAGCTCCGACAACGAGTACTCAGTGGGCTGCCAGCCCTGGGACACAGAAGGGGTGTACAACAGCGTGAAGCCGTACTTTGACGACTCGCTGTTCTCCATCACCGTGTACAAGGGGAGTAGCTGTGACTCGGACGAGACGGTCGAGTTGAAGACGTCGGGGAAGTGCTATGATGTCAGTTTTGCAGATGAGAATGGGTCGTTCAAGATTGAAATTTTGTGAGGTGGACATGGTACATTGCTATATGGTGCAATGGTGGTGGTGACAGATCCGTATAGTATGGTAGGTAACCAGGATGAAATTGTATAGAAGGTATGCGTTATACCTGCTAAATCCGTCGACATATCAAGGAATAAAAATGAGACACAACATAATAAGGGTATGTATTCTCGCGGACAAGGTGTCTAAGCGAGGAGTAGAGTATTGGGCGCATGACAAACAGCAGCCTGGGAAGAAAGAGTACAAAGAATTTAAAAAGCCACACTGCGCCTAATCTAGGATGCAACAAGAACCTGGTTTGCGTTGCGACATCAAATAGAAGGAGCCTCCCAAGAGTCACGCCGAATCTTCATCAGCGCAGATTGCTTATGAGGGAATGTAACCTCTCCGTCTTTGTAAAACCCTGCGTTCTGAAGATAGCTAATTATCCTAGGATTATGTTAGCATGTGACTCTAGCAAGTGAGTATAGCAGGCAGCTTACTTCGTATTGTCCACCCTCGGCTCCAACATCACAGTCTGAGTACGCATATCCGCCAACCAACAGAAATGTACCAGCGAGCTAAGCCAGGCAGAAACCCGATGCGGGCCACGGAATTCCTGCTCGCCCACAAGGACATGAATTCCTCGGTCATGGTTATCAGCACCCCCAATCAGCGATCCCAAGGGATCTTCCTTGACCCAGTAGATCTCAAAGTAGCCGAACGGCTGCCCATCCCAGCAACCAATTACCGGGAAACTGTGCTTCTTGGAGAGATTCTGGCGCAGGAATTCTTCCTGATGGGAGATCGGGCCGGCCTCGCCCCATGCTGCATTGACGCGCGGCTCGTTCATCCATTTGTGCAGATACTCCAGGTCCGAGGGGGTCTTTGAGGTGGGATTTGACTGCTCTGTCGTTGAGGGTCTATAATTTTGTGAAGGCAGATACGGGACGCGGAAGGAGAGGTACTGTCCTAGACTCGGAATATAGCGGATATAGAAGACCTCGCCCTGGTGCGGCGGCTTCTGTCGAATGGGGTGCCGCACACCATTTGTAAATGTGAACTGAGACGGCGGAGGCGGGAAGAACGTTGGGATATGGCTATGCGATGCAAATGGCCCTTCACTAGGCGTGTAGCGACCCGACGCAGAGCCTGCAGACTGCGGGCGAGCATTCGGATCGTTCAGATACAAGCTCTCCCGCGTCGGAGAGGCAATCCGACCAAACGGCCCGGAACCCCCAATTGAGTGCGCAAAAGACTGCGGGCTTAGCGTAAACAGGTACAACCGCGGATCAAGCTGCCAGAAGCTGCGCCGGCTAACGAACATATGCGACCAGGTATCTCTGTTGTCTGGATCGGGGCCAACAGTGGAATCGTCGCACGCGATCAGCCCCATGCGCTCTAGCTTCGGCAGCACATTGCGGCCCGTGAAGATACCCTCGCGCCGGATACTCACCCGCCAGTCGCCCTTTGGCTTTCCCGAGGCAGGGGTGTTTGCCGACGCCGCAGTATACAATTGAAGCTCTGGTTCGCGCTCGTGGAAGTACCAGTACAGCGTGACCCACAGCATCATGGCGATCTGCCGAGTGGGGGAAATGACAGGCTTGTAGTCGCTGTCTGGCGGGTTCACGATATACGAGATATACAGCTCATCGCCGGACAGTGTAGGCCCTGTGAAGCGGGTGACCTGTGTTCGGTCTGCGCCCAGTCGTGCTCGGCCGCGCTCATCGTCGGTCCCCTCTCCGTCAGGAAGCTCCTCGGGCTGGCGTCGCGTCCCAAGGACAACATTCCACCCAGGTAGTAAGAGCGAACTGCGCTGGTTCAAATTGGTAGACTTGAAGTTGAATCCTCCGAACACCGGGGTGATGGAGAAGGACTGGCCGTTGGGCAGCTGGGTGGAGCGCGCGGGCATGTTGGAGATGTGCGCTGAATGTGATCAATGTACGGCACGAGAGGAGTAGGGCCTGCCTAGGAGTCTTAAATAGATATAGAATGCAAAGTAGAAGAGGAAAAAGAAAAGCGCCGGCGACGGCTCCTGCATGCGAGTAGTCGGTCAACCTGCAGGTGATAGTGGGATGATTTTATGGTGCCCCTCAGTCGGAGCGGGCGAGCATCGCGTGCGCGCAGAAACAAGGAAGTAATTGGACTCCTGGGGGCTTTCTAGGGTAAAAGAGACTTCAGCGGAGTCTACTAGCCTTCTGGACGGTCTCATGGCCGTGTATTTATCTGCGCTTGCAGGGTGGGAGGAGGGCAAAATAGTTGGGTGATGCTTGATGTCATGCCAGCCTTTCTCCTTTGGGCGGTGTCACGTTGCTCGTCCGCAAATCATCAGCCTCAGAGATCCGATTACTCCTACAGTCTCACAGTATCAACAAATATGAATTCTCTGAATGGCCACGGCCTATCTAAATGAAATCTAGAGCTGATTTAGAATTCCTCCACTGTCGTGCCGATCTTTCTGGCCCTCGCAAGCTCGACCAACTCGGTTCCAGTGACCAGATCCATCAGGCCCAACCCCACGCCCTTGAATATCACGTTCCCTCGCTCAACCCATTCGCGCAGGTGCTTTTCGTCGGCTGCCGAGTTCGAGCCCTTCGCGGAATCCCGCACCATCAGCAGCTCGCCGATCTCCACTACCTGGTTGGGCTTGACCTCTGCCTGGATCAACTCGCCGGCCTCCTTCATCGCCGCATCGAGGCTGTCGACAACGACAATGCCACTGCGCTGGACATGCTTGTGGAAGTGGCGATGTGGCGGTGACACGGTGACCTCCTCTCTCAGGATATCCGGGTGTAACTCTGTCATGTTCGGCTTGTATGATCCAATGGCGCTAATCAGGCGACCCTTTCGTCGTCCTTCCTTTGAGGTGAGAAGCTCCGCCGGGAAGAGCGGTACATGCGACGGCGTACAGCAGAATATGGCGTCTGCCTTGTTGATCGCGTCGTGGAGGATCCGGTTGTACTCCCCAAACTCGCTGCTGACAGCGGAGAACTTGACATCCCCCCGCCAGCTAGCATTCTCTGCCGAATAGATCTCCTGGAGAAGCCTGGCAGCTCGCTCGAACGACCGGTTGACAATGAACACCCGCTTGATATCCTCCCCTCGTAGGATGACAGCCAGTCGAATGTGCCAGTAAGCCTGCTTGCCCGCACCAAACACCACCAGTGTGCGCACCTTTTTGCGCTTGTTGAATATCATCGTTGTCGTCAGCGCCGTGCGGAACGGCGTCAGCTCCTCCGCATTTATCAGCCCAAACGGCAGACTATCATCATCATACAGCGTAACACTCCCCTTGGGCGAAGTATCCCGCGACCCAGCCCCAGGCCACGCCCCCATAGTTTGCGACACCCCTCCCCCAATAGGTTTCTTGTCCACAGACGCCACAGGCAGCGGATCACTATCGCCGCTAGACGAAGACGTACTGAGCGACCGTTCCGCCGCCGCATCCTCTTGCGACGATATCGACAACTCGCTCATATCCGACGAAACCGAGGACATGGAACTCCGATTTCCGGGTTCGTTCGAACCCGACGTGAACCTCTTAATCCCCCGCAGGTCTTCCCCCGATTCCACCTCACACCCGGGTTTGCTCTCTTTATCCTGTAACGAGATAACCTTCATCCCAATCGCCCTCCGCGTGCTAGACGGCATGAAGATCGTCGTGCGTCCGCACTGCCTCGTCACGGCTGTCCGCCGCGGCTGCAGCGTAGCCGCGCATCCGGAATCTTGGTTTCCGATGGAGTAGTCGCGAAGAGCGTTTCCGAGATTCTGCTGGATCGATATGATCTGATCGCGGGTTAATGAAGCGAGGAGGGAGCGGAGCTGCGCTCCTGAGAGGATAGTGATCGGCATGACGGCGTCTTTCTTCTTGGACGGGCGTTAAGGCAGGACGTATATGGAAGTTGCGCAGTGAGCGATGGCGACGAGGTGAGTCAGTCTTATATACGCCAGAGTCCAGACACAAGCGGCTCCGCGGCGGCGATAACGAATCTGAGACCGTCCGGGAAGTATATTAGTACCGCAGTAGTAAGCTGAAAGTCGGCCGGAGGTAAGCGAGCGCGGGGATTCGGAGATAGGTATAAGACAGTGGCGAATAACGTTTCCCAAGTCAAGGTTGCAGGCGATGACCGTTCCCGTCCATGTATGCGCCCGATGGAACTCTGTTGGTCGAAGTAGACCGGATGGAGGATAAGGATAAGGGTACGAGTGCGTGTGTTTCATCTTGGACTCGGAGAAAGCGGTTGTCTTATGGTGGAGTAGAGTATGACGACAGCGGTTGGATCAAGGCGGGGCTGTCAACGTCGAGATATCCATGGTGCAATCGAGCAACGTCTGGAAACTCTAACACCATGAGATTGAGATCACAAGTTGATGGATAGGAGCTTTTCAGGCCAACTTTCATGTGCCGGTCCTGCCGGAAGCCGGGATGTTCGAGGCCAAAGCGAGGGCAAAGTCGAGACCGCCACATTCCGCCCGCATTCTTATCGCCGATTGCGATACCAGCGGCCGACTTCGGACGCCGGAGTCATCTTCTAGAACACTTTTCATAGACTTCAGAATTCGTATCCAGATGGTTTGATTCATATATAGCATATTACATACATCAATCGTATCTTCCGATTCACCGACCAAACAGCCAAAACCCAAAGAACTTAGCACAAATAAACACGACCCAAACGCCGCCTGAATGCAATGTAAGGGCCGAGCCAACATATGAAACGAGACAGAACAGAACGAAATCTTGCCAAAAGTCTGGGTATTGGATATGAAACCAATTTTGAGCAATAAGCACGGGTATTAAGATGTTCTAGATGTTGATTGGTGTAGGGCTAATTTCCTTAGCGTGTTTGCGAGGCCAGCTCAGAGATCAAACAGCGTCTGGAAATGCATGTCGGGCGATGATGGATTGTGAGTGGTTGAAGAGGGTTTGTTGGAGACGAGCGCCCAGACCAGGGGTTGTTCGGTCTAAACGCGAGGCCGCATGCGGTGGCCCATATAGGAGCCTGTCGCTGACGCCAAGAACCGCGCCACAAAGCCGCTGCTGTTGGAGTGGCCGCTCATTCGCATTTTCTTGCTCGGCTGCTGCAGTCCAATCTCGTCGCCTTTTGCCATTGCCACGTCCGAGGGAAGAGGCAGCATCATTGTGCCGGAGGGGATGTGGATGTATCCACTGCCGCTCAGACCTGGGCTGCGCGATGCATCAACCACCTGGATGTCCTGGTCCATGCTGTTGTATGAGCTAGACGGGCGCAGGCTAGCCGGGGTGTTGCTCCTTGTGCTGGGGGCGACGCTGGACGAACGAGAGCAGAGCGTGGGCACGGTTTCCGTCCGTGATAGACCGGGGACTTCCTGAGCGGATGGAGGAGAGACTGAGATGCGACTGCGGTTTGAGGGACGACGGCGGGGAGGGTAAGGCTGGTACCGGTCGGTATCGGGTGCCGATGCAGCAGCATCGCTTTGCAGGCTTGAGGACGATGACATTGAAGAGAGTGATGCGGAGGACTGGGGGCTTGGAGGAAGTCGGCGGCGGGCCTCTAGACGAGCCTCTAGCTTCTGGCGACGCAGACGGCAGGCTAAGAGTTCCGCCGAAGCTTGAAATCGGTGCCATTCCCGGGGCTGGTGCATCTTCGCTTCCCGTTGTTGGAGGCGGTGGCGGATCGGGGCGAGGAAGGGCTCCAAGTGAAGGAAAAGGTCTGCCTCGTTGACGCGGGTGTCCCAGTCCAGCAGGAACAGAAGTTGGCGCTCCATAAGGTTGACCTCTGGGAGTGAAAAGCTGAAGCCCTCATAGCCCTTGACGACGGTGTACCTGGCCCAGTGCTTGTTCTTAGGGCTGGAGTCGTTCAAGTTCTTAGCGGCCAAGATGAGCGAGGCAAGAAATATCCGGTGGACAGTGCAGCGCATGCCCTTTGCTACAGGGGGTAGGCGGGAACGCAGACGGGCGAGGTAGACCAGGGTTGTCATCAGCGTCGGCACCTGGACCTGGGAGCGAGTGACCAGGGATGTGATGAAAGCTTCAACGGACGGCAACATGGGATACTGCTGATCGGCAGCATCCATGGGCGGAGTGCTGGGAGGTGTATGTTGGCCATGCGCATGTTGTGTGGTTGTCACATGGGACTCGCAGCGGATGACCCGTGCAGCTTGTTGAGCCAGATGAGCAACCATATCCCGGGAGACGGGCTGGGCGATGAACTCTTGCAGCGCTGCTCGGTTGAAATCCATGATGGTGGAAGATGTGATATTGTGAGATAAGAGGATTAGGAGTGAATGGTGGAAGACAGACGCCGGCGGCACGAAGAGCGAGACGACAAAGTTATGAGTCGACGGTGGTACGTAGATGCCAGGCAAAAGTTTCCTGAATGTTCCCCAGCGTAAAGAATGTGGGATAAAGTCGTCCTGCCAGCAGGATAAAAAAATGCGGTCGTTGTCCTGTCAACTGAGAATACTATTGTCCGGGACGAGCAGTGAGACACAAAATAGGCAGGGTGAGACACCGTCAATGCAATGCAATAATTAAATAGATAGATAGACAGAGAGAGAAGCCTAGGGAGCGTGAGGCAGCACAGATAAAAGGAAAGGCGAGCGACAGGAGAAGACCACTGCACCAAAGAGCTCAGGAATGGGGACTGGGATTGGAATGATGACCAAGATCTCGTGCGATTGCCTCCTGATATAAGTAGTATCAAGCAGCAGTCCAGCACCGTCAGGAGTTGCAGGCGAGAACGAAAAGGCTGGACTGCAAGGGCCAAACCAAGTGGCCCAACCCAAACGCGCGACCTACATGCCTGGTCAGTCCCTGTCTCCATACCTACAGGGCTATCGTAGCAGTTGGCGCGCGCGAGCCCAGGATCGTGGATGATTGGCAGAAGCGCTCGCTCAATCAGATGCCAAACATGCACGCCCAAGGCAAGCAAGGGCGAATCATCCCCTTCCTACGCGTTGGACCTGCAACACCTGCGACACGCCCCTGGGGAGCGTCCCATGGCCAGAGTTCGCTCGGAATGGAACCCAGCGTGCCCATCGCTTGCCTTTCTCTGAAACTCGACGGGTTCGCCTGTGGCTGGAGAGTTCAGCTTGACTCGACTCGAGCGATCGAATCGATCGGCTGCGGGCGCCGGGAGGGATGCATGTAAGCGCCCAGGCACCGCATGTCTATTCCTCTCCGCACTGGCGGCTGCTATTCTTGTCTTGTCGATTGTTGGTGTTGGTCTGCGCTTCTGAATAATGTCAAGTGTCAAACATCTATGATGAACCGTGTCAGACTCCTCAGTGATCAGTACTCATGATGTGCTCTCTCCACCGCGCGGGAGGAACAATCTCCCTGTCAGCTGTCAAGGAACCGCTCAGGAGCTAGAATCCCTCCGACAGGGGTGCTGAAACGCGGCGCGTAAGTGGTAGAGTGCATTCCCACCTCCACGAGTTCATCGTTATGGAGGGTGTACGTAGTACCATTCTGAGTCAATGCCTGGATTCTTCGCGTTGAATCAATGCTCCGTAAATTGTCTGATCAGCGTTTGTTATTCGAGTTCATTCTCAAAAACACCTGCACGTGATGATTGTGGCCGTTTTAGGCTGAGGACCGCCGCTTTAATCGCTTACAGATCTATACAGCATCTACATCTTCCAGGACTCGGTGCAAGGCTTCCACGCAATTCTTGAGCTTGCTAGCTTTAGAACAATTATCCTTTATCCCTATGGCTTCAAAGCTCATGCAGCCTCGTTTCGTACTCATTACGTTTATGGCTTGATGATCATTCCCAACGGCGCTTGGCTAGAGCAGTTTCGGCGCTTAGAGAAACATGAACATTCCCCAGCGTTTCTAAGTAAAGAACAACAGTCAATCCTCTAGTAAGCGCGCGAGTCACTCGCTTGGTCGCTTGGTGGAACTCGAGGGCACATCTAAGAGGCAGCTATTTTCGCTGCGTAGCCGCCGGACTGCGTCAGAATCGGACTTGGTCGCTCGACCCAGTGAAGCGCTTAGGACGACAAGGTTCTATTTTGAGCTCGATTATTCCGTATTTAGGCTGCAAACGTCCTTAAGCGCCGTGCAACGGGTCAAGATCAAACGATAGCGAATACATTGATAAACAAAACACCTATAGATACACACCATCCACTCTCCACACCACAGATCACCTCAGGTGCCATGGTTCCTATTCTTGACACAGGCTAAGATAGGCAACACCTTTATGAGATGGAGACAGAGTAAGAGGAAACAGTGAACGTGGCGTCAGAGCCAGTGAAAGGCTCAGTACCGGCCTGCACGTTGGTCAGGTACTGGCTGGTCGACAGGCCTTGGTTCTCGACGAGGTAGTTGATGAAGTCCATCAGATCCGCCGAGAAGCTTTCGGTGGTGGATGAGGCGACGAAGCTGTACACCTGCATGCTTCCGTTGGGGCCCGAGTACAGGTCCCAGGTGACGCCGCCAAGGGTCACGCTCGCGATGGAAGAGCCGGTTGAGGAGATGGGTCCAGCACCGCCCAGAGCTGCCAGCCAGATCATGATCTCGTTCTCAGAGTCTCCGCCGGCGCTGGAGCTTGTGAAGAGGTCGTAGGCCACGTCGGCCACGATGTCGGTGGTGGAGTACCTATCACAAACTGTTAGGACGCGGAAGCATGACAGCGATGGAATTTGAAGACTTACGACCACTCCCAGGTAGATGGGATCGAGCTCAGGCTGCTCAGCTGAGTTGAGGTGAACTGGTAAGCAACGTTGGCGAAGCTCTTCACGCTGGACGAGCCACCAGACCAGCTCCAGCTGGTGTGCCAGGAGATGCTGTCACCGTTGGCAGAGTCGACACCAGTGCATTGCGAACCGCTGTCGGCATTGTCCTGACCCCAGAGGTTGTTGTACACAATGAAGTTACCCTCGGTGGCGGTGTCATACTGGCCGCAGAAGTCGGAACGGCGAGTGAACATGTTGGAGGAGGGAATCGAGGCAGCCGAGGCCAGAGAGGCCAGAGAAAGAGCAAGCAACTTCATGTTGTCAGAGTGAGATGGTTATCGAGACGAAGATTCTTTGGTTTGGATGTCACAGCAGAAAGCTTGGTTCTCATCCTGGGCAGTCTGCTATTTATCTTCCTCAGGCCTACAGCTCCCATGCTGCGAACCGAAACGCATCAGGTATATTAAGTCGGGTGTATCTCCCAACTTGGTGTGTCTGTCGTCACCATGGTCCAGTTTTCTTCAGGAGTCTGGTTTCGGCATTCCTGCATCCCATCAATCCCAAGCGAAGAAGTTATGAAGTGCGGAGTCAGGACGACGAGGAGTCGATGACCGCCGGGGCAAGAGGGCCATGGTCACCCGCCACGACCACGTTGATGGCCTTTGATAGGCGCTGTCAAACCAAAAGGGGTGCCATTTAATACGGTTCCTGAATCTTTTGGGACAAGGCTCGGGGATCGGCACGCCCAAGGATGCTGGTGCCGAGTCAGTGTGGTACTTGCATTCTGCACGCTGCTGTAGACTCCGGCGGGGGGAACTCGAACAGGTCAATCTTATTCTAGTCAAGCGACTCAAGCCATACTATGTTCAAAGCCTGGTTCTGATCATTCGCCTGATCATTCTGTGCTCGACTCCAATAAAAACAAGATCCGGGTACACCGGGCTGGTGGAGCGAGTCAGCCCCTCTGCTTCAGCATGAATGCCATGAAACAAGCTTCCACTGACAGAGCGGGACGGTGGGACAGACGCAAATAGATGCAGCGGGGCTAGATCAAAGATTCTAGAAGGCCGAGTCAAGATATCGAACAGATGTTTTGCGGAAGAGAGTATTATGGGCTATGGCAGAAGAAAGGGTTTTTGTTCGACGATTAGTCGTGTGGCCCTGGTGCCTGAGGCATTAAGTTGAATAGTTTCATGATAGGACTAGCTTGATTCTCATGAAGAGCCTGTTTCTATAAAGAACTGATTCACATAGGAACAAGAAGCAGCGGTATAATCAGGTTATAGGTAATGGTTCAACCGCTCCAGGGGCTGAACCCGATGTTCCCCTCCCACCGAGACCTCCCACCGTAACCCTAACCAGTAGTTTACTCTATCTCCAGGTTCGTAGATAGTAGACAGCCAGCACAACACCGCCGTAAGTCATATATCAGATCAGGCCCCTTTCGAAAATATCAGTCAGGACGGCAGTTCAGACAAGTCAGAACAAGACTTACCTGGATGTTTAGGAGCGTCTAATTGTTAGTAGCGCATGACGGGGCCGGGTCACCAGCAGGCCAGATACAGAACCCGCCTTCGCCGCAGTCCGCTGCGAGCCTCCAGCGGCTGCCACTGCACACGGCGATGTTGTAGTCCGTTGAGCAATCGTATCCTGCGCCGGAACAGGAGCTGCCGATCTGGACGTACCCGAGGGCGAGGGTTGAGAGGGACAGGAGGGATACGAGGAGCTTCATCGTGAAATGTGGTAACAGTTGGTTGGATTCGTAGACAGGTGCTTTCTCTCTGAGCTGGCTTGGTTTGCGTCTATGTAGTAGATAGAAACTCAGTGTGACAGAGGACGTTTATATACTTTTTCCCCTCGGCCTCGCCCGTGTTTGTTTTGGGATGTATGCGCCGATGGATGAGGGATGACCCCAGATACCTTCCCTGGCAAGCCAATGAACGAACATTGTTTGTCCACCAGGCTGTAGTCTAGGTAAATAGCTGTTTCTCACCGCTGATGGTCTCCAAGTGCCAAGGGGAAGATCGACAAGGCGAAGCCTTTAGTAGAATAGTCTGCAGTGAGAATGTGATTGCTGTGCATTTTAAGGCGGCCAGGCGCTGATTGTATACACTTTCGGATAGCAGATTCCATCGACATACCCCACAGATGTCCGAAGATCGGGAACGGCAGGGCTGATTGGAGAAATGAGCCTTTGTCCAGTTTCAGCCCCCAATTTTTGTTCTGTTCAGGGCAGTGCTGCAGTTTGCTGTAGCCTGTACTCCGCACTTTGTACAGCGCTGTATTTGCCCAGAAGGAGTATACCCCCACCTCTCAGATCGTTGATCTATCACCGCATGGTCGTCAGTGACTCGTCACGAAGGCCTTACTCCCCTCTGTACGTCCTCTGCCTATAAAATCACGCCAGGACAACGGGTTGGGACCGTGACTTCGAAGCAACCGTCTCCTTTGCACGCGGCTCCGACTTGGCTCCATGATCCGCCACTTAGGGCTATCGTCCTCGTCCTCGTCATCATAGGCGACATGCTGAATGGACTACCTATCACGATTCTAACTCCTGGATGCCACCGTAAGTATATTTGCTGTGTTTTGCCGCCCTGAAAGTAGCGAGCATGACGGGCGCTGGTTATGAAAGCTTTTTAGACGCGTCATGAATGTAATAGAGCGACATGCCAGTACCTCTCACGCCGTGAGGGTAGGCGCACGGTTCCCATATGACTTTCCATGTACCAGGCCGCATGCTTACCCAGGCACCTGTGAGGTTGATATCGTCCTGTGGGGCTGATATCGTGGGGGAGAATAGTGATAGAGCGTACGCCGTATAGGATACCTGTGGAGCATAACCAGGTGTCTGAGATCTGAAGGGAGCTATGACACCTAAGCGGCAGTTGCCGTCTCGCCAGGTTGATCAGATATCATGGTGAGCCGGATAAGGCACTGGGAATTGTTTATTCTCAACCTCAAAAGCTCTGGGTCCTGGATGAAGATGGGTTTCAACCCGCTGAGCATTGGCGGCAGGGCTTAGTCCAGGGCTAGGCATATGCCGCTTGAAGAGTTCAAGGTGCAGCCTTCGGTACTACTGGGGGCGCTGGAACTCTGTAGCTCGAAACCCAGCGCCATTATGGGCGCTGTTCAGTGCAACATGATGGTGACGGGACGGCCACCGGATCAATGGGAACTCAGCTGACAATGTACCAAACAGCAGTCGTGAAACATCATCAAAAGGTTTGCTTTCTGAGATTTCTGATATCTGAGATTGGCAGGGCAGGTTCATGGATGCCAGTGCAACTTCATTGTTTAAGACGGTGTATCTGCGTGAAGTGCAAGGGGCTGTTGATTGTTGATCGCCGCCAAGTCTCCGGCAAGCACAGAAAAAAATCAGGTCACGACGGGGCTCCGCGTACTCCGCGGAGACAAACAAACCCAACTTCCTCCACAAAACCCCATCTCACCTCTTTTCTCCTCCCTTCAACCCCCCAATTGCATCCTCTCTATTTGCGTATTCTCAATCATCACAACTTCCGGCCCAATGCGCTGTCTCAGCTTCGCAATCGCCCTCCTGGCGCTCTTCACAGGGATCTACAAGTTCCTCGACGCCCGCCTGGAGCAGTTCTACATCTTCGACCACCACCACCTGCACGATCTGTCCCAGCGCGCGATCGCTGCCCACGGCGAGGACACCGGTGCTATTGTCAAGTACATCGTCTCGGAGCTGGAGGAGAAGGTCGGCGCCACGAACTTGAACTTTGAGCAGGAATGGGTCTTCAACAACGCCGGCGGCGCAATGGGCGCTATGTACATTATCCACGCTAGTACGTGATATCTCAGCTTGTATTTGCCAAGTGCTTTGCTGACGCGCTATATCATAGGTATCACCGAGTATCTCATCATCTTCGGTACGCTCGAATGCACCCTTTCTATCCTTCTCCTTATCCAAGATTTCGTAGAACATCAGCCCCAAGAGACGAACTAACAATACCCAGGCACCGCCATCGGAACTGAAGGTCACACCGGTCGCCACACCGCCGACGACTACTTCAACATCCTCACGGGCACTCAACTCGCCTACGTCCCCGGTGAATACGAGCCCGAGGTCTACCCTGCCGGATCCGTCCACCACCTCCGCCGCGGCGAGGTCAAGCAGTACAAGATGGATTCCAAATGCTTCGCCCTTGAGTACGCTCGCGGCTGGATTCCTCCTATGCTCTTCTTCGGTTACGCCGATACGTTCTCCAGTACCCTGGACTTCCCGACTCTGTGGGCTACCTCGCGCATCACTGGACGCGAGATGATCGCCAACCTCCTCAAGGGCAAGATCTAAGGGCCCGTTTCATGATTGGATAAAAGACTTAATGATTCATAAACATTGTATTATGTATCTAGATCTAGATCACTATTAATATTAATCAACTTTTCGGTGGGAACGCCTAGATTGACCCCTAAAACATGCAAACCAAACAAAATAAATAATGACTAAGCATTGTTATCGGCCTTATCGAAAACCCCAAAATCGGCGAAAAATGGATTTTCCCCTCCTCCCCGCAATTCAGCAATCAGCGATTAAACGACATCATGGCTCCGTCTTTGTGTATAAAATGTCAGAAGGAAAGGGCTGTGATCATCCGCCCGAAGAACCGCCACAAGCTCTGCCGCGAATGTTTCCTCTCCGTATTCGAAACCGAAGTCCACGAAACCATCACCCAAAATTCCCTCTTCCAGCCCGGCGAGCGCATCGCCATCGGTGCGAGCGGCGGAAAAGACAGCACCGTGCTGGCGTCGGTGCTCAAGACGCTTAACGAACGATACAACTACGAACTAGACCTCTGCCTCCTCTCCATCGACGAAGGAATTCGCGGTTACCGCGATGACTCCCTTGAAACGGTCAAGCGCAATGCCGTCCAGTATAGTATGCCCCTCGTGATCGTGGGCTACGGCGAGCTATATGGGTGGACGATGGACCAAGTCGTCGAGCAGATCGGAAAGAAGGGCAACTGCACATATTGTGGTGTGTTCCGTCGGCAGGCGCTGGACCGGGGCGCGGAGAGGCTGGGGATCAAACATGTCGTGACGGGACACAATGCGGACGATGTGGCGGAGACAGTGATGATGAACCTGCTCCGTGGGGACCTGTCTCGGTTGTCAAGAGGTACGAGTATTGTTACGGGCTCCGCGGCCTCGGATATCAAGCGCAGTAAGCCCCTGAAGTATGCGTACGAGAAGGAGATCGTGCTCTATGCACACCACAAGCAGCTGGACTACTTTAGCACGGAGTGCATCTACTCGCCCGAGGCGTTCCGCGGAAGTGCGCGCACGCTGATCAAGGATCTGGAGAAGATCCGGCCGAGCTCGATTCTGGACATTGTGCGGAGTGGTGAGGAGATGGCGGTGCTTGTGCCTATGGCAAATGGCGGCCAGCCGGCGGAGGAAGAGTCCGCCGTCGGTGGCTGTGGAAGCCAGAATGGGAGGACGCGCGGGGGTGAAATGGCGGAGATGGAGAAGACGCTGGCGCAAAATGAAGTCGCGGCGGTTTTGGAGACGGAGATTAAAATTCCCTCGCAGCAGAATGGGGCAGTTCCGATTCCTAAGAGGCAGACCAAGCAGCCCAAGAAGCAGGTGCTGGGCAAGTGCGAACGATGCGGATACATTTCGAGCCAGAAAATATGCCATGCTTGCACGCTCCTTGAGGGGCTGAACAAGAACAGGCCCAAGGCCGCTATTGAGTTGGAGCTCGATGCCGAGGAGGAAGAGAGTAGCACGACGCTGCGGAGACAGATGGAGGAGGTTCAGCTGGCTGGATGAAGTGATTCAAGGATGTAATCCTCCACGGACTATCAGAAATACACCGCGACCTCCAGCTTCCATACCTGTTCCTGACCAGGTCAACCCATCCTGCAATCCAGAAGCAGAAGGCAGGCCCAGGCTTCGACTAAGCTTCATGAAGCCAAACGAGCTATGATATAGAACAGCATCTCAGCTTCGCAGATAGAACAGAGCGCAAAATGCAAATTTATCCCCAACACCGTCGTAACGTACAATATGAAAAGACACGGCCCAGGGTTCAATCCAATATATAGTACATGATGTATAGTGTATACAGACCCCCACAATCATTTTATTCACACCCCGGCCAAACTAGCCATCCATTTCTAAATGCTCAATCGTCCAATTCTCCATCCACATTCCAATCAACAAGTCACTCGCTCTTCTCCCCATCCCCCTTCCCTCCCTTCTTCTGCTCCCCATGCAACTCCGGCAAATCCAATCCGACCCGCCTAGCCGTAAGCCTAACGCGCTCCTCCTCATCCATCAGACTGCCGGGGTTATACCGATCAACAAGCGCAGCATACAGCCTCTGTGCGCGCGCATACTGCGCAAACTGCTCGGCCTGCTGGAGGCGGCGCAGCTCGCTCTCTGATGCTGATGCGTCCTCGGTCGTCGTCTGTGATGGCGTTCGGTACGCTTCCCGGATGCGGTTGTGTAGGGGTGTTGGGGAGGAGAGGGAGCGGCGGGGGAGTTCGCGGAGGATGGCGCGGTAGGTGGATTTTACGGTTGTTGAGGCGGAGGACATTTTTCTGGGGTTCGACTTCGTTGGCTTCGATTCGGTCTTTTGGGTGTTTTAAGTTGATTAAGTTTATCAGATTGGGTTTCGAGAAAGTATGGATTTGGGGGGGGATGCTTGATTCTCAAGATTTCAAGGGTGCGCAACGTAGAATTGTAGATGGATGGTCGGAGGCGTTCCGGGTCGGGGTCTCCAACATCCAGTAAAGTCACGTGCTTACAATTGGTATAGAAATGACAAGGGTGAATGAGCTGGGGAATTTTATCCAATTGCCATGCTCAAATATAAGTGTAGATACTAAATAGGTTGTAAGATGTGACAGATACATATGTTCAGCAGTATGTATGTACAGTATCCTAGGACGATCATATCGTGAGCGTTTCATTAATCCTTCATGAGGGCGAAGCGTGGAATCGTGAGAGTAGTAGTAGGTAGGTAGAGAGGCCTGCATTTCCTCATATCATGACATGAGATCTCATTACATGGACATTGACCGGTATGGTTACGACCGAAGCCAGCCGAATTTCTTGCGGCCTGGGTCGCCGCCGGCGCCTGGTTCAACTTGCTTACTGCGGTCATACAGTTCCTGCGAGAGTCAGCACATGACATAGTAGTTGCTAAGGAGACGATGAACATACATCATCGTCAGCTGGAACCTTGGTGTCCAGAATCAACCTAGCAACTTCATCATACCGGTGCAGGTGTGGATAAGGAGTCTTCTGGCTGCGTTGGAGGCCAATAACCACTTCGCCCATCACTTCGAATTTTCGCCAGTTGATCCGCGTACGGTTGTCGCCGATAAAAGTCCTGTTTCCCTCTTCGGCGGAAACAAGGTCGCGGCGGTGGAGCGGTAGGAACGGTATGCGCTCGGAGAAGGAGTTGTCCCAAGCCAGGCGATATGCAAAGTGGCTCTTCTGTGTGCCCATGAGAATCAACAGTCGCATAAAATCCTTGTGAATTTGTGGTGGAACCAGCTCGCGAGTTTGACCGAGTCGAGAAACCGGTCCCCCATTGATTCCAGCAAGCACCGCTCCTAGAGAGTTATAATTATTCAGACGTCGAAGTTTCTGGGGTTGGTTAGCAAGCTATCATTTAGTCTCATCTGGCGCACGTACCTGAGCGATGTTCATAAACTTCTCCAATGCCCTTGCCCGGTGCTTTGGCTTATCCCGCAACAGGATTACACTTGCCACGAAGAATGCCACATGGTTGAAATGCTTGATCATGCGGTTGACGTGCTTCAAGCTTTGGATTTTGTCCTTGTCCGGTCCTGAGATACTCACATGGCGCACAAGATCTCGTGGCCGGAAAGTGTTAAACATTACCCAGTCCATGCGAGTCAACTCATTTGCAAAATCCTCATCCGGGATTTCCATCAACTGCCGCCATACCACTTTTGTCAAGGGAATTCGTCCCATCAGTTCCATACCGCTGGCTTCTCTCTGTGCACTGTCGATGCTCAAAAACGTAAACGACTGGCTTGGGATAGTGCCAGGCTTTTCGAGAGATGGGTTCGACAATGTGGCTGATAGCTTCATAGGCTGATCGTGCATGCCCTCGCTGAGATCCAGCGCACTCATGCTGTATATAGGGTCTTCTTCTTCTTCGTTGTTGTCATCATCGTCCTCAACGTCATTTCCAATCGAAAAGCCACCCAAAAACATAGAAGGCGAGCTCCTGATTGGGTTATCGACCGGCGTCTCGTTCTCATCGAAAGCTTCGACTTCCCCATCTTTGTATGCCCACCCAACATCATCATCCTCCGCATTTACTTCCAGGTATGATCCAATTTCCTTGGCCGCAAACATGTAAAAGTGACTCCTCTCAAGAGTTGTGACAAAATCCAGAATCCGCTTTCTCGTCTTGGGATATGCCAGGTCGCCGGCATACTCCGAAACCCACTGGGCAATGACATTGAGCAGTCTGGATTGGTCGGCAATCCGTGTCAACTGATCCGTGATCTCTTTTTCATTTCGCTCAAAACGGTTTATCAACGCGTTCAGCAGGGTAGCTGGGGCAGCAAATTTCCTATAAAGACAGAGGAATATTGACGCGAATTTAGAGTCTTGCTTTGATATTGGCGGGGCGACGAGACGATCAACCAATTCATCAAATGTGAAGCCTCTTTCGCTTGTGGAACTTTCGCTAGATGCCTTGTCCTTACTTTCCGGGCTTGACGGCGTGCTTCGTGGGCCATCATATTCCTCTTGCATCTCCAAAAAGCCATTAAAAGCATCGGAGCCACCACTATTGCGCCAGGCTGACTGAATTAAACGCTGACGAGTTTGATCCTTACCTGGGGAGGAATCCGCGGTGGCTGAGGGTCTCTGCGGGTTCAACCGAGAAGGAGGTGTATGCGGTCGCACCGGCTGCGAATTGCTCCGGGCATAGCGTGAACCCTGCGCATTGGAAGCCAGGTTTGGCGACGACTTTGAGTCTGTGGGAGGGCGGTCGACGCCGTACCCTTCGACTCCTGGATCGAGAGTACTACTGAAGGGGCCGCCCGCGGCTCCTGCGAGCAATGGTGTGGGGTTTTCTGAGCGGGCGCGAGTGTGATGCCACTCGTGTGTGCTGGGGGGACTGGGACACTTCTCAGCTATAACTAAAGTAATGATTAGCCTCAAATATGTGAAACAAGTGCGACGAGAAACAGCAGTGGAACCGATGTTGCCCCTGTCGCTGCTGTTTTGGAGTTGCACTCCAGGGATCAACGCCCAGCGGAGAAAAGATGGCAAGAGGGTACGCGAGACTAAATCCAACGAGCTAGTGCGAACGAGGCAGGTCTGAATCCTGATGGACTGTCGACCAATTTTCCAGCGCACATCATACAACCACGTATGTCAAGTGACGCAGGCCGTATACAAGGGTATTGTCGCATGGCCGAATCCATTACTCTCGCTCTCTCATCACCATTCTCTTTCCTCGGAATCATGCATATCAGGGGGCAACAATGTAATTTTGACTCTGACACTTACCATCTCTTTGGCTAAAGACGTCGCGCAAAATAACAGCGATACACATCTTCTGCTTCTGAGGCGAATCGGGAGATGTTCGGTGAATGTCATAGCTTCCAAATGGCGTCTCGAATGGTCCATCAGGACTCCGCTTATCGCAGTTAGTAGCAACCAGCACGAAGGGAACTGAAGCGGCGACAAAGGTGTCTGAGTGAGAGTCTTGTAAGCTTCAACCATAGAGACACATCATAAAGACCGGTGATGACAGACCTAGCATTCTCGACGTTTCCGAATGTGCAGAAGGGCGATCCGCATCGTATAATAGCAATGCGCCGTCAACACTGGGAGGTGAATCGTTCCCCAGCAGTGGCCACCTCAATTTTCCATTGCTAGCGAGCGAGACCTCATCCGTGTGTACTTCCACTAGGCGAACAACGTACACCGTTCCGTCGAGAGACATCTTCTTCGTTGTAGATCTGGATGAAAGCGGATATTTCATCTCTAGAGCGCTCTGGATAAAGGTCGTCTTGCCAACTTTGTCTCCACCGACGACAGCAATGCTCACATGCGGAAAACTTGATTTGGGATTCGTCTACATATCGTTTGATGGTCAGAAGCGCGTTCCACCACGTCAATTGCGCAAAGCATGGGGGTCATACCTCGTTCCCGACCTGGGGTGATGAGACCGCGGTACCCCCGCCATGTGTCGGACCTTCGTCCTCCTCAACAAGTGTCCGTCCAACACTACTGCTACCTTCCATCGCCGCTCTAGTTGAATCGAGTTTATATAGTCCGCCGGGCGGAGCGGAAATTGTTCGACTCTGGAGACCGGGTCGTTGAGGGACGAGGCCGGCCTGGGCCCGATCGCTAGAGGCCCGCTCCCTTCTCGAAGGTTGGGAGGCCATGTAGAAGGAATCGATCGTATGTACCGGTGGACGGCCCTATGTCGCGAATAAGGGTCGATCAAGCGAACAGAGTGCGACAGCGCAGAGTCCAACGGCTAGGTAGATAGGTGAAGCGGGCACAGCAGCTCATCCATTGTCGCTTTGAGTGAACTCGAAAAGACTACCCCGTTTGTCTGGCGTTACACCGGTTTCCTCGCGTCTAAGTTCCCTTGCAAATTGTCACTCGTGGACCCCGTTCAACGCGCTTTGGAGGCCGTGCAATGATCGTTTTTCCTTCTTCCTTTTCCCCGAACAATTGGCGGATGACTGTAAAGATGAGTAGACCGCAAGTTGGAACGATCCCGACCTGCTGATCCAAGGAGAATAAAACGGATAGATCTCACAATTTCACCGCTTGATGTAGAATCGGCCCAAGCAATTGATCGATCATATACCCCGTACTCGCCAAAAAGATCTCACTCAGCCGAGCCGACCCCAAGCCACGGAGGCAACAGGACAAGAGCGGCTCGAATGAGCAGACCGAGCGACAATGAAATCCTCGGTCGCAGCCAATAACCAAAGGGAATCAAACAGAGACTATAAAAATTGATGCCGATCTCGCGTGGGTTGAGGGACAAGGCAGGTAAGAAAATCAGCTTGCAGCAGGAGTAGTCCAGGCTTTGTTGGTGGTTCAACCATTCAGCAGAAGTGCGGGATCTGCAGAGTGCAAACCTCTCACTCAAGGCTCGATGTGCACCAAGCTCGTAGAGCGCAGGTCACTCCTAGCGGCTAAGGAGCTCGAAAGCTGATGATTTATTCGTGGAGATGAAGGACTTGACAGAAAGGAAGAGGCAGGATAAAAACTGACTGTCGAATCGCAGGGCAGAGAACTAGAAACCAAAATCTTACTAGCGACGGGCCTGGACGAATCGCGCGGTCAACCCCAGAGCGTAATACAAGACAGGTTTCGCAGCAGATCAATAGCCGTTCCGAATCAGAAAAGGAGAGCACGGAATAAGCGGATGTGCTTGCGTCCAACACCTGAAGTTCTGAGCTAGAGTATTGGATAATTGTCGATGACGAAACTAGTCTTTACGGAGTGTGGGTGAATCGCGGGGGAAATATATTTTTTGACTGGGGTTGCGGGAATCAACAATTCGACCTGTTGCAGAAAATGAAGAGCCACAAGCGCTTGCTAATCATACGCCAATGAACACTTGATATTGACAAATATCTATAGCCTACATTCTACTATTTGAGGCCGATTCAGTTGGTGATGAGTCAGGCCGTAGCAGGTGTATACGTCCAAGGCGTACGGCACTAGCTCATAAGCCTAAAGTATAGTAAGGCGCACTGGTCTTCTCCCAAGCTATGAGACAGATGAGATCTGGTCGTGATGGAGCAGATTCTGGCCCCATGTGAGGTTTTCGTAGCGTCAAGTCGACCCGAGACAATGTCTCATGTAGACTCAATAGTATGTTTGCTTGAGCCGAATCCTGCTGGCCATGGTCTAAGATGGGTCCGAAGAGAGCGTAGATAAGCTGGCGTTGAGAACCGGTCTTTGCTATGCATATCCAGCTTACCAAGTGAGATGCGTGCCGGGTCGATACTTAACGCCCTGATCGCGCGTCTCCGAGTTGAAGACATTTATCTTTCCGTTAGTGAGTATGCATGCCGCGAGCTGGAACAGCACCAGACAAGCTCATTGATGTTCCTGCAACTGGCCCTCGTTGACGAGAGTTAAGAGCCGCATGAAGCCCTCAGCAACTTTGCCGGTCTCTGAACCATCATCACATTGACCCCGGTATTTTCGGACCTTGCCCAGACCTCTCTTGAAGCCCTTTTCCCTGGTCCACGGCCCATGACTCCGCGGGGGTTGTTTGCCTCTCCCAAAATGACGCGGTCTGTCCTTGTAAGCCGGCCCCTCAACCCATTGCTCCTCCAAAGTAGCCGTGTATATATCTCGGAGTTGATCGCGGAGTGGCGGATACCGTTCCAAAACGTCTTTAATCCGTGTCGACAACCCTTGGGGTGTTAAGTCATGTCCATTCCGCACAGGCTGGCTCTCGTAGCTGGCTTCATGTCCATGTGCTTCACTGGATTGCGGCAGCGTATCGGTAGCATCTTCGAAGTCCTTGGGCGCCTTGGGTGCGCAATATATTTTGTGTGTCCGAGTACACGCGAGAGAGCAACTGTAGAGCAGATGAGAGCCGGCTTTTTTGATTAGATTATAGGTCAGAAAACTTACCTCATTAGCTCACAGGTAGGGCACCGGTACTTGGAGGGCTCTGAGGCGCAGACCTCGCAGAGACTCGTCATCGCTGTGTTTTAGCATGAAAGTGTTTCCGACTTATGGCCACAAGACCGCCAACTTGACGGCCGCTATGTAATAACACAGTCCACCCAGGGAATGCAATAATAGAGATCCAAGAAGCAACGATAAAGATTCAGTGAGAAATCACGTGACTAAACTCGGAGTTAGGTCTTAAACCCGGATCGAAGGTGGCGAACCTAGGTTCGAGTACGGCATGCCATAGCCACCACAAGCACAACCGCAACCAGGAACTACTGTCAACAAAATGACTGAGCCAGGTTTATCCGGGATATTCCTTGTTGGAGATTCTTGAGCAGGGTCTAGTCCCTGTATGCCATGCTTTTGCCGAGGTAACAGTCCGATGCCGACTAGTAGCGATGGGAGGCATTCCCTATACTTCGGGGGGCTGTGGAACTTGCCGGCGCCGCAAGGTGAAGGTATGCAGCCCTGCAGGACACAAAAATGACTCCAGACTAACTTGTGGTCAGTGTGATGAGACGAAACCGGAGTGCTTACGCTGTACCAAGTACGGCCATGAGTGTGCTGGCTACAATAAGAAGAGGGTCTTCCTCCACGGTCGCACTGCGACGACTGGCAAGCCTGGGAAACTGGCGCCCGATTTAAATCTCGCGTTGGTCAAGAACCGGAAAGTTGATCTGCCTCGTCCAAATGTCAACCCTGAGCTCAGGGTTCAGCTGCTTACGGCATTTATCGAGGGGTATCTTCCCCAGCAACCGCATCTGCGGGACAGGACTGGACGGACGTTCCTCGAAGCCCTTCCAGATCTTACTGGAGGCAGTGCCATTCTCGAGAAAGCCGGCATATCTCTTGCCGCGGTCTATCTCGCGAAACAGAATCAGGATGATCGGCTGCTCCAATACAGTAGCAAACTCTATGGCAACACTCTGAAGACTCTTCAGGGCAGAATTAAATCTGGCGCCAAACTGGGGCAGGATGTTCTATACACCACTGTTATTCTCCAATTATATGAGGTAAGGATGACCGTGTCCTGCTGCATGAATTCGTGTCTTACTTATACTAGTTGATCGATTGCTCTCCACCGGGTTTTATGGCGTGGATAGCGCACGTTCAGGGCAGCATTGCAATTTCTACACAGACGTCAGCCCAAGGAGAGCGGACCGTTGCAGAAAAGCTGTTTCACCGTCAGTTGAAATATGTGACAGTGAGTCTACCTCCTGCCATTGTGACCGAGGCCCGCTCATTCTTTATGATCCAGCTATGCGACTCGATAGGGAAGCGGAAAGCCCCCTACCTGTACAATACACAGCTATGGCGGAATAGCAACTCAAACGAAGACGATAACCTTGACCCAATCGACGAGTTCATTAATCTTCTAGCCAAGTGTTCTGCGATTATGGAACAAGTCGACTGTTATATTTTCAACCTACCCGAAAACTTTGAGAAAGCGTCCCGGACCGGGAATCAGCTCCTGCATACTTGCCTAAAGTTCGAGGAAGACCTCCACCAAGTATTTCTCTCCATGCAGCGGAAACTGGGTCAACCAAGGGTCTCACCTGTGCCGCTGGGGGGCTTTCGTGATTCTCTGGAAACTGACTTGTTTCCGGAGCCCCTCAATTTTCCATCCTTGACCTGTGCGGAATCTCACCTGGTTTATTGGGCTACCCTTATCTTGCTTTACCCACTCATTGGCGAACTATACTCAGTTCTTGGCAAACCATCTTCAGATTTCCCGGTCCCCTTGTACTATGATTCGAATGGGGGGACAGCGGATCGAGCCACTGAAATATCAAGTGCTGATACCACTGCGGCGTATACAGCACTTGCAGAACATTATGCTGGTGAAATTTGCCGCTCAGTCTTTTATTTTATACAACCTGATATGAAGACATTAGGGGCGCAACTGCTGTTGGCGCCCTTGAGCCAGTGTGTGCAGTTTTTCCATGTTGAGGGGTTAACTGCCAAATTGAAGTGGTGCCAAGGTGTGCTCACGATGTTAGCAAACCTCAGTCTCGGAATTGCCCCTTTGTTGAAAAATATGGTTTGGCCTCAATATCGCGATGCTCAAGGAAGGAGACTATCCGCTTCAAAAGCTCTCAATGGCTGAAGATATTCATCTTGCGAACGCACAAGCCCTCTTTATGGCTGTATTCCAGAAATCCGCCGTGCTCCTCTGGTTAAGGCGGTGTATACAATCCTTACATTGCCGGTAACATGACAGAGATCTCGAAAAACGCGTTTTTATGGAGCTTCCACTCATGATTGAGATGAAGCAGTTCATTTGGATCTAAATGAACGCCATTCGATTGGCTGCTGAATGTATTTGTCAGCGACTGTTGGTCACGTGGACTTAAATTGCGTCAGAGCCCCAATGCCGGCGAGCCATAATCAAAAAACTATCCGGAGACAATAATCCAACGCAGCAAAACACATACCCTGCTTGAGTCTCCGATTCGCAAAATGACTGCAAGCTCAGCGTCTACACAAATGGTCAAGCGCACCATCCTCGCCAGCCGGTTGACCGCACAAATCTCGAACGTTACCGAAGCTTCTCCTCGGACAATCAGACCCTTTGCCTTTGGTTCAATCCGAAGGATTCACAACTCGGCACGCCTGCCCACAATCACTGCTTCAGAGATCCGGCATAGGCCGACGCTGCGACCACATCAGCTGTCTGCGACTCACACCCGGGTCAACGGGCAGCCCCCTACCGGCAAACGAACCATCTTTATACAGACGGAGTCGACCCCAAATCCTGATGTAAGTTACGGCGAGATTTTGAGTACCCAGCAAGAAAATAACCATAGTTTCCTTTATATAGGCTTTGAAGTTCATCCCCAACCACAGGGTTCTTCCAGAGAAATTCCCTACCTCGTTCTTGGAGTACCTCTCCCCCCGCTCCACTCTTGCTCCCCCGCATCCCTCATCGCTTGCCTCAAACCTTTTCAACGTCGAAGGCGTGCAATCAGTCTTCTTTGGACCCGACTTTATCACAGTAACCAAAGCTAGCGATTCGAATTGGGCCCACATCAAACCCGAGGTATTCAGTCTCATCACCCAGGCCGTGACCTCCGGCGAGTCGATCGTCAACACCGTGGAAAAGAGTGGGGAGAACGCACAAAAAGGTGGCGACGAGGACTCGCTCAGCTACAATGAAGAAGATGACGAAGTCGTCAGCATGATCAAGGAGCTTCTGGAGACGCGGATCAGGCCCGCCATCCAGGAAGACGGCGGAGACATTGAGTTCAGAGGATTCGAGAATGGAATCGTCCTGTTGAAGCTGCGCGGCGCATGCCGGACGTGCGATTCCAGCACCGTTACCCTGCGCAATGGAATTGAATCCATGCTTATGCATTACGTGAGTTTGATTCCAGACTATCTTGCTCAATGCGTCTTGAATGCGAGCACTAACGGCACGCCCACTGGAAACAGATTGAAGAGGTTCAGGGTGTTGAGCAAGCCATTGATGAGGAGGAGGAGATCTCCATGCACGAATTCGCCAAGTTTGAGGAGAAACTCCGACAGCAAAAGGGTGCTCAGGCCACTGCTCCCTCATCGCTCGACTCGGCTCCTTAGAAAGCACGTTTTCGGTATCGTAGATAGCCAATCGCTCGATATTCCCTGTACAATATACATCATGATTCAAGCTGAAACTCTACGTAACTTGGAATACCCGCATATCATTGCGGAGGCAACATGAACCTTCTGTACCTACCCGAGCCGCAGCCTACCTTAATAGCAGCTTGGGGTACCTTATCCAGATCCGTAGGGCGTAGGCGAGCAACAAAGAAAGCTTATAGTAAGGAGCCCCATCTTATTCTCACCATCTTCGGAGTCTACTTTCCTTGCCTGCACGGAACTTTGTGCCGACCCCACGGCCGGTTTCAGTAAAAATCAATAAACGCCGGCCTCCGATGAAGCTGCAAAAGTACGTACGTATCGGTTAGTGCCGGGGAGTTCGAGAGTCGACGGCCAAGACGAGACTCGCGACTCGCGAGGCGGTGCTTTGTGTGGTAAGGAGGGGTTTTAGCCTCTGTAAGGTGGAGTCTGGGGATAGCGACCTCAAGACTCGACAGACTTTTAAGTACACTCGAAGTACACCTGGTTGCTTCTACAAGACCAGGTAGAGTGCTACTCTGCGCTGACAAGACGTGGCTAGCCCCGGGTTCGGGAAATGCAGAGCCCGGGCAATATCATATAGGTATAGTTGACGGCATTATTTAGCAGTTTATGGTAGATGTCCCTGGAGCCTGCAGCACACGCCTACGGAGTAAATTTTCTCTGACAGTAAGAGTAAGAGAACGGGTCCCGTGACGCAAATCGCAAATGTACCCCGCATTTTCTTTTCTGCCCGCGGCTGTCATCGCCGCATCGGTGAATCGGTGTTTCTACGCCTATGGAGGACTCCGTATGGATGGAATCATTATTGTGAAAAGAAAGTTGGGGCGGGGAGGCTGGGCAGCGAGCGGGTCATCGACTCGGCGCCACTCCACCAAACTGTCATATCTGAAACGGGCAAAGTGTCGAGAGACAAGCAAGAAATGCTGGGGTTAGTCGCAGATGCCGGGGAATGATAGTACTCCGTAATGATGATGTTTGCTATGTGCGAGGGGGTTTGCATTCGGCAGGATTCGAGGCGCTGGGCTGGGCGGAGTCTGCAAGAGAAAGTGTGGAAGGACATGTGGTTTCTTCTGTGTGGCTTCGAGTCAAAAGTTGGTTTACGGGCTGGGCTCGGACCTAGCGTGCTGGGTATTGAATAATAATGTACGGGGCACGGGCAGGTAGATGACAGCTGCATGGAGAACCCCTATACTCCATCCATCATAATTCCGCCGGGACCGACAATCCAGGATCGACGCTTGGATTTGCGAACTGGAATGCCACGCGATTCGCGAGGGAACGGTAGGATCGTGCTGTAGACAGGTACGGTACATATCTCTAGATTTTGAGGGATGATATCACGATTCATGACGCTGTTCGTCGGAGTATGGTCGGAGTTACGTAGCGGGCTGCCATCGCAATTTAGTCTGATATTGACACTTTGGGGTAAGACGATCGCGATCCGTGAGTTTTCTGGGCCGCTGTCATTTGCCAACCACTCAAGCGAGGGATGGAATTGAGCCCCTCCATGGATTCCCGGTGCATGCCATAGACCTCCATGCCACAGAATAATCAGATCAATGCTGTCATCCTGTCAGAAGACTCGGACTACATGGAAAAAGCAAGCGGCAACTTGCCACACGGCCATCGATCTGTCAAGCGAGCAGCGCGTGTAATTGGGCTGGGTGTGAAAAGCCAGACCCAAATGGAAGCTCTCTCCGCAATTCTATCGAGCGCGGCGATCCTGCATTAGGGCCACTGCCCGCCAATTTCGCCCCCCCTTCGGAAGCCGCCTTGGTCGGAATTGCAAGACATCCCCCGCAATTGAAGTGTGCAGTGATCTCTGGATGAAAAGTCTGCTCGCCCAAGGAGAGTGCAACATGGCTTAGAGACGAAGTAGGGTACTCCGAGATGACGTACCCTACTTTGTCTGTTCCACGAGAAGGCTGATCATCATCAACTCCAGGTTGAAGCTGTAGAGAATCCAAGCGGTATGAGGGATTTCAGGAGTACAGACGACCCAGTAGACCCTGGGCTATCCTGGTCTTCATGTGCGTTGTTCCGGACAAGCTGCTGCTAGCAACGGGAGCCCGAGCTTGAGGCATTAAAGTTGTCATCCTGATCCTGTCGATGTACAGGGACAGGTACTCTGTATATCAATGCGAGAAATTGGAACGTGAGATCTTGGTCAGAACCGTCTGAGATGCTGGGGCATTTTCTAGGCCAGTGAGCGGCGTGGAGGATCTTCAACTTGGCCGATAGAGCCCCGCCAGACCCACCGTTGCCATCGTTTCATTGAGATCGCTCGCTTTCAGGAGCCTTCAAATATTCAGCACCAGCATCTGTTCGTCAGGGACAATGCTGGCCCTCGCACTCGAGTAGGACCGCCTCGCGACAGAAGGTGACCTGGTACTACGGTGCGACCACCTCCCCTCCCTCAGCCAAGTCGTACATCTCGTAGTCCGCTGAAGCGGGATTGGTTAGCTGATCGTGTGCATAACGGACGGTTGACTATCCAGACTCCCTGTTGCTTACCCCGCCCTCATCGCTGTCGTTTAATCTAATTTTGCCAGTCGACAGGCGGCCTCTGTGTGTGGCAGTCCGCAGAAGAGCGCTTCCATGGATGTCGTAGATGGCGGGCACCATACCCGGCTCTGATAATGCGAGGATCACGCTCCTTCTTACCAGCGAATCAGGCAGATAGAAGAGCGCAAAAGTCAACCAAGCGACCAGGGAAAAATCAATGGAGGCCGGGGCCTAAACTGGGCCGGCCGAAGCTCCCAGGACTTGCGCCACTTCTGCTGGGGGCCCCGACCCGTGGCTCGTCGTCTCCTCCTCCTTTGTATCCACCGTCCAGTGGCCTGAGCCTGAGCCAGCCTGAGCACTGCGGTTAGCTCACCTCCCCTTAGCTTCTTCGTTATTCCTTACCACTCACTGTACAACCTCTTCTCCTCTTTTCTACCGTTCTTCTGCCCTGGCCCTGGGTCCTCTCGCTCTGCTTTATTATTTATTCTCGTCGAGACGCTTTCTTTAAATCTCGCCTGACCCCATCAGCCCACCGGCTCTGATCTTGCTCCGCAAGAACTCGTTCCCCAGATTCTCACTGCGGGCCGTCGCATCAACCTCTCAGCACTGCACTTTGCCTCCTTCCGCCTCACCAACTGGACCGTCCCTGCGAACTCGGGCCGTCCTACTTACCCTCCGCACTCCCGCTCTCTCCTGTCTTCTCGCGCCCGATCAAGGGGAGAAAAGACCTTCTCACCTGATCCCCCTCGACCGAATCGCACGGCATACAATTCGCTTTCCCTGTTTCCCGTCCGCCTCAAGATGCGCTGCTCTTGAGCAGACCCGCCCATAGTTACTGGAGCCAGATCGCTTTCCAACGTCATTTTGGATGGTCACGCTACCATCACGTACGATCCCGCATTTCCAGTGATATCTCCAAGTCGCGATTCCGAGCCGAGCACCAATTAGACTCATTTTTCCTACTGTGAGCCGGGGTATAATAGTATTAATAAAAACAGGGGTGGAAGACAAAAACGAGACCATATTACTACGATTTCGACTAGACCCTTCGATTCCATTTGGCGCCCTCGACCTGTCGCGAAGCGCCGCCACCTCTTACATACCCTGTTCTGTTTCTTTAGACTGGAAGCCTGGTCGCTTCTGATACGGCGCTGAGTTGCTTTCAAAAGACGGATATTTACACTGCGGTACGGCTTGACTTTTTTCGACTTTGCGTTCCTGGGTTGGGTATAGATCATAAAAGTTTCGTTCTTACATTCTAGACTGGTGAGTTGTCAGTCTGTTCACATGGAGTGCGTCTGTCGCTAATGTTGAGGTCTGGCAGACGCGATCACGAATTTGCTGCGCTTTTTATACCCACTCTTGTTTTTCAGAAACTGGGAGTAAGATTCAGGCTGTTATAGCAGTTCCCAGTGGAGGTGAATTGTCCTTTTACTAGCAAGGTGAGTGAGTGCTAACATCTCTTCCTTTTGTTCTGTTCTTCCTTGCGATTGTAATGCGCACTTACATGCCATGGTCTGGGAGAGTTGCTTCGCATAGGGAGACCGCGAGGGTTCTATGTTGTCTCCGAGGTCTGTGAATGAATGTATGGTACTGGACAGCATTCACAGTGATTGGATGATGCGAACTTTGTCCTCAGACTGTATTCCTCAAGCCTTATTCACCATGTGGCATTCACAGTACTGTTTCAGCATGGTTCTCCATGAGATGAGTTTGAGTGGCGACATGAGCTTTCTATTTAAGCACAGCAGTTGCTGGTCCAGTCAGCTGTCTCTTGTTGCTGGCCTCACCTCTTTGATTTCTTTTCTTTTGTGCAATATACAATCAGTTACCATCCTTGTGTACTGCATGACTCAGTGTATAGGGCTAACTGAAGCTCTGATGAACAGGCTATACACTGCGGAGTCTACCATTTCCCTTCGCATTGTAGTCTGACCATCAATCCTAGAGGTGAGAACAATCCTCATATACTCATTTAACCCTGTTTTGCATGTCTCAGTGCTGACATTAGGCAGCAGGTCTATTGGACAAGCGATTCCCTGCAACGGTCTAGCCACATTCTAAGTTGGACAAAAAAAAAGCCTCATATTTGCTCAATTCTATCTATTTCTGGCTTTCGGCCGGAGCTACTGCAAAAGGTATGTCCTGGACGATCTTCAGCGTGGGCTTTTTCCCTCCACATTTCCCAAACATCCCCAGATTCCTCCTTCGCTCTTCAATAAACCGCCCATGCGTTTACCGTTCATATTGGTTGAGTTTCCTGTGCCTTCAAAGCTCACGACTGGTTTGTATGTAGTACTTTCAGTCGAGTTGTCAGCTAGAGCTCGCCGTCTTCGTTGTCTTGAAGTGGTGATCATTCGCCAGCTTGAAAAGCACCATGGCCTCGCCGTTCAACACCAAACCGTCCGCGGTCTCGCACACTCCGCCCAGCAATGCGTCAACCAGACTGGAGAAAGCTCACCCTGGACTCCGCCGTTCTACCCCAGACTCTGAAGCCCTCGCGTCTTCTGATGACGATGGGGAGCATCCGTTGCCCGCGCCTTCTACGACTGTGCCTGCACAAAAGCCTGCACGTCGAACCTCCTGGCTCAACGAGATCCCTGCTTCCATGCCTAGAAAGACGTCAGTGACTGGCCCTCTTTCCTCTGGCGCTTCCAATCCGACTAGTCCTGCTACTGATCAGTCTGGATGGCAAAACACCGCAAGCCCTGGACTGAACAGCTCTATAACCTGGAACAACGTTGGAAACAGTTCATTCCCATGGGGCACCGGAATATGGAACACAGACTCACGTAAAGAACCTCCTCCTCGGCTCTCGGAGATGGTTCCGTCTCCCACAACGTCCATCCCGTCCACCGCAAGCAATTACTTGACTGAAGAGCTCCTGAGCCCAACCGCTCGGACAACTTCGGGTGAATCCTCTATCCCCTTCTCTATCCCGCTTCACCCGACCCCGAAAACCTACCGCTCGCAGTCTTACTCTGTGGGCCAGCTTGATCCTGAATACTCGGGCTTGACAGCAGGCAATAAAACCAACACTGCTTACCCTGGTGGCCGTTCTCGAAACGGTGGACAGTTCTCCGCCTTGCAGCATCGCTCCTCTCGACCTAGCCTGCTTGGAGAGTTAGGCCACGATCCCGCAACCCTTGGTCGCGTTCGTGAGGACGAGGATGATGATGATGCTGAGAGCCCTGGTGGGTCTGATGGCAGCTACAGCAATCTCAGCGCGGACCAAGCTCGCACCATTCAGCAGCTCTCTCGCGAAAACGCCCTCCTGCGCCAAGCGGCTGGGCAGCTCGAACCTTCATTCAGAGACCGCGCCATGTCCACTGCAACGGCAACTAGCGGATATGCGGTTGGCGGCGGAATTCGTAGCTCGCACCGCATCCATGGTAGCGTCCCCGAAGAAGCAGATCTCGCAGTGGAGGATCTGGATGAGGTGGGCAGCATCCCCGGCTACAATGATATGTACAGCAACACCAGGAGAAGATTTTCCGAGCACTCGGGCAATTTAGAAAAGCAGTTTGCCGCCTACGCGCCTTTGGAGAATCGTGGCATGGGTAGGGCGCACTGGCAAACCTCCCTTGGCTTTGGTAGTCTTGCAGATATCCCCCAAAGTCGCCGTCACTCCTTCGCTGACATATCAACTCGCCATCCTTCTATCTCTGGCGATACTCAGGTAGCCAGTAGCTCTCGGTTGACTGAACAGGATGAAAATTATGCTATGGGCGACACTTCGAATGCATCAGGCCAAAATCGTGAGTACCAGCGCCTTGCTATGCTCCCTCGCCCCGAGGAGGAACATGAATTGGAGACGGAGTATTTACGAGCTCGTCGATTTGCAGAGTCTTATTTTGCTCGCGATCCCTCTCTTCGCAGTGCCGCCGAGGCTCAATCTCCGATGACTCCTTCCTTTCATCAGAGCTTCAACCCCTATGGCCGCCACCAACCTGTACTTCCGCGTCAAAACCAGCTGCTTTACATTGTCACGTTCAAGTGCCACCGTGCGGACGTCTTCTACATCCAGGAAGATACTGGTCTTGAAGTCAAACCTGGAGACCTGGTCATTGTAGAAGCAGACCGTGGCACAGATCTTGGAACTATCCAGCATGCCAACATCTCCTTGCAGAAGGCGCGAGAAATGAAACAGCAATACGCCGAAGAGCACTACAAATGGTTGATGATGTTCTCAAGGCAAGGTCAGAATGGTGCTGCAGGTTCCGTTGGCACGCCGGGCAGTGTCCCTGGCTTGGGTAGCCGGAGCGCTATTGGTGGCATGGGACCCCATGGCGCACTCGGCGTGCAGGAGTCTGCTGGTGAAATCAAACCGAAGTTGATCAAGCGACTTGCCCAGAACCATGAAATCTTGACTTTGCGCGATAAGGAGGGAAATGAAGCAAAGGCCAAGCGTGTTTGCCAGCAGAAGGTCGCAGAACATCGACTCAACATGGAGATTCTTGACGCGGAATTCCAAATGTGAGTGTTACCCTGCCGTTTCTCTTGACAAAAAGCTAACCTCTCTTAGGGACTGGAAGAAACTTACTTTCTATTACTTCGCCGACTCCTATATCAACTTCAACTCTCTTGTTACAGACCTTTTCAAGATCTACAAAACTAGAATTTGGATGTCGGCCATCAACCCGGCGTCGTTTGTCACACCTCCCACTGCCGGTCTTCATAGCCCAAACCCCCTCGGTTATGGTCAGGATACCCCGGGAGACCGTTCCCACCAACGTGACGGCAGAGGCTTTGGTCACTCCCGTGACGGCCTGGATGCTGGACGGGATGGTATTGGCCTTCTACGCAGTGGATACGGTGACGCCTATCAACAATTTGGTCTTACTTCTCGTCAACCCGAAGCTGGTCTCCCAGTCGATCCTTTTACCTCCTATCAACCGGGTGGATATGGTTCCTTGGAGTACAACGATTATGCCACAACTTCAGGAGGCAACGCTGGTCCATCTCGTATGCAGCCCGCCCCCGGTGAATGGATGAGCCGTTTCCAGGGCTTGTCACTCAACTCTTGAAGCTGGGTTTCAAGAGGCGGCTTGGCTCTGTTCTAGGTTCCATCTTGTTTGACACTCGCTTCCATCGCATGGCGGATTTCCAGTTTTCAAGATGTCCACTTCCTCTCGATTCAACCTGTACTCAGTTTCCTTTTCTGTTTCATTGGCTTTTTTTTACCGTCTACCTGTCCCTTCCCTTCCTTCTAATGTGTCATAAGAGGCTAGAAATTATGTGCAATGGGTCAAGAAAGATATGGTCTGTCGTTGGTGCTGGTTCTCGATAGACTTTTCAGCTTCACGATCAGACGGCGCGGCGGCTTTCCTTTTTCAAACATATCTCTTCGTTTCTTCTCCACAAATGTACAATCTCTCTGTTCCCTTTTAGTAGGTGTTTTCTGTTCGTTCTTCGATTTTCCGCTTTCGTTTGTACTTCTTCAAGTTCATGGTGATGGATAATTGCGGAAGATTGTACAAGGTTGGGTCTTCCATGCATCATACAGTTTAGTTTGGTTGTGTTAGGTAGATTCAAGATCAACTGTAATGCCAAAATAAGTGTCATGCCCATTTACCACGGGCTCCAGGATATTGTACGTCTTTGCTTCCACTTGGTTGAAGGAATAAAGGTACGAAGAAGAGGCAGAGCGATCCAGACTTAGAAGGCTTGACAGATTTTGATGCCTTGGGGCCTTAGGGTTGATCCGGCAGTAAGAAATTGCCCTTTCTGCCTGGGGCATACACGACCACCAGCCAAGCGCTGATTGGGTGCACCGGGCTCGCCTAATTTGCTAGCGTCCCACACACAACCTCCTCAAGAGATCTCTTCCTTCGAACTTTTCCAGCTGCGACAACGACGACAAGCCGACGACCTCCACGCCGACAAGGTATGTCAATCAAAACCTCAGCTCCATTACACACCGTCGAATTGAAATCGCAAACACCAACGACGAAACTCGACGAATTGCTTTTCCGAAACTAACAAGAGACTTCCGTTCAGATGGGTGCCCTCAAGTACGTTGAAGAGATTCAAAAGAAGAAGCAGTCCGATGTGATTCGCTTCCTGCTGCGTGTCCGTTGCTGGGAGGTGAGAATTCCCCCCCAAGAGTCGATCATTTAACATCCCGCCGGGTGCTCGTGTGCTTTGCCTGGGGATACCTTTTTGTCGCAGAGAAGGTTCTTAAAGGCGCCTCGAAACAACGATTTTCTTTTCGCCGGCGGATGAATGTTGTGGCACCATCAGGTGTCTTGCTATACACTCGTTGAACTTTGCTGAGAGTGCATCAATATAGCTCCGTCAGCTGAACGCTATCCACCGTGCTTCTCGTCCTTCTCGTCCCGACAAGGCCCGTCGTCTCGGTTACAAGGCCAAGCAGGGATATGTTATCTACCGTATCCGTGTCCGCCGCGGTGGCCGCAAGCGCCCTGTCCCCAAGGGTGCCACCTACGGTATGCTTTAACTCGACTTCATGGCATTGTGTGGAGGCAGGAGGTTAACGGATTTGGGATTATAGGCAAGCCCACCAACATGGGTGTCAACCAGCTCAAGTACCAGCGTGCTCTCGCTGCTACCGCTGAGGAGCGTGTCGGTCGCCGTTGCGCCAACCTGCGCGTCCTGAACTCCTACTGGATCAACCAGGACTCCACCTACAAGTACTTCGAGGTCATCCTCGTCGACCCCCAGCACAAGGCCATCCGCCGTGATGCCCGCATCAACTGGATCTGCAACGCCGTTCACAAGGTACGTTACCTTTACCGGAATCCCGCTCAAGGGAGCTGCCTCCGCGCAAAGCAGTCACTGACCTGGAATTTCTCATTTAGCACCGCGAGGCCCGTGGTCTCACTGCTACCGGCAAGAAGTCCCGTGGTATCAACAAGGGTCACCGCTACAACAACACCTCTTCCGGTCGCCGCCACACCTGGAAGCGCCAGAACACCCAGAGCTACTGGCGTTACCGTTAAGCGTAGTTGGTTGGGTTTTACGGAGCTTCTGGATTATGGGAAAAAACTATCTTGTCTGTTTCGGCCAAGGCTCGCTTCTTCAATGAGCTCTGTCACGAGATTAATGCAACAGATCCCTTGGGTCGGGTGTTAGCAAAAATTCTTCTATTTTCAAGCATGATTCCCCGTCGCGGCTATTTCTTTAACGAAGTATGACGACTGTTTTTTGTTTCTTCAGCATTATCTGCTTGTAAGGCGTAGTCTGGGCTTGTAGATCAGGCAATCCCTTAAGACATTATTAGCGCTGCCTACTGTGGATGCGTTGAAACTGGCCAAGGGCCCAGGGGAGTTACAGTGGAACCGCCAGCGTTGTAATCATTAATCAGTAGTCAGTCCCCTGTAATAATTAATCACTATCCTGACTGCATTCGAAATCTAGATAAAGAACCTTGATGACGTCTACTATCGCTCGCTAGATAAAACGTGCGATGTAACGGCCGAGTCTGTCTGGACTTTGACGGATGGAGCTCTCCGAAAATAGCAGCGTAACCGTCACAGTGCCCGAAACCCACCAGTTCCTGACTACGGCAGACCTAGACTCACTCCAAGTTCCAACCGGCCGCCCAACTGCTATCTCACAATCAAGGAGATGCATCCCGCTTATGAGTGCCCTGCGGAGTCGTCCAATATTAAACTGTCTCACTCTTTCAGGCGCTCGATGGGTCCGAGGCAAGAGACACCGAAGGGTCCGCTCCAATTAACCGGTCTCTCTACTGGTCCACGGTGTCTTGCGTAACCGCCGGCGATCGTTCTTGTCTTCTGCCTGCTTCTCATCTTCTCTTTCTCTTTCAAATCATTTTTTGGGCATCCTGCAAGATTTGAGGCGATTGGGATTGAATAGCTCATGTGACGGCTAGTCCGCGGACCCGTATTCGCTTCCTTTATCCTGGTTCTGCCTCGCTCCTTCTCCCCGCAGCTGAGGTGCGTTCGATCCCGGCAGGCTACTTCCTGCTTCTTGTTTGCTAGTCCGCTTTCGAGAGATTCAATTTAGCTGACAGTATCTTTTCCCTGATCGCAGGTGCTTCACTACGTCCTGTCTCAATCAGCAGGGATCGACTATCATTGGTAACGAATCTACGAGCCGCATCGTTGATCGCATGACCAAAGACAGCGACGCAACCACATGCCAGTACTCCGACAAAACCTTCATCCAGAACACTCAACTGAACGGCGAAGTCGGTGCGACTAATGCGAACATATGCCGTCGCGGGCTGCGCATAAACCGTCGGTCCAACCACCCGCGAGTTTGGCCGGTATCCAGCCTGGCACAAGCCCTATACCCGTGCCTATAGTTGGTGGCCGCTCCCCGAACCGCGCGCGACATGCCGACCAAAGGGTGACCGGCGCCCCGTTCTCGCCGCCGTCGGGCTCGTCGTATCATCGCGGACACTCGCGTTCTATCAGCCAACCTTTTGCATCGGCCTTTTCTGGAGTTGGCAAGCGCCGGAACAAATCAATATCAGCGGAAGCGAATCTCGACACCGACGATGACGATGACGACGACGATATCTATGTCCCCAATCCGAATCTCATCTCCACGAGCCCTCGCAAGGGCCTGCCACGAGTACCCCTGAAGGAAGAGTTGACGACTGGGAGGTGTATGACCTGCAATAATACCGTGCGATGGCCACGGAGTTTAAAGGTCTTCCGCTGTACGGAATGCCTTACGGTGAACGACCTGGAGCCGTACCGAGATATGAAAGATCCCGTCAACTCAGGGCGCTCGAAAAGGGACGCGAAGCCCACCCAGCAGGCGATTCCCAGGAAAGGTATTTAGCTCACTTACGTGCGCCTTTCTCGTTATGAATTTGGCTGACAGTCAGCTTAGCGATTCCATTCACTATTGAGCGAACCAAGATCATCATTGATCGATGTATCTCCGCCCATTTACAACAATACCTAGGAGCCCCGCCAGTGCCCCCGAAGGATGGGCCGGGTGCTTCCCCACAGACTTCCGTCAAGTGGCCTGACAAATTGCCTGTGCCTGATCGCCCGAGCGCGCCGCGGGGTCGCAGTATGTCTTCCTCAGACACGCGCGAGAGAGCCGGCGGTGACAATGCTAGCTTTGGAAGTTCCAGCTGCCCAAGGACACCTTTTGTCCCGGTTCCGCCGCCTAAGGACACTCTGAGTGCGCCCAAATCTGTTGAACCTCGGGCAAAAAGTCGACCTCGTGACACCGCAAAGAAGGATAGATCTCCCTACATATTCCGAGAGCTTGAGGACTACTTAATATCTGGACTCAAGGGCTGTGACACTCTAAATGTGTCTTTCAATTCATCCCAACATGTTCCCAGATTTACGCCAAGTAACCACCGTCCTGAACGTGGCGCGGAGCAAAATCCTAGGCCTGCGCAGGTGGATACGGCTGTTGAACTTGATGCGAAGACACTCTTAGTGGGAGACTTAGCTGAGAATTCTTCTTGGTGGATGGTCGACGAAGATGCTCCCGGTGTGCCCAACCATAGTCAACACAAGCACAAGACCACGAAAGTAGTCAGTTCTAGGAGCCCACGGATCAACTGGATTGATGTCGATAAGTGGTATCAACTCATTCTAACTGCGGGGACGACCTGGGTCGAGAAGTGGTCAGTCATGAAAGTTCCTGAAGAAAAGGATCCTGCGAGATCAGAAGCATGGCTCATGGCAGACCTCAGTGCAATCGAAAGGGAGTTTACAGACTCGCGTGTACACCTGCACAGGACGCTTTTGAAAGCCACGGAGAGCTTGCTCAAGCGACCCCGGAGACCTTTGAAGAAGCCGGATGATATCAGGTTTCTTCTAATACTTTTCTATAACCCACTAATACATCCGCCTAGCCCGGCACTGTCAAACCTTACCGTCGTGGACGGCGAGCAGAGGCCATCGCGCTCTGCGGAAAGCAAAGGGCGGACGACTGGCAGCAAATCGCATGCCGTAAAAGGCCAAAACGGAGGGCCTGGCCAGCATCCCGGCATCGTCAAACGTATACTGGGCTTGCTGTCGGACCTACCGAGCGATTGCCATCACTATCTGGTCTCCTGGTTTTCACGTTTCTCGGCAGGGCAATTTGAGAAGATCGTTGAGCTTGTGGGCAGGTTCGTGACATATCGCCTATCACGACAGCATGCACGGAGGAAAAGTGAATCGGCAAATGACGACAACTATCTGATACCTAGTTTATCAAGCGCTGCTATGAACACACCGGCAGAGTTACATGCGGCCATCAATGGGATCAATGAGAACAAGCAGGCAAAGAAGAAAGCTGATGCGCCGATAACATACAGTGATGATTGGCAGATCCGTGCTGCAGGTCGAGTTATGGCGCTACTGTTTACCGCAAATAATGCGGATGTCGCTCGCAAGTCAGCAGTACCCTCGAGCCAAGAACCAACTTCCACATCCAGACAGCAAGAAGACCATCGTGGACACATCATCCCAATCAGTTCCTTCTATAGCACGAGGCTCGATTATTCAAACCTTGTGGTCGCTGACTTTGAGGCCTGGGAGTCGAGGACGACGAAATTCTCGTTCTGCCAGTATCCATTCTTTCTCAGTATCGGAGCCAAGATTCAAATCTTGGAGCACGATGCGCGTCGCCAGATGGAGGTCAAAGCTCGTGAAGCCTTTTTCAGCAGCATCCTGACGCGAAAGGCCGTGAGCCAGTATTTTGTGCTGAGAGTACGCCGTGAGTGCTTGGTAGAAGACAGCCTGCAGCGTGTCAGTGAAGTCCTGGGATCCAGCCCTGAGGAAATGAAGAAGGGGCTACGGATTGGATTTGTTGGTGAAGAGGGTGTGGACGCAGGTGGTCTGCGGAAGGAGTGGTTCCTCCTCCTTGTGCGGGAGGTCTTTGATCCCCATCACGGTAGGTCTCGTCTAGATCTCGAATATTGCAGCGGGCTAACTTGCAGCCAAGGACTTTTTCTCTACGACGAGGACTCTCAGTACTGCTATTTCAATCCATACTGTTTAGAGTCGTCGGAGCAATTCTTTTTGGTCGGCGTTGTGCTAGGGCTGGCCATCTATAACTCGATTATTCTTGATATTGCCCTCCCGCCGTTCGCTTTCAAGAAGTTGCTGGCCGGGGCACCGCAAACAACCGGACCTCAACCGTTGACTACGCGCCCTACATATAAATGCAGTATAGATGATCTGGCGGAGTATCGGCCTCTTCTGGCTAGAGGCCTGCAGAGACTTTTGGAGTTTGAGGGCGATGTTGCCGAGACCTTTTGCCAGAGCTTTGTTGCCGACGTCGAACGGTATGGCGAGGTTGTCTCGGTCCCTCTTTGTCCTGGTGGAGAGAAGAAGCCGGTCACGAATGCGAATCGTCGAGAGTTTGTCGATCTCTACGTTCACTACCATCTCGACACCGCGGTAACGCGGCAATTTGAGCCATTCCGGCGCGGATTTTTCAGTGTCTGTGGCGGCAATGCGCTGTCCTTATTCCGCCCTGAGGAGATTGAACTCCTGGTGCGCGGCTCAGACGAGCCGCTAGACGTGAGGTCGCTGCGGGCAGTTGCAACATACTTGAATTGGGGAACACCGAAGCCGGAATCGGTACCTGTGGTGCAGTGGTTTTGGGAGTACTTTGAGCGCGCAAGTCCCGAGGCTCAGCGCAAACTTCTCTCCTTCGTCACGAGCAGCGACCGCATTCCAGCAATGGGGGCGACGAGCCTCAACATCCAACTGATGTGTCTCGGCGACGACTCGCCGCGGTTTCCGACGGCGCATACATGCTTCAACCGGCTGGGATTATACCGGTATGCGACGCGGGAGAAACTCGAGCGGTTGCTCTCGGAGGCAGTGCTGAACAGTGAAGGATTTGGGCTGAAGTAGATGTTCTTGTTTTCGTTTTGTACAGGGTCTCCTCGGCAATGAGTAGGTAAAATGTCGAGTAATGGGGTGGCAGATAAGCACCTCACTGCAGATAGTATGCTTATCCGGATATGCTTACCCGGTTGGAATTGTATAATTGTGTCAGCTGATGCTTAGAAGCCTTGACATGATAGATAAAAATCGAATTATTGTTATTTAATTGCTTTCCACGCTGAACTGTAATGGACCTGGCGGTAACGAGGAGAGATCGCGGGGAAACAGACCGAGGTTTCCGCAGGCGATCCCTGACCGGTGCCTGGATCAGGGCACGGTAACCGAAGGTAGGAAAAAGAAATCCCCTACAGGGATGCTTCTGGCCGTACTCCGAGAGTCCGGGCAGTCTGCAGATACACCGGAGAGTCCAGACTGGAGTAGACTATAGTGGGGACTGGAGATCGATGGAAAGCCGGAGCGGTGGGGATCCTTCCTTGTTGATCTTGCGGGGTTCAACTTCCGCGGCCATCGATCATTCGGAGCTCTACTCCGCGGATTCGACTTCCGCTGTTGTGGCAATCAACGAGACGAATTTCTAAGCTGAAAGTAGGTGAGGGAGAGAGAGAAAGGTGACTACCAGCTCCAGGACTCGAACCTGTATCTCCTCTGCGTCCACTTTCAATTTTCATGGACCTTTGTTTAACAGAGGTATGCTACCATTGCACCACGCTGGCTTTGTTAAGAGATGAGAGATGAGAGAGTGAGGTTTGAGTTCTATCTAAAGCTATCTAGAGGAAGGGAAAGTGTGTACCAGCTCCAGGACTCGAACCTGTACCTCCTCTGCGCCCACTTTCAATTTTCATGGGACTTGGTTTAACAGAGGCGTGCTACCATTACACCACGCTGGCTTGGTTTAGAGGAGGGGGGGGGAGAGGGGTTAAGGGAAGGATGTACCAGCTTCAGGATTCGAACCTGCATCTCCTCTGCGCCCATTTTCAATTTTCCTGGGACTTGGTTTAACAGAGGTATGTTACCATTACACCACGCTGGCTTTGTTATACTGTACCTTTGTGATGTGGGGGAGGGGGATGAGGCCAAAAATTGCGATGTTGGTTGTTGATCGGTGATGGAGAAGTTGAGAGGGAACGGCAGCTTCGACAGCTATTTATGCCTGCGTGCCCGTGACTGCGCTAAGGGAAGTCAAGGGCCGGCCGAATAGAGTCGCGTAGCTAGATTCCAGGAGCTTCTGTATATGCCATGGGATCTTCCGCTCCAATGGTTGATGTTGGTAAGCAAGCTTTCCGTAACTCAGTCGGTGACTCAGGTAAGGACCAAAAGGCCGGGAAAAATGTGCTCGGGTTTAAGCTGGAGGTGATCAGGGGTGGAAGTGTCCTCCGACGCATGGTGCAGCCACCTAAGATAACATCTGTGAGTGAGTGAGGCCAGATGATCTAGCTACTAGGCTAGCATTTCCAGTCAGAGTTCCGTGGAATAAGGACGTGCGTGGTCTATTACCCTACCACAGGCACATGCCTTGACGTCCTGAAAGGCAACGCCTTTGTGGATTGGGAAATGTGGGTGTGGAATTGCGAAAGTAAAAGCCCCTGACGGCGGAGAAGCAAAAGCAAACAAGCAGGCAGGGTCCGTAATGACAGGAGGGACCTGTCCTCAGGTGATTTGGAAAGTTCATGTGTACTGGGTACAGTAACTCAGGGCTGGATGATGGCCTGGACTAATCCATTGATCGTGCCGAGCTTACCCCCCGGACCATCTCGTTAGGGCGATCTGGTGTACATATTGACAGGGGAGCTCGTCCTTCCAACATCCCCACGCCATGTTTCGGAATGGACTCAACAACTCACCTGTTCAACTGAAGTCAAGCTGCTTTGCGTCAATGCTGCGCTGGACTCGCGGGTGGGGGGATTGAGACTTGCATTGTGATCCTGGGCCAACTTTTGATCCAACAGCGAAAGGCCCTAAGATACTCCGATGGCTGAATTGCAGTCACGCAGCTCACCGGGTCTATCCCAGTTGGGATCCTGGTGTAGACCGTCTCCTCAGCCTACCCCAGTATCGTATTTAGATCGGCTCAATCCTCCTATTTTGCTCACCGTCTCCCTCAAGCTTCCTCTCTCCCCCCTCTGCTTCTCTTTCAGATTGCTTTTCCTCGCCCTTACAATCAATTCGACCATTAACATGGCTGTCAACGTCCCCAAGACCATGAAGGCCCTCCTGTGAGTCGACATATCACAATGCTCCTGGTCTCGACAAAGCTGACCCATCGTCATAGTTACGACAAGCCAGAGGTGCACAAGATCACTGAGATCCCCGTTCCGACCCTCAGAGAGAACGACGTTTTGGTACGGATGGCAGAGCCCATCTCATTGATGTATTCAACTGACCCAATTGGCCATCCAGATCAAAGTCAAGGCATGCGGTGTCTGCGGCACAGACCTCCACATTCACGAGGGCGAGTTCATCGCACAGGTAAGCCATCGCACAAGCACATCATGCCCATTGGAGCAATGTTGACATTTCTCAGTTCCCTCTGGTCCCAGGTACACCAACCTTGCCCGTGCGAGCGGTAACAGTGGGAACAGATGCTGACTCGATCAGGCCATGAAACCGTCGGGGTTGTTGCAGCTGTGGGACCCAAGGTCAAGGGCTTCAGCATTGGCGATCGTGTGGTTGCCGATAACTCTGAGCTCTGCGGCGAGTGCTTCTACTGCCGTCGGGGCGATGAGCTGTTCTGCGAGAACTTCCATGCCCATGGCGTCACCATGAATGGAGGTTTTGCCGAATACTGTGCTTACCCTGGTAAGTGCAAGCAATTTGGTAGGCCTGTCGCGTTTCTCACAAAATATAGCTGGCAGGGTATTCAAGATCCAAAACCTCTCCGATGTTGACGCCACTCTTCTCGAGCCCGCCTCGTGCGCCGCACATGGTCTCGACAAGATCGCTCCCAAGATGGGCTCCCGAGTCCTCCTCTTCGGTGCTGGACCCACTGGCTTGGTATGGTTTGAACAAACGACGAGCTCAATCACGCTGACAACCCTAGATTCTCGCCCAGTTGCTCCGTCTGAACGGTGGATGCCACGTCGTTGTCTGCGCCCCCGAGGGTTTGAAGATGGAGCTCGCCAAGTCACTCGGCGCCGGCGACGAATACATTGGGCTCTCCCGCCAGGACCCTAGCACTCAGTTCAACAAGCTCAAGGCGGATAACCCATACGGCTTCGACATCGTCGTCGAGGCTACCGGTAACGTCAAGATCCTTGAGGACTCTATTAACTATGTGCGCCGCGGCGGTAAGCTCGTCGTGTACGGCGTGTATTCCAACAAGGACCGGGTTTCGTGGCCTCCTAGCAAGATCTGTAAGTCCTCCTTAACTTCCATCGCACCTTAAATATCGGAGACGCTAACCGTGATCCACATAGTCGGCGATGAAATCCAAATCATCGGCAGCTTCTCCGAAGTCTACAAGTTCCCCGCAGCCATTGACTACCTCGACTCTGGCAAGGTCAAGGTCTCGGGAATCGTTAACAAGGTGTATAGAATCGAGCAGTGGGAGGAGTGTCTCGAGGCTATGCGGAACAAGAGTGCTATCAAGGCGGCCATCACATTCGACTAGACGATAAATGTTTATGACGTATGAGTGAACTTTTTTGGATAAAGTTGGTATACTGGGGGAAACAGTAAAAGACTTAGGTGATAAATGGTATATAACACAATTGGATTGACATCCTTTGCGGATTGGGAGTGGCTTACTGTTTATATAGTCACTCACCCCCAAGGTCCTTAGTCGTAGCCCCTCACTTACCCTCCTCCAACCAGTATGACGACCTGAATAGGACTAGCTCCAACCCACCGAGTTTATCGATAAGCTCGACACTCAAGCTTCAATCTTCACCTTCTCGAACCAATCTCCAGGCAAAGCCGACACATACAAAATGGTCAAGCCCCTAACCTTCAAGGGCGACAAGCCCAAATCCAAAAAGCGCAAGACTCCTTCATCCGCCACCGACCCGTCCGATCTCTCCTCCGCACCCTCAAAACTCCCCAAACAGTCTTCCCCAGACCGCGACCCAAATCCCAATGCCGTCACCGAAGCCGCCGAAAACAGCGCCGAGGACCAAAGCTGGGTGTCCGCCGATACAACCTCCGACATCTCGGGCCCAATCCTCATAATCCTCCCCTCCGACCCACCCACATGCATCGCCTCCGACATCCACGGCAAGGTCTTCGCAAGCGAGCTCGAGAACCTAATCGACGGCGACTCGCGCACCGCAGAACCCCACGACGTCCGCCAAGTCTGGATCGCGACACGCGTCGCAGGCACAGAGGGATTCAGTTTGAAAGCCGCACACGGGCGGTACCTCTCCTGCGACAAATACGGGCTCTTCAGCGCGACGGCGTCCGCGATCTCCGCGCACGAGTCGTTCCTCGTCATCCCCTCCCCCGACATCCCCGGCGCATTCTTCATGCAGACGCAAGGCGGCACGAGCGAAACAGATACATTCGTTAGTGTGAAGGAGGGCGGCAGGGGCGTTGAGATCCGCGGTGATGAGAGCAGTCTTGGATATCAGACGACGGTCCGCGTGCGGATGCAGGCGCGCTTTAAGCCGAGGATCAGGGCGAGTAAGGAGAGTAAGGCGAAGGAGAAGGTTAGTCGGAAGGAACTGGAGGAGGTTGTGGGGAGGCGACTTGATGAGGATGAGGTTAAGAGGTTGAGGAGGGCGAGGAGGGAGGGGAATTTTCATGAGGAGGTGCTAGATGTTAGGGTCCGCGGGAAGCATGATAAGTTTGCTTAGCTTGCTTGGTGGAGGGTGGCGGATACTTTGGCCTAGGGGTATACCAATATAAAATGCTAGACTATAGGCATAATCGGAAGTTATTCAAACGATGGACCTCAGCTAGAAGGGACAACCAAGACGGATGCCATGGGAGAACGAGCCTGCTGTCGATGAAATTTGTAAGAGGGTTGTATGTAATGAAACTTTTAATTGTGATTAAGAATAATGTTAAAGGGTCACACCAATGACAACTACCAAGACACCAAGTCTGCAAGAACAGCTACAATTCCGTCATGCCATCTCGCCCATCTACAACGCCAGGGGTAGATATGGGGAAAAACTCCGGTGCCAACACACTTTTCTTGCATAGCGGACAAAGACTGCTGGTGTGCGTCAGAGATATATCAATGCACTCGGGGTGGTAGATATGGCCACACGGCAACTCGCGGACAGTCGACGAAGATGGAATAAAATCATCGAGGCAGATGGCGCATGTTGTTTGGGAGCGGCTCAGTCGCTTCGCGTGCTTTGAGTGGTCATATTCGGTTTCGTCCTTGGTCGTTGGCGATGAAGGCTCATATGGACATGGTCGCGGCGGAAATTTCTCGTGTCTTGCGTTTGTTTTGAGGTTTTGCTCCGTATCAAGAGTACCTAATACCCTGATGGGACTGGTGTATTTCGTTATTTGTGCTTCGCTCTCTGCCTCCGGTTCCTTTTCTACCTTTGCCGGGTCTGTTTTGGCATCTCGGACACTGTCGATTCTGTCTTGAAAATTATTTTGGCCAGAGTCGAAACCTGCGCCCTCTTTATCAGGATCACCTGGACCAGGGTAGATATAAACCGGAAGCCTAGCGAGAATGTCTCGCGGGACTCTAAAATGCTGAAGGTCATATTGATGGTCCGTCGTGCCAGCTTCAAGCTGCCGCTGGAGATCTTCCCGGCGTCGTCTCTGCAGGAGTTGATAAAGTAGAAGAAGTATCATGCAGAGAACTATGATAGTACCAAGAATGGCCAGCAGAAACCCCCAAATACTCGGCGCTTTCCCTCCACGTTCCTCTGTGAAACCGAGGTCAGTCACGGCCCGCGCAAATTGGTCCATAAAGCTCAACTCACCCAGGTCAATGACACTGAACAGGCGCAGATTCCAAGTCTCATTCTGAGAAAGCGCCTCAGTCCGATTGATTTGATCTTGAGGAAGCGTCCGGTTATTTGAGAACCACGACAGCTGCTCCATGAGAACGAGACCTGCCGGACCCGGTATCGCATAAACAGGGTACATGTTCTCACTCTCCCAGGATGAGCTGCCACTTAACAACCATGTCGTATCGGCTGGTGGGGGTGGTTTAGTGTCATCACTTTCCGGTAGAAAGAATACTAGAGCTTCGGCGCCAACACGCCTCGAGGCTTCTAGAAATGACTGACTGCAATTGGGCGTTATCCACGGCGCAATGCCGGTAGTTTGGTTTGTAAATGGAGTTACATCATGATGGCGAGTCACATTAGCCGGAATAAACGGGGCAGTTGCGTTGTCGCACGGATCATGGCTGCTGAGGCTGGGAACAAAAAGCAATCCTTTGATAGGACCATCTTCGGGGGCGTTTTGGGCGGAGAGCGTCTGAATATCGCCATCTAGAACAAAATGAAACGGGGAACTGCTCTATCAGATAGTATTCAGCATCTCAATGCGCAGAAAATGGCGCTTGGGACCAAAAGGAACATACATTGGTCGGTGATGTTGAGTTGATCTTCTTACCAGGGCTCGCAAAAAGCGTGGCAGCCGTGGTGAATGATTTGGCAGCTGCTAAAAAAAGAGGCATTAGCTGGTGACCCCAATAGGCCATACGTATCTCAGATATTGGATCCAGAAGTCAGAATCCCTATCAGATAGCACCAACGTGGGACTCGATTTGCAGCAACATCTGAGGGAACATACACATCAATGAAGACTTCTGAAGTTCCTGGCCGACCGAGTACTCAATCAGAAGCGCATGGTCAGTCCAGCTGCAGCGATCAAACTAAAAATCACAAAGCTGCAACTCAGTCCCTGAACTCGAAGTCAATAGTCCATAGACGAGTGATACGTCAGGTCCACTCAGAATTGGCAATCACTGTTCTTATCCGAGCGGCGCCACGCAGGGAGAGGTCCTATATGAGAGCAAGCGAGCAACACACGCGATAAATTTATCAGCGTTCCAGATGTCTGCCAGTCTGGACCATGTCCAGATCGATTGCCAGTCTGTTCCGAAGTATGACGCTGTTCAGAGTGGAGCACTGTCGACGTTTGCGGACGATCGAGCAACGGAGAAGCCGGAAAGCAGGCAGGCCGAGTGAAAAGGCTTAACGAAGGAAGAGCCTTTCTCAGTGTCTGTGTCCTGGGCGTCGGCAGGATTGCAGCTCCAGCCCACAAACTGAACGCTGCAAGGCTGAAGGGCCAAGGCGTCGATCTCGACAACTGCCGTTGATGTCCATCACGGCGCCTAAATGGCGCTTAGGGTGAGAATAGCAATGCATATCATAAAAGCAGATCGAAGCCAGCAGGGTCGTTCTTTCTGGCTAGAAGTTTTGCTTTCTGAGAGGAGTTTCACAGGACTAGTCCATCAAAGCGCGAGTATACTCCGCAGTGTGGGTTTGCAGATCATGGACCCTGCCTTAATCCTGAACCGGCAAGCTCGCTTATCACCGCTTATCGGCTCTTAAATCCGCAACAAGCACGTGACATCACGTGTAGCAACGACCCCAGGGGCAACGCCGCACCGCGTTTATCGAGTCTCCAAAGGTTAATTGTCAGCTCGTCCCATCGATACGAATCCAAATCTCTTCGCCTATCCTTTAATTCTCGTGCGCGGCTCGATCTGTTAATCCCTCGATTGTTATTCGGCACCTTTTACGGCCGCCTGGGTCAAAGCATGAATATGGACTGTTGAGGCCCAATTCAACAACGTCATCTTTCGTCCCGTACCTAATAACAGTTTATGTTTAACCCAGCTACACCTTAAGAATGCCATCCGCGAACAAAGGAAAAGGAAAGGGCCGCGATGTGCGACCATCGCGAAGCCGCAACACGACCCCTAGCTCCGGCTTCAGCGCTGCCCCCGCCGCAACCTCCGCTCCCGTTACCAGCTACCTTGACAACGATGCCTCGAAACTAGTCGTCCCTGTGACCGTACAATATACGGAGATTCTCGAGCGCATGGGTGGGGTAGGCCCCATTCCAGACTTGAAGTCGTTGGAATTGTTGATGGAACACCTGAAGTCCCTAAGTCAATCGGCGGAGGCTCGTGGTGATGCTTGCAACGCCGGAATCAGGGAGCTGTCTCAGAAGCGGAAGGAAGTGGCCGACGAATCCGAGTTGTATGTGAAGCATGAAGCCGACGACGAGGAGGAGGAGGGCAAGGCAGGCAAGGCAGGAAAGTTCAAGAAGCGAAAAGAGAGGGGCAGCAGTTCGAAAGAGGAGCGACCATTGACTCATGGGGCTCGTGAAATGGCCCGCCAGGATGGCGGAGAAACAAAGGTAGATGGTGGTAAGTCTCGCGTATCTCCTCCGTCGTACATCGTCACCAACTAACTAGCCCTTCCAGCCGCATCTCCAGCTTCCAAGAAATCCAAAAATGTAGTCTCCGATGAGATGTCCTCACTGTCTCCAGCAGAACCTGCTTCACCGCGCCAGGAAGGCGACGAAGCAAACGCGGCCTCACCTGATTCTGATGACAGCTCCGACTCACATCAACCCGAGCCCGCGCCAGCTGTACCGCAAATCCAAGTATTCGGTCCCAACCCGCTCAAATTCGATGATCCTACAATATACCACATCCGAGAAGTCACGCCAGGTATGACAGATGATGACAAGAAAGAAATATACAGTGTCAATGTTTTCCCTGAAAGCGACTTGCGTCACTTGATGGCGGGCACTGCCCCAGACCGGGATTTCAGCAATGCCAAACCTACCAACCAGGTAAATGCTAATACCTTCCTCATCTGGGTTGACCCTTATGTCCGCCCCATGATGGAAGAAGATATAGCTTTCCTGAAAGAGAAGGTTGGTTCCCTCCAGGTCCAAGCGCGCAATATGCTTACAATAAGTCGCAGGGCGATCGAGTTACGCCATTTATGATGCCGAAGCGTGGCAAGAGGAAATACTCGGAAATATGGGCCGAGGAAGACGGGCTCATGAATATCGACCAAGCCAATGGCGATCGAGAACAATTGCCATTGAATGAAGGCCGAGGAAATATTGACCAGATAACCGATGAGACTGTAGAAACGGACAAGGTGTCAGTGGGCCCGTTGGTCAGTCGCCTCTATTCCCTACTGCGGTACGAACATCGTGCTCCTGAGGAAAACGCGACAAACGGGACCACCAACGGGGATGTCGCGATGAACGGTATGAACGGAGACTCAATGGACATTGATCATCCACCAGGAGAGTCAGAAAACAAACCACAGTCATCAGCAACCACCTTCCGGGCCGCATCTCCCAGCGGCTTCAAAGTCCCCGCCGCGAAACTCGACCACGCACAGCTCGACGAACGATTAAAAGCGGAACTCCGACACGTCGGCTTCCTCGGGCCCGACGACAACCCAGACTATGACGCTCACTACGACGACGACATCGCCCAGCGCCTCCGCCTGTTACAAAGCGAGCTCAAGAAACAAATGATCATCAACAGCGCTCGAAAATCGCGGGTTCTGGAAGTTGCCCGCGAGCGCATGGCCTTCCAGGAATACATGACCATCCACGACGACCTGGACTCCCAAGTCCAACAAGCCTACCTAAAACGAACCAGAACGCTAGGGAAGAGCAAAAAGGGCTCCCAGGCGAAGCATCGACCCGGTGGTGCCGGCGGCGGAAGCCACGTCGTCAGCGCTGCTGGTATCAGCCGACCTGCCATCGGAGACGTTGCTCGAACCCTCATGGACCGACGTAAGCGCTGGCGCGACTGCATTGGTCCTGTCTTTAAAGACTGTAAGACTAGTGTTCCGGGTCCAGGCGACAGCTTGTTTGCCCCGGCTGCTATGGCCGAGTATGAGAAGGCTGAAGTGGATGGCTGGGAGGAGGAGCAGGAGTGATTTCATTTTCTTGCATATGGCTGCCGATACTAGACATCGGTGATTGCAGGTTTCGGTTTCGGCGTGGCTACCTGGGTGATATGGCGCAATATGGGACACATTTTCTCAATCAGAGGCGTTGGAATTTGATTTCCGTGAAGGGGTTTTGTATGTGTATATTGTTTTCCCATCAATAATACATACGAACATATCATGACTTGTCTCGTATATACGCTGAAGTAAAATAAAACGAATTGGGTATCAATTGCAGGCGAGTTCCGTGACATATCTCCAAAGTCAATCACATCAACGATGCACAATCAAAACCTCGCCCTGATAGCGCTTCAACCGCGCCGTCAGCTCGCGCTCGCTGAACTCCAGCTCCGTGCATATCTGGTCGAAACAGTGCATTCCATCCAAGTACTTCACAAGATCTCTATCATCGATGAAGTCCTCATCTTCATCATCATCATAAAGTGCAGAGCGGCTCCCGCTGTGCACTGATGCCCTGTCTCGGTCTTTACCATCGTCACTGCGATGGTTATGGTGATGACTGTGATGGTGATGGTGGTGGGGATGATGGTGTTGCGCTATAGGCGCAGGGTCATCACCAGCGCTAGAGGCGTAGGGACTATTCGCGCCGGTCCCAGGGCCCCGCGAAGACGGTCCGCTGTGCTGGTAGTGGGAGCGTGGCGTTGTAGCGCCAGACTTGAATTGTGGAGCCGGATTGCCGGTTGCTATCGCATATTTGTGAACGCGGTACAAGAACCCTTTGATGATGCCGAACGTGATGAAGCGGCGGATGTCGATGTGAGCGAGTTGGCGGCTGTGCTGGAGGTACCATTGCTTGACGCTCTGGCCTTGTTTCAGGCTCGCGTACAACTCCACGATGCCAACACCGTCAACTACGTCTCGGTTGTTGGGAGAGTGCTTCGTTATGGTTAATTCCGCAGTGCTGCCAGCTGAAGACATGAGTGTGGCTGTGTTTGCTGGGCTGGGGGTTGCGGTAGGACTGATGTTATCGCTTGTGCTGGTCACTATGCTGTCGGTGCCGAGGCTGGCCGTTGTGTCGCCTATGGGTGGCCATACGGCATCCTCATGGCGGCCGGGAGGGATGGCGGCTGGTGCGGTGGGAACAGTCATCGGGGAGGCAAAGAGAGTATTGACATAGCGGGCGCATTCCTGCTGCATGCTTTCATCTGCGGCAATTGTAGAGCTGAATAGCGCGGTTGGCGCGTAAATCGCGGAAAATGAGAAGATATCGAGAAGGAAAAGGCAGCCGTAGTAAAGGAGGTGTCGAATCGCGCGGCAGGTGAGAGAGAAATCTGTATCGGCAAGGAGGGAAATGATGCGGATACTGTTTACTCCATTGATGTGTGGAACAATCTGACAGGTTAGTGGCCGGATGTAGAATATGGGGTAAGACATACACGCTGCATAGTCAGATCCCAGTTCTCGTCGAGAAAGGCTTGATAGCGGACGGTAAATAAGGGCACCTGCCAGGCACGAACGGGGGGCGGATTGGGGTATACGGGGAAGAGCTTGATGTTTAGTGTGTTCAATTCATCTAATCCATGTTAGTTTGGCTTAGTATTTGACCATGTGAGGGCATACCGATAGGAATCATGCACTCGCAATAGTTGTTCAAGTCCTCCATCAACGTCTCACACAAGCTGTATACCTTCCCCTCACCACTCTTTGAATGATCTCGCGACAGGAACCCGTTTTGTTCCTCCAAGCCGTGCATCAAATCCGCCAGTTTCTGGACAACGCTCTTGTAACTGCTGAAGTCTTCCTCCTCCGCCAGCACCAAGCAGAAGTTGAAGATGAACTCATTCCGGTCATATCGCGGGGACTTCATGCATATTGGATATCCCAGAATCCGATATCCGTTTGTGCACACTTGAATCAGGTTGCCACATAGCTCCTGGCGAGGGATCACGAAGAATGATATATCGGAGAAGGTGAGGAAGAGGGGTTGCGACGGCGCCTTGTTGGAGAGAGCGATTGCTCCATCGGGAACCTGGTGGACGACCTTTGGGCCTTGAAATAGGTCAGTCAATTTTGCAGATGTTAGGAGTTTTACTAGACTGTCTGCTGACCTTCCTGCGTGTCAAACTTGCTGTAGAAAATCGCCTTTATCATGGTTGAGGAGCGACGGTCGACGCCAGTAAACGGAACGAACGTCGGGGTCACACAGAGCCGAGAGGCATATTGCCGGTAGATGCGTGTATTACTATGAGTGAGCCATTTTTCAAGCTTCGCGCAAGCACTTAAGGTGGATAGTAGCTGGTTGTTGCGGGGAGACAGTAGCTTGTTAAAGTTGGAGCTGGGGATGGATTTGGAGCTCCCCAGCCGCTTAGCTCCGCCCACCATGAGCGGAGTAATAGATAAGGATTAGATCATTAGGAACACAACAAATGCTAGATTAACTAAACGAGAAACGCGTCTTTCCATAAAAAAATGATTGCAACCCAGAGCCCATATCCCAGTGACACTTAAGATGCGCAAGGACTGCTAGCTATGCGACAGGGTATTGGATTCAGCAACATCGCAAAAGCTGAGCAGATCTATGTGATTAAAGCAAGCTGCAAGCAAAGAATCCATGCAAGAAATACCCTGAGAACCAATTAAATGGGAAAGCCACTCAAGCGCCATTAAATGCATTCAAAGTACGCGAAACGTAGCAACCCGGAACCGGAGACCGAACAGGACGTTGCATTAGCCAAACCAAAGAAAGCACATCAGCGCGCCGCCCTTGCAGGGGAATGGGGTGGTCGTCGAATTTCACCGCTTGTGGAAAGTAAACGAGACGATGTTAGTTGGTCCAGTGGCTCGGAAAATGACACGGAATGTGGAATCGATGATCTGCCCGGTTGAGACATCGAGGCCGGGAGGTCGTACAGGAAATTCAACGGCTGGCCTCTTCGAATCGCGTTCAAGACATCCGTGTAACTACCACGTTCCCCGGCTTCTTTGAGCCACTGCTCCCAGTCTTCGTCCAATGGCACATTAGCACCTCGTTCTCGTGCAGCTGTTGCGGCAAGAAGACGATGGTTTAGTTCCACCCCGCAGCTTTCCATCTCCTCGTCACTGGAATCTTCAGTTTCCTGTGCTTGCATATCGCAGTCGATACCCCGGTCATCCACTTGGCCGTTTGGAATCTCTTTCTTATGTGTCGGAGTTTTGATATCTGTTTCGCAGATTGGCTCCGGGCCGTTTTCATGATGAACTGTGACAGATGGACGCCGGGGTGGTGACGCAGGTCGAATCGCATCGGCCGTGGTATCGCGGACCTTTACCCCTTCCTCTTTCTCGTAACGCTGTCGTGCTGATTTGGTGCCTTCCCAGCGACATAGGGAGCTGATTTCCGCCTCTGTCAATCTAAGCTCGTCAAAGACTCTGAATAGCTTGCGGTGCCATGGGAAGCGGCTCAACCTCATACGATGGGGTCCATGGGAGTAGTCCAGGCCGGGGTATTGTGCTTCAACGCTCTCTAACGATCCATAGAAGGTTGATGTTTCGATGCGGACTTCTGGAACCAGGTTGAGAGCGATATGAGCAGCGAATGTTGCTGGGTCACTAGTGCGCTGGCGCGGAAAGGTTGCTCGATGTACGATTTGAGCCAAAGATGGTTTGTGCATCGTGAGAGAACGGTGGTTGATAGTGTTGAGTCGGCAACGGACCGGCTTAGGGGTATGATTATTGATAACGCAGAAGTTGAGAGGATTAGATAGGCTGAGAGCCTATTTATAAGGTGAGAAAGTAAAGTCGCCAGCTAATTTTAAGCAAATCGTACACTGGCCTCAATGAAGACAGGAAGAAACGGGTTGATTAGACAAAGAAATCAGAAAGGAGGCGAGGTCGGGCAAATGCTGGTTTGTAGAGAGTAACACTTCTGGTTAACAGTTTGGGGCCTTTGTAACCTCCTGGGGCCGTCGATCAATAGTTGGAGATTAAGAAACAATGACGGGCTGGGCGCGGTTCTGGTGGCACGAAGGTGGCCTTAGCACTCCGCACAATGGAACCCTGGGCAAGCTCGAAGTTTGTGTGAAGAAGGCCGACAAAATAGGATTCAGGAGCTGTCACATATCATGAGGCTACCTTCGTGATGGTGAGGTTGATCGAATCCAGGGACAAGAATAAGGTACAAATCGGGTCCACCAGTAGCAAATTGCGGCTCCTGCTTGCCTTGACCAGGCTGGACTTTCGTAGATCGTTTTTTCTCGATTGACACTCTCAAATATTGAATTGCAAACGAGGAACTGGGATGCAGTGGTACACTACAGCCAGATCTCCGCACGCTCCGACTCCAGTCAACCCTTCACTTATCTAGCAGATCGAAGGCGAAAAGACCGTGGCCATGGTCATTGATACACCGGGATGTAGGTGGAGTCAAACAGTCGATCGGGTTTCAGGTTCAGAATGGAGGGAACAAAGGGGAGAAAGATGAGGGCCAGGTTTTATTTATAATGCCAATTCACTTGCAGTCGGCTGACCACGCATACAAATGACCAGCACATCAGCGTACTTGCGTGGAGCGTTGGAGCGATTCGGCGATGCGTTAGCCACCTCTAAGCTGCGACAACAGCTGAATCCAGCGATGGCTCCAACCCCATCGATCGCAGTGCGTTGGCCAGCGAGTCTTTCGGCCACTCGTTTCGCGGAGGCTGCCTGCATGGCCACTTGTCAACGACAGCCCAACTGTCGTCCGCCGGGCGCTATGCCGGGGACCATGTAGGTACGTCAATGAGGCAATCGACGAGATAGCATGATAGGCTCTACGATCCAGCCCGATAGCACGAAATAAAGGTCCGTGGTCTAGGCTGTCCCAGTAATCTGCTCCAATCAGTGGTATTTTGAGACCGGAGTAGATGTCTTGGTCGCGGCTTCGCTCGCTATTTGCCACTGTCAGAAATGATACACAGGCAAAATGATCAATCACATTTCGCCATGGTTGATTTAGATGCTCCGTAGAATCCGTGAAGATTTGGAAAAAAAATATACAACGGAGGCTGTCACGTGCAGTCAACTCTCACCACAACCACAACTCTCCGTCTTTGACCTGACCATCTTCATCGAACATGGTCGTATGCTTAGACTGTACGATACGATGACTCTTGGTAGCCCTCAAGCGCGATATCGAAAAGAGCCCTCAGTTGTCACCGATGTCGACCTTTGATGGAATCGTCCAAGGTGCTTAGCCTCCAGCATTCGTGCAGATCCGAAACACTGACAGGCCATCGCAGAGTTCCCTCTCATTACCAGTGCGTTCAACACACATCCTGCTAGATGAGGAGACAATTAGTTGATGATATTACCTCCACAGTTGACTACTTTCGAAGAAATCCAGAACGGCCACCTCCTTTGGCTTGCTTTCTCAGCCATGCTCACAGTGACCATCTTCAAGGACTCGAGTCCTTCAGGGCTCCGTTCATTTACTGCTCGTCAGCGACCAGAGAGGCATGGCCCCAATCGGGGTATCTAAGTCTGTTACTAACTCTCTTGTTAGATGCTTTTGCGAATTGAAAAATATCCCCATCGAATGAATTACAATAATGGCATCCTTGAATCCCGAAGGCTGCACTACAAGCACTTGGCCAATCTCCTGGTAGGGCTCTCCATGAATGGCAAATGGTATGTACTGATCCAGGGTAGAGACCAATGCCGTTGAACACCCCGACGGAAATAGATCTAACCCCGAAGCTATCTATTAGAGTCACCCTTCTAGATGCGAACCACTGCACTGGCGCAGTGATGTTCCTTATCGAAGGGGATGGGAAGGCCATTCTTTACACAGGAGATATACGGGGTATGTGCTCTAATCTTCGTCCTCATGCATTTTCTGACGGACATTAGCGGAATCGTGGTGGGTTGATGGGCTAATCCGACACCCGGTCCTCATTCCTTATACCCTAGGAAACAAGCGATTGGACAAAATATATCTAGATACAACCTTCGCTCACACATCACACACTTTCCATACGTTTCCGACAAAAGCGGAGGGGATAGCGGAGCTTCTACGCAAGCTGGAACCGTATCCCGAAGACACTACCTTTTACTTCCGGGCATGGACATTCGGTTATGAAGAGGTCTGGATGGCGCTTGCTGCTGCTCTGAACTCTAAGGTAAGCACAGATCTATAGACACTGGAACCTAGCTTATACTTCTAGATTCATGCGGATCGTTATCAAATCGGCCTCTACAATTCCGTCTCACGTAGCGGTACATTCGAAGCACCTTCTCTCTGCGGATTCGGGTTTGGGAATAGACTGGCACCGGGATGTCTCAGCGAAGACCAGAGCTCTCGCATCCACAGCTGTGAGCCAGGCGTCCATTGCCCCGTCGCAACTTCCAAGAAAACAGTATACATAACCCCCATTGTAAGCCGGACAGACAAAGGCGCTGTTCTTCCGGAGCTCGGGGCTGGTGGCGGGCTAGGTGATTTGTATCAGATTCACGAGTTAGAGCTCCCCGATCAGTCGTCACTGGCTCAGCTGGAACAGCTCTGCAGCGAGAAGATACAAGATCCCCAAGCTCTCTCCAAGGCAAAAGAAGCCCTCTTGGCAGCATTCAACTCGAAAACTAAAGTGTTATCCCTGAATAGCTACGGAATGAAAGACGCCCATCAGATGCCTTTAGATGAGCTCGTGAATGTCCTCAGCCGTGGCCGCCTCGGCGAGGAGTCCTTGCCTCCAGAGAAGTTGCCAATGTCGAATGATATAGTGGATAAATACGGAAGGCCTCTACCCAGAACCATTGTGGGCTTGTCCTCTTCTTGTCACATTGTTTGCCCTTACTGATAATCTCTTAGCGATTCCCCTACTCACGCCACTCTTCTTATGCCGAGTTATGCGAGTTGATAAAGGCCTTCAAACCCCGTGATATCCACCCCTGCACAGTAGATCCACTGGACTGGGACGAAGACATCTCTATGCAAAGTATATTCGGCCAGTATTGTTCCGGTAACGTGTTTGTCCATGACCAATACATGCGTGAGATGCTTGCGCTGGAGAATGGCGAACGCCCCAGGAAGAGGAGAAGACGTGATCCCCGATCTCCAACGCCGTCAACGCAGCATTCAACTCTCGTCACAGAAAACGGCATAACTTCACAAGCCTCGCGCGTATCACACATCCCTATCCGAGTAGCTCCTGCAAAGGACGGTACCGGTTCAGCTTCACAGCCTCACAATCAGCTACCCTCATCACTCCCAATGCCACCACTGGCAACGATTCCACAAACATTCGAGCCGTCCTCGCCATATAACGATTCGAGCTCCCTTCCCATCCCGGCTCTAAGTCCCGACACCGTGAGAGCAAGACGAGAGACTGTCCGCCAAGCACGAGACCACCTCAAGGACGTCCAGAAGCCTCAGTCCAATCAGTTACACCTTGGATCCCTTCCAGCCTCATGGCCAACAGATGAAGAGAGCATTGGGCTGCATGCGTCTTTCGTTGAAGCACAGGACTTGCAAGGACTGGACGCGAGGTCTGTATCTTCACAGGTGACTGCCATTCATGAGCCTGTAACTGGCCGCCGCGATACTTCCTATTCGCGATTTATGCCTACAAGTCCTGCACAGCCACGGGCTCAAGTACCGTCAACGTCCGCTGGTGTTCAAAACGGAGCTGAAGACGTTGAAATGACCGGCGGCCCAGATCCAGGCCCCAACACCATCCTGGAAAGCGACAACGAAGATAACATCTCAGATTCCGCGACCAATGCCGAGCACGAAACACACCAACACCCTCCTAGCCAACACAGCGTATCCTCGTCCACATTCGCTTCCCAGAGCCAAAGCCAAAACCAAAATCAAAGCCGGGTAGTCGAAGGATTGGAGGATGAAATCATAACCGACGACGATGAATACACCAGCGATGCCGATGCGCTTGGACATCCGCATGCCCATCCAGATCCAGATCCAGATCCAGATCCACAGCTAACACTACCCATGGATTTGAAACCGGGCTCATCGAAGCCTCGACCTCCACTTCTTTCAAGGCGGGAATCGTCGATTCGAAACCGGCGTGCGGCGTATGAGGCGGCGAGAGAGGACAGTTTTGATGCGTGGGCGGAGATGTCGCTTGTTTCGGCGGGGAATAACCATACAGAGGAAGAAGTTGAGCTTTGAACTTAGGTAGCTCGATTCATAGATAGTCAACACATGAATAAATGAAGAATTAATCTTTGATATCCAGATGTATCAGCATATATGCAGTTGTCGCCATCCATATTCAAGCTCATACTCATACCACCGTTCATCCTTATATAACATGATTCCATGATCCATACAGCCCAAGGAGAAACCAACCCTCCATCATTATACCTACCAACGCATCTCCACCTCATCATGCCACACAACCCAACCTAATAAACATAATAATCCTGCGTCAGCGGCAAAACCTCCGCAGGCTCCGCATCACAAAGCTTTCCATCCGCCTCAACGCGATAACTCTCCGGGTCAACCCTCATCTTTGGCATCGTATCATTGAACTTCATATCAGCCTTGCCGATATTGCGGCAGTTCTTGATGGCTTCAACGCGCTTCTTGAGGCCGTAGGACTGCACCGTGTTCGTGTCAAGCGACGCTTGCGAGACGAACATTACGGATGTGCTGGGGAGGTAGGCCTGTAGTTCATAGGAGGTTAGTTGGTGGAAACAGAGAAGGAAAGGGAAGGAGATGAACGCACGCCGAACTGCGGGCGCATGATGACGGGTTGGATTGTTGGGATGGAGCCGTTGGGATCACCCTGGTGTTGCGTTGGTTAGTTTATGGCTGATACTAAAGGCAATAGGAGTTGTGGGTGTACGCACCATCATCGAAGCAACAATCATCCCACTCTTCAGTATCTGACTTGGCTTGGTGCCGAAGTAGCTAGGTGACCAGATGACCAGGTCTGCGAGCTTGCCGACTTCGACACTCCCAATAAGATGGGACATGCCCTGCGCAATGGCCGGGTTGATGGTATACTTGCTGATATAGCGCTTGACGCGGAAGTTATCCACACCTGTGCCCTCGTCTTCGGGTAAGTAACCGCGCTGCTCCTTGTTCTTGTGTGCTGTGTTCCATGTGCGCAGGATGACTTCGCCGCAGCGGCCCATAGCTTGCGAATCGGAGGACATCATGCTGATGGCGCCGAGATCATGAAGGACGTCTTCGGCGGCGATGGTCTCAGCGCGAATTCGACTCTCTGCGAATGCCACGTCTTCAGGGATGTTCTTTGATAGATGGTGGCAGACCATGAGCATATCGAGATGCTCGTCGAGGGTGTTCATTGTGAAGGGGCGGGTGGGGTTTGTGCTGGACGGTAGGACATTGGGGTGTTCGACGACGGAGATGATATCGGGGGCGTGACCGCCGCCGGCACCTTCGGTGTGGTAGGTGTGGATGGTACGGTTCTTGAACGCTTCGATGGTTTGCTCGACGAAGCCGGATTCATTGAGTGTGTCGGTATGGATCATGCATTGCACATCGTACTTCTCACAAATATCAAGGCAGGTATCGATGGCGGCGGGAGTAGAACCCCAGTCCTCGTGGAGCTTGAGGCCGGCTGCACCTGCGATAATCTGTTCTTCGATGCTGATGCCGCCGCTGTCGTTGCCCTTTCCTGTGATGCCGACATTGATGGGGATTTGGTCGCATGCTTGGATCATCTGGCGCATGTGTGTTGGCCCAGGAGTGCATGTTGTTGCGTTGGTGCCGGTCGACGGTCCGGTTCCTCCTCCCAGGAACGTGGTAATCCCGGAGGCGAGTGCCTCTTGTGCTTGTTGAGGGCAGATGAAGTGGATGTGCGTATCGAAGCCTCCTGCAGTAACGATCTTGTTTTCTCCTGCGATGACATCCGTCGAGGAGCCAATCACCATGTCCGGGTGGACGCCATCCATAACGTCTGGGTTTCCCGACTTGCCGATGCCGACAATGATGCCATCCTTGATACCGATGTCGGCCTTGTATATACCGCTCCAGTCGATAATGATGGCATTCGTAACCACAGTGTCCAGACACTCTTTGTGAGACTTTCCTGATGCCTGACCCATGCCCTCTCGAATACTCTTGCCGCCACCAAAGGAACACTCGTCGCCGTAGTATGTATAGTCCTTCTCAACCTTAACCCAGAGATTTGTCAATCCCAAACGGATCAGATCCCCAGTGGTAGGACCAAACAACCGAGCATACGCCTCCCGATCTATCGTGAAAGGAGCAACAAGTGCATTATCCGCAGCTGGCTCAGGAACGTGTGCAAATCCAGCAGTCTGCAGACGCTCTATAATCTCATCCGCCCGGTTAAGATCAACCACACCCGAGGCAAGAAAGTTACCTCCCTTGATAACTTTGTTGCCTCCAATCTCAACCAGGGTAACAGTCTTGGTATCACCAGGCTCAAACCGAACAGACGTTCCTGCGGGGATATCAAGCCGGTATCCATAGGCGCGAATACGATCAAAATGCAGCTGAGGGTTCGTCTCGATGAAATGGTAATGCGAGCCAACCTGGATCGGCCGATCACCCTTGCTCATTACCTTGAGCTTAATCCGTTTTCTTCCCTCGCTCAGTGTGATGCGCTCATTCTTCACAGGAATAACAGCCCCGGGCACCTTCTCAGGTAGATAATCCTCCGGAACGGGATCTGGGAACGTATCTGCCGGTGGTATAGGGAGGAAACTCCCGTAGAGAGCCTTTTCAAGGTCTCCATCGTCTGAAGCAATGGGGTTATGGACTGTGACTAGGTAGCTGCCCATTGTAAAGGTGCCTTCGACCTGGAGTTCAACCAGGGTCGAAGGGACTGATGGGAGGACATGCCGGCGGCCAAGCATGGTCTTGCCGATGGACATGAGGTCCGCCACTGAGTATTGTCCATCGCGGATCAGCTATTTCAGATGTCAATATCAGCGTTGCCCAGGTAAATACGGGAGTCATACCTCGTGCAGATTTGACGAGATCAGTGCCTATTTGAGCCGTCAGTAGGTGTTGCACGATACATATCCTCCGAACACCAATCTCTCTTCTTATATAGTTCTAGCATCACAACGTACCGCAGCTTCGGCATGGTTGAGTCGCACACCTCGTGCAAGACGCCGCTGGGCCAAGAAGCCCAACTGTGAGATGGCGAGCTTATCAAGCTATTCAATCAAGCATAGGTCTGGTCAGTAAGAGGTCATCCAAGTAGACCAGCCGTCGAAACAACTGAGTATCCAACTTCAACATACCTCCTTCGGAATGAGGTGCATCTTGCCGCTCACTGCCCAAATATATTTTCTCTTTCCTTGGCCTGCGAGTCGAAGCCGCCGATCTGGGGATAATTTGGCCAATCAGTGAAAGTAGATGGCAGTCCGAGGCAAGAGCTGCAGGTAGTGAGAGTGGTCGACGATGATGAGGTACTCCGTAGTGGCCTCCCTTCCTTCACATCTCCTCCGGGACGTTCAGGGAATAAAAAGAAAAGGTGGAACGCCAGGCCCCATCGGACTTCGGCGAAGATTTAAACGACGCTCTAGTGAGGCCGGGGAAGTTGGTGCTTGTATGGTATGGTGGGGTCGGCGGGAGATAAGATAAGGCTCCGGTTCCTGGCCTATGAAGACGTCCATGCTTCGTGTGCTTGACAAATATGCCTAGTAGTAGAGTAAAGTGTCCTTACACAGTATTCAAACCCAAAATAGTTCTCTTTGCGAACAGTGGACGGGTATACGCCGGACGAAGAGCAGAGCTAAGTGCATACAGGAAACCAACAGCGAGAAAAAAAACGCAAGTCAACTCCGTCCATATCCACAAACCGGAACTTCAACTACTCGCTACATTTGATAGCCAGTCTACTCATCATCATCGCCGACATCGCTCTTGCGCTTCTTCCTCGAGCGCTTCGAGTCGCCTCCTCCAATAGACTTGCTCGGCTCGTCCTTCTTAGCGGCGCCGCGTCTTCGCTTCTCTGGTGACTCGTTTCGGCCCTTCTTCTCGACGACGGGGGAGGAGACATCCTTGGACGGCTTGCCCTCGCTGCGGCGACGCTGCTTGGTGGGAGGGGGAGTAGGCTCTTTTGCGGGCTCGGGCGAGGATTCTTGCTCTTGCTCTTCCTCTTCCTCTTCCTCCTCTTCCTCCTCCTCATCGCTGCCCTCCGCAGCCGCAACATCTAGGTGGAGCTGGTCTGCTGCCTTGTCGTTGTCATCATCCTTTTCGAAAGACAGTCCGGCTTTGTACAATGCGACCTTTTCACGGTATGTCGCGAGGTTGTCCGCATACAACTTCTTCCAGACCTAAGCACTGCGTAAGAACATGTTCATTAAAGGAAAAGAAGGAGGAAGAGATACATACCTCCTTCTGCGACTCGGGCATCTCGGCCCAGCGCCTAGTACCCTCGGCGGAGACATCTCTCGGCTTGGCGTCGTCACCCAGCTCTGCAGCAATGCTTGCGCGGTTGTGGTGCATGTACAGGAAGAACGGAGTCAAGGTGCGCTTGGGGGCATTAGGGTCAACGTGGCGTTTGCCGCCGCCGCGCTTCCTCTTTTTCCCTGTCTCCTCATCGGCATCAGCAGCTTGGGCATTGCCTTTCAGACTGGCGGCGAGGGTGTTGATGGTCGCTACAAGATCAACCTCTGCCTCGTTGCCAGTACCGAGGATCGCATTTGTGTGGTTGATGTACTCGCGCGACAGCTCAAGAGTGAGAGACTGCAGCTGGGCGAGCTTGGAGAGGAACTGTTTGCAGTGTTAGCGGAAAATACTGGTGCGCAAGACCATGGAGATAGCAAAGGGAAGGCAGCTAATAGTGAAACAAGACGCGCGACAGGTGTTTGGGCAGAGAGCAGCAATGCGCTGGGGTGGATGATGCAGTTCGCGCGAGACGAACGATACAAAGAACGCGAAAATCGCAGAAGATCATTCTTGATTTCCTTCGCAAGTCCACCTTGAGCGCAGGAACAGTCGACAATATAATATGGCAACAAGCATGAGGTAACAATGTCGTTAAAGCCAGCGACGTCGACCTCGACACCGCGACAACGTCGTTGTGTACCAGCGCGGCGCGCGAGGACACTCAAAACCGACAACGAAAAAGAGAGAGAAAAACAAAACTTACGCTGTCGCGAGCCTTAGTGAGCTCTTCAACGTCGACCGTAACGGTCTTGGATCCGATCTTAGCCATTTTGAAGCAGTGGCGCTGAAGAATGAGTAACGGGAGTACTAGTTGGTAGTTGGACTTGGGAGGGAGAAGAGGGAAGAGAAACGGTCGCGGTGCGGTAGCTAAGGCAAGCCCAAAAACAAAACCGAGGGGGGAGGATTTGGGCGGGTTTCGGGGGGAGAAGGGAGAAAGAAATTTTCGCCGCGTTGTGCGCTAAAAGGGGGGGCGCCGGCGCGCCGCATCCACTAAATACCTCACCCAACGGCAGGCTGGGAGCACTGTGCTTCGCGCCCGAGAAGCCCAGGCCACGCGCGCTCAGCATTCGTTACCTGCTGGGCTGCTGCTAGGCACTGCCGCTGCCCCCTACCCACGGCTGAGCTGGCCCTCCAGCCCGTTTCACAGGCTACCCGGCAACGGCACCCCCCAAGGCGCTGGCTGGCCCTGCGCCGGCTTAAGGTTGCGGCGTTGCGCTGCCACTGGTCCGCCATCTTCATGACCTCTCTAGCACGCCCTCCTTAATCGAAACCAAGCAATCAATCCATGGATATCTTACCCTTAACCTGTAATTCATCGTCCCCCGATCTTGTTCTTTGTTCTTTAGGGCGACTTCTTGTCTTTGTGGACGAAAAAAGCGCATGGGCGCATGGCATTGCAGCTTTCATTCTACCCCCTCAGCGCATTGCGGGCGGGGGTGAAGCCCCGACCGAAACGTAGGACTTCCATCTCGCTCAAATGGCAATACACTGCGCTAGACGTAGTTATGAAGGTTTGAGCTTAAAAGCGGCTTAATATCAAATGAAAGATACTTGCGACTGTGGTTTTAACATTGTATCCATTTTGCTACCTCGTAGGAAAGCATGAGTACGGTACCGTAGGAAGCTCGAATGTCAGTCTGCCCTACACCCGCTGCCAATATCAGGATTCGGGAGCGCAGGTCTACAAGAAAGACTTACAGCTAACTAGCGCGCAGCTCAAGCTCTAACGTCTATGCGATCCATAAAATATCCTTGTAATAGTTCCTAAGCATACAATAAATCAGTGATCATGGGTTGAGGACGCCAGGATGCGAGACGTAGCGCCGGATGTCGCTCGGTCATGCGCGCGGTCTTTCTGGCCAGTGGGAACGGGCAGTCCAACAGCGCTCACAAAGCGGGGGTCTATGCACCACTACAGCAACAGAACATTCAAGGGGGAGTGGATAAATGTAGAAATACAATGTCTTCCTATCTATCGTAAGGCAGCATGCGCTGCTCTAAGCTAGTCACCAGTCATCAGGCGGGTGTGCATGGAAGGCAAAGCCTCCGCTTTGAAATACAATTCACTTGGGACAGTCGACAGCGCAATGAGCAAGGTGGGACAACTTCTAGCCTAGAACTTGTACACCTGGTCCTTGCTGTAACCCAGCTCCTTCAGGATGCCTGTGAGCTCGCCCTGGTCCTTGGGGCTGACCTTGGGTCCGCTGATGGCCTTGTACATTCCAGGAGGACCGCAGACAAAGATCTTGATGTTCTCCTCCTTGGGCTCAGGGAGGACAGTCTTCAGAAGCTCCTTGTTGATGTAGCCCTTGCCGCCAGTCCAGCCCTCGGGAGGATTGTCAAGAACGTAGAAGGCACGGAATCGCTGAGGGTAAGTGTTCTCCAAGTCCTCAAACTCTCTCTTCAGGAGAATGTCCTCCTCCTTGACGTTTCCGAAAACGAGAGTGACCTTGGTCTTGTCCTCGGGGTTCTTGAAGATCTCACGGGCGAGCTGGTACATGGGAGTGATTCCGGTTCCACCAGCGACCAAGCAGATGTGCTTGTGCTTGTTGGCTTCCCAAGGGTACTTGGGCAGAGGTCCCTTGAAGTTCAGGCGCTGTTCGACGTTCATGTTGTGAATGTGTTCAGACATCGGGCCGTTGGGGTAGCGCTTGACAACGAGCTCGAGGTAGCCGGGCTGGTCTGTAACAATGGTTAAAGACTGAACTCAAGACTGGGTGGAACTGATCGACAACCTACCTTCGTCGCTAGTAGGAGTGTAGGGACGGATGACCGGCTTTCCACCATCGGGAGGAGTGTACTTGGTCAGAAGAGCGGCTAGATGGTCATTGTAAGTTTTGCAACCCATAACACATGCACCCGGAGAACTCACAGGCGACCTGAAGACCGGATACGGCCTCCTTGTCGGGGAACTCGAAGCGTAGCCTCTTGGTGTTGTGACTCAGGATTTCAATGTTGGACAGCTTGAGATCAACCCATCCCTGGTCTCCGCCTGTGAAAACCTTGGGGCGGTCGGCAGGAGCCTCTGCGGTGGCAGCACCGGACTGATAGCGGTACACTCCAACTCCAAGACCTGCCAGACCGATAGCCAAATAGACTGGGGCAAGGGACTTGCTCTTGGGGGCTTCGGTGGAGTATTGGCGGGCGCTCTGACAGTGCCGGTGATCAGTCAATCATACCGCAAACCGGTCGAGAAAAAAGCCATGCGCTGCTAGAATGAGAACTTACCTGCCTCAAAGGCTGAGCACAGCGGAAGGCATAACGGGAGAACATTTTCGCATACAAAGACACAGTACTGCAAAGTCAATGGACGCGGAGTTGTGTAAGAAGTCTGGCCAGAGATGTCTGTCGGCAGGAGCTTCGAAATAAAGCGGGACCCGAAAGCGCCGACGCTACCTACTCCGAACATGACGTAACGCAGCAAGCGTCCCTGGCTGTCTAGCACGCGATTATCAATCAGTCACCCAATTCTCTCCATTCGATGATGCCTTGCGTATAAGAAGTTAATCCGTAATTCCGTTAGATCCGTTTTTCTTCAGCATTGCATTATGGAATGGACATGCAATGGTGCGGAACCTGGCCGCTCGACATATGAAAATGCTATGAATAGGGCTTGCAGGTAGGACAATTTGATCAAATTCGTCCTGATACGTTGCTGGAAAGACCTACCTAGGTAGGGTCTTCGGCAGCGCTTTGAACAGAAGCCTTTCCGCAATCTCCCTGCGCGGAGTGCATAAAACGAAAAGCCTAGTTCTCCAGATATATATATTCGGCCGAGATTTTGCATCAGACCACGGGAAAGCATCTAGCAGAATGAAAGCATAACCAGCAAGTCATGACGCTCATTGAAGATAGCAACAGGAAGAGATTCACGTCAACATATGAAAGAGAGAAGAAGAGGAGAGAGATCATCCGAGCATAACATGGTTTAGCACAATAAGATTCGAGGCCAGTCAGTCCGAATGGATGACCAACGGGACGGGCCGTTGACAATGTAGGAGAAAGATATGAGAAAGGAGTTTGCTTAAAGTTTGTGTGGTAAGACATGTGTGCAATGACCACAAGAGGAAATCGTGATCGGGGCCAGGCTCATGACATACATGTAACTAGATAAGGGGACCGTGCAGGCTAGGTACAGCAAGACAGAGCCGCACCCAGAGAACCTAAGACATAGTATTGGTCAACAACAAGGCGACTTAAGAGACGGTGAAAGGGTGAAGGATGGAAGACCAAGAATGCCATGGACGTGACATCAGGCTAAATGCGATAACAACCCGGAGGCCTGAGCAATACTCTTTACTATGATGCTGCTACTGCTCTAGACATGCAAACGGAGGCGTAAGAATTCGTCAATCGAATAAGTGATATATACAGGACTGTGTTAGCCGCGTTGACTGGCCAGATAAGTAGGTATACCGGCTAGACTCGAGCCTTTCGTGGGCAGACTGGATGGGCGTGCTGTTCTGATACCCGAAACGGGGAAACAAAAGGACATGGAGGACGTTTGATGACAACAAAAAAAGGAACCCCGTATTTTTTGGATATAACTTGAAAGGTCGCTGCAGAGGACTAGAGACATAAAACCATCTTTCCCATCAATTGGGCTGTAGATACACCGGCGTTTCCGCGTGACCTGTGTCCTTCATGCATGCTATGGCCATAACATAGTCATTCATCCACACTCCTATCCCATAAACCCGTAACCACACATTTAAGCGAAAGTAGAAGGACGAGAGTAGGCGAAGACCTTCTTGTTGCCGCTGGCGGAGCGGTGGGGCAGAGGGAACTTGAGGTTCTTCGAGAGGAGCTGCTTGATGTAGGGGCGGCGGATGGAGTCGGCCTTCTCGATCTCAACGACCTTGAGGATCTGCATGGTATTCAATGTTAGAGGAGAGCGTAAGACGAAAAACAGTCTCAACGTACGTGGATAGAGCCGAAACGGGCACGGTGGCGAGCAGCCATGTCCTGGTAGAGAGCCTCAACGGCCTCGGTCCTGCTCATCTCACGGAACTCCTTGTACATGTTGTGGGTGCCGGAGCGGGAGTCGTAGCGGAGCCAGATACCGAAGTTCTTGACCTTGAGGGGGCGCTTCTCGTGGATCTGGTACGGTTGTCAACGGACTGTTCGTCCTCCACCATGTTCGTCATAGAAACATACCACGTTGAGGCTGACGATCTCACCGTTGGCCTTCTTGACCTTACGGAGCTGGGTCAGGAAGTACCAGAACCGCGACTTGGCCACAACAGTGTTGGGCGCAAAGATGCGCATGCGGTACAGCTTGGGCGTGGGGTTCGCCTCGGTGGGCAGATGACGCCCGATGACCTGGTACTCGGTGAGACGCCCTATGGTATACCCGTCAGTCGTTTCCTCCTAGCAATTACATGGCATCCATGATATCCCAGTGAACCGGCAGCGGTTGGCGATTGATTCCACATGATATAGAATAGCGTTCAAGCGGTCGGCTGTAGACGGGAAAAGTCGCACATGCAAGTGTCGGCCCCTCGAAAACTTCAACTCTTCCCAGCATTATTATTTCCCCTAGCAAAGTTCCTCCATGCTGACCGTAAATTATCGACCGTAAATCTCTCAATCCGATTGACGCGCGGGGAGTGATGCAGTGTACAGTGGCCGAAAGGAGTCGCTTGACGATCGTGGGAATTTGCCGATTCAACTGGGATACCGGTGCTGGAAAAAATGTTTGACTCACCCATCTGGAAAAAACGACAGTCAGCTATATTTTCTCCAGAGAGCGACAAGGATATCACGGGGTATTGGCTCACTTTTATTGACGCTGTGTCGATTAGTTGTCGATATAGGTGTGCCGGGTTGTCTCCTCACGAAAATGGAAGATTTGTGAAATTGGGGGAGTTTAGGGCTGCCGCCCTTCGTCTAAGCGACCTAGGGGCTTGGCAGAAACGCTAGTCCCATTCTGGTGGATCACAGCCACTTCCCGTGGCTGATGACATGCCGCCGCTGTTTGTCTGGCCAAGGCGCCGTTCCCCACTTTCTTTTGATCTGGAGGTGGGTTCATGATAGCTCCGCGGAAGTGACAAGACTGGAAGAAGGTCGCGAAGAATGCAGATGCTCTGAAAAACTTCTTCTCGCCGGTTGCGACCCCCAAATCTCACACCGATGGATACCATTTTGCGAGAGCTTGAAGCAGGGCACAGACTTGGGTCTGGTCATCGCCTGGCAGCTGCCCTCACTCCGATTGATACGCCGGAACACCCAGACCGCTTGAAGTCATTCTACTTCTTCTCCAATGCCGCTCAGCTATCCACCAGTCTACGATATTATATCTCCCACCTCAGCGGAGTCCGCATACCGAAGGAAGACCTCAACGCCTGGGTCGATATCTTTTCGGCGTACTGGAAGGCAATCGGAGAGATTGTCAACTTCGACGAAATTCCATCGCGCGCGAGCTGGGCCAACGTTTTCGATAGCTGGAAAGACCTGGCAAATGTGCTGATTAGAGCTTACACGAACCCGGGGCTGGAGGCTTGGACCATACCTTGTCTTTACGTTGTTGGGAAATACCTACGGGTCTTCGCATCCAAAGCCGACGCAGAGTCTTTGTCCCAGGGATCTGTCGCGTATTCTGAGGATGATATGTTCACCGACTTTGGGAAGAATGCGAAGACTGAGGAGTCGGCGCGGGTGCTGAACCGCATGTTCACCCTCTGTCTCAATGACAGGTGAGTCTAAAGCTGTGTCTTGGTGCGTCATCGATCTCTGACGAGGTGTCTAGAGCGGCAATGGAAGAATCCCGAAAATGGGGCGTCTATTACATGTCGAATCTGTTATTTAAAACGTACTTCAAGGTATGATTGATGGTACTTTCTTTCGATGAACCAACAGCTTACTGAAAACCCAGATCAATGCCGTCGGCCTTTCCAAGAACCTGCTGCGCGCTCTCAATGCTCAGTCGCAGGACCTCCCGGATAAGGAACGCTATCCCAGATCGCACATTGTGACATTCAACTACTTTGTTGGTGTCATATTCTTCCTGGATGAAAATTACGCTGAGGTACGAGATCATACATAGGCTGGTCAGTTTCGAAAGCTTACCCGAACAAGGCAGAGACGCACCTCGCATATGCTTGGAACTACTGCCAAAAGCACGCGATCAAGAACAAGGAGTGGGTGTACCGTTTTTCCTTTCAGACTTTTATCGCTGACTACCCGGAAGGTTAATATTGACATATCTCGTGCCCTGCCACCTCGTCAACACCCATACCCTCCCGAGCAAGAAGCTTCTTAATGATTTTCCACGCCTTGAAAAGCTGTTTCGCCCACTATGCGACTGCATCCGGAAGGGAGATCTCCACGGCTTCGATGCCGCCATGTCTGCAGGTGAAGAAGAGTTTGTCAGGAGACGCATTTACCTGCCACTCGAAAGGGGACGAGACATTGCGTTGCGCAATCTGTTTAGAAAGGTCTTCATAGCTGGTGGATTTGAAGAGCCCAAAGACGGACAGCCGCCGATCCGACGTACAAGGATTCCCGTCGCCGAATTCGCAGCAGCGCTTCGGATCGGCACTCATGCAGACGCGAGGACCCGAGTCGATATCGATGAGGTTGAATGTCTGTTATCCAACCTCATTTACAAAGTTAGTATCTGGGACACTTTCGAATCGGAAATACGTGCTAACCAATCCTCTAGGGCCTGATGAAGGGCTATATCGCCCGCGAGCGCGGCATGATTGTCCTCAGCAAAGGCGGAACAGCTTTTCCCGGAACAGGTGTATAGGACCGGCATCCTGCAGTACGGAAATTCTCCACAACAGAGACTGGATCACGCCAAATATCCGCAGTCCTTCATCCTCAAGCCTTTGAATCAAGCTTATTGGACCTTCTTATGACGGTGCCAAGGACAAGGTGTACAGAAGCCCTGCCCTATCAAGCCAAATACACACGACCTAGCTATACATACCTCGACAAGCTCCGTCCAGACGACGAGCTGTGATACGAATATTAATGAACTATTACCGACGATGGTGACACCTACACTCTTGAATGATACCGAGCCACTCCCAGCTACGCATGCATTTCCCGTTCTGTATCACTAAACAATAGACGGCATCGCGAGGACATGATGAAATCTCAAATTCTCCATAGATAAGATGGTATCGAGCATTTCTCTAATTCCACGAGCTACGGATTGGATGAACCTTCTCCGGAGGCTTGATAAGTACTTCGTACAGAGAAGGACGCCATTACAGGAATCACAATTAGTCGTTGAACTAGACTACCAGAACCTAGCTAGTGGACGTTGAATAGAGTCCGAAATATAGTACAGCAGAGCAGAGCTGGGAACATGGGGACCCGAAACCATAACCATTCAACATCACGCCAGTCAAGAGACAAGAACAACTGAGATGACAACGCTCAAGACACTCGTTGGAAAAACACTGACAGAAAATCGTTGGATATAACCATATAACCCCAGCCTGACTAGAATGGCATCACCCAGGAGCCTTCCCAGTGGTGTTCGGTTGGGAGAGTAGCACTACTATTCGGCGACTGATAGCTTAGCATTCGGCGCTTCTGCAGTGAGGTCATCCTAAGCAGAAGCATGTTAGTACGGATACAAAGGGGGTAACCTAGAATTGATTGACAACAGAAGGTGATCGAGATGGGATAGGCCAACCATATGATTACACATCGCCACGAAAAGATCGAAGAACATTTTACCTCCCTTCTCCATTTCCATCTGCATCGTGCCGCTGCGCTTGAAAGTGGACCTGCTCCGGATTATGAGGGCCAGGTAGTGAGCTCGGAGCTTGGATTCGTGGTCGGGCGTATTGGCGTAGGCATAGCGCGCACTCGCGAGGATAGTACTGCATTGGATACCACTGTGCAGGCCCTGTTTTATGAGGGATAAGCGCTTCAGGTGCTCGAGACCGTACTTGTTCGCGGCACAACTTTTTGCAACGGGCATGTTAGTCACTTTACGATAGGCGAGGCATAAAGGAACGGCATGGCACATACTAGACAGCAGTATCCCTAAGAATCTCCGCGCCAGCAGCCGGATGGAAGAGCGTAGCTCCGTCGGTCTGTCCATCCTTGAGCCTGGGATTCTCCAGCTCCCACGTATTGTGCTTTTCACTTTGGACTAGCCGTGGGTAGTAGTCGCCTCTGTACAGATACTCGAGGATGCACGAGAACACCTCCGGCTGTTCCTCCGGCAATGCTATTCGACGGCTGCTGAGAGGGTTCTGGGATTGAGCTCGGGAGCATGCGGCTGCGAAGAATGGCGATACGCAGAGGATTTCTTTATGCGCGGCGAAAAGTCGCTTGTCTGGGCCAACGCTGATGGTAATGACAGACGAGGAGGAAGAGCTATTATAGTAAACCTCGTTAGTGATCCGAACCACAGCCGGGCGCAATTGAGTGTCTTACCTGCCATCGGGCGGACTGTCTGGTACCTGGCACTTCCCAAGGCGTCTTGATGTGACTGAAGAGTCGCGAACATATCGTCGGGACCGAGAAGTAGCCTTCGATGTTCCATATCTGGAAGAGAAGCTGTCAGGGTGCGATTGAGGATTTCGCCTAGTCGTGAACATCGTTAGATTGGGCTTGCGCCTGTTTGGAAGGGCTGGTGGGAGCAAAAGGGCGGGAAAAAATGCTGGGGCAGAGCGAATTCAGGGGAATGATAAATCAAATCAAGGAGCAGGGAAGTTGGTAAAACGCTGGCCTTACCTTTACCATGTTAGTATGGAGAGGTATCGCAGCGTACAGAGAAGCCTTTGGACAAGCACCTCAAGGTGGATGTGGCACGGATAGTTGTCGCTATTGGTCGGTTTCGACCTGGGGCAGGGATAAAAGGCTAAGACTCGGGTTTGACTGATTCTTTGATGGGTGTGAAACAGTTTGCTTCTTGCATGATGGCGACTGGCGCATGGTGGTGAGTCGAAGCTAGGACGCGTAATGGATGTATTTCACGCGTAAAGTGGTTTTGGAAAGCACGCCAGATCGCGCTATCATGTGACTAATTGTCCAATCAGCGCTGCGCATTTAAATCGTGTGTGGACCAGGACTCCATCATCGACGATGGATCATTTCTTTGTTCAAGGAACACGCATGATCTGTCGTTTTGGAGCCACCTTGCTGATGCAGAATTTTCTTTGTCGGTGCACCTTGCTGATGGAACCTTGCTTGAGTGAATAGACCTGGCCAATTGGATTTTGCTGGGCCGCATGATGGCTCATATCAAGGTCATGCACCATTCCGCTGGCATAAAATTGAGAAGTGGAATGTTTGTGAAGATTGGTATATGCTAAAGAATACATGACATGCGCCTGACCATACCCAGCCCAAAATACGCCACTCTAAAAACGCCCTTTGTACACGAACCCAGCTCTACTGTCTGGTGATGGCGGAGGAATCCAGCTCACGATACGTCAACCAGACCGGACATCCAGCTCTTACAGAAACACTTTCTTGGCCTGGTTCGGATGGCTCTCGCTGGGGCAGTACGGACATTTGAATCTGGTGCCCTTGCAGAGTCGGTTGAGCGACTCCTCTGCAATTACATGCCCACAGGGCATCATCATTGGCGGATTCGCATCGGTCGTCTGTTCTTTGGAAACAGGACACACGAAGATGGAATGGAAGAGGTATGATGGTGGAAGCGGGATTTCGACCTAGTTATGATATTAGTCAAAAGTAGTTGCCACAGAACTCGTCTCAACTTACGGGTAGCTCATGCTCTGTAGTCCACTCGGTCCGTTTCGCTTTCATAATAGTCTGTAACTTCAGCAAGGTAGGTAGGGCTATTGCGCCCGCAGTTGCAGCAATGTAGAGGGGCGAATCAGGGGATAATCCCAACAATGCACAGAATTCTCGAGTGAACGAGTGTGAAACATCGGCCCACGCAGATGGGTTGTTGAAGATGTTCTTGTAGGGAGAATCTGGTAGATTAGGGCTGAAAGCCATAGCGCCCATCAGCTGTTGAATTTCCCGCATATATCTGGGAATAAACTGTGGGAACTCGCGCCTGGCGTATTCCAGTGCTGATTGCCGCCCTTCAGGTGTAGGACCACGCTGCTCGTGCCCGCCATGGAAGAGCCAAACGAACTGGAGCCTGCATAGGTCGAATTCGAGGTTGCTACCTCTCGCTTCTAGCGCCACCTTGTTCTCTTCCTTCCTTGACCACTCTATAGCCGGTAGTAAGTTGTTGTTTTCTTTGAGTTCGTGAAGTATACGGTACATATTGTGGAACTCGTCGCGAACTTTGCTGGAGGGTACCCCTCCAATGTCCAAAAGGGCGGCCGCCTCATCCATGGTATCCGGGTCGAGTTCCTGTTGTCTTTCCGCCGCTTTTTTCTCTGCTACTTCTGACAGAAATGCCGAAGCCACGGAGAACTGTCCTTCCCGAAGTAGGTGCATGGCGATGGCTCGGTTGATAAGGTGTTCTTGCGACGAGAGGACATCGTGTTCGGAGCTTGGTAAGGGCCTGTCTTTGAAGAGCTTCAAAGTGTCAGAACAATACATGTCAGAATATGCAACGTCTCAACAAATTGCCTACCTTGTCTAGAGCCTTTGAATACTTGTTGAGGCCGCTATGAGTCTCCTTTAGGTTATCATTGATAGCATCGAACGACGATTTGATAGGATTTTGAAGCTTGGCCAAAGCTACTGAGGCTTGATTCGGGTCTGATATGATCTCAAGTTAGCCTCTCTGCATAAATCAAGTCAGCGGTGTATTCCGAACGAACCAGAAGCGATCTTGTCCCGGGTTGCCTGAAGCAAGTCGATTGCGTCCTGCACATTTTTGATGCTTTGGGATGACTTCAGTCTCTTCGAGAGGCGTTCATGTTCTTTCTGAACGAGGTCCATGGTGAGAAGTCCGGGGACGGCCCACGCGGAGCTTAGCAAGTCCGACGATTACCGCTCGTTCGCAGCTCGGAGAGCAACAGCCATGTGGAAGTATCGAGTAGGGAGATCTGCAGGTAGGAAGTCCGAGAGACTTGGTACCCAGGTCGGAAACAGTTTCTAGGATGGTCAATCCGTGGGAAGGTTGGGCGTCATGAGTGCAACAGGTGAGCAGATAGTCCCTCATCCCTCATCCCGAAATCATCCAATTACGACATGGATTGTCACGTGGTTGTGAGTAATTACCCCTCGTCGTTTGCTGAAAAAAAAAGCAAAGATAGTGGGGATAAGTAGATCATCTGGGAGCTGAGCGGGTTCAGGTGTTCAAGAGGCAGGTCGTGTGGCGCATCATACTAATAATGTTGCTGAGTTATTCTTGCATCAGCGTCATGAACGATGCTATCTGGTGTGGACTGTGTGGAGGAAAGTAGAATCGTCTTGGCAGCGCCATATTCCGGCCGTACACTCCAGCTTTGTTGCCTCACGCATCAGGCTGTCTTCACTCTGTGTCAACCAATCATGAGTCACCATGTCCCGGAAAGGCTCTCGCTTACACTAGCGTCACTCTCTCAGTCTTGGCGCAGCTATATAAACTCGATGCTGCCGCGCAAATTTTGGAACTTTTTCTTCTTTTTTTCTCCATCCTGGTGCAAGGGTTTTACACGTGTCAGTGAGGAGCCATCCGAGACCGTGTTTTTGCTAGTTGAAAACTACCTAGTTGACTGCTCCAGTTGGCCTTAGGGTCGGCTGGGAATTTTTGAACATCTAAGAAACTGCCCTGGCTTCATCCTTGAAGCCAGTCGTGATGGCGAAATCCATCGCTTGGTTGATCTTCTTTTCATTGCCGGTATCCCTTGCGGATGCTTGTAGGGAAGAGATGTTTTGACTATCTTTGTCTTGGTTAGATTTCAGTTCGCTTCGTGCACTCCGTTGAGAAACAATATTCTCGTTGCGTGCTTCCTATTGAAGGTTCTGGGTGACGCTTGACGGTCGACGGCCTTCGTTCGTTCAGCCACGTAACCACGTTGCGGCTCGTCTCTTGAAGTCTTTCGTCGCTTATTCTCCTGGTCCACTCTTATATCTGTCTTCTTCGCCGTTTCCTTTTGGCACGTTATGACTCAGTCGATGAGGTGTTCGTCCATACATGCCAGGCGCCTGTTCAAATGTTGGATTAGCTGGGAATTAGCGACACGTTTTTGCCAGCATTGGCAAGTAAGGAACAGGAAGGAGTAAGAGCTGGATAAGGAGCTGGAGTGCCAACAAGCAGTTTTCCAACGAGTTATATCACTAGCAAACCATAAACCACAGTACATGCAAGCAAAGCCGATACTGTCTACAAAATAGGCGCCCCTCATCCCGCAATCACTCAGACGGCCTTGACATCTGCAACCCGGGCCAGCCCCAGTGTCTCCGCCTCTGTGCGATATTCCCCAAATTTCCTAGCAGGCACCTTCTTCACAAACATTTCATCAAGCTCCTCGTACGACCTCCCTCTCGTCTCAGGCTGATACCACCAAATAAACGCGATGGACGGAAAACAAAGTCCGCCGAAGATGAACCCCAGCTTGCCTCCCAGATTTGCCCTATCAGGGTTAAAGAGGTACGGGAGCACAAACGCCCACATGACGCCTATGCTATTTGCAGCAGCGAGGCCAATAGCGATAGTTTTGACGCGGAGGCGCGATGTCGCTGTTTTCGTTAGACAGGTGTACGCTGTTGCGCCGATAGACGCGTTGTAGAAGAATGAGTAGAGGAGAATCATGGCGATGGCGCCACGGAGTTGTCCTTTCGTACCGCCGACAGCGAGCCCGCCCATGACCCAAAGGATGGCTGTGAGGATGATTGTGCCGTGGAGGGTTAAGGCGCGGCGTCCTGTCTTGTCGATCAAGTACCACGAGACAATGTTGCCGGACATGGAGAGGACTTGCTGGGTGACTTGGAGCTTGAACGACATGTCAGTGCTGCAGCCGGCTAGTTGGGAGTAGTAGGTTGAATAGGAGGCGGCGAAGACGATGCCGGTGAATTGTTAGATTATGAGAGGCGCAATGGAGACGATGGTGCGGCGGAGATTGGACTTGCGGAAGCATTCGAGGTATGTGACGCCTGCTGTTTCGCGGCGTATTTCTTCGAGGGTTACTTTGATGTTGGCTAGGTGCTTCATAGTCTCTTCTGGAGAAGAGCTAGATTCGAGACGCTTCAAGCTGCGGAGGGCTTTCTCGTCACGGCCTTTGCTCGCAAGCCACCAGGGTGACCTTTGTGGAAGATAGATTGTTAGGTTTTGATATGGGTTCGTAGAAGAGAAAAGCCTTACTCAGGCATGAAGAACACGAAGGCAGTGGCAATTGCCGCAAAGCCATACTGGGCGACAAATATTGATCGATACGCCCACCTCGTTCCGACGCTTCCCTCGCTGTTCGTGATAAGTGAGACTGTGAACGGTCCCAGTGTGTAGGCCAGGGCAATCAAGCAGGTCATAAGACCACGAAGAGCGAGCGGCACAATCTGACAGTGGTAAGCAATACAGCTATATCCGGCATGTGTTCAGGCTACCGAACGGTACCTCTCCAATGTAAGTAGCACATAGTCGCCGTCGAAGTAATTGCCGAAGTCCTTACGAAACTGAGGAATACTGACTACAACACCACTGGCCTGATTCTCAAAGCTAACAAGCAGGATGGTCCAGACAGCAAAGAGACACCAAGCAATTGCCTATGGCTGGGACTTGATTGCCTGCCATTTGGATTTCTCGTGGTCTTCTTGGTTGACTAGATGGGCTAATTGATGTTCTGTGCCCTCGTCATGGACGACCTCGGTGGTATTCTTCTCAGGGTCCACCTGCAAGCAAGTCGAGTGGGTAACGTGGAGAGACAAATCTGTGCAAACTTCAAAGGACAATAATGTGTGACAGTCATGCATCCAATGCGTTGCAGCGGCGCGATCGACAGACTTAATACCTGCTTGAGGGGGTACCACAGCATGCTAGCTCTTTTGCTACCCGCAGTATCCCTTTGAGTCCGTGCACATCAGCTGCATTCCTGCGAGTCATATCAAACATGGCCTGCTTGAGTGGACTGACGATTCAGGCAAGGTTTGGAGACATGGCATGATTCCCCGACGGGGGTGGCAGCAGTCTTCGCAATAGGGAAGTTGTGAGCTGTAGGCAGACTGTTCTCAGGCCTGACAAAGCTGATCTCCTGGGGCCTGGATTGTTTGTTGCTTCTCGTCGTGAAACTTCCACATATCCCGGTCATGTTCCCCGCTCTTTCTTTGATCCACGACGCCTCGTCTTTCTTGTTTCAGCGGGTTTATCATGCTGGTTGTTCGGAACAAGCAGGTTTAACCGCACAGCCGGAGACCCAAGCCTTGCAAAAGATAATATGGCAAGCATTTCAGCTTCCTCAGTAGCAATTCAATATAGGCATTGCACTAGACAGACGGAAAAAGGCCTAGTCTGGGGTATCCCCGCACCCCGCATAAACCCCATAACCCGCATAGAACCTCTCTGGCTCAATGCTCTAGGCACGGGGAAACTTCGGTAAAAGCATTGGGGTTGAAGACCATGAAACAATCGCCATATGGGCATGCCTGCCGTGCACCGAGGTGTAAGGCTTATAGATCCTTAATTCGGTGTTATATCATCATCATGCTATTGTACGTTGACTAGCATCGTGAGCTTGCAATGGCAGCCGTATCCACGCCCAAGTTTGCTTTGGCCTCGGGAACAGGTTATAGACCCTTGCAACGTAGAGCTAGCAAGCCTATAAAAGCTAGCATGCGATTGACCATGGCACCGTTGAGAAACCAGCTTCAAGTCAGTTTCGTTTCAAAAATCTAAGCCTGATCCAGCCATGAGACCCTCCCTCCTCGTTGCTGCGACACTGTGCGCCGTCGAAGTAACTGCTTCGCCTCGTAAATACGACGACTCAGACCTTCTAGTTGTGACGACCAGCGGTACCGTCAAAGGTGTCGTCTCTGAAGAGACAGACAATGTCCGGATTTTCCGTGGCATTCCATATGCTGAAGTTCCAACCGGAGAGCTTCGCTTTCGTCCTCCAGTGAAGAAGGCGCGAGCAACTAAGACCATAGATGTTTCCGAATGGGGACCCGCTTGCCCACAGACCACAAACGCCGTGGATAACATTTACAGTATATATTTCAAAGGGTTCGGGAAACCTGACGATGTGCCCACTGGTGAAGACTGTCTCCATCTGAATATTTGGGCGCCGCGTGGCAAGCCCAGCACCGAAGAATTGAAGCCGGTTCTCATTTTCATCCATGGTGGTGGCCATAACGCGGGTGGAAATTCCTTTCCATACTATGACGGAGGCCGCCTTGTTCAGGATAACCAGGATGTGATCTCCGTCTCGCTTAAGTATGAACCCACAGATTCACAATGAGCTTGATAAGGAGCTGACCAGAAAAACGCAGCTACCGCTTGAACGTTTTCGGTTTCCCTTCCGCAGCAGGTCTGAATGGACAACAGCTCAATCCGGGCTATATGGACCAGCGGCTTGCGATCGAATGGACGCGGGATAATATCAAAGCCTTCGGTGGAGATCCAGGGCGAATGCTTCTTTTTGGGGAGTCTGCGGGCGGCGGATCGGTTGACTCGTATACCTACGCTTACGCGGAAGATCCCATCGTATCTGCAGTGGTGCCCATATCTGGCGTTGTCGGCAGTTTTGGTGCTAAGGAGGTTGCACCAAGCAACTTCACGTTCATTGCTCAACAGCTTGGCTGTCCGCTCGACAGAGATGAGGAACTCGCTTGTATGCAAAGTAAGCCATGGGAAGATATCGAAAATGTCGTCAACCAGTATAATGAGACGCAAAACGGTGGGAGGCCTCTGAGCTTTGGGCCAACTGCTGATGGACAGAACGTCTTCGCCGACTTTGCTGCACGTCTGGCTGCTGGCCGCGTTGCCAAAATTGTGAGTTAGGAAATACCTTCCACACTTGTACTTGATGGCAATTTCTAACTATTCTCAAAGCCAGTGCTCATTGGCAACTCGGATCGCGAGGGTGCTTCACTTGCTGCGAACAACCTTGGTCCAGCCGTTAGTGAGACCAACAAGCCCACCGAGCAGGCAATCGATGCCATGACGAATGGGATCTTCAACTGTCCTGCTGCCAACGCAACTGTGTAAGTCTGACTTCCAGGTCTCTACCATCTTTTGGATCTTGCTAACGATTCTCCCAGTGTTCGCGCAGACGCTGGCCTGCCGGTATGGCGCTATCGATATTTTGGAGTGTTCCCGAACCTGGACCCGTTCACCTGGCTGGGAACCTGGCACTCTGCCATTTTGCCGACTCTGTTCAACACAGCGAACAAATATGGCGTTGCGAATACTCCAGCGCAGGATGAAGCGGTATCGTTTCTTCAGTCCATCCTTGTGAACTTTGCGCGAAACCCAGCCTATGGTCTCACTAAGCTGGGGTTCCCACAGTACAACCCAGAAGGTGACACTCTGGTGCAGCTGGTGAAGGGCTCTTCTTTGTTGTCTTTCAATGCGAGTGCCGGATATGATGGAGCGTGCTAGGGTCTGGCATTTGATTGGTCTCCTGTCTCCGGATTTGGGTTGTGGCTGAGCTAGCAGATGTACGGGGGGGTACCTTAGGCAACCACTTTCGATGCGGGATGATTAGCCGTGCTGACGGATAAGAGTGGCGTTTATGTTTCAGAGCATCAAGAGTACATTGGCTGAGACATGACTTGCAATATTATTCTATACTCCGGGTTCATGAAGTAGAAGATGACAAGTGACGATGCAGAGCAGAGAAAGAAGGTAGCTAGGCACGGGGTAGGTAACCGTAGCAATTGGTGGTGTTGTGGCTGACACACCGCTCCGGCCCTGGTCCCTTTCTTCCCTTGTGACGTCGCCGCCCGCCATATAAATTCGCCAGTTGCTCCCCCCGTTCTTTGATGAGTGCTCCTCGAGCGTCGCTCCTTGTCTTTTACTGTTATGACTGAGTAATCTCTCGGTCGTTGATATGTCAGAGCTCTTTTCCTTTTCGCGGGCTGTATTTGGTGGACTGGAGGATCGGTGTTATTCTGAGGCTATCTCTGCAGCTATTCAAGCGCCTATTGTACTTTCAACCTCTCCGCGAATCTACGATGCCTACGATCTATCCCACATTCCCGTACAGTAGAACTTGTACGGTTATTCACCATGTCATCGACGGCGCCCGGCGCACAGGCCGCCTCTCCAACCACAAATCGCCAAACCACAAGAGCCTCGGTGAACACTGCAGAGACCCCATCCTCCAAACCACACGCCGCTGAACCGTCACTTCGTCGTGCCCACCAAAAGATCGTGTTTACGGACCCAGTCGCACTGCGCTACCTCGAAGAAGACCCATCAACCATCGTGCTACATCGCCGTTTGACGCTGGAGGGCTATGAAATATACATTGTTGAGCAATGGGCGTGCTCCAGAATCCACCCCACTTTTGTCATCACAACATATACGGGCGACTCGTCGCATAGAGTGGTTGCCGGTGTTTTGGGGGTTCCTACGGACGAGTCGACATGGTCTCCCCGGTTAAAGCTGTACTTCAATGCTGTGAAGAGATTCCAGCTGCGAGAGAGGGAGACGTCCCTGGGCACAGTCATGGTAACTGATCTAAACTCCTTTCCATCCGAGCTCTCGGTCATATCTGTGCCTGATGGGGACATCCTCAAACACAGGGAAGATTTTGTTGTGAATGAGAACTTGAAGCGGTTAGGCTGTGCTGGCCGAGCCGGCTTGAAGCTTCAAGCCCCAGCTCCTGCTACCGTGGCCAAGTTTCATCAATTGTATCGGACGAGCGAAAGGGTCCCCCTCTACAGCGCCGTAATGGAGCTCGTCAAGCAATGCCAGATTGCATTGATGATGTTCGGGAACTTGGCGCCGGAGTATGTGGACGGCCTGCTTTGCGATGTTACAGAAGCTGCCGTGGGAGACTGGTGGACCGATATTGGAATGGAACTGTATAACATTGAACCAAGCGATGGGAGGCTCGGTCCTACCACAGTTGCAGCTTTGCTAGGTGCTCTCATGGGAGCTCGCAACCGGCTTCATGCGAACGGCGCCCCGGTCGGCAAGGATGCCTTTGATATCACCAATCTCAAGCGCGGAATTGGAAATTTTCAGAAATCTCAGAAGATGAAACGTACGCGGCGGCTGGACCGCCACACCATGGACAGACTTCACCGGGCCACTGCCAAGGCGGCCAATGCAGAGGGCTGGACCGATGCTGTCAAATCTACCATGGCGGAGCTCAGCGGGCACGGCGGCGAGATGGTCATGGGCATGGTCCGAGGCAAAGAGAAAGGCGGGATTGCGGATATCGAAACCATTGATATTGACAACTTTGCTCAACTAATCAGCGGTGAAAGAGCAAAGTGGCTGTGGCGAGGGAAACCACGCAAAAGCGCAGTCGATCCCAACGGACCTCCGGCTTCGGATATGATGTTTACCACAGACGAACAAGGCGGGTATGTCTGGACTAGTCGCAAGCGACATTCACATGAGGACCTGGGCATGGACCCCTCTTTTCAGAAATCTGAACGCTCGTGGAAGCAGGCGGAAGCAGCTGGTCCGCCCGAAGACAAGGATCAGAACCTCAGTAGGATGGTCATGAAAGGCGTTAGTGGCAAGGTTTCAGACGCTCGGATAGGGTTTGGCAAGTTCAAAGATGCTGTCGGGATACGGTCACACAAGCAGGCAAAGGACTCGGAGTTTGGTGGTGATGCTGCCCAACTCGCTTTCATGGAAAGTGATACTGAGACAGGCCTCCAGCCTGGATACGAGGATGCCCCTCTACCCGATACACAAATATCGAATGGCGACGAGCAAGGACAACTTTTGCTGGACACCAATAGCCAGCCTGCTGAGAAAACGCTGCCAGCAATCACAGTAGACCGTGCTGCATCCAACGAAGACACAGACACGTCACGTAAGGGCTCTGTAACCCAAACAGACGAAGGCATGCAAGACCTGGACCGGTTCAAAACGCGATCTACCGACGTATCAGGAGTTTCAGGCGATCAAGAAAGAGCATCAACACCAGCATCCTGCGCCATGTCCCTACGCAGGCCGCATAGCTGCGACGAACTTGTATATGTCCACGATTTCGAGCGGAAAAACGAGTACTGGCCGCGGCATCTATCTTTCAGCATCGTCGAAGAGGTTGTCCTAGCGCGAAAAGGACTAGATGACCGTACGATCTTTGAAAGCTCCGACGCCCCTCTAGAGGAAGCCATAATCCATGAGGACATACTGGCCTCCGATGCGCGGATTTCGGGTATTCGAATCCGCGATCTTGAATTACACACCGTTCCATGGGTCGAGAGCCAGGTGTCTTCGGTCGACAGGCTGAACCACACCCTTTATGAGACTCATGAGAAGATGAGCTCAGAGTACCTAGAACGGTTCGAGCTGTATCAGCAAGTCCGGGAACGGTCCGGTGATGTACTCGCTGGTGAGCACTCGCAGCTTACCGAGCACATGAAACGAGTCGAAATGTTGGGCGCAAAGCTTGACTACGAACTACACGCTTTAGAAACCAAAGTCGAAGATGTGGAGACGGGGCTCGGAGAATTCGAACGGCATGTCGAGGATATCGAAGTGAGGGTCAAGTCTCTGATTCGGGGTGAGGACGAGAAGCAGAATCACTCGTGGCTGTCCTGGTTCAGCAGACTGGTCAGTGGCAGTAGCTTGACACACACCCATTGACGGCACTATTGTTTCCTGTATATATTGTATCAGTTACTTGTACATATCTTTGAATAGAATTGTGAAATGCACGAACCGCGCGACGTCATAAGGAAACTATCATATTTTCCAATACAGGCCTAGAAAGCCGTGGACTCCCCGGGGGTCGAAAACATGAGCCCAGCTGTCCAACCTCAGAAAGCAACGGGTAAACATGAGGAGAGAAAAAAAGAGTCATTCATTACACAGCCAGGAATATAGCTAAAATACATTGTTCAAACGCACATAAAGGGCAGTACTACCCTTTACATGCTCAAACCACCACCCTGAGCCGCCTGACCTTGCATTTTCTCGCTGACCTTGATGTTGACCTCGAAGAACTTGCCGACGCAGCGGTCAAGGCAGACGGACTCGCCCTTGTTCAGATCGGCCTCGCGGTAGTCGTTGGGGATGCACTTCTTGGCACAGGACTCTGTTAACCTGTGGCAGAATTACGTGAGCTGGGGAAGTATAGGAATGGTGTGAGATGCAGATGATATCCGGATATGACGGTAAAGCCAAACGGGCCGACGAACCGGTTGAACATGTCTGTGACCATCTCGACTTCGGTCTCTGCGGCAGCAATCTTCTGCTCCGAGCTCATCTTGGGGGCGCCGCCGAAGAGGAAAGACATGGTGACGGTGGTTGGATAGGTTGAGCCTTTGGGAGCTGGAAATGGCTAGTTAGTATTCCGCGACGTAGCTGAGGTCAGAACGAGGCCGTCACCGCACTCACGATTGATAATCTGGATATGAAGACGATGATGGATGTGATGCTGAAATTATGCCCAGCTCCGACTCTGCGGAATAGAACTCGGAAGCTTGGGCTCACCGCCTTCGGGCGCGGGTTCTTAAGCTTGCTCAGAGCTTTCTCGCTCCACAACTTTTCGACACCTCCCTTTTTCCCGTGGATTGTGATGAATACCACTATCTAGACCTTCCTTCCAGCTCCAATGCAGTCGATACGCCCCTGGTGGGCTTCACAGCTGAAAGGAAGGCCTCTCTCCTTGAGGTAAGGCAGTTCAACCTCGCGTTTTCGCGTCCCGCCTTTATCTATCTACACATCTATTGCATGATGATTCAAGTCCCTTACAGAACCGCTGCAATCCGACGCTTGGTTTTCCAGGCTATGAATGCAAACGGAGCTATAAATTCTTGATCTCTGATTTTGTTCTCTTGGATATTGTTACTCGCCGTCCTCAAATTGGGATACAGTGCTAACCATATCTTCAGCACAGGATCATTAATTACACAGCGCACTAGACCTGGCCGAGCATTATGCCGGAGTTATGCGCAAGGGAGATGGAACAGCAACGCGGCCTCGACGAAAGAATCGTCGAAGAAGAAAGGCTCGTCTAAACCAGGGGCATTCGAGAGGCGGCTTGCTCAAGTGGCACAGGCAACTTCGGACCCGTATCCTCGCTTTAAAACACCTTACAATCCATTTACTGTTTCGGATTTCATACATCGGTACAGCTATCTAGGCAACAAAGAAACATTAGTAGATGACGAAGTCACCGTAACTGGTATGTCCTGGCCTGCGATGGCTTCGTTATGGATCATTATACTTAGATTGATTAGGTAGGGTTCTTACGTCTAGATTAGCCGGCAGCGGATTGATATTCTTCGATATCCACCAAGATGGCCAAAAGCTTCAGATATTGTGCAATTTACAACGACTAGAGTCGGCAGGGTTTATCGGGTTTATCTCGAAGCCGGCATTCAAGAATTTCTATCGTCTGCTCCGCCGTGGTGATTCCTTTTGTATGTTCCCAGTCACGACTCTAGAGTCCACAGGCTGAACCAGAATGCAACAGCTGTCACTGGTAGACCGCACCGCACAGAACGAGGTGAGCTCTCGATTGACGCGAAGCAGCTGCCTCGACTCCTTTCTCCATGTCTGCATGATATCCCGCTCGACGTGCATGGACACGAGAATTCGCCATACCCGCGCCATGTTCAAATGCTCGGCGACCCGGCCACGGTGAAAATCATCAAGGCTCGATCGGTCATTACGCAGCACATCCGCCAGTTCCTCCTAGATAAGTCATTCATGGAGGTCAACACCCCGATCCTGAACGCGATTGCCGGCGGTGCAAGCGCTCGGCCTTTCTACACATCTGCCACGGAATTCCCCGATAGACAGCTGTCTCTTAGAATTGCGCCAGAGCTTTGGCTGAAGCGTCTCGTGGTGGGCGGGTTCGACCGGGTCTTTGAGATTGGCGCCTCGTTCCGCAACGAGGGTGAGCAGCACTTCGTATAATCTCAAAATCGAAAACTAACTTGTTATGACAGGCCTCGACAAAACCCACAACCCAGAGTTTACAACCTGCGAGTTCTACCAGGCCTACTCCAACCTGGAGGAGCTGATGAATACGACAGAGGAGCTCCTCTGCAGCCTAGCACAAGTCATCATAGCAGACTTCAACAAACGCAAAGAGCCAGCCCCAACGCACATAGACTTTACCATCCCTTTTAACCGCATTGACTTTATTACCGGGATCGAAAGAGGCATCGACCGCCAGCTACCCAGCCTCACAGCCCCGAACGCGCTCGAGCAAGTCATGCAAATTTTTACAGACCTCAAACTCGAACTCCCCGAACCCCCCACCCTCCCGCGTCTTCTTGACGAACTCTGCAGCATCTACGTCGAGCCGCTATGCCAAGAGCCTACATTCATCATCAACCCGCCTGAGTGTCTTTCCCCGCTATCAAAGAGTTTCACCCACCCCGATAACGATCAGGTCGTTGCCGCGCGCGCAGAGCTCTTCATCGAAGGCAAGGAAATCACGAACATGTATGAAGAGGAGAACTGCCCGTGGGAGCAGCGCCGCAAGTTCGAGGATCAACTGAAGTTTAGCAAGGATGCTAACGAGCCCGGCGAGATCGACGAGGAGTATCTAATGGCGTTGGAATGGGGATTGCCGCCTACGGGCGGTTGGGGATGTGGTATTGATCGCCTTGTCATGCTATATACGAAGACGAAGAAGATTTCAGAAGTCTTGCCGTTTGGGAACTTGAGGCATGTTACGAGGCGTGAAACCCCTGGCTTGGTTAATTCTCCAGCTCAGGTCAAGTCCGCAGCTCAAGATAAGTCCGCAGCTCAGGATAAGTCCGCAGCTCAGGAGAAGCCGGCAGCCCAGGAGGAACCGGTAGCCCAGGAGAAGCCAGCACCACAGGATCAAGATTCATAGGTACAGATAGGTACAGATAGGTACAGATAGGTATGTATGGGTAGGAGTTGGTGGATAATCCGGTCTTGTACTATAGTGTGATATTCAACTCAGTGATACCATGTTTTGATATTTGTCAGACCCCAAAACAAAGAGCCTCAATATCACTATATGTAGAAGTGCACAGCACGATTGACTTTGAAAGAATTGGGCGATAACGACCCATGGAGACCCCGAATCATGCCATGAGGCCGCGATACCAGAGTAGCATCAAACAGTCGCAGCGGGGACGGAGCCGGCCGTAAAGCGGGAAAAGAGGGGAATGGGGAAGAGGGGCGCAGAAATATTTATTCTTCGTTATCAGGACCCTTCGAAGGCGGGAAAGCAATTTTAAAATGGCTTCGAAACCTATTCAACAGGCTCAGGCCGTGACTGTTAGCTTGCAAGAGCTGATCGAGGGTTCGTTCTACTCCTTCACCACCGTTGACAATTTTATATTTCCGTCAATTTTGCGGGGTATAAATGTTGAGATAAAACTTTCCAGGCACCGTCTCCTTCGACACCCTTACTGAAGCCTTCGGTCCCTCCTCGCTCGGCATAATCGTTGTCAAAGACCTTGACGCCAAATTCCAGCAGCTCCGCGCCCAAGTCCTTTCCAATGCGTCCTACCTCGCCGCGCTCGAGAACGATGAGCTCGGTATCTACACCCACTAGCCCAGCCAGCCCATTACTCCTGACTAACAAATCACTTTTGCGATTTAGAATCCCTCACCTCCGCGCAAGCCAAGTACCTTATCGGCTGGTCCTGCGGCAAAGAAACCCTACGGTCCGGCCACTTCGATACCCTCAAGGGCTCGTACTACGTGAACTGTGCATTCTACAAGGACCCATCCTTACAGGGCGCGCCAGCCGATTCGCACCCCGATCTCCCCGAGTACACGGCATCGAATATCTGGCCGGATGCTGACAAGCTGCCGACGTTCCGCTCCGGGCTTGAGGAGCTGTGTCGCCTGATCATTGATACCGCCGTACTGGTGGCCCGGGCTTGCGATCGCTATGCGGAGGGTAATATTGAGGGGTATAAGAAGGGGTACCTTGAGAAGGTTGTGCAGGGGAGTTTGACGACGAAGGCGCGGTTGTTGCATTATTTCCCTACGCCGGATGCTGAGGTGGATGCGGTTGAGGGAGAGGATGGAGATGACGATGACTGGTGCGCAACACATCTTGACCATGGGTGTCTTACGGGCCTTACGTCTGCGATGTTTGTCGACGAGGACGCGCACCCTCCTGCTTCCTCTCCGGCGACCTCGCCCCTCCCTGAGCTATCCGCGTCTCCGGACCCGAAAGCCGGGCTGTACATCCAGTCGCGGACTGGCGAGGTTGTCAAGGTGAACATTCCCAAGGACTGTCTTGCATTCCAGACGGGTGAGGCGCTGCAGCTCATTACGAAGGGCAAATTCCGCGCCGTGCCGCATTTTGTTAAGGGGGCGAAGGTGCCGAAGGGACAAGGGAAGATTGCGCGGAACACGCTGGCTGTGTTTACGCAGCCGAATTTGGGAGAGGAGGTGGAGGAGGGGAAGACGTTTGCGGATTTTGCCAGGGAGGTTGTTGAGAGGACTTATTGACGAGTTTCTTCTCGGGGTTTGGGGAGGAGGGATTGTGTGTTGGGTGCGCATTGTACATAGTGATAAGGGCATATAGCGTGAATTTCCAGTTCATTTGGTGTAGTGGGCTTGACCTCACATGAGGAAATATAAGTACATTGCTTTCTTGGAATATGCTAGCGCCCTTTCGACATCGAGGGAATATATCGTAGTTGATTCAGGAAGTCATCATTAATCGAATTCCATCCTGGTTCCGTGCTTCGGAGGGAATGAACTCAGCCCAGTATTCCCAACCTCAGTGTTCCTATTCGAATTTTGCTCGGACTCAGGAACATAGTCGCCGCCTTCTGTCTCCTCAGTGCCGCCGCGGAGCTGATCAATGCGCGCTGTAAAATCTTCCATCTCACTATCCTCAACCTCTGACTTTTCATTAACCAACACTCGACGTCCCAAAAGTGCGGTGGGCCGCTCGGATTCTTCTGAAGACTCTTCCTCCGAGCTTACCGGGTTGCTCGTGTCCACAGCTCCAAGTCCGGCACTAACAAGCTTGCTGGTCTTGCCAATCTCCGCAAGGCCGGCGGTACCCGTCTTCATGGACGGCCGTCCAAGTTCGGCTGGTTGTTTCGCAGCCCGGATATCAGCCTGGTTAGCGGTGCCATCGAGGATTCGGAGGTTCGCCATCCACATTTTCACGTCCCGGGATTCACTGTAGTGGCCGACGTCCTCACCATTCAGCGAGTCAATGCCTAATGTTTGAGTTCGGAAGTCGCCCCAAAACCAGGTTTTGCCCTCGGAGATACGCTCGTCGACACTACGTGAGTACTCTCTCGCGCGCAAGACACCCTGTAGGTCGTATCCCAGCGTGAGAGAATTGAATAGCAGCTTCATAGCGTCTGGTTCGTAGCAGCGGCCGAGGATCATATCCTGGGAGATATCCACAGCTGCGCCAGAATGCAATTCGTACCACTCACCATATCCACCCATTCCCACAGTGTTGAATACATCCATTACCTCATGCAGAGGAAGAGCCCGAGCGGGTTGCCCGTTGTTTGATATTTGGGCTCGTTGCATGTCAGGTGTGTAGAGCTTTCCTGAAATGCGAACCTGGTATTTCTCGGCAAGCTGCTTGGACTTGGGGTCATCATCACACTCAATGAGTTCCAATCTGATTTCTTTAACCACCATCACGTCTACCACGGGCGGTTTCTGCGCGCTATCTTCGACTCGATAGCCCCTTGGTTTGAGACGAACCGCATCCCCAACTGCCAGGAGCTCCGCACCGATGAAGATGCCCCTGCAATGTATCGATGCATTAGGCCATGTGCCCACGAAACGGTATTTATGCAGCAGACTGAATGATGACATTATCGTCATAGCATACTCGACTGAAGGGTGAAGCTTTTCGCGTGGAGTACCCTGCAAAAAGAGCTCGAAGGCGTTGAAAGGTTTGATGCACTTCAAAGCAACGTAGCCATAATGCAACGAATAGCTCTTATCGGTACCGTTGGGGTCCGGAAGAGTTTCGACCCTGAAACCAGAATAGTTTAGGTCCCATTTTTTGTCTGTTTTTTCCACAAGATCCTGAAGGACTGTTTCTTCTGTGGGGATCTGACCAACAACTCCAGCACGCCATTGAGGCTTATCCATCCATTTACCCGTTGTCGGAGAATATATCTCTATGGACTGGGTCTGAGTGTTCCAAACCAATTCCCCATCAAAGTCAGGTGTCCACAGCACGAGCTCCCCAAGACGAGGGAGATACGAAGGGCGCACGTCGAGTGTTTCCAAATACTCCTTCATTGCAGCTTCCTCGGCTCTCCAGTCCATGCTGAACGGCTCCGAGATGGCATTGTCAAGTACGCCCGCAAGCTTCAGCTTTGTGACGGCGAACTTGAACACATCCGGAGTGCCTTCCCTGTCGACTACGGCAGATCCTGCCCTTCCTGGTGGCCTCCCAGGTCTTCCTGGTCCTGGAGGCCGTCCTGGACCCCTGGTCGGTGGTCTACCGCGAGGCCTGCCACTGCCCGGTGGTCGGCCTGGAGGTCTTCCAGACGGCGTTGTGTTTGGGGTACCAGGAGGTCTCCCAACAGGTCTCCCAGGAGGCCTACCGCGTCGAGCAGTCCCCGTAGCAGCATCTGACGACATTAGAAGCCAAACATAAAACCTCCTCTGGGACGCGAACCTTTTTGTCGTCTTTCCAACTTGCCGCAGAGTTCACAAGCACATTTTGTTGTGCCTCCGCTCATTAAATAGTCGAAATGTGGAAAGAACATGATACTAGAAGTAAAGTAATTGCCAACTGGATGTCCCCACAGGAACTTGTCGCGCTGCGACTGGGATTAGCTTACCAACGAACTTATTCGGATTCTCGAACAACTCACAGTGTTAGGATCTGATAAACGAGGCCGATCAAAAACCGCATAGCCATCTGGCAGCTCATCAATGACAGAAATTACTCCTTGAATGGGAAAACTGTCAGTCTAATATTATATGAGATGCTTACCGGGGAAGGCAAGACAGCTTTGCTTTGTAGTAGAGATGCGGAGGATAACACATATTCTCGAACGGACAAGGAGGAGGATTGAAAGAGAGAAATCCATGAGAACAACTTGGTGAGGTTACAAAATCTACTTACCTGGTACATATGCACCGCGCTTTTTCAACCATAGCTCCGCGAGCTTTTGCCGATAATATGTATTATCGGGTCTTCCGAACCTCTCTTCAGTAGGCCATGTTTTTGAATCACCATCACTAAAAGAATGATCAATCGGGATCACCACAACTTGCTCGTCGTAATCTCCCGAATCTGACTGCGTAGCGTCCATACTTGAGGGTTGTTGACTATTGAATCCGGACTGGGGGGTTCCCAGAACCTGGGTGTTCACAGGATGGAAAGCCATAATTTCCCTATTTCCGAGTTCTTTCTATCATTATTTCAAAAGATAAGCGTAGTAGAAAGAAATAAATTTGAGAAACCGCGGCGAGTCTTTTCTTCTGTTGTAGGTAAATTAAATCGAGAAGTGAAGCTTGCCAGGCAGAGGGAGAGTTAAGTCACGTGATCCCGTTTAAACGACGATGGTTGCGAAGAAACAGACAATAATGATGGATACTGTAAGTATTGAAAGAAATGGAAGGTATAAGTTGATAACGATAATATTATCCTACTCCTACTTCTGTGCCACATGTGTACATGCTAGTTACCAGCTACGTCGACCTCACTGGGCTTCTCTTCATACGGAGGGGGCGCAAGCTCTCCGCGGTCGACCCATACCTTTTGAAGCTCATCTTCGATCTCTTCCCGGCGTTTTTTCCATTCGTCTACCTTGTCAAGGCGCTTGCGAATCTCCTGAAGTTCCTTTTCAACCCCAAGTTTCTCTTTGGCGGTTCCGATTCTTTCAAATTCCCATTGTTCCCCATCGGAGCCCACACTAATAGTGAGATTGAAAGTGTGATACTTTTTCAGTGACGCTCGCGTGGAAATGGTGATCACTGTAATCCCCCGCTCCTTGGCCTGTTCGTAGAGTAATCCCTCCACGTCGGAGGAAACGGCCGAGGTTCCTTCGTCGAGAAAAGCATAGCGAGGCTCATGGTAGAAAATCCGCGCCATGGCCATACGCTGCTTTTCACCACCGCTTAGGACATCCTTCCACTCCTTGCGAGAGTCCCATCCGCCTTCGCGGGAAGGAAGGTAGCCAAGGTGAGCATCGTCTAGGATCTTTTGGAGGGCGGAATCCGAAACACCCGCGTCTCGCATATCAATCTCAGTGTGAGGATATATGACCTGGTCCCGTAGGGTTCCCACACTCAGGTACGGCCTTTGAGGGAGAAACATGATGCCATCAAGCCCAAACCCTCTCGGACGGCTAACAAGACCACGGTAAACAGGCCAAAGTCCAGCCACGATACGGGCGATAGAAGACTTGCCAACTCCGTTAGGGCCGGAAATCAAGAGGTGATCGCCCGAATGCACAACAAATGACAGAGACTCGAGAAGCTTGTCCCCCCCTCGAGGATATAGAAATGGCGCAACAATAGGGACTTGTTCGAGGCGTACTCCATCAAAGCCATTGTAGATAGTCCCCTGGACATCGTCCAGCGAGAATAACTCTGGCTGGCCATTACGCGGCGGACAGTAAGCATTGGCGTGCACCCTATGAAGGGCAGCAATGAGACTGTACACTCGTGAGGTGTAGCCAGCCAACTCGGAGATGTCTTTGATGCTGTACATCATTCGACCACCGGCGTCAGCAAGAGACAGCATCAGTCGCTTGTTTGTGATGAACTCCTTCATGCGACCTCGTTCACGACCACTGGCTTCTGATGTGTCTGCCAGCTCCATGGCGCCGCCTAAGCCGCCCCAGGCAGGAAGGAAGACGGGTAGAGAGGTGACCAGGTACCCGAATGCAGACCAGGAGTATTTGAGTATAACGTCTTCCAGCATGTTATAGCGGATCTTGAGACTGTAGATGCCTTCCATCCATCGCTGAAGGTCTTTGAAGCTTCTGGCTAGAAACACACGCTCTGTATCGGCGCCGCCATAGAATGAGATTTCCTCAGCGTTAGCCAGTAATCTGGAATGTAAGCCCCTAAAGTCTCCTTCTTTCTTGCCCTCCACAGCTTTTAGTTTTCCGAACGGCGGCGAAAGCTTTCGCAAGACGACAGCGGTACTAAAGTATCCTGTGAGTATTCCACTTAGGGCCAATGGCCCCAACGAGCGGTACAGTTGGTAGTTGAAGACGAAGAGGTCCACCAAGGGCTTTCCCATTGAAGAGTAGAGTGCGGCTGCGGCTGAGCAGAATAAAGTAAGATCCTGAGTGATGAATTGATCGGGCCCTTGGCCAATACTGCCGTCAAGGTTCATCAGCTTATAGTAGTTGTTGTCTGCGGTCAGGTAAAGATCGTGGATATATCTCGTCAGCCGAGTTCGAAACGCGATGGATACCTTTGACTGGAGGAACTTGATCATGGCGTTAGTGTATGAGGCGAGTGTGCCAATGCCACACCATTTGACAATACCCCAGCCAAAGGCGCGCCCTTTTCCCGCGACGAGGTCCCTGACGATTTCACCATCAAGCCGTGCGATCAAGAGTGACAAATATGTACGAAGAAGCAAGAACACCCCGTGGCTCATTAGAAGTCCTGTCTCTTTGCTACTCCACCGCGGCACCATGATGCTCCCTAGACTCAAAAACTGATGAAGGAAAGCAAGGTTCAATCCAGGCTTGGTGGTCGGCGGTGGTATTCGGCCAACCGAGTCCTCGTCGCCCGTGCGAGCGGACGCTGGCGGGTTCAAGAACAGCCTTCGGTGTGCGTCAAAAGTCGTAGGTTTCGTGGGATAGATTATGACCTTCGAGGTCAAAGAGTCCTTATACGGCACGTATATGGTGCGAGATCCATCCTTGCCTCTTATTCCAGAGTTCCGGCGCAGTAATCGCTTCCCACGAGCGCGCTCGTTTGCTCTCTCCCGAAACCAGTTATAGCCTCCATATCCAGTTCCGATGATCGAAAGAAGAAGCGCAACCGTCGCGAGAACCTTCGTGACTCTTGATGAATGCCGTATCTTGCCTCGGAACAAATTGAGATAGTAGACGTATAAGGCCACGAGAGGGTCCTGCTTGTATCGTAGTGTTGATTGAGCCGCCATTGTGCCCTGCGCTCAAGCATAGAGAGCCTCCGTTTATTCCTGGTACCTTCCGACAGCTGACAATCTAAGCCAAGCCGATGATGGCCATCGGAACACGGGCATTTGCGAAACGTGAGCGACGATATTCTGTTGAATTGCGATGAAATCGAGAGATCCAGTTCTGACGGTGATAATTAAGTTGCTGGCAGACGTTGAACCAGCAGGTCACATTACGCTGAGGATGACGAGGGTCGTGGGGATCCTTGCATGTGAACGACCTCGGGCCCGAACGTGGAGAGGCGGAGCGCCCACTTCTCACGTGCGTTCCCCAGAAAATAAAGAAAGGACTGAAGATGTAGAGCTGGAAATGTCCATTCAAGAAAGCAAGATTTATTGAGACAAAAAGCCTACTCTTATCCCTGCTAGAATAGCGGTCCATGCATTGTATTCATGGTAGCAGGAGGACTTCAGTCAAACCAGGCGTGAGGACGGTGAGGTAAACAAGCTGGAGTAAGCTTATCTGTTGCACAGGAACATGTGCTCTCCAAGCCTACGTAGATGCATACCGAGAGTCTTGTAGGCAAGGATCTGGACAATGAGTCAGCCACCCATAAATCCATGTATCCATAACTTTGACTCCGTCTCTCTGGGATGGATGCAACCCACACCTGCAACAATCATCGGTGCCTTGGAAAGAGTAAATATCTGATATCCCGTCTCACGTCCAATCAGAATCTTTAGGTAAGATCCCCTTCCTCAGGAGCGGATCTGCCCTTGGGAAATCACATCTCCCTGGTCGCTGGCGGCTATCCGGACGATGTGATTTGGCCGACCCCAGCTTTCCCCAGCCACGACTGACACTATCGCATCACTTTGTTCAGCCTTGCATTGTTGGTCCAGACCAGAGCTTCCCAAGTTAAAGCGTTTATTGCCCCTTTCCTGCTTAGGATTAGATTGCCCCTTTCCATCTGGGTGCCCTATGCGAACTGTTAGCCTCTCACATCGCTTCGTCCCTGCCTAGTAGCGCACTCAAAGTACGAAGCCGATCAACCCGGCAATGCCAGCCCAGTGCTTCTCCCGGAGTTGTTCGCTCCCCTGTACGTAACTTGTAGTCTTGACTGTCTTGTAAGCCTGCATGAATGTAATAGACAGGGATGATTTTGACCAGATTCTTCCACTATTCTTCTTTGACCAGGTTGACCAGGTTAACTAGTCTGCATTGTTGTTTTATCGGTAGTATTACCCAGTCTCACAGCATCCTCGTTTCTCCGCAGATGCACCACTCACACTGCGAGTCTGCTCAAGGGTCAAGGTACGCCCGGCGCCACGTGACGGTCTCTCAGATCTCCAATTCCTCTGGGCTTGACCTCCAGGCATCCTGCGACTGACCTTCACAAGCAAACTTCCTTGGTCGCGTATCAATTTTATCTTCATATTGCATTCCACGACCTTTGCAGGGTGGGTTTTCGACAAGTTGAGTGCTGGTGAGCATTATTATCAAAGGCGGTGGTGGTCCGTGGCCAAGAGCTGGCTCAGCCTTAGGTAACCAACTCGCCCACGGACGGCCTGCTTGCCTCCTCCCATTCATCCTCATTTCAGGACCGCTCAATCCAGGAGGCGTCCCTTAACGCACCCTCTGAGCCGCCCTTCTCCCGGCGGAACCCTGGTGGCCTTCTGAGTGTGTGCTTTTCGATCCTTTGCCTCTACGCCTGACTGTTTTCTCTTACCGCTCCCATACTCGTCTTGTCGGTATCTTTTCCCCGTTGCCCCCAATGTTCGGCAAGAGCCCAGAACGAGGTCCGCCTCCATCGACTTCGAAGAGCACAGCAGAGGTGCCAATGCCTACCGCGACGGGCTCTTTAGAGCCAGGCAAGTTTCTGTGATCCTTATGAATGAAATCTATCAATACCTCTCATTTCTAACATCTTGTTTTCCCCGTTTAGGTAATGAATCGCCGTCTCAAGGCCGATCCGCGACAACAGATCGCTCGACCCCGTCGACTTACCCGGACCTTTCTGAGAAGGATCAAACAAACCCTGTGCCTGCTCAAACCCACGAACCCGCAACCGCCGCCCCTACCACTAATACCCCGAAAAAGCACCATCGACTTTTACCCCTACCGTCGCGGACATCTTTAAAAGCAGACAGGCCCTCAACATCCGATAGAACTCAAGATGGGCCACATGACGGATCCGAGAACACGCTTCGTGGTTCGCGGAGGAGTCTTTTGAGAGGCCGGAGGGACAGGAGCAGAGGGAGCAGCATGAGATCGCGCGAACAGAATGCGGACGAGCCCAGCCTAGAAGAAAACAAGACTGCCAGCCCAGATGTGCGCAACCCAGCAAAAATTGACAAGGCTGCCAAACCCTCACGCAAACTTTTTGCCTTCTTGAGCTGCTGTTCGTCTTCTGATGTTGACCCCGAGGATGGCTCTATTCCACCAAAGAAGACTTCGAGACGGCTATCCGTTGCTCAAACCCAGCCAACACCGGAGAAAACGGAGGTGAATGCGGCCGACTCAAGTACCGCAGAATCCAAGGCGCCGAGTTATTTCAAGGACGAGAAGCCGAATCTGACGGTGATATCCGACAAGCAGTCATCGAACCTTGATGAAGAGGGTGTTGCGGAGCCAAGCTCACAACTTGATGGAACAAAAACGACGACAGCGATACCTGAATCCGTTCAGAACCATACCCCGTCGGATACGCACAATGAGGACCAGACATCCGACGCACAGCCATCGATTCAACCGGCGATTGTCGCGATCGAACCCACATTGTCAGAGAAATCTGACGATATTACCAAGGCAGATGAAATCGCGGTCGAAGCAGAGAGTTCTGCGGTGTCCTCTCAGCCTGGTACAACAGAGGAAGATACAAAGCAACTCTCACATGATGACGAAGCAGTAAGGCTGCCTCCTCCTCCACCATTAGGCAAGCAGCCGGAAACATCCGTGCAAGAGAGGGCACAGCAGTGGCTATTACCTCCGGCTCTGCCGCATTTACGTGATCGAAAATGCTTGGTTCTGGACCTCGACGAAACACTAGTGCATAGTAGCTTCAAGGTCATTCTTCCTTCCCTCTGTTTTACAAATCTATCTGACAGTGTATCCCCAGGTCCTCGAGCGAGCTGATTTTACCATACCGGTGGAGATCGAAGGCCAGTACCATAACATCTATGTGATTAAACGACCAGGCGTCGATCAGTTCATGAAGCGTGTCGGAGAGTTATATGAGGTAGTTGTATTCACTGCTTCGGTCTCAAAGGTAGGTCTTCGTTGCACTGGTAGACCGTATGGTCACTAACTCCGCTCAGTATGGCGATCCTTTGCTGGATCAGTTGGACATTCATGGCGTCGTCCACCACAGGTTGTTCCGGGATAGTTGCTACAACCATCAAGGCAATTACGTCAAAGTCAGTACACGGCGCGCGCAACTCATTCGAACATAAGTATTCTGACAAGATTAGGACCTTTCCCAAGTCGGCCGTGATCTCCGCGACACTATCATAATTGATAACTCCCCAACATCCTACATATTCCACCCTCAACATGCGATACCCATCAGCAGCTGGTTCTCTGACGCCCACGATAACGAGCTCCTCGATCTTATTCCCGTACTCGAAGACCTCGCTGGTACCCAGGTGAAAGACGTTAGCCTGGTTCTCGACATTACGCTATGACATTTGTAACATCATTGCGCGCGACATACCCAAAACAGCTGGACTTTCCCTTGTTTGAATCCACACGCCCTGCCACTGCTTACTTTGACAAGCCACACGGGCGTTAAATACTCTTATCCCTGCCTAGATGCATTGGGAGCTTCATCGCTTCGCTTTTGAATTTGTCAAGGCGACTGGAAATTCTGCCTGATTATATATGCTGGCGTGCGCTTTTTTCCTTTTTCTATCTCCTATTTTTTCTCCTCCCCCTCGACAGCTGGTTGTTCTCCTGTACACGCTCCCAGCGAGCTGATACCTTTCCCGCTTTTGTCTTTTTGTATCGATCCCCAAAGAAAGTTACCCCCTTTTGCGTTGCATTTCCGCAGGCGTCTGTCTTGGCTATCAGCTGAATTTTTGCTGATATGTATACGCTGTTCGATTTACATTCCCTTGTGCTTGGCTCTTTTTTCCTTATAACTGTCTTTTACCCCCTTTTGTTCGACCCACGCCCCCAGAGGGCTCGACTTGATCATCTCACCGAATTCCCTACTACCTCTGTATCTGCGATCTTTCCCACTCCCACAACGGACCGCTGTCATCTTGTTGGCCATGATTTTCATTTCCCTTTAAATTTGATTTTGGAGGCTCCACAAGCGAGTAGCATCTGCATCCATGTCTCCATACCCATGTCACAGTTTCTGGTACTTTTCCATAGTCTCCCATCAACCCAGACTCCGATTAATGGTGGCTTGCATGTATATGTACCTGGTGGCGCGTGCTGTACATAAGAAGCGTTCATCGTTTACAATACAGCTTCATGTATCTCATTAGTGCTTATTTAGGAGTATTTGTGGACTGCAAAAGTAGTAAGCAGTTGCCACTGCAGAGTGTATGAGGCCGAGCATGATGCGGGCATGATTTGACTGGAGGCTCGTCCCGCCTTCCAAGTGCCGACGGGGACCCTCTCCTTCCCCGTCACTTCGGAGCTTGTCAAAATCTCGTCCTGCTTTTTATCCCAAGAAAATCATTGTTCTAAGAGTGCGCTCTACCGTTACCTGCCATATTCATCCACATCTTCCCAGTTACTCACTCTCCTTGACCTCCGCCGCCCCTCCCCCGCCGCATCGTACCACCATGAAAGACAGCAAAGGCTGGGATGGGAAGCTACGCGTCGAGCCCAAAGCAACGATAACAAACCCTGAAGCTTTAGAGGACCCAGACTACTCGGATTCTGATGCGCCGCCCGTGGAGGAGATTGATGCCGACGAGGGTGAGTCCACTGCGGCGGTTACAAACGCGAAAACGAACCCTTCAAACTGACGCATACATTCAACAACAGATCTGTTAGAGGACGAGGACAAAGATGTCGAGGTAAATCCAGCGCTTACGAAGCTGCAACTCGAACTCCGGGAAGCTCACGAGGCCTCAGGATATCGATCTCGTACATTGCCGCATACACTCAATTCCCGCTTTGCGGTTAGAACGATTCACGAAGCTTCAGGTGCGCCAGCCTCACTTCACTGTATTGCCGAGAAATACTGATTATGTGTCTCGGATAGCGACTATGTCTGCGCCAGAACCAAATATCCCGAATTGATTTACCCTCCGGTCTTGGTGAAACGCTGCAAGAGCTAGATCTTTACGACAATCTTATATCGCATCTCAAGGGGCTTGATGATTTCCAAAACTTGACGAGCTTGGATCTCAGCTTCAATAAGCTCAAACATATCAAGAACATCTCACACCTGGTCAAGCTAAAGGACCTTTACTTTGTACAGAATAGGATCTCGAAAATTGAAGGGCTCGAGGGGTTAACGGAGATAAAGAATCTGGAGTTAGGGGCCAACAGGATTCGGGTGAGTTACTCGACGGCGTTTGTCGAGTTTCTCGTTCTAACTCTGCGCAGGAAATCGAGAACCTCGAGACTTTGAGTGCCCTCGAGGAGCTATGGCTTGGGAAGAACAAGATCACGGAAATGAAGAATCTCGATGCACTCTCCAACCTCCGCATCCTCTCCATCCAATCAAATAGACTTACCAGCCTTAGCGGTCTCTCGTCACTCAAGAACCTGGAAGAAATATACGTGTCGCACAATGCCATCACAGATCTCGCCGGCCTAGAGTCAAACACCGCACTACGCGTTCTAGACTTTTCAAACAACCAAGTCTCGAAACTCGAGCACTTGTCCCATTTGAAAGAATTGGAGGAGCTTTGGGCATCCAATAACCAGCTGTCGAGCTTTAACGAGGTGGAATGTGAGTTGAAGGACAAGGAAAACCTAAAGACAGTGTACTTTGAAGGGAATCCGCTGCAGACGAATGGACCGGTTGTATACCGGAATAAGGTGCGGTTAGCCATACCGCAAATCATGCAGATTGATGCCAGTAAGTACAACCCTGCCACTGCTTGTGACCAACCTGACGTTATACAGCGTTTGTACGAATCGCTTAATGAGTGCTGTCAATGATAAGATAACGCCTGATGATATTTGATATTGGATGGACATCTTATAGAGTGGAAAATCCTGGAGCATTCTGACAAGTCACCTTGGATCCTACCTTCAGCTTAGACATCAACCACGAATCTAAGCCAATTTGTAATTTCTGGAAGAGTGGGTTCGGCGGCGCTGCTCGGCCTAGAAAGTCAGGGCGAGATGGTAGGGGCGCGTTCGAATCTGGTGATAGACTCATACGTCTCGGGCTGTCGTACGGCGTCCCGTGTCTCGATATCGAATCGGCGCGCTGCTCAGGTATGCGAAGTCATATGAGGCTCAATGTGACCATTGTCTTGAATCGGCCTTAACACTTCTCAGCCATCAATCTGCTTCTCCACTCTCGGGTCCGCACGCGCTTGTGACTCTTGTGACTCTTCTGACTCTCCCTCCTTCCTCTTAGCAATACCCTCCTGCCATAATCCCATCAAAGAATCAGCCCTCATCTGACTAATAACCGCCTTTTTAAATTTCCTCTTATTGGGAAAAGGCCCACTTTCTTTACTCGCCCTTGGAGCATCCGCCAAGTTCTGCAATCCAGCCGTCTCCCCCTCCAGCTGCTTAGCTAGATCTGTATAAGCAGGGCTGTTCTTGTCCTGCTTAAACGGGCCGTACCACGGGTTCCGAGACATCACCTCTTCATGTATAGAGGGCGCGTGGTCTATGTTGCATCGGATGGTCCGATCGGATTCTACATCGTCCGGCGAAATAGAGGCTCGCGGTGGAGTGTCAATGGTAAGAGGAGAAGCATCGATTGCGTGTTGCGCCGCCGACGGAGTGTCGAAAATCGCGTCGATGTCCCAGCCGGGTCCGTCACCTGGTGATAGTTGTTCTAGGCGTACTTTTGTTGGCAGTTCACCAGAAGCTTTCAATCGTGCCTGTCAAGTAGATCCGATTGATTAGCCTTCACTTCAATTCGTCCCATTGGGTGTCCCTTGTTTCTCCCTCTCCTTCAATCGGAAAGGGCTAGTATGGCTAGTATTTACCTGTACGTGCCTATTATTTATCCGCAGGAGCGACGCATTGCGGAAGTGCACGACCTCGCCGAATTTCTGGAGCGCGGCGAGAATCAATCGCGACTCGGCGATGTTGCGGACCGGTCGGTTCGTTGTAACTTTGATGGTGCGTTCGCTGAGCAACTGTATGTTCTTGACGAAGGACATTATGGGTTGTAGGCTCGTTTTCGAGCTCTTGGGGTCTGATGCTTATGGAGAAAGGGAAAAAGAGCGGAGGTTCCAGCGGAGTGTTTATCGGGGAACGAAGCGGGTCTTGGCGTTTTAGGTATACTTCCTCCAGACCTTATCGCTTCGAGTAGTTACATGTTTCTGATGTTGCTTCATCCAGGAATACTTCCATCAAATATGCTGATGCTGGTTCATTCTCTTCTGATAGTAAGGTTTTCCTTGCAAGAGATAAGGAACAATGGCAGTAACAAATAAAGAGTAATAAATAAAGCACACCAAACTCATGCCCTTACAATGAGTCCCATTCATCACAATGCCTTTCAGCCGACTGCAGACAAAGAAGACGAAAAGGTATATCAACCTGGTAAATTCCATCCAGTGCAATCCTCTTCAGCAGCAACTGGCAATATGACTACCTCCACCCACCTCGACCTGTACGCAGCCCATTGGATGGGCTCACTGAGCCCAACCTTCAACTCGCCAGACACGCGCAACTTGCTCTTAATCGTCATTCCCAGCGACTCTTCATCAGGGGGCACGGCGTACATGATCGAAGCCACCCGGTCGCACTATCAGCTGTGGACTGAAGCTAATATGGACCGAGAGCAGTTCACCAACAAGGTCCGCTATATTGGCACATTCCCTGTGTCAGCTACAGATGCGAATGGCATTGCGGAGGAGTGCGTCCCTCTTATCGTGCAGCGTCTGAAAGAGGATGGCGCTCTAAAGGGTACGCCTTTGGAACAGGTGCGTGCTTCTTTCTTGAGTGACTTTCAGCAGGTGCTTTGTGATGAAAAGGAGCATGGCGCTGAATTGGCTGGGTGGTTGGTTCGAGCAGGCGCAGCCTTTATACTAGGATTTGCCATTGGAGGGGGAGAGGTGCCAAGTACATCCAAAATGCTTCTTGGTTGTGTGCTTTGGGTGCTTGGGCTTGGGGCTGTGGGGTTGAGGCTTTATGCTTGATATCCCTCATTTACCTTAACTGAAGTCTTGTATGTATCGGACATAGATTGCATGAATTTAAACAGACATTGTATACGATAAATATAATCATCCATCCTAGAAGATAGTAATGGGCAGGTCGTACTGTTGACCGTTAGCAGGTGAATCTTTGACAAATGCTCGAAACAAAGTACTCACGCTATGAGGATCATTAAACCGTAACCCGCGATCCAGCGCACTAATAGCCTCGATCTCTTCCTCCTTAAGATCAAACCCAACGACGTCCAGATTCTCCACCAACCGCTTCGGATTGTTGCTCTTGGGGATGACCGCAATGCCCCTTTGCGTCGCCCACCTCAGTAACACCTGCGCCGGAGTCTTTCCATACTTCTCCGCGAGGCTCTTGATAGCCTCATGCTCAAACAGAGGCTGTGCCCCTTCGGCGTGCTTCACATTCAGCTCAATAAAGCTCAATGGCCCAAACGACGAGTACGCCGTCACGGCAATGCCCTCACGCTTAGCAAACGCCACAAGCCGCTCCTGCGTCAGGTACGGATGGTGCTCAATCTGCAGCGTCGCAGGTCGAATCCGCGCATACCGCAGTAGATCCAGCAGCAATTGCGCGCTGAAGTTACTGATCCCGATGCTCCGGGCCAAGCCCTTATCAACAAGTCCCTCCATAGCAGTCCACGTCTCCTGGATCGTGGCCTTGCCAAGCTCGACCTTTCCTTCGGCGTTCTCCCAACCGGGTGGGTAGCGGACCTCGGGGTCGACGTATGTGAGCGAGACTGGAAAGTGAACGATGTACAGGTCAAAGTAGTCGATTCCCCAGTCGGCTAGCTGTTTTCGGGCAATGGGCTCGACGCGCTCGCCGTCGTGGAAGCTGTTCCAGAGCTTGGAGACGATGAAGAGGTCTGAGCGGGTCACGATGCCTTCTTTAATGGCGCGGGCGACGCCCTGGCCGGCTTCGACTTCGTTGCCGTAGTCTGATGAACAGATTAGTTTGGCCTAGCTGTGTTGCTTCAGAAGAAGAGAGGAAGTACCACATGCGCCATCAAACAGACGGTATCCGGCCTTGATGGCCTCGTAGACTTGGTCTGCGCAGGTGTCGTTGTTGACCTTCCATAAGCCGAAGCCCACTTGGGGCATGTCGTAGCCGCTGTTGAGCTTGATGAGAGAGGTCGACATCTTGGATAGCTACCCTTTGTTGACGATGTGAAACGGCTTGAAGGATTAACGATTAACGTGAGGTCGGTCAAGGAAGAGAAGAAGACTTCGGGGAAAGACGAGAATGAGGACACGCCTCGCAAAAGATTACTTAACCTCCCATGGCCCCTCCGTACCGAAAGGATAAAGTGAGCCGTAAAGAGTAGGTGGAATGGTGAGGAGGCTAAAGTGGCCGGCTGTATGCGCAGTGGGGGTGGGGATCGTCTCGCCGGCTAAAATGGACGCCGGATAAATTCGCTTTCTAGGTACTCAGAATTGAGCCCCGACGAGATTTCCCGCCTGTGAATGGTGAAGATGGTGTCTCGGAGAGGGTCTATTGGAAGGAAATCGGATCATTTTACTCAATTAGAACTGTTGGTATTGAAGTATTGGATATTAAACTAACAGAGAGTATCTCCAAGCAAAAAAGCATGGACTATAGGGCTCCACAGTTATAGTACAGGAAGTAACAGGATAAAAACAAAAGAGGGGCAACAGGGAATCATAGAAGAAAAGAGAACAAAGAAAAGTAAAAAAGGGTATAAAAGTATTATACACTTTTGTGCAGCCATGATTATCATTATGATTACAGGCGACCCTGGTTTGTAGTGCACGTCCAAGCCCTAAGTAGGCAAGCAGTGCTCTAGACAGCCTCGACCGCAGTATGTTCAGCGTACGCTGGAGAAGTATGTTCGGGGCCCGCCCCGTCCATACCGGGATCAGCAGATAGTCCACCGACAATTCCGACGAGATCATCCGGGGCCAGTAGCCCGTCAAAACTGTGGTTCTGGTGCGACTCGCGCGACACCGTAACGGAGTGATCGGACGTAGTGAACGGGAGGTGGTGGTAGTTGCCACCGCTAGTGTCTCCCGGAATTGATGTGCTGGAGTTCGACCATGGTGCGTGGGTGTGGCTAATTTCGTCGAGAGACTGGGTGCTCGGGACGAAGAAGTTGTTCAACGTAGTGCTGCTGGTGTGGTCATGCAAGCTCGCTGAGTGATGGTGTGGCGGCACATAGTGGCTCTCGTGGCCGAGTCCGTATGTTCCGAGGTTGGGTAGTGATAGATCGGAAATCTGGAGCATCACCGGTGCACCACTGGACACATTGATGCCGGTCGGTTGGCTAGTTACTTGCTGCGTGAGGTTGGGAAAGGGGTCCAGCACGGATGTTGCGGCAGTCTTATCCGATAGCCCTTCTTCCGGTTTTGTGATGCTATTCAAAAAATCAAAGGCCCCGGCGGAGTTGTATAGGCTATTGACATGGTCATGGGAAGGTTGGTACAAAGACCAGGACTGTTGTGAGGGGGCAGAATGATGTAGTAGGTCATGGTGTTGAGGCGGTGCCTGGTATAAGTTTGGAGTAGGCTTGCTGAGCAGGATCGATTCCAAGGATAGAGGAGGAAGGTCAATTGCAGTGCTTGGTCTAGGGCTGTTGGTCAAGCCACGGTCTGGCGATGTTACCAGTTTTCGCCATGTTGTTGTGCCGACCTCATTTGGCCGAGTCTGGCGGAACTTCCAGACGACGATGGCCATTCGCTTGCTTTCTTCAACAAGTGAACCTGGATAATTGTTCTGGAGACGTCGCAGGCTGGGAGGAACAGTGGCCCGGATCTCCTGCACTGCAGTCAAGGTGTGGAAGTACCGCCGGATACGCTCGTCAGCAGCATGGTGATGTCCGGTGCTCTCGGATTCTCGCTTGTCTTGAGTGAGTTTTGTGAAGGTCTTCGCCCACCATGATGACTCGAATGGCGGCTTAACCTTTGTTGTATGAGGCTTGGTGAGGTTGTGGTAGGCTTCCATCGTTCGAGTCCCGTCTTCATAGATGTAGGTGCTACACGTCCAGTTCTCCATCTGGTTGATCATCGGTGCGGTTCCCGGTGTAGGGTTTGCGATGTCAAGTTCCAGGTGAATACCCAATCTTGAGCCAATGGGAGGAAAGTCATCCATCAGCTCGAGGTCAGTCTCAAGAAGAATAATCTCACAGTTCAGCGGATCATTCACGTCAGAGAGTGAAGAATTCAAGTAAGGGAAGGACATCCGCCAATTCTTCATATTTTCCAGCGGCATGGGCGCTTGATGTTGGTCACCCTGCAGGCGGGTATACACATGGAACGCATCGTCAATACGATCTGGCTTGTTTGGGGCGCTAACCCACATGTCAAAGCTAAGGCCTTGGACTGTGTTGCTGCTTGTTTCTTGTTGGGTTGATATAGAAGGGTATTGAGGTAGTTGCAAGTCCGCAGAGTAAGGAGGCATCAACCTCATGGATTCGGAATAAGAAGGGGTTACGTGGGTGCTGTAGTGGCTCGATGGTAGATGGTCCATTGAAGTCCTCCACCTCGGTCCAACTGGCTGATTTTGGGCGGTTGAGCGATCTGCTTGCTCCCGGACGAGTCTTTCCCCTTTGGTTTGTCAGGGCAATGTCATCAATATCACGTCTTGCAACTTACAGTCGGGGTCACCCTTGAGAAATGAATCGAGTACTTGCAGGTGACTAGACACTTGCTTCCTGGTCCTCCGCTTGCCAGTCAACTTGTAGATGTACTCCGCAATCAGTTCGTTCCGTCCATAGGACTTGCCACGTTCGGACCACTTTCGTCTGCCCATAGGCGGGTTCGCCTCAAGTGCTAGAATTTGTCAGTTGTATGAAAAGCTGGACGCGAACAGGCTTTTCTTACCCTGCTGAAAGGCATCCTCAAGTTCGTCAGACCATACTGGCTCACCATCTTTGCCAGTATCCCGGCGCGGCCGAGCCCTGTACTCGAGATACTTCTGTGACTTCAGGTAACTTCTCGCTCTTCTGGATCCAGCATATGAAGAGGCATTCGATTGAAGACGTCGAAGCTTCTTCACTTGGTATCGATGGTTTAGAAGCTGGGGATGGTAGAGACCAGCAGTAGCTGTAGGCAATGGATGGCTTGGGACCGGGACCGGGGGATGAGGGTACTTCAAAGTGTAGTGCTGAAGAGGGTCATCACGTCCAATAGTGTCATGGTGAGCAAGGCTATCAGAGTAGGTCTGTACGTTCCCAGACGTGTTCTGAAGAGCTCGTTCTGAATGGGCTCCTACACTCTCCAGGGCCGCTTGGTTTTGGGATACCATGCACTCGGATTGCCAGTCGGTAGCCATGGAGCAGGCCCCAATATTTGCTCTCAAGAATGAGAACAAATTCCAACGACGATGTGTTGAGAGCTGTCCAAATGTTTACCGTCTGGCAAAGAACGCAGAAGGCAGCAAAACAGCAATGAAGAACGTAGATGGTCGAGGAGAGAATGTAAGAGCCTGGGAAAGAGAATGTGGAAGCGAGCAGCATGGTGTTTATACGAGAGAGATCAGGAATCCCCCTGGAGAAGGAGGGTGGATGTGTCCCCAGTAGTAGCATTGCTCGAACACGCTGCTTGTTTGCGGGTACATACCCCTCTAGGGCAACATGGACTAGTCCCTCAAGGCGGAAGAAGCTCCTGCTACGGTTCACGCGTAGAACCAAGGTCACGAAGAAGGGCAGACAGCGACTGCTCGGCCGTAGCAAATCAGACAGGACGAGACTCGATGGAAACCAATGCAAGGGGCGTTCAGGGAGAACCATCCTATCAACGACTGTTCGGAGATTTTGCGGGTGAGCAGGATGGCTGCCGAACAATTGGCATAGATCATTGACGACAGAGCCATCTGTGGCAGGATCGCTCAAAGGAATGCAGTAGATGAATTAACATTCGTGCATTGTCATGAATGGAATGTTGAGGGTGTTACGAAGAGGAGGACCCGGAATGTCAGAGGGCACCGTCCATAGCCCTAGGAGGAGTTGGAATATCCAGGGTGCGAGCACCTAGTTGTATAGGAGTAAAGGAGACATTAACATTGAAAAGAGATCCCAAAGAGATAGCAATGGGATACAGGGTATCTAAGTTTCGGATGCACGAGTTGACGGCGCTGTGCAGGACGCGTATGTATGCAGGTACTGACAGGAACGTGTTCGCTGCTTCTCTCCGGGACGCAAGGGATGATATCGCGAAGGACCTAAGGTCAACCGGCTTTTTGTGCCTATCGACAGGGAGAAGGGACTCTAGCTTTCGTCGTCCTGGGCCCCTACAGTGAATTTCTTGCGCCCGGCTCCCGTGAGCTTCTGGAGCTTGACCCTGTCCACCTGCTCCCCTACCTTCTTCTCGATCCTTTGGATCTCCTCTTCGGCATCGATGGCCTCCGCGTTCGCGAATTCCAACACTAATCGTCTGCCTAGAAGATGGGTGTTCTTCAAGGCGTCCATTGCATTTTCCGCTTCGCGAGCGCTTACGAAATCAGCGAAACCAAAACCACGAGCAGACCGGTCAAACTTCTGAGGCACTCGCACAGACCGCAGCTGGCCATACGCTCCGAAAAGTGACCTGACGTCCTTCTTCGTGGCTTGGAATGGCAAGTTCTTGATGATGATCTTGGTTCGTCGGGCAGCGATTTTCTTCGCTGTGTCTTCCTTCCTCCTTTCCTCCGCAGCATCCAGGCCCTTATGGGACGCTCTTACTACCAGTGCGTGCCGGTCGAGGGTGTAGCCATTCATCACAGCAAGAGCAGCCTGGGCCTGGGCCTTGGTTCTGAAGTCGGCGAAACCGAAACCCATGCTCAGTGTCTGACCAGGGTTCTTGGGGTCCGGTTTAGTTTTTATCCTAGCAGAAACGAAGCCATCCAGCGGTCTGAACGCTTCTACCAGAGACTGATTAGTAGTGGAGAAGTTGAGGTTCTTGATGAACAGCGTTGCAGTGGCGAGGTTTTCTTCATCACCTTCGTCCGCAGCGAAAGTGTCTGCGGTTGAGAAGCCTTGCGATACGGCTTTAACCTCTGGCAATGGGTTCTGAGGGGGAACATTTGCCTCGAAGAGATTCTTTGGTGCCTTCTCCAGGAAGATGATCGAGTCCCCGAGTTTGCGGTATGCAAGGCCCTTGAAGGCCTTTTGCGCTTCATCGGGTCGCGAAAATTCCACAATGGCTATGGTACCGCTCGGCGGCATCAAGAGCCTGGTGATGGTTCCGAACGGCTCGAAGAGTTTCCGAAGGTCTTCGGTCTTCGTGCCATACGAAAAGTTCTTTACTAAAATGGCGATGTTTCCGCGCTCTCGCTGCTTGAAAGCATCGAGGTTTACACCATTCGCTTTGAAGTAAGCTTTGGTCTCTTGAATCACATGCGTTTCAGCATGAGCCTGCTTGACAGCAGCGTCCGACGAAGTGGGATCCAAGAGGTCAGACTTGGAGACACCAATTCGTTCAGCGACGGAGGACATGACGGCATCGGCCTAAGTGAATTAGCGAGGACCACATTTCGTGCTAAAAGTGTCAACCCACATTCATATACAGCGAGTTCCAGGTAAATGTCGAAGAGGAGGCTTCTTGCTTTCGCTTGATCTGCTTCTGTTTCTTCAACGGTAGTTTGGATAGCTCGTGCTCGTCCAACTTGTGCGTTTTCTTCTGTGATGCTGGCAGAATATGCAGTAGACGACCTTGGAAGTGCTTTCCATCCATGTTCTTGTACGCTTCAACGGCCGCGTCAGGATCAGAATACTGGACATATGCAAATCCTTTGCTGGTTGTGTATCTAGTATCGAAAGCAACATGAATCTGGAGAATGAAACATTAGTAACGTTTCAAGGCAGGTCAACGAGTGAAAACGGAGAGGAAATTGCTTTATCAGATAACGAGAGGCATCTACTAAAATTCTCTCTTCTGATTTTCACATCACTTGCTTTTGCATCGGATGTCCCTATCAGGAGTATATCATCATTCAAGCAGGGGGCACACCAAACGGCGTGGAGTGGAAACATACAAAATGAAAAAAAAAAAAATATTCTTACCTCTTCAATTTTGCCAAAGGGCGAGAACACTGGTTCAAGATCCGCCTCTTTCGTCTCATACGACAAGTTTCTGATGAACAATCGTGCGGAGATCCGGATGTTTTCGATGTTCGTATCAAGTTCCGGGGCTGTAGGCGCCTTCACCGACTCTTCCACCGCGGGCTTCTCCGGACTTGCGACAATAGGCGTGTCGAAGTTTGAGTCAGTCATTGGCGTATCATTGGCGACTGGCGCGGGGGGCGCAAAGGTTGCCTCTTCATCTTCGTCAAGCAGGCCCAGAAGACGGCTTGTCTTTGAGCGTAACCAGTCCATGTCGGATACAGGAGCCTGCTCCTCCTGCGGGGCTTCTTGCTCCGTTTCTTGCTCCTCACCAGTCTTCTCAGGCTCGGGCTGGGCATGGTCTTCATCAGTTGTAGGTAAGTGGCCAGCATTCAGTGAAGCAGATGAGCCGTCATGCTGATCCTGGCCGAGTTTCGCCTTCTTCCTCTGAGCGTAGGTCAGTTCCTCCTTGACATCATCAACAATGTCGGTAGGCTGCTCTTGTAATTGTGAGTCGGCTTCCACCGGTGGGGGAAATTGGTCATCATTTGCCCACGTTCGGGTCTTGGAGGGTTGCTGTAAGAGGGAGAGATACTCTTGCGTCTTGGAGTCCTTGACGGCTTCTCCTTCGCGTTTACGCTTGAGAGTGTTTCCCGAGGCATCATCAGGTAGATCTCTACTGTCCTTGCGGGATTTGTGGGTATTGTGAGCGGGTTCCGCATCAATCTAATTACTGGTCAGTTACAAGACCACCTTGACTGGTCAGCGAGCTCGACGGGGAAACAAAACGCAAGTAGACGTAGATGGAGACGTACCGGCTTAGCAATGTCTACTGAGATCTTGGACATCTTCATGAATGTCTTGTTGAAGTAGGATACAGCTTGCTGGGCCACCTCGGAGCTTTTGAAGCCCACGAAGCCGATCCTCCGTTTTGGCAGGACATGGGCATCCGTAACCTGGAAGCGGGTTGCAAAGTGTTTCTTGAGTTGATCATTGGTTAGAGTCGGCGGGAGGCCAGAGACAAATACTCTTGTGCTCTCCATGGTTGCGTGTTGAGCCTTGACTCGTGGGAAGAGAAGGTTGCAACTAGAAAAACTTTTGGTTTCTTTTTTTTTTCTGCTTTCATAGAGCCGAAGGCGGTGAGAAAGGTGGGAGGTGGTCTGTGCGTGTCCGCGCGGAGTTTCCTGCGCGCAGCCCAAACAACAAGTCGGCCATCGAACTACACCCCTTGAACTAGAGATCTGATTCGTTGCATATTCTCATCATCACAATCCTCTTCATCCGAACTGCACATACCGTTGATATCGCTTAATCGATCTCAAGATGGCCACCGAGAAGAAGGACAAGCTAGAACGTAAGTACGGACCGCTATACAAGCTCCCCTCCAGCTTGACTGACACGAATCCCAGCCCAAATCAAGTCCGTTGACATGGTAGGCGCACTTGTACCATGGATAGTGTCGATGCTCACAAATTATAGTCGGAGGACATGCAACAGGAGGCTGTTGAAGTTGGTATGGTTTCGTCTGGCGATTCGCGGGAATTAAGCTGATTGTTTAGCTATTGAGGCTATGGAGAAGTATCACATTGAGAAGGTATGCTCTTGCCGACTACACTTGAATCTCCCGCTGGCGGGCCTGATGCTAACGGCGCCTAGGACATTGCCCAATACATCAAGAGAGAAGTCCGCACCCCCGATTCACACATACGATGATTCCGAATCTTACAAAGAATAGTTCGACTCTCGCAAGGGCGCTACATGGCACTGTGTTGTCGGACGAAACTTCGGAAGCTTTGTGACACACGGTAATTGCCGCTGCACAGTCGTTGCCCGGTTTGACGATCACTGACTGGTGCCTTCTAGAAACGAAGCACTTCATCTACTTCTATCTCGGACACTGCGCTATCCTGCTATTCAAGACGCAATGAACCTGCGGATTCTATTCACACTATCATACGAACCGATAGGCACGCATACGCCCTCTCCACGTCGCCCCATGTACTTCGATCCCATACCACTTTACACGATTCCCCAACCGCATTGAGAGGGTGCCTCGGGCAGAGCAATCGATAATCCCTTCAGCATGCGATTTTTGTTCTAAATTCTATCATTCGGTGTTATTATTGGTAAAATCTATCTCCGAACTATACTCGGCTATCTGTGTCCCACCTACCGTATGCTCGGCAAATCAACAGCCACGTAAACACAAATTCCAAGATCAAGCCTCCTTCCTATAAGCTGTCTCAAGATCCGCAACAGCCAATATATGTAGTATGCCAAGTCAAGACAAAGAAATTCGGCCGGCACGTGCCCTGCAATGTTCATAACCGCCAAGACCCAAGCCACAGCGCCACACGTCAACACCCCTTCTCTTTAACTGCTGCCTTCCACCCAACCTAAACCACCGCAGAATCTAAACTATAGCTAGATTATTGTTCCAGAGACATTTCCTTACTATCCTAGTCGCAAATCAGGCCTAGCATCATGGCCATCTGCATCACCTTCGGAACACATGGTTCGTACTCCCTGGACCCTGGAACCTGGATCCTCGTCATAGCCCTCCTCCACCCGTTCCATGAAGCCCGGAGGAATCCTCCGCAGTGGACTGCACTTCGATATCCACCACCGGATCTGGAAGTACGTATACTGACCGGTCTATAGAGTTCACGTCCATGCTAGAGGGGTATGAGAACGTTAGAGCTTATTGCTATAACTGTATGTTTCCTCTGGCCCCGTCAATCCAAGTATATAGTCCTGTGGACATACCTCCAACCTTCGTCGGCTACTGGGCCGGCCTATGGAGAGATCGAATTCGTCCAGGGTCTCAACGGTTACCGATGAAATACTAAACCCTTCCAGGCAATCATTGGAACGGACGGTGTATAACCCGATGGTATGCCCTACCCTGCCCTAAGTGTACCCAATCTGCATGCCTAGCTAACCTTGCGACTCCAGGCCCTTCTTCACAATCTGCTTCATTGTATGGCTGGCCTTTCCTAACACCTGGCTCCCTTATCTATAAGCAGAAAGAGAGAACTAACAAAAAACCACAGCCCGTCATCCCACTCGCAATGCACAAGTACAAGGAAGTCACATGCTACACATGCCGATTTACGCAGGACTTACGGTATGTATATCATATTTTTTCAATTTATCTTTATCCTACTCAATTCAAATGAATGCATTAGACCACGTCCACTGACAAGAACAGTGACCGCCCCGACATCAATCCCGATACACGGCCGCCCGCCAATGCAGGCTGGGGACCACAACCTCCGCCGCAGGCCTATTTCGGAGGGCAGCAGCAGCAGCAGCAGCAGCAGCAACAACAAATGCAGTATCCGCCTGTGGCGTCGGGAGCTACGTCGCCACCGCCCCAGCAGTATGCGTATAAGTGATTGCGGTACGTATGGCGGTTGCGCTTGGGGTAGTATTGGGCCAGGGTCTTGAGGGTTGTCGGGTTTGCTTTGCTTTTTCAGATTGATACCTAGCTTTTCAGCTCAGTTGCTTGGGTTACTTTGTCTCTAGGGATGAGTGTGTATTCTTCTTTTTGCTGTCTGTATTCATATATATTTCCCTGTTTAGCTTGATTTCGATTGCTACAGTGATGATGATATTATTTCGTCAGTGTCGAGAAGAGAAACCGATGATGGTCAATAGAGTAATATTATATTCTAATCAAGGTCTTAATATAGATGCTAGCCATCTCTATGGCATAAGGTATAGTCAAGTGAACGAGTGGGGTATAATCAAACAGGCAGCGCAACAAAAACCAGCCGGTCTAGCCAGCTAGAAGCATCAACATCATTAAACGTCAGAAGAAAGGTCGAGCTCACTTCCCAACAACCTTCTCACTCGGCGTAACCGCGCCACTCGCCTCACTCTCCTCATTCTCCTCCCTCTGCCCCTCCAACGCATCCCTCCTCCAAGACTTCCCCCTAACATCAAGCATCATCAGCCGTGCAACCCTCATCATACTACTCCGCCCCTCCCAAAGCGGGAACAGAATCACACCGAACGCCGTCCCAAACAGCCAGATGATGCCAACAACAACCCACCCCGTGAAGAACTGCTTGCTGAAGACATACTTGGAACCGTACATGGGGATCGGCCACAGCAAGAGAAAGCAGATGACCATGCCGACTGTGAGGCACCGCGAGATAAAGGCTGCTTTGTTGAGTTTTTTGATCTCATCTTCTTCTTGCTCTTGTTGGGCGGGGGAGGGGTGGTGCGCTGCTTGGATGAGCTCGGGGTCGACATGCGCGGCGGCCGCGACGTCCGAGTCGTCGACTTGGCGGATAGCGCGCATGGACTCGTAGTCGTAGTTTTGCGGGCCGAAGACGTACGTCAGGACGGGGGAGAAGACGACGGGGCTAAGTAGAGCCGCAACGTTGCCTGCGAGCATGGGGTAGTTTGCGCCGGTGGATACGACGGTGAAGACGCCGTACTGCGTCTTTGTTGTCACGAGCCATGCGATCAGGGACATAGCGAGACCGAGAACCGGAGATGCAGCTGCCGCAATCCAGTTCTGGCCCTTCCAGACGAGCGTCATTGCGCCGGGGAACACGGCCGAGGAGATGATGACACCCATAAGGAGGTAGAGGTAGCCCATTCCGACGCCGGCGTAATGGAGACCTGTCGCGAAGCCAGCCATCACAATGGCGAATACCACGCAGGAGAGATGCGAGATCCAGACGAGGCGCTTGCCCTTGGCGACGGGGTTGATGTAGGCCTGGTAGATGTCATAGGTGAGGATTGAGGAAACGGCGATGAGCTGCGCAGAGAAGGCGGAGGTTACGGCCATGAAGATCATGAGCGTTGTGCAGACGGCGCCGCTGTAGCCGAGGAGTTCGACCGATGCAAATGGGAGGACGAGGCCGGCTGTTACGTCGACGGAGGCAATGCGGCGGGTTCCCTCTAGTGCAAGGGCGGAGAGGCCCATTGTTGTTGCGCAGAGCCAGGGGATGGCGAACCAGCAGAGGCCGCCGATTACGTAGCCGGGGAAGGCGTGGACGGGGTGTGCGGCGATGGCCTTGTTGTAGTAGCCGTTGTCGAGGAAGACGGTGCCGAAGTTGCCGACTAGGTTGATGACCCAGAAGATGCCGCCTTCTCTGGAATGCATAGTGAGGTAGCTGCCTTCGGTGTTTCCAGCAACTGGATTGCGTTGGGCGGCTTCGACGAGGAGGTCGTAGACCTTGCCAGGGGAGCCGAGGCGGTCATTGGTCGCGTAGGCGGAGAAGGCGAAGATAAAGATTATGACCACGATCACGACGGTGTGCATGTAGTCCGTGATGAAGGTTGCCTTGATGCCTCCGAAAAGAGTGTATAGTACCACACCAATGGGGAGGAGGAAGCAGGCTGCAACGACTGGGACGCCGGTCATGGAGTTGAGCACTGCGGCGCCGCCAGTGAGCAGCATGGCTGTGACGAGGATGTTGGTCATCAGGCAGAAGACGATGAAGACGATGTGCACAACTGTGCCGTAGCGAGCTCGGATGGCTTCAAGGAAGGTGTGCGCGTTGGGTGCCCGTCTCTTGAGCTCGATGGCGAGTGTTGCAAACAGGATGATCTGGACGCAGGCGCCTTTTCACTGTTAGCATACTTCCATGCCATTGAACGAGGAGAGCTAACCTGACGCATAGAAGAAAGGTCCCGAAGTGCCGTACTGGTAGGCCACGGCCGTGGATTGCAGAAGAGTAGCAGCCCAGGTCCAACTACTCACAACAGCAGACGCCACCAGACCAGACTTGACGCTTCGTCCGGCGGTTGAGAACATTTCAGATGTGATAACCTCATGTTGATACCTAGACCGTCAGCTTCGACCATGGTCCGTAGACATTGATGAAGGCCATACCTTTTGAGAGACCAAGTGATGAAGATCATAACCAAGGCAAAGGCAAACCCTAAGCCGATGATGATTCCATAACCAAACCCTTGGGTGAGGGGAGCAGTGAACTGCACGGTCTCTACCCCCGCAGCATCTGGGGCAGCTATGACTGCAACCATTGTGGATAGCTGGGGACCGATTACCTGTAGAAAGGAGGGCTACTAGTGTGTCCCGAATGATCTGTGGTCTGCAGCTTGTGACTCCGAGAATGCAGGGCAGGGGACTGGCTGATATAAGTGCTTAAATCTCCGATTCCGCAGAGTCACCTCTCAAGCAGGATGACAGGAAGCCGCGATAGACTAGAAATTATTGGCGATGCAATGATAAATAAGAACAAGGGCATTGATACATGGGCGGCCCCGGTCCATACTCTCCGGGGGCATTGATAAGACGACCATGTTTCGTAATGGGCGAGGAAGCTTGGCAGTCCTCTTGGTTTCCAGTGTTCCACTGCAGCTCTTCAGAGTCAGGGTCTGGAGGAGACACGAGAACAGCTGGAGCAGTGAGTTGCCCTTCGCATGGATAAGGTTGTTATCGTGGTGGACGAAGAGTACTTCTGATTGGCGAATTACTGCAAGCTTATCAGCACAGCTTGAAGGCCATCCTTCCCATTGGACGGGAAAGCGAGCTGATAAGCTCTGGGCCCCGACAATTGAACGGGCGTAAACGGGCCGGCCGTCGCGCGCTTTCGACTGTCATTCTCGACGGTAAAGCTTGACTGCAGATAACGCTGTTACTCGATACTCCCACTAATTGATCCTGTTGCTCCCCACACACGAGATGGCCTGAGAGGTGCCAGTGCTGCCCTGTCTCCTTGGAGATGCCTATCAGGGTTAGTAGGTCTATTCCACGTCCGGGGAACATATGCCTTTCTCCAGAGCACTTATCAAGCCAAACTATGCACTCGGCTTCTTGTCCTCCTAGGCCATGAAATCCCAGGATCAAAGCGGGATGTCATTGTCATTGTCTCTTCAGACAATTCGAGTATCGATCAGGACTAAAGGAAATGAACAACCGTCTCGGCTTTATGGTTAGCAGAACTCCGGGCCTAAAGACCTTTAAAGATCCAGCTCAGTGACTGACCCATCGTTCTCGCGAGGGCCCCATTCTCCAGGCTCAGCCCTACCTACAATATGATCAGTGTACGGAGCAGACTTTGCTCCATAGCTCAATAATCCATGCACCATCCCACAAACCAATCCTACCGGCTGTAAGTGGTCAGCACTCGACCCTGGTCAGGTTCTGGGTAGTAGTAACCGTTACCGCGTTTGCCAGTAGCTTCAGGATCTAGTTCCTTATCAAGCCTCTTCTTCCTGTCTTCAGCCCATCGGCCAACTGCACATGGTCCCTTGGCTTGCTGACCCGAGGGCTTGGGGCGGCCTAGCAAATTTTCTTTCGAGTCGTCGACCGCTCCAGGCTCCTTCGACTAGTAAGTGCATAATCGAGATGCAATTTCGACAGGCATATATAGCCGAGTAGTCACGATATCCCATCGATATTTCACCCTTGTACATGCGCAGCTGAGTCTTCTTGACAATTCTGATGGGATAAGCGGCTGCTCGGTGGGCCATGGCCTGGATATCGTACTTCGCAAGCCCGCCGATAACGGAGGCATGGGTATTTAGGAAGGAGCTTGGTGGTAATCGCATACTCATAGCGCACTGGGACGGGATTGGCGAGGCTACTATACAGATAAATTGCTTCCCGGCTGTAACTAATTTGACTGACTCTACATTAACATATTGTCATTCCGAGCACCGAATGCAAACAAAAAAGAAATCTCAACGCAAAAAGTAAAACCCATGCTGCAGACGGGTATTGGCTCTAAAGGCACTCCAGCAAAGAAGAAATCTGGTTCGGGCTGGTGGGTGTTTTCCAAGCACTGTGCATCCCAAGCTCACCGGCGCATGGAATAAAACAGAGGAGAAAGGGGTATATCGTTTTCGAAGGTTCAGAATTGTTGAGTTTATCGATTCGCGCTTCTTGGCAGTCGATGCATCGCAGGACGAACGGCTTCATCGAGCAAGTGATCACAGTTGCGTACACCAAAACCGTGCTTCTCAGATGACGCCAGTCCGCGTTCCGCCTGCATCCAACTCAATTGGTCCCAGATAAGGCCAGACTGCGAAAATGGGCGATAGGCCGATCACGACTCTGCAGCTCACGAGGAGAATTTGCGGGTAATCTTGGCAATGACTAAAACGAGCGAATGTCAGTCCTCAATCGCACCAGCTTTCGTCAAAGAATAAGGAACCACATACCATGCAGACCAACAACGGAGAAGATGAAACCCAAGCTAAGAACCAACACAACAACGGGGTCAACCCTCAGACCGGGGCTCTCGTCCGTGTACAGCTTGAGCATGGTGCTGGAGGAACCGCCGGCGCCGGCGGAACGAGTCGAGCTAGGGCGAGCATTGCGGAGAGACTCCTTGTGGTCGGCGGCCGCGCGGCGACGCAGAGCAGCCCGGGGACCACCAGGGGGAGTGGGAGAGGAAGGGCGGTTGACGGAAGAGACAGCGGAGGCGGCGCCAGCGGACTTGGAGTCCGGGCCTGATTCGGCGCCAGAGGTCAATGGGGAGGCAGCGCGAGGAGAAGACTGTAGCAAGGTTCTATGTTAGTATTGGTTTAATTGGTACTGGGATGAATTGCGAATGGCTTTGCTTCAATGAAGCTGCTGGTTCGAATATCGTCGGACAGGGACGCACCATTGTGAGATAAGATGGAATGAGCGATCAAATCTAAGATCAGCGGGAAAGAAGAAATTCTGACTGAGAAGGAAGGAGAAGAAGTTTGTGGAGAGGGAGAGTCGAGTTAAGTAAACTGATGAGGTGAGGTCTGGAGGCGTTCTAAAGGACACGATCACTTCACTGCTGTAAGTCACGTATTGTCATATTTCGATCCCCCGGCCCAAGTAGCCAACCACAGCACATATTTCTGCACTCGCTGGGTAACGCCATTACAGTGCATTTACTCATACTAGCAAATTAAAGCCCCCTGAAGTTGAACCCTTGGAATCCGAATACTAATATTGTCAGATATACAGGATATAAGACTTTCAATGAATGAATTGCTAGCACATGGCTACAATGAAAAGTATGTAGTCGTAATAATTTGACATGATTGTAGCTAAGGTATGAAATAAATCCAAAGCATAGATATGTTCATCAAGCAGACGCTATGGGTAATTTGAACTGACATATGGACAATAGAGCAAAATGTAAGCAACCCAGACTTTATGAATGAAAAGCCGTAACAAACCCCGATAACGTAGGAAAAGGTATCATGTGTAAATATTCGAAAGACGCCCAAATTCAGTTTTCAGTCAAGACATGGCCAAGTGGGCGCATATATAGATTGTCCCAATAAGCAGCATCGTCGAGAGAAGCAAGCTGCGAGATGCACTTAATCGATCATCATCCGGCCGGGCACCTGTCCGGCGACGTTGGACAACTCGGTAGAGCCCTTCTCCCCATTCTTGCCCTTCTTTTTCTTGTTGATGTGGGGTTTCAAACCCTTGTGGAAGTTGTGCATGCATACACAAGCGTTAATGATGGTCATCACGATCAATATCAGCGTAATGATGGCGAAGAAAGTCAAAGACCGCCGGGCAGTTGAATATTCGTTTGCGGTTGCTGGCTGGTACATACGGACCAGCTTGAACAGGAAGTATGCCATGGCTGCAAAATAGAGAAGCTATAAGTTGTTAGAGAAATCCACAATCAACCGAAACGAGGGACATACGATAATGGCGATCATTCCAATAGAACTCTCACGCCGCACGAAAAATGCCGCACAGAGGAGAATCAAGATTGTAACCGGTATAGCGGCGATTGTAAGAGCGAACTCGGTATCTTTTCGGTTCGTAACGATAACCAGGAATTGGATGGTGAAACCAAGGAAGAAGAAAAGATCGAACTTGAGCAGCGCAATGTAAATCTGCAAAGCTATCAATACTCCGCTCAACGGTAACAAAAGGACAATCCACGCACCTGATACGTCAGATAACGACGCTTCATGCGCAAATCAGCGCTGATGTGCTTATAGATGGACCATGCAAATTCATCGTAAAGCTTCCAGGCGACAATCATCATCAGCACACTACCCATGGCCACAACAATCGGAATAATGATCAAGAAGGGCTGCGTTTCGGCCCAGATGTCGGGGTTGACGGCATTGTTATCCGTTAGGACTGTCACGGCTTCCTTGATCTGCTGTACTTGGACTGCGCCGTAAACCAACAGCCCGACATTGCATAGACACAGTCCAATAACTTGAATAGTGTTTTTGAGGCGTAGAGCATCGTACACGATGAACAGCTCATAGAGGAATCCGAAACTGTATAGCGCAAGGAAAGTCGGGATTGTTTTGGAGGAGGTCACGAGTTCGGCTTGGGGTTTAAGTTGGATCTGGAAGTTTGCGAAGATGTAGCTGCACATCGGCGCGTTAGAACAGAATCAGGCAGAGTTTCCAGGGCGCAACATACCATTGCAGTGCAAGGGTGATGACTGTCTGGACTAGCGTGACGATGGCGAAGGACCACGTCCACAAGGAATTCGGTTTGTACATTTTGCGTCGTTTAGGAGCCGGCGATACATTTGTATATCCTTCCCTCCCGCGAAAACCCCCGTTATCTCGTCTGAACGATGGATCAAAGGACCCGCCGAACAGGGACGCTCGTGATGATGTGTGGGAATAAATCTTGACAAAGTGCTCCGTGACGGAGCTGGTTTCGTCTAGGAATTCGGTCTGTGGATACAATATGGCGTTTTACCACCGAGACGGTGGTAGGCAGAGCGGAGGGGTTTTCGTGAACGTTTAGGAGGCGTGGTGTGCTTTGTTTCGACGGTTGGGTCCTACTTGTCCCACAGCGTCTTGATTTGTCTCGTTTCGGGGCGTTTGGGTCTCAGGAGATCGATCCTATCTCGAATAGGACCGATGAGCTGCGACACCCGAGCTCCAACTATCATACAATCCCCGATAATGCCCCAGCTGTCGACCGGATACCGATGGACTGGGGTAAGACGACAGAAGAGAAAGGGAGCGTGGTCGCAGTGTCGAAGATCGCTTGGTTGTCCAAGGTGTGCCAAGCCGCAGTGGTACGCAGTGGGTTGTTGGGCGGGGAGGCTCACATCGATTGTCCTAGGCTTAGGCGAGGTCGAAGGCTGAGCCTTTGGCTGGCGGGAGTCGAGATGGCTGAGGTGCGGTGCAGGTTGGAAAAAAACGAGTGTCGGGGCCGAAGGCGCGGTTTGAAAGATTGACTCGACGGCTGGGGAGGAGGAACAATGGAAGAAGAGTAAGAAATCGAAAACCCGGGGGATGCGAGACAGTCCGGCACTCTAGGAGGGTAATTTCCAAGCCTGCCTGCGAAATGTTGCCTGGCGCACCCGACTCAGAGCCACGGTTGGGATTTAGGGGGGTTAGTGATCGGTGGGACTGCACAGGTACCGCCTTACGTGTCTGAGTCTGGAACACGACGACCCTTCTTGACAGTTAACGGTGGCTTTTACCCTCCCCTTTCACACTATCGATCCTACTCATATTAATTCAGGATCCATTCGAAAACATTATGAAAATGTCTAAAAATACAAAGACTGGTGAGTCTGTCTATCTGTCTGTTATCCCGTCCCTGGCACGGCATTCTGTACGACATCCAGCAACACGACTCCAACTGTTTCTCATAAACACCGTTCCCCGTACAACCAATTGACCATGTCCCATTTTCTCTTGGCGACTTATCTTTGCCCTACGAAATAAATTTGATTCGAGTCATGATCTTCTCAGGCCTGGGGATAAACATGGTGTGTTCATATGCGGTACCTGCATCTTAATCGTTCTGTAACTTTTGGTCGTTGAACCGCGATCGTCGGTTACCGATGCGCAGGGACGGTGCCTAGGTCCTATAAATAGCCGGCATTGCAGATGCTACGCTGAGGTTCAGATCAAGCACTGAATCTGAGAAGCAAGGATCACTGCATCAGACGCTCACATATCTATCTATCTACTCTACACACCGGACTCCAGCCACTTGCTGTCTGAGTCCTGGTGTCGCGATATGCCGTCCTTCTCCAAGAGCATTGCCGTACGGTGCAATTTGAATCAACTATGGGTTCAAACACATTAAGAGGACCAATCTTGTGCGAGTAGGGCGGCTCAAACTCCGCCTCGTTGTGGCTCATCAAGCTATGGATTATTATCGAAGCCTTCAAAGGAAAGATTTCTCGGCCTGAGCCGGGCCAGCCGGCCCTCGCGAGTCGCAGCGGACAGGATTCTAGACTCTGCGATTGCTCCGTATTCGTACAGCTCATTTCGGACACGGTATGTTGTGGCGGTGCTCCAGGCGCAAGCCACCTTAGGCCGGCAGGAAGCTGGGGGAGGCTTTATGCCAGCAACATGGTCCAGGACTAAGAGTAAGAGGGCCTGAGGTCATGGTGCTGATAATTAATTAACCGATGCTCTCATGGGACCCATCGGGATCCTCGAGTCTGATGCTGAATATCCAGCGTGACATGGTCGCCTGCGCTGCGCTCAGTTTACTCCGTATCAAGCTCGGAAATATACTTGCCCACTTCCACAAATCATATGCAAAGCAAGCAGCTACGCCAAATCTCCAAGTATTATTCCCAAAACTTGAAGCTATCGGTTTCGCCTCAGAAAGGCGACAGAGCCCATCAGTGAAATGAAAAGGCTACTTGAGGATCATGGTCCGTGAAACAGTTAGGAGTACTCCGTACGGGGGGTGCGCGTATGGAGGAGTAGGGCTGAGACCGAGCGAGCACATCACGTGTTCCAACAGCTAATAATCATTTGTAAGCGGACTCCGCTGACTCACTTACCAGTCCAGCCCTAATCCAGCAAGCGGTGTAGATGCGGCCAGGAGCTCCGAACCACCACCAAAAAACCCAAAAAAAAACCCCCTCGTACCTTTTTCTTCTTCCTCAAGCGTCATCCCCCCCATGCCGCGTTTCTTTGCTTCACACGACAAGGCCTCACAGCCCTGTCCGGGCCCTATAGCCAGCTGACAACCGCATCACCTGCTATATCCCGACCCCCCCGCAAATGAGAAATTCGGAGGAATCTTCAAAACCACATGCACCCGCCGTCCACACTACCCTCTCAGAGGGGAAGTTGGGAAGGCCGGTACGACCCGCAAGGGTCTGGTGTGAGTTTCGCACATCTGCAATCGGCATCAGAAACATCGGGGCAGAGGGACTTGTCCCTCTGGTTTCCCCTTGGGAGAGTCATTGCGAAGATTGTGTGTGTCTGGTTACTCTAGCTGGGCACGACACTTTAGTGCAATACGCGGCATACTTTGGCCCTTTTACAAGGGACTGGTATCATTCGATTCCGATTATTCGGGGGGGATGGCGCTTCATTCTTTTTTTTTCCCAGGTTAGTTTTTTCTTCACCCCCGCCTTTACAGTTGGTTCGGGGGAGCTGGAAAGGATATTTGTGGCCTTGCTAATTTGTTGGGTCTGGGGTTTCGGTCCTGTAGGGCTTTGGGCTTGGGGTTGGTCTTGGGAGGCTTCGCGGCCGTGTGCGTGAGGACAACGGTGGAAAATATTGTTGAGCTGTCAATTGATGGTACTGAAGGATTCGTGCCGCTCCAGCTAGATAGATGCTGTCCGTATTTGATATGCTTCCATAATTTACAATGAAGAGCCTGACAGGATCCATCAATGACCAAGTAACGCGTAATAAAACAACTCGCTTGATATCTAAAATGGAGATTATAGTAAAAGACATTTACCCTCTTCGGATACATTCAACATCCAGGAGTATTTTCGGTAGAAAAAAAAAAACGAACAATAAATAGAAAAAAGAGGTGTAATCATGCCCGCCCCTAATGCATCCTTTCGTGATCATAACCAGCACCGACTATCACCAGCGTCGCGCTTACTCCTCGTCACCGATCTAAGAATAATCCATGAGTACATGTTCAACACTATCATAACTTTCAGGGGAAGGGGAATCGGGGCATTCTACCTTGGGAGCGAGATAGAACCTCAGGTGACCGCTACCAAGACCGTACTCGACGAGCAGAGGGACTTCCTGGGAGAGCGAGAGGCTGACGGTGCTGGAGAGGTTGGTGGCCTTGCAGAAGTTGACGAGGTACTTGAGGGAGAATGTGAGGGCGACGGGTTCGCTGAGGACAATGGAGACGTTCTGCTCGGGCTTGTCGACGCTTGTGTGCTGGCGGATTGTGACGGAGCCGCTGCCGATGTCGCCCTGGCAGGAGAACTTGACGCCTTCTTTTGTTGCTTCGATGACGACTGTCGCCAGTTAGTTATACAGTTGATAAATATGAATGGCCAGGGAGAGTAAATTGTACCTGACTCGGAGAGCGCGTTAAGATCCCTGCAAATTCGTTGGAACTCTGCCGAGGGCATCTCAACCGTCGCAGCGTACTCCGTCTCCGGGATGGCAAGGTGCTCCTGGTCAATGTCCATCAACTTAATATCGTACTCGCTCAGCCTGTCCGTCTCTGCGCTCTCGAACATCAGGTTAACGACATCGGGAGAGTCGTCCGCCTTCAGGGTGAGGATATCTTCGTTTTGAGCAGCCCGCAGGACCTTGGTCAGGGAGACCAGATCGATACCAATGGGGATGTTGCGGTCGCAGCGGTAGGGAGAGAAGCCCTCGGCCTTGAGGAGCATGGAGACCAGGGCAACGTGGGAGTTGTCCATGGCCTGAAGGGCGATTCCGGAGTCATTGCAGTCGAAGTTGCAGTACTGCACGAGATCTTTGATGGCGTCGACGACCTGAAGGGGAAGTTGTGAGTTATGGTCGGAGAGGAAAATTGTGGGATTGGAGGCAACGTACGCGCTTGAGGAGACTGGCTTGTTCGAGGCGGGCTTCCAACACTGGTTATATGTGAGAAATAGCTCAATGGCAGACGCTGCTTCCAATACTTACTCTTGATGTGCTGTTTAATGTGTGATTGAGTGATGAGGATGGGATGCGGTGAGAAGCGTGGGGAAAGAGGGAGACGAGGATGTGAAGTTGAGGATTCTGAGCACGGAATGGGTGGTTAGAGGGTAATATATAGAAATTGGGTGGCTGCCGGAAACTCACAGGTTATATGCAGAGGTGAGTAGAGTAGTGAGGGAGCTGGAGGGGAGAAATGTCGAGACAGAGACATTCGCGTTCTGGTGTGGGTCGTGTCTGCTCCAGCTCACGCGTCGTGTTAATTTGACCCTTTTGAGCCTAGCTCGAGGGTTCGTGTCCAGACTCATTTGCAGAACATCTACGGGAATAAAACAGGGAAAGGATCATTCGTGTATTAGTTCTATTAACTAATAGTATGTGTAGTGCTATAATCACGGCAAGGAAATATTTTGGCGTCTGACGCAAGTAACCTGTCCTCCAAAACCAACGCCCGATAACGTACAGTGGACGAGATATTTTACAGGAAGAGATCAAGAATCCAAGAAACAAACGAAAAGAAAAGAAAGATAAAAAGTGAAAGATAGAAATATCCAACGCCAAACTCCAGCCAAATCTATCAGTCTGGGTATCAATCGCGCGGCTAGGACTGGCGACGAAAGGTTCTGGGACAAGATATATGCAGTCGAAGAAGGAAATGTACAAGGCATCCTGCGGAGAGTCCAGCTCGGTGGAGGATCAAAGGCTTGTAACGCGTTTTGAGCTTGTGGTTTTGGGTCTCTGCTTGATCACCATCTCAAGCTCTTTCAGCATGTGGGTATTAGCATCCATCCGGTCTCGCGCAGCGGCTTGTTTCGCTCGATCTTCTTTTACCCGCGCAATACGCTCTTCTCGAGTCAAAGATGCCCGCTTGTTACTTCGGGGAAGGGCAACGGCCTCGAAAATCTCTTCGGCATCGTCGATGCTATAGGTGATACCCGAGACAGGCCTGCTTTCGCCGTTCAAGGCTCTCAACGCATCGGACGGACTACCTTCCACCGCGGTGGTGCCGCCTAGGCTGGGTGTGGGTGATACAGGGAAAAGCCCGCTCGGTGGCCGCGAACGAGTCGCAACGGACTGGTTGTCGAGACTGCTCATAAGGCTGGACTTGCCGGTTTCCCATTCCTGGAGCAAGCCCTTGATATCAGTCCCGATTGATTCGTACTGAGCTAGAAGTGAAGCTTCTAGCTCGCTGGTGTCAGTTTCGACGTCGTTTGTAGACATCTCCTTAAAAATGTGCATCTTTGCGTGCAGGGCACGAATGCCCTGAGAGAGTGAATTCAGCTTCCTGTATTGAGCGCGAAGGCGGTCTTTGCCAGGAGAAGCTGTCGGAAGTGGCGATGGTGGGACATCAGCCGTGCGATCTTCTTCGTTCAGTATGTTTGTCATTCTTTGCATGCTGTCGCCAGTCACTGTGGTCAAGTTTCTCATCTGCTCAATAGCGGTGCTCCACCTCGCAATGTCCGACCCGCCCCCGTCGGCCCCAAGAGCCAAAAGACAGCAAAGGATGCTTTTCCTAACAAGATATAATCTTCCAAACAGCGTCCGAAGGCCACGTAAAGAAAACCGGTCTTCATTTTCTCGATCAGCAAAGGCACTTTCGATCTCGATGAGGTCTTCTCGCGAAATATCGTAGATGTCATGATATTTAGCGAGATTTGCGCTGTCCGTCAGCGGTTGTAGGGCATGCTGCGCTTGGATGTAGTGGCCAAGCATAGAGTAGAAGCACTCGGATACGATGTGACGTAGTCTGAGGCAACGACGGACTTGGGCCTGGTCCTCGAGTCTACTGACCGGGGGTAGAGGTGTACTTCTGTGCAAAGGTTAGCATTGACAGCCTAGTAGGAGGCTTATGGGAAGACTCGCATGCGGTAGCCTCTTGAAACCAGTTCTACCTCCTGTATGAACACCACAGACGCCGAAGCCGCCGAGTCAAACCCCTGAGCATTGCCAATAAAGAGCATTGCCGCATCCACAGCTTGATGTCGCAGGTATTTGATCCACTGACGCCTCGCGAAAGCGTAGAATAGGACTCCAAGCACCGGGACCAATACTAGTAGAACGCCGACTTTTCGAGGGTTGATGCCCGTCCCGGTTCGAGGTCGGCTCCAATGTAATAACCAAGCAATTGAGAACGAGGTCGAGGCGGTGACAAACGCCCCCTGTAAGCCGAATGTGGTGGATAGCGTGGGAAGGTCCGTCGGGACTGTATTCGATAGGACGTCGGTAGCGGAGGTGTAGGACGGAGCATTATGTTCGTTCAGTAGTTGCGAGGCGACAATAACGTAGCCAAATTGTTCCAAGAATCTCTCATTATCGTTTCGGCCCAGACGCGAGTTCAACGCGGACTAAGCGCCATTAGCAGCTTCCCGTCATTATTTGTTCTTGTACATACTGAGCAGACATCGTACAACCGACCCAGAGCAGCCGTCTGGCGCGATGCCTTGAGGTTCAGAGGTTTCGGTAGTTTGCTCCGTATACGGGTCTGGAATTTCGATGCTCCTCGAGGCGCAAAGTCGGCGGCAGTGGAATCGGATAGCTCGTCTTCGTTGTCGGTCTCTTTGACAGGCCAGTCGGGGCTGTGTTCGCCTTCTCCTGAAGACCTAACAGTCAGATCCATTATCCCGCAAAGCTCGAACCGAACTAACCTCGAAGATACTCGGCCAGGGGCGAATTCTCATAAACCAGTGACTCCATGACTTAGCTCATTCCGTAAGCGGCGGCGACGGGGAAGGTGTTCGGATCGAATTCACTTGCGACCAGTTTGCGGAGATAGCTGGCAGGTGGCGTAGAACGGTAGGAAAGAACTAGACGTAGGTAGGATCAAAAGCAACTTGCAATTCCAGGGCCATCTCCTTGACCTTCAGGACAGGACGCTGCGGATTATCGATAAGGAGCAGGTTTTGGGAATCCACAAGGACGGCGTGAGGGGGGCGGAGTAAATATGTAAGCGGAATGATGTTATTTCGAGCGCAGCAGAGGCCAAGCTACCGACAGGAAAGAATATGCAGGACAGAAACTCCTTGCAGCAGGCGACGTTGAAGATCAGCTGGCCGGCTCGCGGCGTGTCTGGGGAAAGGGAGGGAGATGGAATGAGGCGTAAGACCGCAGACGGTCGAATCGGATTGGAATCACAGGTTCAGGAACGGCCGCCGGAGCTAGACGACTCGCCCCACTGCTAATCAATTTCGCTTCGTTTGCATACGGAGTCTCCGTAGCTGCATAAATATAGCAATAATAGGGAATTGGATAGAGCAGAACAGCAATATTTAAGAGATGGCCGTCCATATGCTATCTAGTCCAGTCAGACTTGTGAATGTCGCCCTCCGCGGTGGGCCGAGGTCCCAACCACCATGCAGTCTGGGCTTCAGGTGTTCTTCCTCGGATCCGAGCATAACGTCTGTTTCAGCTTGATACAGGGGACAGCGCGGATGCCGGAGACGATCCTGATCTGCTATTTCGTGGCTTATATTTCTTAAGTCGAGACTAAATAGCGCAGGACCTCCTGTAAAACACTCTGTAGTGTTGTAAAGGCGCAAAGCAAGTACGTATGAAGCTCCATCCTTTTATTACAATGCATTGTGCAATATCTAGTGTTTGATATTGCCGCTTTGTACCTTGCTCGGTGCATTGATCAGCAAGGGTCTCGGGGATTGGAGTAGTAATACACTGCGGCGAAGAGGAGATGAGTATGAGTCCTTGCTGCGAAACACAGCACGATGATAATACTAGACGAACTGCAACATTAGACCGTGGTCTATCAGGTTGAAATTAACTGTCTGTCACCAAATAAGATTCGTTCTGCAGGCGAATCATCTCATTGGCATCACTTTTTAAAGCGCAGGATGTGGTTGTCCGTGGAGGCGTGAACACGGCGAGCCGCACGTAATATGTCGGGCATATTTCTCCTACACTTTCTGTATACAAGCAATTATTAGTCTATTCAGTCATAGAGAAAAGAACCGACCTGTCTCTACGCGTTCTTGATGGATATCCTTGACTGCGGGCTCATAGTCTCAGGCAGAAATGGTTGTCCGGGCAACCAGTCAACATCACATTCGCGCCCTGCATCTGCCACTGACCTCGATGCCTGGAGTTATCAGTTCCACTTGACCACATATTTAAGATTCGACCGTGTTTATACTTACTATATCGACTTGAACATAGCAGAATACAAACCATGTCCAGCATATTAATGGAAGCTGGCACACCGTGCCCGCGGCGTTCGAGAACCAGCAATGATAGCGTCCCGTTGGATAGCCTGTGGGACGAGACTCTCGGAAATGACGACGATACGAGCACCATCGATTTCACGACTGAAATCAGGGCCCCAATCTTAGGAGCCAAACCGAAACGGCGGGCGAGGACTACCACATCGTTCGCCATACACAGTGACATTGACGAGAAACACGTCCAACCGAAGAGGGAGACCAAGCCGGCAGGTGGAATTGTGTCTTCAAATCGAAAATCGTCTTTGCTCTCACAGCCTGCACAGCGGTTCCGTCCACGGCCCAGGGTGAGCTTTGCACCTAGTCCGTTCAAGCATTCCCAACAGCGTGCCGAAAATGAGCCTGAGAAGAGAAGCGCAAGGCCGGTTGCGCAGAGAAATAACGAACTGCTCAAACGCATCAGTGGGAGTGACAAGGCTCTGGCTAGAGATGAGTTGAAGGGTGTACGGCGAACGACGGCCTATCTGCCCCCGGAGGATATAACTGCGGCCAGTGTGTTCATGGGCATATTCAGCCCGCTTAAATCCGACCGTGTCCCTCTGCAACCAAGCTCCAAGATTGCCCAAGAGACGTGCAGCAAAATTGACATTCCCGGCAAAAATGGCGGCAAGGAGAACCTACCCCCGGGAATGGAATTTCTCGAAGTCAAGAAAAAGACCATCAACGACGAGTCTTTGAGCGATCAGATGGGCCACTTGACGCTGGCTGAGAGTAAGCCTAGCAAACCTCTTGCGGCAAGATCCGTCAATGAGCCCGCGAAGAAGGTTAGCAGCAAACCCGCCGTCAAGGGACCAGTTTCAAGTCTCGTTGTTGGTACACAAAAATTGACTACTCGAACCAAGAACCGAGCCACGACTTCTAACTCTTCGAACCCCTTGAAGGCTTCAAGATTAGGCGTGGATACTCACGTGCGGAATAACTTCGACCATGAGTATCCATTAGCTTCTGCGAGTATCACGAACCCTGCTGTGTACGATGACAATTGGATCTCTCACCAGGAGGCTATCCTAGCCCAGTTGATCAATGGTATATTTAACCACGCCAAGAGTGAGCCTTCCGACTCTGCTGAATTTCGAAATGAGCTTCTGGGGATCTACCAGGGGCCATACTTCACAAACCTCCACAGGAGACTCCAGGCATCGCTGGTGTACGGCGCGTTGTCCATTCCAAAGGACGTTCTCCTCAAGAATAGCCGGCTACGGCAAGACCTGGGAATGAAGCGCAAATTCATCGACATCTTGCTGAAGTCCTATGAGCCGAACGCTCTGTGGTCTGCATTGGAGGCCGTCACTGGTAGGATCCTTACTCCCAAGAAGGGCTCCAGTACCCTTAACCGGCCGGCGAATGAACCCCCCGTGCACGAGAAAGCTTCAACGAAGAGACTCGCGAGATGCCTGGACACTTTCTTGATACAGAATCAGGATGTGGACCGAAGCAACAGTGAGCTTGGCGCGACTGGCGATGAAACACTGGCCGATGCATATCGCAGAACTGTTCTGCGCAGCATGATGATCATCGTTCTTTTGGATAAAGCTAGAATCTCACCTAAAACATCACTTTCCGGTTGCTTGTTTCTCACTTCGTCGCCATACAAGTCTTCTTTTGCTGTGCTCCAGGCGCTGACCCGATTCTTGCTACCCTCATGCGGAGACGTTGGTAAGGCTCTTGCTCAGCTCGACTGCCAGTTGGCCTACGAGCAGCATCCGCTCGAAGAGTACAAGTACGAGATCTCGAACCTCGCTGTCGATTTGAGGGACGGTGTCCGACTAGCGAGACTCGTCGAACTGCTGCTCTATCCATCATCTTATACAGTGCCCAGCTCAGACTCTCAATGGCCATTGTCTCGGCGTCTGAAAGTCCCATGTTTGAGCCGTATAGTGAAGATGTCCAATGCAAAAATCGCACTAGAAGCATTGGCTTCAACGGAAGAAGGAAGAACGCTCGTTACCAATGTCCGCGCCGCGGACATCGTTGACGGACACCGAGAAAAGACCATTGCACTTTTATGGGGCCTTGTTAGCAACTGGGGTCTATCTGGCCTAGTTGACTTGGACGACTTGAAGAAGGAGATTGATCGATTGAGACGGAAGGCTAGTCTTAGAAACGAACCTGAAGACTTCACGGGAGAGCTTGCTAGAGATGATGGACCTGCTTCGCTACTTAGGCAATGGGCATTCCTCGTCGCACAGCTTCGAGGCCTCCACGCAGAAGAGTTCACGACGGACATGGCGAACGGCGAAGTCTACGAGTGTATTCTTGACGAATACGAAGGGTGCGCCTCGACCCAGACCGCTTCCACGGAAGATAGCGAGTCCCTACCGAACCGCCTCCTCGCCCTAGGCTGCAGCGCCCAATTCATCAACTTACTCTCCGGATCAAAAACTTATATTCTGAACAATTCTTCCACGACCGGAGCCCTAGCCTTCCTATGTTCCCGCCTCCTTCCAGCCGCCAAGCGAGCCCGTGCTGCAACAGTCCTCCAAAACGCATGGCGCCGGGCCCTTGAGCGCCGAGACGCAAGGAAACGGGCCATGGCCAGAGATGTTGCGAGGCAGTGTGCGGCGGTCGTACAGACTAGAGATCGGATTCTTTGGGCGAAGGGCGTGATTGTGCATTGGTGGAGAATGAACCGGACGAAAGGGAGGAAGGGGAGAATTACCGCTTTGTCCAAGCAGACGACAACGACAACGGTCATGTCCAGAAGGCAGTCAAGGATACCTGGGAGAAAGTCTACCAAGATCCCAATGCGTTGCCTGAGATAGCCGAACTTTTGGTAAAGTTTCCATTTCTCTGTGTGCATAGAGTACTACCGGGCACCTTCTCTATTTCAACCTTTCTTTTGTTATTTCGCTGTTACTACTGTCTAGTTCCTCAAATACACTACACCTTTGCTCTGAAAACCAGCCTAGAAGCTTTTCAAGCTCTAGCAGGAATAACACAAGTCACCACACAGAGACCTCCGGCTCCAGCTCCAACTCTGGCTTCAGCTCAAGCCCAACCCAGTCCCAACTCCAAGCACGGCAGGCAGATACTATCTTTCAACCACTTTCCATTCCCTCTTAGGCCGAACGAAGCTAGATTGTCATCCACATAGAAAGCAGCAGCCCATGCATTGGACCGGAGACTAGGGAATTAGAAACTTGGCGAATGCAGTGAATACAACGCTGGGGGACAGCTGGGCTGGGCATGGGGTAGCGGCTCGGTACACCCCTTGCCCAGGATTAGGGCTCCGTCCAAGATTGGCAAGCAGGTCGATACATATACGTTAGTCCCCAAACCCGCCGTGTGCCCGTCAAATCCCGTCCGAACATCTGAAATTCTATCCGAACATCTTCAGCAAGCACCTTCCCGCGACCTGGCACCTTCCCTCGGGACACTGGGGACCTTAGTCCCAGCCATCTCCGCCACCTCTATTACCACCAACAACAACAAAACTGGTCCTTGCACGACCCCGACTTCAATACCGCCATCGCCATCAACGTCACGGATAAGACTATCGTCGTGCCCGAGTACGTGCGCTACACGGCGGCGGCCTGGACGAACAACCTGTGCCGTTGTTGCGCCTACACTCGTCACCCCGGATCCATGCAGAGTTGAGGTTGATGCGACGCTTGAGGAGAGCGTGCGGGCTTCGTTCCGGGCGCGATTGTGCAATGGGTTCTACGCGCCGGATGATTGTCCTGAGGATGAGGATGATGAGAATTCTGGCGATTGGCGGTTTCAAGGGCGTGGGCTTTGGCTTGGGGCTGGGGTTCTCTGGGGCTCTAAGGGTCTTTGGGGGGATGTGATGGTTCTAGTTTGTTGATGCTCTATTGTATTCAGTGTCTGATGTACTGTACATACGCCTCAATTATCTGGTGCTTAGACTACATTATGCTGGCTACTAACATAAAGATCATGGCCCTTATGGTTCATCCCGGCGCAGGAACCGTGATCATCCACCTGGGCAGCCTCTAGGGTAAGGTACTTATTACAGAGTGTGGGTGAGTGGCCCGTCCCAATCAATTATACTATATACTTTGCTTGCCCGCTTCGCTTTGCTTTGCTTGTAGCTGGCTCTTCAGACAGCCAGTCAACCACGTCCGGTTTATCTCTATTCTACCCATCCATCTACCTGTTCAGAGAGAGAGTAGACATGTAGATAGACCTCATGCCGTGTCCATCAGTACAGGGCTCACGAACCTCGCCGGTCCTTGAACAAACATACATCCATTGGGCCATCAAGGTCTCCACGCGGCCATAGCCAGTGAAGGATTGCTTTGCTTGTTTGCTTCGCCTCGATTCGGTCTCCAGGCAACCAGCAACTATATATCTAGTTTCTATTTATTCCCTCCAATCTAGCGATCTGTCTATCTTACCGGCTACAAGTGCCCCGTACAGAGATGCATATGTCCGAGCATGGCCATGCAGGGCTTACGAGTCCCGCCGCTGATCGCCGCCATCTTATGCGGCTACCTAGTCGACCCCAGCGATCCTCGTCGAGGGCTGTGCACTGGACTGCAGGACGCAAACCCTGAAACTTGTCTCGGGCGAGTTAGGGTTCGCGATCGGCGGTCATTTGGGTCATTTCTGCAGGGTGTTGGGTATGGTTCTGCGGTGGGTACTGGAGAGTGCAGATGTATATACGTAGATGGAAGAGGCAGTGCGCATCGTCAATTCTTTCTTTGGATTTCTTGTCTAACTATCTGGTAAGTATTGATGTAAGACTGATGCCTACGGCGGTACTGTATCGGATTTACGTCTACAGTACTCGTACATTCTCTGGGTGTTGACATGGCGATCCATTCAGGCTGAAGTCACGGCCCGGCGGGTAGGGCAGCCTCGGGGTGACGTCACATGTATCGCCTTCGCCTACACCGGAGTCCGCTAGATTATTATTGTTGGATACTCTAGCGGTGAGGCTACCGTAAATGCTCCATAAGCATATGTCATGTCATGTCATGTCATCCTAGTCACCGAGTCTCCCGAACTCTTGACCGGAGTCTTGGGGTCTTGGTGGATTCTTCTGGCACGCCCACTCCCGATGGCTGGGGGCCTGGCGGAAGGATATCGTCATCCCTGATATCATGTGTAATATACTATGTGTGATATCTCGACTCTAGCTTAGGAGTAAGTAAGCTATCTCATAGTAAGGTATGTATGTAAGTAAGCGTCGCTGGAGTAATAGCCCGGTTACCCGGGCCCGAGAGACAAGTCCTGTGCTCTGCCCCGGAAGTAAGCGCTTAATATCGTCGTCCTAGTATGTTCATATCACTTCTCCCAAAATTTACTCCGAAGACCGAGGCGTGCAAGCCACTTCGTCATGGAAATGCTTAGCTACCTCCCCCAACCACTACCGAGAACGCCCGGCGTATGCTTCCCGGTCATGCACTTCAGATGTACTCATACGAAAGGTAACCGCGTCGTGCTATTTCTCGGGGAAACCAGGTATGCATTTGGTTCGGAGTATGTACCCGTCCAGGGACTAGGACCAAGTCACTAGCTTCCCCGGGCTTGCTGGAGTCGGAGCGGAGCGAGGTATGACATGACATCGCATATGACATATGGGACCCTGGATGATAGCATATGGAGTAGCCCGTTGATATCCACATCCATGCGAGGATCCGATTGAGGAACTCCTCGCTCGGTTGAGTTGCCCCGGCGGTTGCGGGTGGCAGAGCGCAAGTGATGTAATAGTGCTCTGTAGTATGAGTTGGAGATGCCATTTACCTGCCTAGTATTCCCGATCAGTACCGCGGGCAATTGTGCAGTGATGACCTCGATTGGGTTGGATATATTGTTACCTAGGCACCTTCGTTTCAAGATAGGGTATGTCATAGTGCGCTTGCGCCTGTACTGCCTCTGAACGAATCGTAGCAGCGACTTGGTGAATGGCCTTGTTCATTTGCGAGTCCAACATCGATGACGGCGGCGACTCGATCTGTTTGCTTGGGTAGGTTAGGTCTCGTCGTTAATTCTTCTGCAAGGCCTCAGCGTGAGAGCGCGAGTTCGTTTTTGCTTGCCCGTCACGTTAGTCCGTGCCATTATTGCAGTTGCATGCCCATCAGAAAAGTTCCGCAAGTGAGTAATCTGCCTCAAGAAATCAGTCAGCTAACATGACAGCAAGCCTATAGAGTCACGTTCCGGAAAACACTTACCTGGGCACTTACTGCCGAGCATTATCTCTGAGCGGGCACTATAGATCATGTCTGCTAGAAGCTGACGAAGGCGCCGATTTGCTCTACATCACACCAGAGCGTTAGAACTTAGGGTCCGCAATCCGTACTCCCCACGTAGCACCGGCGAACGCCTGGCTGATCATGAGACCAAATTGGCCGTTACTATGGACGGGGATGGCAAGGAAGACTTTTCCCCCTAACAGCAGGGTAAGCCAGATAAGGGCAAGGTCATGGCCATGGTCATGGTAGGTAAAACCCTGACACTCTGATTATTGCGGAGGTCGTACGGGGTAGAGCTATGCCTGCAAAAAGCCCCTGGACCCCTAGCCCCTGGTTTTGCGGGGAATACGGAGATGGCACCATGTAACGATCTATCGAGCGACGAAAAGTTGAGTTGAGTGTAAACACATATTGCACTGTATTGATCGAGAGGCTAGACCAGGTGATGTTGTTGTGCTCCGCTTTCTACTCTGTACGGAATATGCTGCTCCCCATTGGCCTCGGTCTGGGCCGTACACCGTACGGAGTACGCTGCAGGTCATTGAATTTCCAAGCGAAGGCGTGGTTCGTCAATGTCAGCATATTTGCTTCTGCCTGGATGAATTAGTCAACTGACTGATAAGTGAGTGATAAGGAGACACTGGCGACTGGGCAGGGGCTGTGGCGATCATCCAAAGCGGCAGTGGTAGAAGCTTGGCATGCTCCTAGCTGTTGTTCGGCGCTAATCTGACAATTTCTCTTTGAAGATTATTGAATCTTATTGTGATTTTCGTAAGCCCTGATGCCTGCTTGAGACTCTAACTGTTACAGCACCAAGAATTCGAATTCCAGCAGTGTAGGACGGGGGGCTTGGGAGGTAGTGGCGGAGGGCTGCCAAGAGAGGATTGCGAATAGACACGTCGATCCCGTCTGACTTGGTGGAAGCAACTTGCAAGAGCCTAGAGGTCTTCGGATTTGGACTGAGACTCCGTAGGAGAATGACAATGGCATGCAAGCTGTTGTCCAGCCCGTGATTGAATCTTCATCTGAGGTCTCACGGGCACGCCCGGCTTCCAGCGTACGGCCCCAGACTCTTCGGGATTGAGCATGGGCCTGGGTCTGGACCCTGACGAGCATAAGAATGGACTTGTGAAGATTACGTGCGATCCACCCCGGATTCAAGGGGCGGATGGCCCATACTCCAGAGTCCAATGTCCTGGCCCCGGATGAAGGGCCCGCTATCTCCGGCGCCAAGACACCGTATTGTTTTCTTTTGGCACCTCGAGTTGCTAGCCATGCCCGAACTTCGAAGTCCGAAACGCAGGTGGCACCGTGGCAGCGCAGCGAACCTGCTATCGCCAAGACTGTTTATGCACAGTCGGGGCAGATGATCGACGACGATCTGCCGCCAAAGCATACACCAAGAGCGCCGTCATTCCTCATCCGGAGGTCCCAAGAATCCGAGTCAGACACGGCTGCCAACTTGCCCAACTTCGCCTTCCGACGCTGTCAACAGGTTTCGTGACACTCCGTGTCAGTGAGAATTTGGAATCGCTCTTGGCGTCGGCCCTTGGCATGACTTCGTGCTCTCGCTCTGTGCCTCTGTCTGGGTAACATTGGACAGGCAAGGAGGAAGAGATGGAATGCGCTGAAACAATTACTCCGTCGTCCGCACAGGGGTGAGTAGTGAGCGGACATACCCCATGCGAAGTCCGGACTGGCTCGGCGACCTGAGGTTGACATCAGCCTGATTGTAGTGTTGTAAGTTGTGCTTGTAGTCGCAGTCGCAGTTGGAATCGCAATGCTCCCTGCGCACAGCCACGCTCGAATTCCCACCTTCTTGGCAGACAACGGATACTCCGTTGTACAAACAAGGAAGCGCAATCAGTTTATCTGCCGGTTCTCCCTTTCTTCTTCATGGCGTTGCCAAGCGCTGCTGTGGTATGAAACACCATGTTTGTCTCGAACTGGGGGAGCAAGGGGCCGGTAGGTACATCCTTAAAAGGACATGGTCGCAACAAGAACACTCCAATTAGACGCTTGGGCCTGCTTTGGCAAAAGAGCTGCATACTGAAGGCCCTTGGCACCTTGGCGGAGATCTTGGCTGTATCACTGATCGGCCCCCTGAGTTGGAGACTGCCGATCATGAGATCAGTTGTATGCGTGCAAATTGCTCCCCAGCATTCCGGCAAACGCACGATGGTGTAACTGGGACGGTCTGGAGCTGTCTGGCGCATTCTCCTAATCGCTCAAGCTACCGCGCACGCAGAGTCGACCGGGGAAACTGGACTGGGTTATCCTTGCGACGAGGTCAGTTGATGTGATGTTTGTATAGAGCGGGGTGGAATTCCTATGCCGTCTTCTTGTTCCATAAGCATAAACCAGACAAGAATACGGCCAAAGCAAGGGTGAGAGGAGTTGGCACAGTTCGGCCTGGTTACACAGCAGATCAGCTATTCGTGCCCATATTTCTCCGCGTTTTGTGACGGACCGTATCGAGTATCGTATCTTGAATACCAGCGGCAGGGTTCAGGTTACAGGTGTGATCGCAGCCGACGCACCTGAGCGGTCTCTTCGATCGTTCTTCGGTAAAGCGGAGGTGCATATGTTGAGGCGGCAACCGCGCGTAAGCTCGCCCAAGCCAAAAATGCGAGAGCCTACAGAGTAGCTCCTGTCCGGAGTTGCGCGAATATACTCTGGTTTAGCCAGCGAGCGCTTTGTATATAGAGACATTCAAGAAGACGATTCGACAATTGTTGACCGCAATTGGACTCTGTTCGCTGTCTGATGATGTGCTCTTGTCATTTGAACAATTCCAAGTCCACGGTAGATGTTCCAGTAGTGGGATGCTGCTCCAACTCCAAGCATCGAAGTTTCTATTGCCGTTCCAGATATACCGCATTTGGCACACCATGCAGTCGAACAAGAGGCCGGCGCAAAATCCAAGAGAACGAGAGATGTCCCGTGCGCTGTGGAGATCTACTTCCAAAATGCCTCATACAAAACCGGTCGACTTAACAAAAAAGCTAAGGTCCAATCAGGGCCCTAAGATCCATCATTGCTTTCAAGTCACTTGAGATATACTTGGATCATCTGCATGGATTTTCATGGTGGTTCGTGCACACGTTGGCAACGGCGGAGATCAATTGAACAGAGCTATGAGTGAAATGGACGGCTGCTCGAGCTCAGCTTGCGTACCATACGTACGGTATCAAATCCTGGTCATCTCCAATTTAGCCGAGTTACCCCTCCGTGAGTGACAATTCACTCTACCTCCACTGCTCGAGTCGTGTTGATGGTTGTATGCAGATGCCCCATCTAGAGACGGGATGAAAAGCTGTGATTCTTGGGTGGCATACATTTCCCGCCTCGCGTTAGGCAATCTTGCGGTGACAAATAATGATTTTGGAGATGCCTAATCCCATCATCATATGGGACAATGACGAAGGGTTCGTGGACTACCTGAGGAAAGAAAGCATATCGAAAGTCCCGCCTCAGGCCACATGGCTAGGTGTTGCTTTTTCAGCAACGTGCGTGCATGCATATCATATGAGGTCGTTCTGTACGACTGGCAGTCTCGTATAAGTGGTGATTAGCTGACGAAAATGCGGAGAGTGCCTTAGCTGTGAAACGTCAAAAAATGATCGAGCAAAGATTGCTCCTCGTAGTTGTCAGATGGCGGAATGATAATAATGGGCAACAATATCACCGGTAAGTTTGACTCGCAGCTGAGACACCGAAGACGCTGATTCCTGGAAGGCATTTTTGTTCCTCGTGCTCGTATCCCCAAGGCTTCTTAGCTGCATGAAGTGCGTAAGCGATTATTCCCATTCATCCCGGCCGAATGCTTGATATTATCAACTGGATGCTGATTGCTGGGAGGCACAGGAAAATAGAACTGCTGATCGAATGAGATCGCACCTAGTGCTGATATAGTGGGGGAATCCCTGATCATCGCGAAGCTTGTCCAGAAATTCAAGATCCAAGATGTGAAGATGTCGGTGAGTTTGCGCTCACACCCCGCTTTCTGCGAGCGATGCGCCGATGCCCGATTATCGGGTCGCATCTGATGGATCATGGCCCTGAATCATGAACGGGACTGCATGACTGCGGGGGAATTCCTACTTTTTCTGGCCGCCGGTCAGGACGGCAGCCGATCGTCGTTAGGCGTCGCCGACAAAGCTTCGCCGTCAGTGCTTCACATGAGGTGGTGTTAGCTATACCAGGTTACCGGTATAGCAGTGTTGGAAGACGCCGAAGGCAAGGATGAGAAATCCGTGGTCTCCCGGTTCCATTGTGCCGTGTTGGGTACGGTAGTATTGGCCCTCTCATTGAGGTCATCCATTATTTGTGATCTCGGTCGTGACTCGATGGAGTCGGCCTGAGACACGGTAACTTCAGTTCATGATGTATACGACTGTCATCCATAGCTGCTTGCTCTCTTGACTCGATATCAAAGTATCACAAAATTGATGCACTTCATGATGACCACGCGAGTGGACATAACCGAAGACTACTCCAATTAAGCTATACGTCATGGCCTACCGTATACGGCCTAGCGGAAAGAATTCTTACTGAAAAGAGAAGGAGCTGGTCGACCAATACCAAGCATTCTTATTAATCTTATTGACGCTGCTATAAGGCTCCGTGGTTAATTACAGTACGAGTGAGGGGCGTGAGGATTGAGGAGGTGAACCGCGTAGAGCGCCGTGTTTTGGACTTCTGAACCGGGTCTTCTGGAACTTTGGAACTTGTAGGAAGCCCCATCGTTTGAAGACTTGACGGCTTGGAGCTGACGTTGGGATTTGGATCCTGTGGAGGGGTAGCTCAACCAGCAAGGCCACGACTTTGGTTGATGTTTCCCAGGCACAGCATGAATCCAAAGTAGACTTTGCCGTATAGTAGCGAATAACGTCCAATTATTCTTGCCACTGAGTCACCACTCGCAGTCACCACCAGACTCTTATACTTAAATAAAAAAAATCAAAGAGCTGAGAGCTGAGAGCTGAGAGGACTCGGGAGGTAAAGGCAGCCGGACACCGGTCGACCTTCCAGTCGGCACTGGATTGCCGTGGTGGTGGTAATGTAATTACGTGCAGGTGACGGCGGTCCAAGATGCCCCGGCGGGTTAGGGCAACCCTCGTATGGGGACGCCCCGATGCACGGATGATGAAGGCGAGACGAGGAGCTGCCGCCGTCTGATGCTGGATGCCTCGCCCTTGAGGTTTTCGTGGGGGCAAACTTGGAGAAATCCCATGGAAAAAGAGTTCATGCGCGGAGATGCCTCGAGATTTGCTTTTTCCGATGGCAGCTTAGATCTGTGTAACATGCCATGCCCATGCCGCACGAGAATTCTATCGGCCGGCGGACAAAATATGACAGAAAGTAGATTTCTAGAGAGTCAGAGACCTTCATCACTCACAAGAATAATGTGCCTTGATCAGCCTCGCTTTCGAGACGGGTTTCCCCGTTGGGATGGCCTTTCAACCAAGAGAGTGCCGAGGAGACGTCTGCTGTGACCTCAAAATCCCTCATAGTAAAGATTTTCGGTAGTGCAGTGGCAGTGGTGACTTGGTCAGAACCAGCCTTGCAAGGCGGATGAAACCGACGGCTGAAAGAACACCATTCCTGGATTCCTGGAACTTCAAAGACTCAAAACACACAAAGTAGCATTCTGGTTCTTCGCTTTATTTATCTCTTTGACAGTTTCACAGCTTCATTCAACCCAGCCTTGATGCTGGCAAAGAGGCAAAACGTCAGTAGCCGCAGGTGCCAGGAACCGCCAGCCCGCCGTCTGCATCCATCGGGTTTGGCTCAAGCCCGCTGGTCTTGGCTCGTGGTTTTGGCGGGGCTGATTGGACCAAGCGTCTGCTGAGTAAGGATAAATACCAATCAGTACCACGATTACCGGCAGGGATCAGGAGTGCTTGGTGGCGATCCGGCGTCATGATACCGTGGCATTGAATACGGCGTCCTGACCAGCTTACCATACCGTTGTTAATCAAAAAGAATAATAAAATCGGAAAAAAAGAATTTTTATTTCGCATTTAGCTTTAGCTCTGCAGAGGAATCCACACCACCAACCACTAACCCCCCTCTGCCCGCTGCTGCGTCCCTTATTACTTTTTTCCGATCTGCTTCTCTGCATTCCTTCTTCCTCTCTCCATCGAACCCCATCTTCTTCACCTGCCAACTCACTTGTGCTTCTCCAGTCTCACAAGGCGCGTCTTCTTCTGGCGCTCCTGGAGCTGCCACCCTTTGAAGAAGGCGTGAATTCCTTTTGTTCTTGGCTGCATCCGCCCGCCTTTCCCTGCTACCTACCTAGCTTACCCTTCATATTTTACTTATACCTCTCCCACCATGTGTCTTATATTATAGTCCTCCCTCGTCCACTGTTGGGCTTCACTTCTGGGCGACCTTTCGATCAGCCTCCAGTTGATCGATCTTGAGAGCTGCGCTTCTTCTATACTACCATTGCCGCCTCGCCTACGCCGTCGAGTCACCACTTCTACCATCCCGCACCCCGACAACGATCTCACCTTTGCCTTGTCCTCCCACCTACCGATGATCGTCTCCCAGTCCCGAAAACGATGGTACATTTACTGCGCGGTGACCGACCAATCTTCTCGGTACATCACCTGTTGAAGATGCTTCTCTCATCAAACCAGTCCAAGCCCACGGACGAAATGACCGACATGCCCGAGGACATGGACGAACCTCCCGATCATCGTTTCCTGGATACCTCCGCCGCTATGGACGACGGTGTGGTTTATGTCAAGTCCCCAGCCAAGTATACCGATCCCAAAGAATCCCTCCTCACTCGTGCTCTCAAGAGCAGTTCCGATCTCAGCCCTACCGACCAACATACCTCCTCCCACGAACAGAGCTTCTACCGCTCTTATTCATACGGCAACGTCAGTGGCACCTCAACTGCCGAGTTGACCAGCGATGGTGGTCTCACCAGCCCTTCGTTATCGCATACCTCGAGTCCTACACTGCCCTCTCGCCTGACCCCTAAACCTCCGGTGGCAACTAAGAACGGCAAGGAATCCGGTGCTGGTAATGGTGAGTCCGCTATCGAAGCAAACCTTGGCCGCAAGAGGTGCATTAGCTTTGCATGTGGGCGGAAGACCGAAGACCAGAAACCACAGGCTCCCACGCCCCGGACGCAACTGACTATCAAGGTCAACGAGCCTGCCCCAGAGTTCAAACGCAAGACAACCCTCACTTTCGTGTGCCCTGCAAGGGATCCTGAGTCTAGACGAGAAAGATCCCCCGCTCGAGGCTGCTCCTTACGAGCCCGCCCTCGTGGATCTCCTGCACCCTTTGCCCGCAAGGCTTCACCCGAGAAGCCCGCATCCCTGTCGATCGTTATCCCCCAAGAGCAGAAGCCCGCGCCCCAGGAGGCTAAGGCACCCGAACCTTACAGAGGAGTCCCAACGAAGGGTTTGGGAAAGTTCGAAGACTCGGAGGCAACTCGATTCCACGAGTTCGGAAGCTCCTTTGAGGAGGATGCCGAGTGGGTCACCCGGGAGGCTGACTATAAAGAAAAGATTACATTGAATGACTGCATGAAGAAGGAGAACGCCATCAGAAAGCTCGCCGAGGAGGCAGAGGAAGAGGCCCTTGACGAAGAGGATGATGACGATGATGCCGATCTTCCGGACGATTCCTCTACCGTGCATGATTTCTCTTCCGATGAGGACGATGGAAACGAGTCTGATAACGAGGCTGGATTCGCTGATTCCGACGAGAGCGACGAGGGCTCTGAATACGAATTCTGGGCTCCCGCTAGCACGACAGCGGCCACGAGTCCCCTCGAACACCCTCGGCTCACCTTCAGCCGCAGGGACTCGGCTATGTCCTTCGACTCAATGAACGAAGATCATTCGCGTCGGAACTGGCCGCCAGCACTCGCTGGAAAGAGTACTGGCCGGCCCATCAAGATTCCCAGATTACGTCCTGGCACCCCGGATCTACCTGACAGTACCGACTTTGTTTGTGGGACGCTTGACGAGGATCGACCCTTGGAGGTTGCCTACAAATCTTGCCTCGAGCAGCGTCGTCTTTCCAAACAGGTTGTGATTCCTCAAGATATCGACCCAAGCTTTCCTACTTCTGACATTGACGACGATGATGACGATGAGGAACTCAAATGTTCTGGACTAATCGATGAAGGACCTCGGGGTCGTTCAGGCGGGGAGCAGTCTCGGAGAGTTTCTCCTCACCCTTCGCCCAAACGAATGGTATCACCTCCGCCTCGACGACACGGTAGGGCATCACCCAAACGACTCCGTTCTCCGCCTCCTACCATCAAGTTTAGGCCGATCGATATGGATGGGGTGAAAGCTGCTCCCGCTCTCCGTCATGGTCTCAACATCAGCGAGCTTGTCCAGCGGCCCGTGCTGGCTCGCACCAAGTCGTTGCCCCGCACGCCAAATCCCTTCTTCGCCATGGAGGGTTCACATCGCTGGTCTGGCATTGTTCCGATCGAGGAATCTCACGAGCGTGAATCATCTCGTACTCGTGAGATTTACACCCGAGGCCCCGTCGACATCGTCGAGGGTCTCGAAAAGAAGCGCCAGAAAAGAAAAGAGAAATTCTGGCGTCAACACTGTCGCAAAGCTGCCAAGGAGCAGATGGAGCGGCGCCCTATTCCTGGAAAAGGTGCTGAACGCATGAAGGAGCTTGGTCTCGAAGTCGCTGAGAGGACGAGAGCCTTCGGCGTCGGCGAGAGCTCGCAGCTTGTCCTTTCTGTCTAGGCACCAATTCTTGCGGTTGGGAGAAAATCATCCACCCATTCTTGTATATACTTGGATGACTCAAACCGAGTACTCCGGCACTGCATCTATTATGTGTCCACGTCTTTCTTTACCTGTTTCCCCTTGACCGTCTTGGCTTTGGGAAGGTTCTTGTGTCTGCATTTACACGGCGGTCGCTTTCTTTCTTGAACATATTTACCCATTCTTTCTTTTTCACCCTTCACCCTTACCCCTTACCCCCTTTTAACCCTTTTAGTGTATGGCTTTGTGTGTCTTTGGGAGCTTTTTTTGCATGAGGGCGGTTACGGAGTAGTATACCCCTTGCGTTGGCTTTGAGACTGTAGAATTGGGTGCATAGCTGAGGTTGATTCAAGGGAAGAGAAGATAAAATAATCAAATTGAACAAATCAAACATATACACTCTGCCTCCAGCTATTCTCGTATGTAACCGAATCTTCTCAGCCTTTCGAGTCCTTTGGATGGAGTTTGGCGGGTGGTCTGTTGGGTTAACTTAGCCGCTCGGCTAAGTAAGCGCGCAAGCAAACGCCCGGTCTCAACGTCACTTGGCCGACCACCGCAATCTTGTTCTTTTCGCCAGTTAGCCGGCACAAACAACCATAGCTCGCCATTTCCCATCATTTACAGACTGCAGGAATCTCTGTTAAAAGCTGAATCGTTCCAGTATGTGGATTATCAACTGGTGTACGTTCCCTCTGTGTTTTTGTCCTTATCTCCCTATGCTCGTGTTCGAAAGCTGGCCTGACCCAGGCCCGGGCCTCACATACAAACGGCCCTAACTCGCTCCCTAATGCCATTATATTGCGCAAAATCATTCATTAGAGACTGTTACTGATGGTTCATCTTGGGTTTGTGTAGTCTACGACGTTTTGGCGTCCCTTGGCTTGCTCAACAAGCATGCCAAGCTCCTCTTCCTGGGTCTCGATAATGCCGGAAAGACCACCCTCCTGCACATGCTGAAGGTATGTTGATGATACTTCCGGGGTCTCTTGACATTGTCTGAGGGAAGGATGTGGTGCCCGATATTGCGTTTGAAGAGAAACAACAGCTGACAAGACGGACTCATTAGAACGACCGAGTTGCGATCCTTTCACCTACCGCCCACCCAAGTACGTTTCCTCGACCCAATCCGGATACCTAAATACGACCAAGGAGCATGGCGGATAAATGAAAATATCACGCGGAGACTAACTCAAGTACAGCATCTGAGGAACTCGTCATTGGAAACAACCGATTCACCACCTTCGACCTGGGCGGTCACCAGCAGGGTGAGACCACACTCTTCCTATCGAACAACCTCCAACACGACTAACGCATGGTTTCCAATTCTAGCTCGCCGCCTCTGGAAAGACTACTTCCCCGAAGTCAGCGGGATCGTCTTCCTCGTTGACGCCAAGGACCACGAGCGCTTCCCCGAGTCCAAGGCCGAGCTCGACGCCCTCCTCGCCATGGAGGAGCTGTCCAAGGTCCCCTTCCTTGTCCTCGGAAACAAGATCGACCACCCCGATGCCGTCAGCGAAGACGAACTTCGACACCAGCTTGGCCTGTACCAGACGACGGGTAAGGGTAAGGTGCCCCTCGAGGGTATCCGGCCCATTGAGGTGTTCATGTGCAGTGTTGTTATGAGACAAGGTGAGTTCTTCGGAGTAGTCCCATTGGATGACACATGGATGAAGCTAAACCCCGTGTTTCTTTTAGGATATGGCGAGGGTATCAGGTGGCTGTCTCAGTACGTCTAAAATAGACAAGGTAGCTATCATCCTCAAGCTACGCACTGCACCTATCTACAACGTCTCGCCTATGCACCCGTGTTATTTCTATGACCGGAGACCTATACCCAACGCCCAAAGCTCGCAGCCCGCCGTCGATTCTCAATCTTTCTACCTCATCTCCCCCAGATTCAGAATGGACCAAGCACATCCATGAAGTATCAACCTCACCTATTTTCCATACTCCTTAAGGCATACATTTCAATGAACTTTTCTAGCCAGCCAGTCAGCCGTTCATCAAGTTCATCTAAAACAAATTGCTCACGCAACGCTATCATGTTCCTGTGTTGTCTTTCGCTTTGTTTGTAGGATGTAGGAAGCTTCCGTGGACCATACTTGCTGGTCCCATAAATGGGAGCCCTTGGCCCTGAAACTATCCGGTGAAGTGGACGATGGGCCTCGACGGGTGTGCGCATTGGATTAGACCTGTATTGCTTAGCGTGGTGTAGGCTGTCTACGATGGATACCTGACTTGCGTCTACAGATGCAAACGCAGACTGTTTGCCCAAGATCCCTGAAAAGTAGTAGTGGCATCGCCCTCGATTTCTACGTAATACGCCTTCAGCGAGCAGGGATTCCTTTCATCGGCTTATTGGCTCCTGTGACTTTTCAGATAGAAGCCTTCCCAAGCATTATTCCAGCACATACGACCACAGGGTGTGGAGAACAGGGCTTCCCGTCCGTTCAGCCGTACTTAAGCCACAATAAAGCCACATAGTGAACGCGGACAATAGTTAAGTGAGCCCTAGAGTTATGTGGATTAAAGAAGTTAAAATAGGCTGCACCACATCCAGACACTATGCGTTTTTATCTTTCTCGTAGATATTGCACTGCCTTGCATTAAAATATATTAGTTTTAGTTCCGCCCAGAGGTCGTCGAGGGCGGCATCGGACAGGGTACTTGAATCATAGTACGCTGTTTCGGGTATCTCATCGGCGGAAAGGGAAAAGGTTGAACTACGACAGCATCAAGCATCTTGCGGGCGGTCTTGGTACGGCCAGATCTTGTCCATCCACATCTTCTCCTCCTCGCTCTCTGCTAGCGACAGGAAGCTTGATTTCTGTATAATATTCGTGCGCTGCAGAATTTCGTAGTCTTCGGGGTCGGCGACCCCGTCGATTGGCAAGATTCCAGCTTCCTGGAACTGCTCCATCAGCTGTTCAACGTACTCGCGATTTTCCAGCTCCTCGTGGTGCAAGTCTGTTTCCTCCGCCGTGAAACTGATCGGACAGTCGATCTGTGTGTCTAAATCAGGCCAATGATCCACGACTTCCAGAAGCGAGGCGCGGAGGCCAAAGACTTCCCTCGATGACCAAGCACCGCCAATCGCTTTGATAGGTCGGACAAGAGGCGCTTTCCATCCGTCATTGTGGAGTAATGCGGCATAATGCCGTGGGTTCTTCTTCGCGGTAACCACTTCGTAGTACTTGTGGCACAGAGCGCTCTGATATAGCTCGTCCGCTTTTAACTTGGCATCCTGGGGCAGGTCGTCGTGGTTCTCCGGCTTCTCAGGCATATGCCAGCCCAATGGGAGTGGGCTAACATGTCGAGCCATTCGTGGTATCTTGGCCTGGAAGATCAGCGGAGCCGTCGTCGTGTTCTGCCAATCTATTATGTCTGTGATAGTTTCAGTCTCGAGGTCGACATATATGTTATTTAGGTGGAGGTCAGAATGCCACAGTGTAGGCTGCAGGATGTCATGGGAATCCACTTGCAATTTAGTGATGAAAGGAGCAACAAGCAGGTATTTCTCGATGAGCGCAAGATATTCGCTGGGGTTCTCGGCATCGGTGTTACTCCGGTAATAATTTATACGTGGTTGAGCATATCGATCGGCCCAGTATTTCTCATTTTCCCCTAAGCTCCTCGCGTAATGGGAGATATCGCGCCCTTGAAAAGAATTAGAGCTAACCAGTGGTCAAAATATCGGCAAAGAAAGACTCACAAGGACCTCGAGACAACTGTAATTCGGAACGGCAGTCCGACCAAAACACTGGATCTATAACAGGGCCAATGCAGAACTCGTGTAGGTTGTTTTCATCGAACGAAATTTGATTCTGCGAATATTCTGATGGCAGGTCATGCTTGCGATATACGCATCCGTGCGCGGGAAATGGAACAGATGCTAGTTCCGCCTCCATCTCAACAACCTGCCTTATGAAGTTGTGTTTACTTGAGGAAGGAAGCCGATACCACGATTTGGCAAGCGGAACACCCTTTGCTTTTTCCATGATAATGTATTCGCACCCGACGGAATTGAATCGGTCGCAGCTCCAATCAAGAACCCGCGGAACTGGTATACCTATAATACGACGTACCTGTCATAGGTTAGATTGCGGGCAAGCGTAATTGGCTCAGTGACTTACAAATTCCATCGTCGCGACCTCACTGGCGATGGTAAAAATAGCTGGTCCGGCGTTTGGGTTTGGCAGCTTCACGACCACCTCGGACTTGTCATCGAAAGTCAAAAGGAAGGTCTTGCTGTACTGTCCTTCTAGATATTTCATGATCTGGGTGCCTTGAATGAAACTTAGACAGCGCTCCTCGAAGGAAGTGGGGGCCAGTACATTGTTTTGTATTTGTCCTACTCGATCGCGTGGCGGCAGCGATAAGCGCTTCAAGATTGAAGTCACGGTACCGCTTCGACCTTTCCTCAGCGTCGTTGCCCCTGGAGAAGTCAACAAACATTCACTCAAGCCCTTTCAGAGAAGACTGACAGCCATCGCTTGGTAGTATACCGATGAAAATCTTCTTGTTTTGCTTCGACTACTACGATTCGATCAACAACAGTTTGACTCAGGGGACACTTCCGGGGCCGCCTACCGCTTCCGTCCTTCTTCTGCAACAACAACAAAGGAGAAGACATCGCTTGCACGGTCTGCGTGGATATAGTCGATAGTTTGCAGTTGTTTCTCAGGATATAGGTGCAGCGATACCGGATTGATCTGGAAGATAGAGAACTGAATGGCTGAAACCGCATCTTGGAGGTGATTGTGGCGCGAGGAGAGTGTTAGGATGATTCCAATAATTCACGTGCCGAGTTGATGCAGATACGGGAAATCCGCTGCTGACTGAGTGCAGATGCTTCGTTGGGCGCAAGCTGTCTTTCGGATCGATACAGAGACGACCGGCTGAGTGTAATACGCAGACTATAATACCGAAATGCGAGACTCCATCTCTGTCGCTCGAAATGAGTCGAAGGACGGTGGATTTTGAATTGGAACGCAGGCGGGACACGACTGAGCCATTCGTCCGTTTCTTGAATCAGATCCATGATGGTGTGACGCATCGGTTTCCTCTTGGCCAAGTTGCTGATGCTTTGCAGACGGTGGCAGCAGGTGCTGCAGTCAAGGTGGTTATTGAGCCGCAGGCTGAGAGGTCGTTGAGAGTTCGAAATAAGATAGCGTCTTTCGCGTAGCACCATCTCCTACGACTCGCAAGACTATTATCGGCACACCCTCAAGCAGGTAGTCCATTTGTCTGTCAACCGTGGCGAATGAGACAACCTCTCCAACACGGAGAAGACAACCAAATGACTGATGGCGCAGATAGCCGCGGTTGCTATTCAGAAAAGCCTTTCGACCTTCCCTGTCCCGTGTTATCAGAGCTTCTAGGCCATGCAGACAGCTGACAACCAAGCCGCAAGGAGTCATCTGCTTTTCTGTGCCACTGAATACCTCTTCCAGAGACATTTTCCTGAGCATTGTGACTTTACGATGCTTCTTATTCTTTTTGTTCACTGCCTGCAGCTCCTCACGAATGTCTAAGAGCATGTCCTCTCGTAAAAGCCGGAATTGATTATCGAGATGACCTGCGATCCGCTTTTCAATGGGCAGTTGTTGGATCTCCGCCGCTTGCCTATAGAACGGTTTCTCGCCCGAGCGAACCTCGTCATGGGTTGGATAGATTGCAATCTGGCGAAATTCGGCGTGGTCATTGTCATGACGACCTCCCGGAATGTAGTCTGAATCTTCAATGGCTATGTTGCTTGCCTTGAGTCTCAACATTTGTTTCAGCTTTTGGCCAAAAGCGCGAGTTTCAGGTACTGTTGATTTCAAAAGAGAACCAGTGCTGACCACAATCTCAGCATCATATATTCCATCTGCCCCGTCGGCAGACCCGTGAGTGAGACATTCGTTCATGAGCCATGCAAAGGCTTGTGCCGCCGGTTCTGTAAGGCTCTGCGCTGGCTTCCAAACAGTGCGCGGCTCAATAACCAATTCCAGAGTATCTCGGAGATGCTGGCCGTTACATAGTGCCTTAACAGAAGGATCCTAGAGATATAGAAGTTGGTTAGAGCGACATGGATAGGATCAACAAAAAGAACAGGGGCTTTGCTGCGAACCATTCAATCAAGAATGATGACCGCCTGCTGATAGCCACAAGCAAGCCACACGCCGGCTGGTTGGTAGTACGGTGGGTGACCACATGCGAATCCCAGCTGTTGTATGTTCTTTTTGCCTGCAACGCGGTCGGTGACCGACGACCGCAACCTCGTTTTTTTTTGGGCGTCAGCAGGGAGGAATATCTGGGCTTGTCGAATGAGAGGTGAGTGGGACATGGGACAGTGATATACTCCTGCAAGGGATACTACTGCTGGAAACATGAGCAATTACATCGAAGACATTGGTTGGAGCAGCTCGAGGGTGATTAGTAGAGCATTTCGGTATACTCGTCACTTCGCTGAGCTTCGCTGAGCCCGACCGCCGAGCGAAGTGACTAGTAACCGGACAGTGTCGCGTGAGCAGTTACTCCGACGGACGAGGCTTGCATAGAGAGAATTAAGCGCGGTATAAAATCTTGGTACACATTCCAAAGACACTCGAGGCGAGGCGGGTGTCCGTTGCTTATCTGTTTGGCATTACACTCTCACAGACTGGGAGATTTTGGAGTAAGCGGGAAAGAGAAGCAGGCGGATGAACGAGGCGAGAAAACAGTACACACAAAGAGGAGCAGCAGAGCAGAGTAAATAACATCAAGAACACCAGATGCAGCCGTCGCTTTCCCTCCCTCTGCCAAACGAAATCAGATAAACGAAACGAGAGGTAAAATAGATGGATTGGAGGAAACGAAAAAGAGGTAGAAGATAGGAGAAGAGGTAGGAAGAGGAGAAAAAACACCAATCCCTGTCGGGAGCACAAAGTACCTTCCGTATAGAAATAGAACATGATCAGCGTAAAGAGTCAAGTCGAAGTCGCTGGAGCTTGGGATGCGGGGAGGAAAGTGTGACGATTCTCTGCATGTCGTATAGTTGTTATCTCGGGAGGTCGGGTCAAGTCGTTACTTCCGATCGTCTAATGCTAAGGGCATCGATGTCGTGGGTTGCTGAATCTCTCGTGTACTGACATAACGCGGATATGGCGTTTCTATCTCCGCCCGAACCTGCTGCACATGGAAAAGCTCGTATGCTTACTTCTTCTTTTGCTTTCGCGGAGGAGTGATGGGTCGGCCTGAGCTCATTGCCCCGTAAACGTACTTTTGTTTTTTCTCTGCTGGTTTCAGAATCTGATAAGAAGGCAATATGTTAGCTATCATCTTTACTAACGAGTGCGCAAAAAGTGCACAGAACGTACCTGGAAAGAGCACAATAAACTCTCGTCCACACTCATCATTGCACCAGCATTATCAAACTCTCCGCAGTAGTTCGGGGCGCTGAATAGTGTGACTAGCTGCCTCTTTGAGAAGAACTCGTAGCCGTCCTCAACAACCTGGTGCGCACGACATATCAGGTCCATATCATGTTTCTGGAGGAATCGCGATACGACGTCCGGTCCAAACGTGAACGAAACACCTCGGTCATTTTCACTCCATCCCGTGATATCCTTGTCGGGGTCGGACCACAGAAGGTCGCACAGGAGGCCGCAATCGGGGATCTATAGAAGTCAGTAAATCAAAGCCTTGAGCTTCGTGGAGCCCGGCAAAGAGTAGAGTTGATGTATTGCTGGCGAAAAGTTGACAGGAGCAGGAATTCTCTTTGTCTGACCGGGTCCAAGGAATGGTTGATAAGGAAAGAGGCCTGAAAGCTTACATCAGTGGGACGCATGACACGGCGGATCTGCTCCATGGAGTTGAGGTCAGGGCTCAGACCACCGTGCATGGTGAAGATCTTCTCATCGATAATAGCGGCGATGGGAAGACAGTTGAAGCAATCCGTGAATGTCTTCCACAGCTTGATGTTATACCTCCGCTTGCACTCATCGTAGAAACCGTAGATACGATTGATAGAGGCGCACTCGTGGTTTCCACGGAGGACGAAGAAATTTTCGGGGTATTTGATCTTGTATGCAAGGAGAAGGCAGATTGTCTCGAGTGATTGCTTGCCACGGTCAACGTAGTCTCCAAGGAAGAGGTAGTTGGCTTCCGGTGGGAAGCCGCCGTATTCGAAGAGGCGGAGGAGGTCGTAGTACTGGCCGTGGATATCACCGCAGATCTATTAGCGCAGACTTTGTTAGTCTACAGAACAGGCGCTCGGATTCCGCCCGATGGCTAAAGAGCATCATTACCTTGATAGGCGCCTCCAACTCAAGCAGGATGGGCTGGGAGATGAAAATCTCCCTGGCCTTTGTGCAAAGATAGCGGATTTCCGACTCCAAAAGCTGAACTTGCTTTCCGGGCCGGCTGCCCCTCACCTCCAGCAGTCTGTCAATGATAGAATCCAGATCCACGTCCTGATCGGCCATGACGTATTAAACCCAACGAAGGACGAGAGAGAACGAAAGCAACAAAGAAAAAAGAGATAAAAAGAAAAATAGCTAGTTAAACAGGCGTCCGGCGACGAGAAAAGAAGGCGAGAGAGTGTTCAACTGAGCGGTCGGTTCAGTGTACGATGGATGACGCGGCGCCTACAGACTGTCAAGAGCAAAAGAGGATGTTAGAAAGACCTTCTGATAGGACGAAAAACAATCAAAGAAAGGTTATTATAATAGACGCCGAGTGAACGCGTGCTCGATGCGCCAAAGAAAAATTCATTGACGCTGGAGGGGAGAGATAGCGATAGGAGGGGCGTGAAAATTGCTTACCAAACAGGAACTGGTGAGGTCGAGGTCGAGAGGCGGGAGCAGGCCGAATGGCCCTGGTGAGCGAGGAGGGGAACGAGGAGGTCAAAGGCCGCGCGAGATAGGATGATTTTCCAAGACGCAAATACGGCAGTTGATGGGAAGGCGCGTAGATAGCGACGAGCGATGCGGCTCCGGGACAGCGACCGGAGGATGAAGAGGAATTCAACAAGAGGCCGCGGTCGGTGTTGGAAAAAGGGAGCAAAAAGCGGCACGAAGCAACGGCAAGATTTGTGTTCTGGTTGTTGTTGTCGTTGGGACAGGGGCGAGCAAAGGACGCGATGTGAAGGTCAAGCAGAGAGATTCAGCAGAGGTATGTTCAGGACTGGGAAAGCTCCTGAGGCAAACTTCTATCGGAAAAGACGCTGGTGGCGCGAGTGGAGGAAAGAAGTACAGGCAACTAAGTGTGGAAGGGGATGTGGATGTGGATGGCAATCAAGGGATCGGTGTTTGCCGACCAGATCAACTCGAAGCAGTCGCACGAACAAGCGGAATTCTAAACACCAGTCTCGAGGTCGAAGGTCAGAGTTCAAAGACGATTAGAAGGCATCCGAGGATTCGAGCTCACCAAGAAAAGCGACCGAAGCAAGACTTGGACAGCTGCTTTGGCTGGAGAGAATTGACTGTCGATGATTTCAGCTGAGAAAAACCTGCGGGAGCCAGGACCACAACAAACCGCGCACGTACCAGCGTTACCATTAAATTACCTGCTCAACGTGTGGCAGAACATGCTGACAGCTGACTGGGCAGGATGCAGAGCGGTAGCCTAATCTCTTCTCTATAAATAAAGATTATGGTAATTTTACCACAGCCTTACGTAGTATTGATACCTGCCTAGGTCCAGCCATAAATCGAGCTGTGCCCAACTTCCATAGTCTGACACTCTTACTGATCCTTTGTGATTGATACAACGATGATCTTCTTATCATAACTGCATTTACAAATAACTCTAAATATCTTGACTAGTCAAGGAGCTGCAAGGAGGAACTCACCTGGGTAACCGTCCGCCTTGACTACGGCTACTCCTTACTCTCCAGATCCATAGATGCCGCAACGCACGGTGCGCATTGCATTCAACTATTTGCAATCAAACACACGGCCAGATTAGAAGGTCTTCGTCACAACATCTCATGCATTAAGTCCGAAATTCGTCAGAGTCTTTACCGGAAACCGAAAGCGTGAATGACAAAAATCCGCCCAGAACAACAAAACGTTATACAAGCCTGTAACAGTTGCTCGAATCAAGGATATTTCGGGACGCATCAGATCGTCGTCGTGTAATCATTAGGGCGGGATAAAGGAAACAGGACAAACCAAGCAACACGAGGTATCGGTATAACTGTGCACCCCAAAACTCAATAGCAGGGCTCAAAAAACACAAATCGCCCAAGAACGCCGTGGACTCCGATGTTCTCTCGCCGATAAAATACAAGCACTCTAAAAGGGCAAATATCAGCTCTCAAGGGGATTGGAGAGGGCCGGATATAGTGGTCTGAAAAAAATATGTGGTTGGTGAAGAAGTGAAATGAGGACAAGATGTGAGGGAAAGAGCTCAGACATCCCACCCGCGACCTAGAGAGGTCGCATAACGCCACGGACAATGCAGTTCAACAAGCTGTTGCGGTATATGCTTCGAGATAGTCGACTATGACAAAAATGAGACCGCGGTGTAGCTTGGAAATGAATCAGGGCAGAACGAGAACTTTTGTCTAAAGATGCTCTGTTGAATTGCGGTTCATGGAACAGTCCCATCAACCAGGAAGGTATAATGCGAGGAGAGTGTGTTTTGAGTTGAAATATAGAAAAGGGGCCGCTCGAGTCGTTTATATAATGGGATGGGGCCCGCTCAAGAGAGGTTGGCTATTAGCCCTCGACAAGGATTCGGGTGATAGTCGAGACGATTCGCTAATGTAGGTGCCTGTGCGGGGAACAGCGACGGTCATTTGGGCGTGGTTCCAGGCGTGGTCCCGCAGTGCGGCGAGAAAGCTACTGCCGAGCTCCTGCTGAAGGGCTGCGAGTTGGTGCTTCTGGAAGTCTCCATCTACGCCCCATTCGAGACCCTGTAGCGTGCGTTGCAGAGCCAGAATATCATTTGCTGGGGAGGCAGAGTCATCTCGGTCTTTGTTGGCCTCTCCCGGGCTTGGGGGGTAGAAGGATCCGGCCTGGGGACCACCATCAGATTTCCATTGACTGTCGGTAGGCGACGAGACAAACGGATCAACAGGCAACTGAAGATCTTGAGCAGGAAGGACAGAAGGTACCACCGCACCTGAATCTCTATCCCCTTCGACAGCGGGTGCTCCAGATGGGTCAACTATTCTTCTCCGGTGAGGCTTTTTCCTGCGGCTAGAGCCGGCGCCATTGTCGTCGACAAGATGTTCTATCCGTGAGATGTCTACATCTTGTCCAGATCGGATGGCGGAAGCTCCGGTAACAGGGGAAATGGAAGGCTTGCTGACAAGCGTAGAATTATCAGCGGCGGTAGATCGAATGACCGGCACAAGCTCCGGCTCTGCAGCTCGCTCAACCAGCTGCTTCCGTTCTGTGAATCCAGGGCCGGAACCGTCGATAATGATGTCTTCTGAATACCCAGGGGTACGGCGGAACAGGTTGAAGATGAGAACTCGGTAGTTGGGATGCGTTTTCACGAAAGGATTTCCCATCACCCAGATCTCCCGTATCTCAGGGAGACTAGTAAGCCGGGCAATCTCCATGGGATCTGAAAGTTTGTTATCGCGGAGATCTAGCCGTTCCAACGACAGCAACCGTTCAATGCCCGCGAGGGAGCGAAGGCGGTTGGCGCGAAGATTGAGCGCAGTGATGGCAGGAAGGGGGTTGCGAGACAAGGAATGGAGAGATTCTATCATGCAGTTGGACAGATTCAAGGCTCTTAAGGCGATCAAGGAAGCTAGACTGTCGGGAACCTCAGTGAAGAGGTTCGTTGACAGATCCAGCGAGTGCAAGGTGTTGGCGACAGGAGCTAAGCCAGCCGCAGAAACAGAGGTTAGGGAGTTGTCAGGGAGCCCCAAATGCCGCAGGAATCGCCATTTGGACGATGGGAGGGCATTTGCTAACAAGTTCGTAGAGCTTCCGGTACGGTAGCCCGAGTTGTCACTTGAATTGGAGCTCCCTGATCCAGTACGCCTAATCCGCGACGATTGGCCGCGACGATGAGTGGAGTGCTTCGAGCCACTCGGGCGCGAAGGAGAAACGCTTCCAGCTCGTAGGCGGGGCTTTGCCCCCTCAGATGCCATCCTTATCATTGATACTGCCTGTGGGCTGGCACTTGAGCCGAGCGCGGTATCTGTCACTGGGGACCCAGGGGCGGAGAGGGATCCGCTTGGCTCATGTCTGCTAACCGGCCGAGGGTTGGTGTTTCCACTCCATCCTAGGACAGGCGAGCTCTGGTGTTTCGAAGAGCGGCGGCGGCGTTTGTCAATATCGTCCAGAACAATGCCCGTCAGTAGCTCCGCCGGGTCTTCGATGTTAGCCCTCTTCAAAGTCAAGGTCCGTAGTTGTTCCGATAGTCGGTCCCAGCCGTAGAAGGAACGAAAGTCTATATCAATAATCTCTAACGCGCTCAAATTCTTGAAGGAATGGAGAGGGACGGCAGTGTCAAATGGGAATTCTTCGTAGCCACGGATCAGCCGAGCACGACGGTCGGGTGCTAGACGCAGGCAGGGGATTTTTGTAAACGCCGAGTATAGGTATTTGATATCGGCTTCTAAGGCAGCCTTGGCCTTTTCAGATTTGGAGAAAGCATCCTTGGAGGCCAACCCAAACGAGGACCAGAGTGAACTCATACCAGACATGACGCTACGGACACTAGACACAGAGTGAATCGAGTCTCTGTCACCTTTTGACCTTTGAGGTTTATTCAGGAAGGACACGTAGGACTGTGACACGTCGGTATGGATGTTCTCCAATCTAACATTCATAGGGCCCACGGCAATGGAGATTTCTTCAAAGCGAGAGAGGAGGTAAAAGAGGTGGTGAGGGGTGAGGGTGAGCTTCGCGGGCTTGACGCTCTGCGAAGTGAACTTTAGCGCGCCGAAGGACAAGGCGGCAGCGAGGGTGGAGGAAGTCGAGCCCGAAGACGAGCCGGTCTGGGTAGTTTGGCCATTTCTGGTCGGTTGGCGCTTCAGCTGAAGTGCATTCGCGAGCGCCTTTTCGTGGGTTCGTACAAAACTGGCGAGATTCTGGCAAAGAATCATTGGTTAGTAGGCGGCGAGCATGGACGCACGGGTTATCGGCAGATCCGTGGGTCAAGAAAAGACTAACCTTGATGAAAAGCTGTCCATCGGTGGTGTCCAGCTTCTCCATCACGGAAAGGTGTACTGCCTCACAAGACAAAGTCTAGTCAGGCAATCGGTGGAGGACAACGCTCAAGCACTCGTAGGGTAACAACAGGTCGACATCTTGCTGGTAGACAGCGGCGGGAAAAGGAACGCGGAGTAATCTGGACGGAATAGAGCGTCAGTATGATTCAGGCTAGACAGCGACTTCATAGTGGAGGGTCTTGAGGTGGAATGCGATAGGAGGTGTGTGCTGAGACTTTCTGGTCAGGAGAAAGGAGGGTGACAATCAACAAAGGCCGAGCAAATTTCCAAGAGACAGCCGTAGCAACAATCCAATGGCACTAGTTACCATACCTGAGATGTTTCAGAGACAAAGGAAAGAAAGGAAGGAAAGGAACACAAATCTCCTCTATTCCAGACGAACAGAGGTTGTCGCCTGGACGAACCCGAAAACACGAGGCTGTTGAAGCTGCAAAGTCGACTCCAAAAAAAGGAGAAGATTGGAGAAGGGATGGGAGCGAAAAAAAGACCGGGGGCAGCTAGTAATATGCAAGTAGAGAGCAGTGGCGCCTCGTAGCGCAGCGGAATGATGAATTGAAGGAGGGGTGGATAAGGATGTGCACCGGAGCAGTGAGCAATCAGCTGAGAGGAGGAGGGGCGCTATCAGCACTCGAGGTGCACTATCAAACGCCCAGGGTAGGCCGCCGATGACAGACTAAGACTCTAGCTGCTCTTGGAACTGAGGTAAAAGAAGAACGGGCGAAGCGAAGCGCTGAGGAAGGGGAGGATGGTTGGAAAAAGAAAATACAGCCGCAAGGAAGGAGAAGGCGAGGAATATAGAGAGACGCACTTACTCTGAGGATGAGAATGTGAACGTGGGAGATATTGAAGGCTTGCAAGTCAAAGCGCCGGCGGCAGAGCAGATCAGCTTAAATTATTTATCATGTCAGATCTGGTCAAGAGAAGGTCCCATAATTATTATGAGAATTTCCATGGGTCTTCGAATTTGTTATCGCAGTATCGTACGGTACGGTGGGCCCCCGGCATACATACAATCCATGCTCGAGCATCTGTCTGCTGCGAGGAGTCGCCCCATTGCGACAGCATTAATATTACCATCTCCATGATTTCCTTGGAATCGCGATGAACAATTGATCTCTACTTCATCCATCCCGTTACCTGGTGGACCGGAACAAGAGCGGAGCTGATGAGATTTTTGGTTTGTCAACAAGAGTCACTCCTCTGCCGTCCCTTATCCCTATCAAAAGCAGTCCGTGTCCGCTTAGCGGGGTTCCTCTACGCTCTTAGAGTCTACAGTGCTACACTGGCGAAGATTCTTATGTCACATTCATACTTGATACCTTGGATGGCGGATATCGAACACCCCTTTCTTAACCTTGGTCGAACAGTCTCAAATATTTGGGGTTTCAGGGCACACATGTCACCCCTGGAGAAACTCCCAATTCCTGATTGTATCGTCGTTTCTTGTCACCTGGACCAGAGTGGAGCGATGACTTCGGGACGCTTGAGAACGGGTATCCCGATCATGACCTCGATTGCCAGAATAATAATGGAGAACCATCATCATCACTGGAGTCGGTCATATCCATTATTGTTACAGTGCACGATTGACTCCCGTCCACAAGCGAAATTAGTTCCCAGTCACAGCCACTGAGATAGGCGTCAGTCGGCCCGGTCATGGGAAGAGCACGGGCTGATTGGATGGTGGGGTCTTGTTATCCAACGTGCAGCTGATAGTCGGGAAGCGTATCCAGCAGCGGCTTAGCCTCACTCTGACTGACCCCGGGCGCCTCGACCTGATGCGCATCGGGCGAATCATAGCGCTGCCTTCGACACCTGCATCTTCCTGCATCGCGCTTTTCCTCGAGCGGCTCCCGTCGAAGGATTTGCTGCGTAAAAGAAATAACAGATCCAGGATCAACGATGAGACGCACCAACAGGCTGTCGCAAGACTCGCAACCGATGCGCTTCACAAAGTCCATACATGAAGTCGGCGCATCACCTTCGTCGGAAAGAAGACTCCGCGGCGCGCGATCGGTGCCAAGAGCAGAGTGCTTGTTTACTCTATACCGGTCCGGCGCTTCTGGCGGTCTCACCTCGAGCGCCAGGGTCGCTTTCTGAGAACCTACATACTCCGTACCGATGACGCCGATGTTTTTGATTTCCGTCCCTACAAGACCATCATTGCCGAGAAAGGCAATATAGGGAGGCTCAAGTGTGGAGCATTAGTCGTTCTTGGGGCGCCTTCAGCCTTGAATCCTTGATAAAGATAGATAATCGAGTCATGGCAGCGGATGACCATCGCGGGGCCCTTAAAGGCAAGATTTGCCCGGTCAGCACCTGCATAACTGACCTATCTAGGATGTTCATTGCAGCAAATGCTCCGTAACCGGGGGCGCGATACTATATTTGCAGTCACACCGCTTCCTCTCCCGTGCCGTCACACCACATTCCTTTTAGCTTTCTCACCCCTCCTCCTCAAACCGATCTCCCTGATACCCTCATTCATTCGACCGTTGGTTCCATGGTCCAAACCCATCCTTTCTCATTTCCATATAGTTTATTGTCCTGATGGTCATCAGTGCCTCGTCGGAACGACCGGATTGGCCCATACTTCGGTTGAATGATGGCAGCCTCGTGTTGGCTTGGATGCTGCTCCTTCGACGAACGTGACAGCGAACTTTACCGGCATGAGACGGATCGAAGACATGAGAGGCATCAATACAATTTCAGTATGCTGGAATGGACGCGATAGCCGAGAAGCCCTCATAACAAGGTCGACTATCAAGATGCCTTGAGATAATCTACTCCTTACTTCCCCGCTGTCAAGGGATAACGGCCGGCCAGCTATTATTGATAATGTCCGACATTCTACTCCATGGCGACGTGAGTCCCTCCTGTGGAGGGGTTGCCACAAGAATTCTACAGGCACATTTTATGTCAATGACCCCGCTCTCGCCGACCTCCCATCTGATATCGTGAGGCGAACCGATGGACCTGGTCCGTGCAAGAACAGGAAGGAAGAAGAATCCATCCCTGTCAATTGCGGGGAGTACAGATATGCAAGACTCGAGGTCTACGTCTTTCAAAGTCTTTACCGCTCCCACTTTGAAGCGAGATTCGCTCGCTGAACCGACCCCAGTCGCCTCATTGTCGGTCGCGAGAGTCCATATCGATGGCCAACGCTTGCTAACTCTCATGTTTACGCATCTGGTAACAGGACGACTTGATTGTGGTGAATGGTAACCATCCGATCCCTGCACCTGGTGCTGAACCAAGGCTCTTATTACTCTTTCTATCATTACACGGCTTTTCAATTCTCGAAACATTTGCAATCGATATTCAATCCAAATGGCCGCGCTTCCAATATCAACACTAGGAGAGGAAAGCCTACAGATAGACAACCATTCATAATCACCAAACTTTCAGGGAACGGCCCTGAAGCCGACTGTTATTACTTGTAACCGAAAGATCTCCGTGGACCCATCTCCATCTCCTTCCTGCTTTCGGCCGGCCATACTACTATTTACAGTAGCGCACTACGACTTAGTATAAACGCTAAAAGTGGTCCATACGCAGGGACCTTAGGGTGCTGTCCGTGGATACGCTGTCCGCAAGAAACCCACGATCTGCGACACGGTCGAGATCGGTATACTATGAACCGGATAAAGTAGAATAGTACTTCGTAGATTGATAATCCTTGAAGACGTTCGCGTCAGCGTCTGTGCGCCAGTCCGAGTTTCAATCCCAAGCTTCGGATGACCATAGTTTGTGGCGGACCTTATCGTCTGTGTGACCTGAGCATCTGAACATCTGAGAGGCTGAGCTGAACAACACTGGTAGTCTGATACTCGCTTTGGATCGCGCAATCGCTTTTTCGCTCAAATGTCAAACATAGGATTGCGGGGTATCCCTGTCGAGGCTTCGGGCCATCGCTATCTCTTCCTTCGACAAGAGTTTGATTGACCGTCTCTCATGCGAGACGCTGAGACCAACGGTTCCAGCCCTGTGGTGATTGGATGAGGTAAAGGCAACCGACTAATAGAATCAAAGGGCAGATGATTTGCAGCTAGCGCAGAGGATAATCCTGGCTCGCCTCTGCAATACGGAGTACTCGTCACTTCGCTGAGCCCGACCGCCTTGGTGGCGGTCGGTCAGCTCCACCCTAATAAATACACCACCTTAATAAAAAAATTATTAACATAAAGCTATTTAAAACTTATTTTCTTAGCTAAAATAGTAAATATTATAAAATAAAATAAATAAGGCTAATTTTTAGTTATACGCGAATTAACCATACTAATATTAAATTAATAATCTAAAAACTACGCGAACTAACGCGTATTAAGTATATTACCTTAATATTTACCACTATGCTAGTAAAACCTTTAAATAATAATATTTTAATAAAATAAAGCTATATAAAGTTCTTAATAGGCTTATTTTAATTTTTAATAAATAGTGCTTTATTTAGTATATTATTAGCCTTTTTTTTTATTATTTAAAGTATATTTTTTACTAATTTTATTTTTTTTTGCAGCCCGCTTACTAAATAGCTTATTAATATACTTTTTTGCCTTTTTATTAACATAATTCTTTGTATTTTTAATTATAAGGTAATTAGTTATTTTTTTAAATTACTTTTTTAAGTGTTTTTAATTACAAGGCTTTTACTTTTTTACTAGTTATTTATTTAGTTACTTTTTTATTAAAGTAAGGTTTTTAAATTAATATAAAACCCCGTGAATAAGGCGCTAAATTATTAAAAAATAAAAAAATTTAGTATACTATTTTTTAATTAATTTAATATCACGGCGTGTTAAGCGGATAATTCTTAGTATTATAAAAGTTACGCCTTTTAAAGGGGTTTTAGTAGTTAATTTAAAAGTTTTTAAAGGCTTAATATTAGTAATATTTTTAATAATCTGCTTACCTTTAGTATTAAGTATTAAAAAAAACCTTTTTAAATAGTCCAGTGCTCTAATTCTTTTTAAAATATAATTAAAATTTAGTAAAAAAAGGCTAGTTTTTATTTAACCTTATATAATAACCCGCTTGGTATAAGCTACTTTTTTAATTATTTTAATATTATTAAAAAAGTGTACTTTATTATAATATTAACCCTTAATATAAAAGTGCTTATTAATATAATTTACATGGACCTTTTTTAGTTACTAAAATAGTATTAAATTAAGCGGTTAAAAAAGGTATATTAAATATAATAATAAAAAAAGTAGTATAATTTTTTTTTGCTATAAGTAAAGTTATCTTATAAAAAATATAACTTTTATAATAATTAAAAATTAGGAGGTGTTATATACCTTGTTACTGTCAAGCCAGAGGAAGGCAATATGACGAGATAGTAAGTTGATTCTCCTAAGTAACTATCTCGGGAGCGATGTAGCTACATGCTGATGACTAAGTGCTGATGTAAGCAAAGGAAGAACCGTAGATACATGCTAAGAGGAGGAGGAACGACATAACAGTTACCATGCCTTTATAATTTTAGTAAAATACTTAAATTATTTATAAGTATACTTTTTATTTATATAGCCTAAAACAGTTTAATTTATAAGCTAGTTATTAAGTAAATTTATTTTAATAATTTATTTAAGTAAGAAAACCTTTCTTGGTATAATTATAAGTAGTAATAAAATATAGCCTTTTATAAAAATATATTTTATTAAGGTAACAAGCTGGCGCTTTAATTTAAAGTTTATAAAAAAAATATAATTAAAATAATATATATAAATAGTTTTTAAACGCCTTTTCTAGCTTATAAGAAAACTAGTTTTATTTATATTATAAATATTTTTGTTTTATATACCATGCGCTTTAATAATTTAATATATTTTATTAAATTAGTAAAAAATAACCCTAGGGTTTTTATTTTTTTTACACGCCTTTTTTTTTACCTTTTTTTTTAACTTAAAAAACTTTTTTTTTAACTTTATAAAGTGATATGCCTAGTTAGGCCTAATTTTAGGGGGTAGTAAGCTATTTAAACTAGCTTTAGTATAGCTATGTTAAAAAAATTTTTTTATAATACCTTTAACCATGCTAAAAGTTATTAAAGTACTTATATTATCTTATTTTTTTATAAACTCCAGGAAAATAACTTTTTATATATTATTAAGTAAGCTTTTAAGCCTGTGGTGCTTTAAGGCTAGTCCTATATTATTTATATATTATTATAGGTATTAATAATTAATATTTTAATTTTTCGTGACTTTTACTATTATAATAATAGGATTAACATGTTTTTTTTAAGTATATTTAAAAAGCGCCTTTTAAATTATTAATTTATTTATAATAGGGGTTAATATTTTAAAAAATAATAAAATTATAAATATTTAAAGTTGCTTAACGCGATTAAAATTTACAATTATTATTAAGGTGGTATATTTATTAGGGTGGAGCTGACCGACCGCCACCAAGGCGGTCGGGCTTAGCAAAGTGACGAGTAGTTGTATCCCGCCTCTGCGACCCTGGCCAGTTGAAGGAGCGCTAACAGCACTAGGCCACGACAACAACTTCAACCATGATGCCATCTGGCGAGTTTGAAAAAGAAAGGGGGCCTCAAAGATGGCGTTGCTTTTTCGCGTGTCCTGTGCTGCTCACTCCGGAGTTTACCGCTTATCGATTTGCGAACAATTATATATTTGTACACTTCAACCGAACATGTCTACAACGACATAGTAAACAACGACCCCGAGGTCAGGGATGTAACCAAAGCTAATCCCATTCCTAAACCAACGTCCCTTTTTCGTTTTGCGCGGTAGCCGCCTTACTTCCTGGGACAGTGGACAGATTATCCTTCAAACAACCATTTACCCGCCACCCAACCTTGAATCTTAACAACCCCGCTGTATAGACGTACAGTTACGCCCGGCATCTGCAGCCCCTAGAGGGTGTTACCTAAAGGAGTGCCCTGCATGACGCTTAAGTTCATTCATGTCGCTCGGAGCCGATTGAAACAGAGCGCCTTGCTGTGGTTGGTCCGCCCAGACGCATAGAAGTTGGATTTTGGAACCGAATACCGATCGTCTGTCTCGGTGGTGTTTTCCATCCCAGTCTATAGGCGCTAGCCATGTCTAGGTAGTGTTTGTATGTATCGATATGTACTGTACTCGGGGCCAGACGTAGGGTACGGAGTTCGGAGATTTTGACAATTCGCACTTGCAGGCGCAGAAGCAGCGAGAACTTGGCGGTGTTGATGATTTACCCCTCCATCATCAGATTCCGCTGTGGCATGTTCTGGATACTGACTCGTACTTCGGGAAAGGGAATGTAAATGCGCATAGGAAGTGAGCTGATTGGTAGCACGATCGTAACTACACGGGACAAACTGCTGATCACTTGGTTCAACTGCGGTGGGGACAGAGGACCCGCTTGCGATGACTTATCAGGATGAAGAAGATCATCGGGACCATGATGAACTCCTCGGTCCTCGATGTTAGCGACTTTTCTTCGTCTTCCGGTGGCTTCGATGATCCTGGTATGGGGCACGTGACAGCAGAAAAGCAGCCCCGCAACGACGTTATTCCGAGGGACAGCGCTAAGCCTAGTTTGGGCATGTGGGCCGTCCCAACGGAAATCCAGGCGGGCAATGACCGTGACGTATGTCGTCAGCGTCAGTCCATTGTTCTCTCCCGACACCTTGCGACTACCTAAGCTCAACCTAGCCGCAACATGAATACACACAACACAAGCCGATGATGGAGAAGTCTGCAACAGCCGGCGAAAAACCTACCGACATATACAGCCCAAGCGCAATCCCGGACCACGACACCGAATTCCTCAACCCGGATGACCTGCGCGCATTCGAAAAGGCCCTCACCGACCAGGACGCAGACCCGCTCATTGCCCTGAACGACTGGCGCCCCGTGTACCAGCGGGTCGTGCGAAGGGGACGCGGGCGGCGGAAACGGGCTGCGACTACACCGCGCCGGACGAAAGACGAGACGAGGGAGGGCGTGCTCTACACCGTTCTGAAGTGGCCGTTCCTGCTTATTGTGCTCGGGTGGATTACGTTTCTCGGCGTGGGGTATGCGCTGACCAGGATTTACATCTTTCTCTATGAGCAGTGGGTGACGTGGAGGGGGAAGAGGGAGAGTCTGCGCAGGGAGCTGTACAAGCATGAGAATTATGGGGATTGGCTGCATGCGGCGCAGACGTTGGATGAGTACCTAGGGAATCAGCGATGGAAGAAGATTGATGAATATGCGTACTATGATCACTTGACGATACGGAAGCTGAGTCGGCAGCTCAGGACGGTCCGAACGCAAGTTGAGAAGGAGATGCAGAGTGGCGATTCTGGCTCCGCGGCGGTGGTTGAGGAGCTGTGCAACCTGCTCGAAGCTTGCGTCAAGGCCAACTTTGCTGGAGTCGAGAACCCTCGACTTTACAGTGAAGCATACTCTGGGACCAAAGATCTCGTTCAGGAGTACATTGATGAAGTGCATGCGTGTATCAAGGTTATCGCAGAGTCTCGGCAGGCGAAGAATGAGGACAAATTCAACCATTTCAAGCACCTAGATACCAATTTCGGCCGAACCGCACTGTGCTTGTCTGGAGGGGCGACGTTCGCCTACTACCATTTTGGTGTTGTCCGAGCGCTCCTTGACAACGAGGTGCTCCCAAGTATCATCACCGGCACGTCAGGAGGAGCGCTTGTTGCGGCACTCGTCGGTACCAGGACAGACGAAGAACTCAAGCAGCTGCTGGTTCCCGCTCTGGCGCATAAGATCAAAGCGTGCTCTGAGAACTTTACGACATGGGGGAGACGATGGTGGCGTACAGGCGCTCGCTTTGATACGATGGACTGGGCTCGCCAGTGTAGCTGGTTCTGTAGGGGTTCCACAACATTTCGAGAGGCCTACGAGCGCACTGGGCGTATATTAAATGTGTCATGCGTGCCATCTGACCCCCATTCGCCGACGATCTTGGCTAACTACCTTACATCGCCCAATTGCGTCATCTGGAGCGCGGTGCTTGCGTCTGCGGCAGTCCCTGGAATCCTGAATCCTGTGGTGCTAATGACGAAGAAACGCGATGGCACTCTCGCCCCGTACTCGTTCGGCCACAAATGGAAGGATGGAAGCTTGCGAACAGACATTCCGATCAAAGCATTGAATCTGCACTTTAACGTCAACTTCACCATCGTCTCACAGGTAAATGCCCTCCCAATAACATTGAAAACCTTGCTGACATCTATCCAGGTAAACCCTCACATCAACCTCTTCTTCTTCAGCTCTCGCGGAACCGTCGGCCGCCCAGTAACGCACCGCAAAGGCCGCGGCTGGCGCGGCGGCTTCCTTGGATCCGCGATAGAACAATACATCAAACTCGACCTGAACAAGTGGCTCAAGGTCCTCCGCCACCTCGAACTCCTTCCCCGACCAATGGGTCAAGACTGGAGCGAGATTTGGCTGCAGAAGTTCAGCGGCACGGTCACCATCTGGCCGAAAACTGTTCCGTCAGACTTCTACCATATCCTCTCCGACCCCAACCCTGAACGTCTTGCCCGCATGCTCCGCACGGGCCAGCAAAGCACCTTCCCCAAGATCCAGTTTATCAAGAACAGACTCAAGATTGAATACGCTATCCTGGAGGGTCTCCATAATTTCTCAGGCGACGGCACAGGCGCTAGCGCTACGGCCCCTAAACGGCCCTTCCCGCTTGAAGACGGAGCTGGCGATGAGAAAGATGATCCGAGAGAAGACCGCCTTAACAGAAACCTGCCCGAGCGGAGCTCCGGGTATAGCTACGACTACGGCAAGGGGTTCTCTGATTTCTCGGACGATGCTATTGCTTCTGTTGAGAATAGCTCTGTAGATGAGAATTATATACCCAGACGACGTGGTGATGCTACGGGTGGAGACAGGGCTCAAGCTGGCGCTGGAACTGGTGAGCGACGTGGGAGTTTCTCGAGCCTGTTCAACCTTGAGGAGATGAGGAGGCAGTCGGCTGTTTTTTTTGATGATCCGGAGCTCTATAGAGAAGGGGGTGATATCTAGACGCCAGCGGATTGTATGCCTGACTTTAGACAGACAGGTTGTGTTGTTTTGAGCTTGGCTGATCCGGTTTAATCCAATGTATATAGATACACATTTTCTTTCCTGTTGTTTTAGCGGCAGCATCGAGATTGAATTCCAGACATCAGATTGAGGTCTCTTATTTTACGTTCAATGAGTTAATCGCATACGTATGGTATTAACTAGTACTATCGCTTCTTGGAATTCATCTCAAAATAGAATCCACTACCTCATCACCATCATACTTTATCATTCAACCATCTTGTCAACCACTAAAGTATAACCAGCAAACCTACTTAGCCTAAGCTCCTCCGGACCCCACCGACGTGGCGCCATGACCCCAAACCCTGAGGTACTTTAAGATGCTGATCCCCGCTACCTCCCACGTCATGCTGCATGCACTAAGCAGGCAGGGCACGCCACACCTGATATCAATGCTTCATTGACTGCGCTTGGGTTTTCGTGGACTGGGGCCGGGTTCTTTGGTTGGCCGGCAAGTGATTGGTCAATGTTGGTTGATTGCTTTGCTGATACCATTTCTGAGGGGGTGGCAAGTGTTTCTGCAGCTCTACCCAGCGGCTGCCTTTGTACCCCGAACACACCGTCGTGCTTCCGAGCAGGTAAGACCCTTGTAAGAAGAGTATCTGAGCGCCCTATGTTCTGATTGGATGGAAAGAAGGTACGAGGTGCAGTACTCCGTAGGGGCCTGAGGGTGGTGGGTACTCCGTACTATCGTATCTTGTCGCATCCAATGTTGCGATGTAACTTGGATAGTTACGCAAGCTCAGATCACAAGCCAAGCCTCCGTGACAGCCTGAGCGGACTGGAAGTCGCCATTGAGAGCGTACAGGTTCTGCAGGGCAACTGCAGCTTCGCGCGAGAAGTTCTCTACGACAGGTTGCGGTGTCGCCTTTGTGCCGAGGGTAGCCGGATCGATAGCAGCATCCACGTCGGGCATTGGGACGTCGTTGTCGTTGTCGCTTGATTGCGCTCCATTTGCAGTGTGCGACTGATGGCTGGATTGGGCTTGCGCTTGTATTTCCTTGCCAAGATCAAGAGCACGTAGGTATCCTTCGACTGCAAGATGTGCGAGACCGAGCGTATGCCAGACGCGGGCGAAGTTGAACTCCATCTCCTGCCTTTGGATGAGGGGTGTACCCTTGCGTTCGCGGAGACGTTTGTACTCGTTCATGAAAGAGAGGCCTTGCATGACATGGAAGTGGCGGTTCTCGGACTGGCGCTTCATGGAATGGTGGATGTAGCACAGGCCTATTGAAAGCAGAACAGCCGGGTTTTTGTCGTCAAGTGCGTACGCGCGGAAGAAGTAGTTGAGGGCTGGATAGAAGCTGTTTCCGGAGTAGAGGATGTGGCCGTAGAGGACGAGCAGGGCTACGTCCAATTCCTCCGCCGGGATGGGGTTTCCCTGATCGTCTTTTGTTGAAAGTGCTGCTCGTTCTTTAAAGATTGACTCTCGAATGGCCTTAGTATGGCGAGTGCCGGCGATGTGGTCGGGGAGAGTAAAGTCGATGGCTTTTATCTGGCGCAGCATGAATTTCATCATGGGAGATGAGTGGAAGAGGGAGCGGCGAGGATCGCCGACGAGGCAGCTGAGCATGGAGAATAGACGATAGGTGTCTGTGACGAACTGGTACTCCTTGATGAACCAACGTGCTTCGTTGGTGAGGGTTTCCTCGTCCTGAAGTCGGAGTGCACAGGCTATCGAGCAAATCAGTTACTGTCGGGAGAATGTGGGTAGAGTACTCACTGAACCAACAAACGTGGATCAGCCGCGTGCTGGTCTTTGAATGATACCAGACACTGGCGTCAGCAGCAGCTCCGAGAGTGTCATACGTCTCGGCTGGCTCATTCTGACCTGCAACCGTCAGGGCGTATTGTAGAAAGAGGTCCAGCCATGCGTCGAAGCTGATGCCATGGTAGTCTTTGGGGATTTTAGACTGCGAAGGTTCTTCGTTGGGTGCTATGTGCCGTTAGCTAAACTCTAGAAATGGAGACTTGGACGTATCGTACCCAATGCCTCTTGAAGTCGATTCGCCATCTCTTGCAATTCATCCATGAGGGAATTACTGTCCCCCTTGCTATTATATCCAAGGAAGACCATGTTGCGCTGCATCGGATAGAAGATCCTATTGGAACGGAACTCACGCAGTAGAGCATCGGCGATATCAAGCCAGTCTTCAGTGGCATCAGCATCCCTCGCCTGAAGTTTCGCCTCCAACTGCATCAGTTTTGTATACAGAAACTGAACGTTCTCGGTTCTGGCCATGTCACCGGGAGGCTGTTCTTCAGACTCATCTGCAAGGTCCACCGCCCTGAACTCCCTTGCGAGCTCCTCAAGCCGAGTATCCTTTCGTCGGCGATTACTTCTCGTTTCCTGCCTTCCCAAGAGAACGGCCTCGTTGACATATTTGAGCGCCTGTTCCCTCATTCCGATGCCATCGTACAGCTTGGCAAGTCGCACTCGAGATTCCATATGACTCGAGTCATGCTCTGAAACGGTTAGATAGCAATTCTCTGCGTCTTCAAGTTCGAGGAGAAATCTGTAACAATCTCCCAAGGCCATGAAGAAATTGACATCCGCGTATTCGGTTTGTTGAATGGGCTTATAGAACCGGAGGGCGTCCTCGAACAACTCGGCCTCCTTCAGCGCATCGGCTGCTTCGCGAAAGAGGTCACCGTAATCGTGAACTAATGAGGTCTCTGAAGTATCTTCCGGTTTCAACCATTTGAAGTGATGCTGAATGGGGTTAGGAGAGAAGCAGTATACCAGTTTTGGCTAGGACTTACAAGAGCTTCATCGACGTGTCGGTCTGGTAGTTTCAAGCGGAAAAGACCGAATTTTATGCGAAATTCAAGTGGTAGACCTGGGCCATACGTAGCCAGCGGCCACTTCTTTGGAACATACCCAGCTGCTTTGATCCTTCGAGGAAAGTCAGCGTGATCCCATTCGCGATCATCCTCGTCAAAATCGTTCCACATGGTGTCGTCTTTGCGCCCCAAAAGCCAGCGGGAGACCGCTTTTGCAGCCTTGAGCCCTTCTGCATGTCGTCCCAAGTAGGTATACAGCTCAATATAGATGTTGGCGTCAGACCACGTGAACTCTGGAGTTTCATCGGGTTCCTGCATCGTATAGTGCTGTATACTTTCTGACCAATAATCAAGCGCTTTTTGATATTCATTCTGTTCAGAGTAGGTATCTGTAAGAAGCCGAAGTGCTCTTACGTCGTGAGGAAGGTCTGAAAGAATCCTCTCATATTCAGTCACTGCTCGACCGTTCTGTCCCAGACCTCGATAAAGAGCAGCCCTCTGGAAGCGGGTGTTGTGGTTTTGTGGGTCGATGTTCAGCACACGACTGTAGCAGTAGAGAATGTCGTTCAGTGCATCCTCTCTGTCATCACCTGCCTGTTCCATTATCATTCTCGCAACCTTCAACCAAACCGTTGGATCTCTTGGACGGGTGTGGGCACCACTGAACAATGCGGTCACGGCCTTTTCTTTCTCGCCCTGAGCGAGGAAAATCTCCGAGAGCAAGGAGTGAGCGGCAAACATCTCAGGGTTAACCTGAATAGCACGCCTAACAAGGTCGATGGCGCGGTCATAGTCTCCATCAATAAAAGCAGATGTTGCCTCCGAGTGCAGCATCTTGAACTCCGGGCTGGGCTCTACCGGTTTACGGGGACCTCTCTTGATTCCCTTACCACCGCGGGCGCCATATCGACCAGAAAAAGGACCCGTGCGTCGACGGCGCCTGCGAAAGCCCCCTTCTCCATCAGAGCCTTGAGCACCATCATCTGAAAGGTCCTCCCTGCAGCTGTTAGCTTACATTCAGACCATGGTGCTGCGGTACTAACGATGATTCCTCGTCGGACGATGCTTCGAATGTGGAGTCTTCAGCGGAGTCGTCCTGAACGTAGACTTGTTCCTCTTCGACTTCTGGCGCAGATAGCTCATCCTCTACTGCTGACTGCGCAGGCTCTTGGGACGCATTCTCTGAGAAAAGTCCTTTGTACAGACGCGGGTCTATGACAGAGGCCTCAGCTGACGTGAGCTGCTGAGTCCCTTGCCACGGATATTGTACGGTTTCATCAATGTCAGGATAGGCAATCTCGATGTCAGGATAGGCAGTCTCCCCTGGATGGGGGCTGTGGTTGGGGTCATCCTCGCCGAAGTAGTCCATTTTGGCTTGTTATCATACTCTGGCGACCATCATTGGACGACGGGCCTGAGCGACGAATCTAGACTCGGGGTCCAGATCTCAGGGTATGGCCTGATGACACACCAAGCAGGTCCTAAAACAAGGACACCTTGATAGAAAGTGATGAAATGAAACCAAGAAGGAAAAGAAGAAAGACGACTGTGGATGTTGAAGTTCTTCAGCGGGCATCCAGCGACAATTCCCGGAGCGGACAAGCGCGTTCATAGCGTGACTAAGCGGCTTCATAAGGCTTGTTCACAGTGTTAAATTTAGTCGGCTCGAGTCTTCAGGCTCAATCTTGTTTCTGCTCCTCCGGCGATTCTGGCGAGACTCATCCTCTTCGCTTCCCTTTCTCTTCGTCACCCCTCTTCGCACTCGTCGCCCTCTCTCCGTCTTTTTCTTACTCTCCTTTTCGTCCCTCACATCTACCTCTCCCTTTTCCGTCGCATCGTTCCCCCATTTTGATTGATGCTTCAGGACTCGCTGTCAATCTGTGTTTGACACACTGTTGCAGGGTTCCCGACATCCTTTCGTTACGACACAAAAAAGCCGAGGCAAAAACCAGAAAACAGGATTGGGAGGTCACGGTCGAACCGCACGCTGTTGCAAGTGACTGCTGCGAACGAACGGTTCTACCTTTCGCTTTCTCTTGGCCGTCCTCTTTGTCCCGCTCCGCCGTCTACATTCAGTCAAATCCTTTGATGCCCTTTCGATTCGATTTCTCCTCCAGAATCCGAGTCAGGTAGTGCAGCCACTGGACTGGCCTGTGCCTCAATCGACATCGTCTAATATTCGCGGTTGGGTTTCTCGAACTTCAAGTTCTGACAAAAGCAACGCTAGCGATCATCCTTTTAGCGAGATCGCTTCGCCTTCATTCTTAATCTTAGTACTCGCACTCTAATCCGGCTCCAGAGTCGTTTCGCCCACGGCTTCGACAATCCTACGCAAACTCAGCAGGTGCTGCAGGTGTTTTGCAGTAATATCTATCTTTTCTGTATCTATTATTCACCGAAGCCCGCGAACGAAAGCCCCACCGAACGTTCATCGTCCGGCGACTTGTCCTGAGCCGCAACCATCGTCTTCATGGCTAGTCATATCATCGGCAACCGCAATAGCACCCCAGAAGCTTCCAAATCTTCTCTCCGGCCTCCTTCGTCGTCTCGCAATCTAGCTACCCACCAGCTCCGAGCATCCGCCGACATGTCGGGGTTCCCTTCTCCTCTCTCATCCCGCAGCATCCGACCTGCATCCGAGGTATATTTCAACCAGCAGGCGCAGACACCAAGCAATGCGGAGGACCCATTGGATCGGGCGGCACAGCAGTGGCTGGCGGACATTGATCAGTACGAAACCACTCTGGAAGAAATGGCGGCGGCGACGCTTGACCAGGACTTCAAGGACGAACTCAGCGCCATCGAGCAGTGGTTCCGTGTGTTGAGTGAGGCGGAACGGACCGCTGCCCTGTATGCTCTGCTGCAGCAGACTACTCAGGTGCAGATCCGTTTCTTCATTCAAGTCCTGCAGCAAATGGCCAAAAGCCACCCTATGTCTGGTCTGCTGTCCCCTGCAAACTTTGGCGAGAAGGGTATGTCTATCCTGCCATTCTTACCTTCAGTTCTAACAGACCTATAGACGCCATGTCCAACCGTCTGAACGATGCCATGTCGAAGCTCAATGTTGACAGCTCTCGAAACTCCTTGGGTCGCCCTCCTCCTTCCCCGGGTGCCAAGCGCAACTCTGGTCTTGACTCGTCCACCATCAATGCCATGTTCCCCGATGCGGCCGCAGCTATTGCCAAGAAGAAGGCCGAATTCACCCAGCAGACGGGAAATGCGCCCCCTTCTAACCGCAACAGTGCTGTATTCAACGAGCGGACCTCGTTTGTTGCGCCCACTATCTCCGCACCTGACAACAGTGCAGACAACCTGGGCCAGCCACCAGTGTCACCTTGGGCTCAACGCGGCGCGTCGGAGCCCCAGCCACCGATTGCTCGGCCCAAGTCGTCCTCTGGCCAGCAGCCTATGGGTCAGTTCAGCCAGTCCGGCCTGCGCTCTCCTCTCCCCACAACCCAGACTGCGACTATCCCCGCTCCCGAAATCGAGGCTCCCTTGCTGTCTCCTTACAATGTTGGAAATGCCAGCTGGGCTTCCATGACCAACACCCCGATGACCGCAACCTTTGGCTCGCAGCTTGGGGGTCCTCACCAGGGCTCTGATATGGTGGCCAATGCCACAGCGATGAAGCTGGCTGCGCTATCGACCGTGAACAACCGCATCGCACTGGACGATGCTCGTAAGTACCGCCGCGCTCGGTCGAACGACGGCCAAGCAAAGAACGCCGCCAACAGTCTTGCTGCGCACAATATCCCTCAGGGAGGTCTGGCTAGCCCCGGTCTCCCTGTTGCTGGGCAGCTTCTGAATGCCCAGCAGTTTGCCGCTTTGCAAGCGCAGCAACAGGCCGCAATGGCAGGTCACCGGTCCCGGCCCACCTCACCCGGCATTGCTATGCAAGGTGGTGCATTGGGACCTATGGGATTCACTTCTCCGCAAAACAACGGGTTCTTGGCTGCATATGATCCCAACAATCCGCTCATGGGCAACGGCCTGGGCGCGCTTGGCATGGGTCAGTTTGGTCTCGGAGGTCACGAAGGCTATCTTTCTGACCACTCCGAGGTTGCTCGAGGCCGTTCTCCTCGCGGCCGTCGCGGCAGCTCGAAGCCGCCAGAGGACCCTACCGACCCGAACCTTCTCAAGGATATTCCCAGCTGGCTGCGATCCTTGCGCTTGCACAAGTACACGGATAACTTGAAAGATCTGAAGTGGACCGAGCTGGTTGAGCTCAGCGACAAGCAGCTCGAAGAGCGCGGTGTTAATGCTCTCGGCGCCAGGAACAAGATGCTCAAGGTTAGTTTTGCGATGACATGATAATGAACTGCAGCTGACTCCTTTCAGGTCTTTGAACAGGTCAGAGAAGCCAAGGCCGATGGAAAACTCGAGAATGCTTCGGCATGACATGCACATGGTTGATAATATGCGTTGGACATTTGAATTACTTTCATTTCGTTACATTCTCTCTGCTGCATTAATTTGATTAGATTGGCTTTGGGCATGAGTGGCAGGATCCGATTATTTCCTATGAACGATCTTGGGGGAGAACGCTAACTGCGTCCGGGCCGGACACCTGCTGGCCAGCCAGTGGAAGCCTGAGAGCTGATTGATTGTATGTTGTATGTACTGTTCGATGGATGTGATGTGACGACGGGGCGATTGAGAGACCCGGCTGTGTCTCAAGCGCTCCCAATTAATTACGACGAGCATGTAATGGTCGAGTCAATAGTGGCAAATATATGTACAATTGGTTTATTCATCATGACTCTGGAGCTTGACTTTCATTAATCAACTTCAAGCTCCGTAGCTCTGAAGAGATCTGAAAGCGGAGTCACCTGGCAGAATGTCGGGATAACTTACCACCTCAGTCAACGCATCACTCTACACCAACTTCACCTGCAGAATTAGAGAAATCCACCAAAATGCCACCAACAAACCAAGAACTCTCTCTCCTCATCAATCCGCTCGTCCCGGAATCCGTCCAACACAACAACCGAGTCTGTCCCCAATCCACACGAACCCACTTCGACCAAACCAACTAACATGAAGTTCTAGGTCCTCACCCAACTGCACTCCCTAACCTCCTTCCTCCTCGGACTCACAGCCGGAATACTCGCTTTACAATCCGCAACCGGCTTCATCTTCTACTTCCTCGGCACAGTGCTGGTTTCGGGCCTGTTCCATCTGGCCTTACTCTACCGGTCGGCGGGCAAAGGCGCAGGCGGATTCTTTCCCGGCGCGGGCGGCGAAATCGAAGGTCTTGTTGTGCAGCGTGATGGGACTGTTAAGGATGCGGGGAGTGGTGTAAGGAAGGGTGCTTGGAGGGATGTGTGGTTTGGGGGTGGTGTGTTGGGCGAGGCGCTTAGTGGGTTTGTGCTTGGGTGGGCGGGTGTTGGAGGCGTGCTGAGGTGATTTCTCGGCGATGGCTATGCTTGTGGTTTGATACTTGGGTAATGCGGTGGATGGTACCGATCTAATGGCTCCGAAGGAGATACTTGGATATGCTTTTGAACAAGGGCCATGTCGATGGAGTGATCGGCTGGTATGAAAGAGACGAGGTACTGTATTATATCTATCTGCATGCTAATCAAGCGAATTCTATGCAATCTCGATTTCCAGGCTTATCCTGGCACGCTGTGGTCATGTGTTCCACCCGACTTAACCATCCACAGCCTGATTCAACGCATTCACGCGATAACTCTCACTCCGCTCCATCAACTCGACATGCGATCCCCTCTCCACAACCTTTCCCTCCTCAATGAGGAAAATGATATCCGCCTTTCGAATCGTATACAGCCTATGTGCAATCGCAATGACCGTGATGCCCCTTGCCGCCTTTTCCAGCCCATCCTGCAGCAACCGCTCACTCTCCGCATCAAGGGCACTCGTACTCTCGTCCAGCAGCAACAGCCGCGGTTTTCTGAGCAACGCCCTCGCAATGGCTAGACGCTGCTTCTGCCCACCACTCAGCCGATCACCGTTCGGGCCAACAGCTGTCTCGTACCCGTCTGGCAGACTCATGATAACGTCGTGGATATTGGCTAGCTTGCACGCTTCTTCGATATCCGCCTGTGTTAAAAGCTGGTTTGGCCGCGCTCCCAATTCAAGGTTGAATTTGATGGACCCATCGAAGAGCACAGAGTGTTGCGGGACATAGGCGATTTCATCGCGGAAGGACGAGTCCAGGTGTGCGATGTTGCGGCTACCGAGCTCGATCGTTCCGGCGCTGGGTGTGTAGAGGCGCTCTATGAGGGAGATGATGGTTGATTTACCGGCGCCGGAGGGGCCTACGAGTGCCGCGAATTGGCCTGCTGCAATGGAGAGGTCGAGTCCGTGCAGGACTTGGGTGTCTGGGCGGGCGGGGTATGTGAATTCCACTTGTTTGAAGGAGACGCTGAGGCCGGATTGGCTTCCTGCTGGTCCTGGGAGAGGAGGCTTCTCGGATGGGTGAGAGGTAGCCTCGAGGTCCTTTGAGTCCGAGCCAGGTGTGGCCACAGGATCAGAGAGCTTCCTTGTCGAGCCCATATCAAGCAAATTCAACAGCCGGCGAGTGGCCTGCACAGCGCGGGACACATCCGGTGCCAGCGCAAACATCTGCCCCCAGAGCTGCGACGAGACGAGCAAGGCAAGCTGGACGATGAAGAACTGGGTCTGCGTGTAGTGGCCCGCAATGATCTGTTTCGCGCCCCACCAGTACGCCAGCGCGTAGACGAAGTTGCTGAGCCCGTAGCCGACGGCGAGCCAGAGGTTGGTGAAGGCCGACTGCCCTGTTATCTCGCGGATCGGTCCCTGCAAGCTGCGGCGGTAGGTGGAGAGGACCTCGGACTCGATGGCGAGGGCGTGCACGGTCTTGATAGAAGTCACGGCTTCAACGGTTATACCTAAGGAGCGGGCGAATGCGTCGTTATGTCGCTCTTCGAAGCTGGCCAGGGTTGAGACGCGCATGTATCCTGCTCCCAACAAAAGGGGAACGACGGAGAGGCAGACGAGTGCGATCCGCCAGGCAATGATGTGCGTCATGATTATAGCTGCGAAGAGGTTGACGAGGATGCTGAGGATGGTACAGATGACGGAGCCGGTGAGGCCGTTGAGTGCGTTGCTATCCTTGACAATGAGGGAGAGGAGACCTGATGGAGTGCGCGCTTCGTGCCATTCAAGCTTCTGCTCGAGAATGGAGCGTAGAGAGAGTACGCGGACCTTGTAGATCAGCTGCTCTGCAATCCAGCCAAAGAGGGACCAGCTGATGAGGTTGGCGAAGAACTCGATTAGGGCTAGGACGAAGAACATCAGGCCCCAGAACTCTCCTGCATGTCGGATTGTATCTGCGGTCTCGCACGAGCTCAGCTTGCCCACAACGTTACCGAAAATGATTGCTGAGGCGCAGTATGTGCCTCCGATGACAACGGCGCCGGTGACGGCGATGAGGAGGGCTAGTGAGTACGGACGGAAGAGCGAAGCAACGGCTTTGGAGGTCGAACTGACGGACCTCTCAGCGGCGACTGGTTCCTGGTCTGTGGGTTTCTCCTTAGAAGGAGCAGGCGCAGAGTTTTCGTCGTCTTGCACCGAGGTCACTTCGGTGATCTTCTCTTTCTCGAGGGTTGTACTGTCCAACGATGGCCTGGCAGACGAAGCCGCACTCTCCTGAGAAGCATTGACATTGAGATTCTGCAACCTCACGAGCTCCGCATACGCGCCATCCGCAGCAAGAAGCTCGGTGTGAGAGCCCTGCTCAATGAGCTTTCCTTGCCTCATCACGATGATGTTATCTGCGTTCCGGATAGTCGAGAGCCGATGCGCAATGGTGACCAGGGTTCGTCCAGCAGCAGCCGTCTCCAACGCCTGCTGCACACGCATTTCGGTAGCGGAATCCAGTGACGCCGTTGCTTCGTCGAGAATAAGAACCTGCGGGCTCTTGACCAAAGCTCGAGCGATAGAGATACGTTGCTTCTGCCCACCGCTGATGAGATTCCCGCTCGACCCAACCATTGTCGCATACCCGTGGTCAAGCTTGTTGATAAATTTGCTAGCGTCGGCGAGTCCGGCTGCTGTCTGAACAAGAGACACAATCTCACGGATCTGCTCTTTATTGCCGGGTTGTGAGTCAATAGCATGATCAAGACTCATTCCCTTCTCACGAACAGCAGAAGCAATGTCTTCCAACGCGCTGCTCTTCAGCACATCCATCAAGTGGCCATGCGCCGCCGAGTTTACCAAACCGAGAGCAATATTCTCCAGGATCGACCGATCAAGCAGACAAGGCTCCTGCTGGACGAGACTGATAGCACTCCGCAGGAAGCGCACATTCAGCTCCCGCACGTCATGGCCCCCGATCAAGACTTGTCCTTCTTCAGCATCATAAAACCGCGTGATCAATCCCGCAACAGTCGATTTGCCGCTGCCACTTAATCCGACCAGCGCCGTTTGCTTGCCTGCCGGAATACGCAGCGAGAGATCTTGCAAGATAGGCTTGTCCGGCCGCGAGGGAAACCTGAACCCAACGTTGCGGAACTCAATATCCGCAGCAATTGGGCTGGCAGGCACAAGGCCAATCTCGGCCGTCCCATCAATCGGACTCGGCCTCTCAATATCCTTCTCCAGCTTCTTGAACGCCACGGCCGCCGCATCAAAGCTCTGCAGGAACGGCGCCACTTGACTCAGTATCAAACTAGCATCCACAAGAACCAGGATAACCGTGTACGTATTTCCAACCGTCACACCTTCCCCACCAGCTTCAACGGCGTCCGCAATCTTCGTCGAACCCTGCCAGAACGCCAGCGCGTTCGCCGAAAACGCAATAAAGTACAACAGACCCGCCTGTGTCGCCGTCGCAATGGACTTGCGGATCCCAGCAACACGCGCAGGACCAAGATGGTCAACGAACCGAGCCTCAAGCCTTGCACCCGCACTAAACGCATGCACGAGCATCGTATTGCTGAACGCCTCCAGCGCCACCGAAGACGCAGCCGCCATGCACTCGAGCGCGCGCCCAAAGTACTTGCGCACAAAGTACCCGCCTGCAAGACTCATGATCAGGTACGCCGGCGCCAGGGAGACAAGCATGCCCGCCAGCCGGGCGTCCTTGATAAACGCAACCACATAGCTGGTGACAAAAAACGCAATGCTGTTCAGCACAATCCCCACCTTCTCGCTGGTCCCCTGCTGAATCGTACTGATGTCCCCTGTAATCCGCGAACTCGCCTCCCCCGGCGCAAGCGTATCGAAGAACGCGGCATCCTGCCGAAGTAAACTGTGGAAGTACTTCTCGCGCATCCGCTGCGCAAGCCACTCGCCTGAGATGTTCCAGCAGAAGACATATATGTAAATGAGCACGAAGTACGCGATCCCGATGTACACGATCTGCAGGACCTTGTCGTTGATGCCGGCTTGGTAGGCATCGGCGTTTGTGGGGGTTGCGTTGCAGGTTGAGGAGTTCATGTCGTCGACGAGCTGGCCGAAGACGATGGCCATGATGGGGAAGGGGATTCCGGATGCGATGGCGGAGATGAGGCCGGTCAAGAGGACGAGAGTTTCTTTTGGCGAGGGATTGCCGTAGAGCAGGAGGCGGGTGAATGTTGTGCAGCGGGTGAGGAGCTACAAAAATCATTCAATTAGCTCCCCCTCATACACTCACAGAGTACCGATGTACGGAGTTAGGGTTAGGGAGAGAGAACATACACCAGGCTTCTCAGCCTCAGCCTCAGCTCCAGCCGTAGCCGTAGCTCCATCCTTCTTCTCTCCCATCACGACGGGAATTGACAGAGACAAGCACACTACCTAAAGCAAGACGAAAGAAAAAAGAGACGATCAGACCAGAGGCCAAGGCCAGAGCTAAATACGATTGCTACTGCATGACCAAGCCGCCTAGCCTCTTGGTCCTCTTGGCTGGCGCCTTGGCTGAATAACTGGGCAGCGAGGTCGGCGTTGGCGATCTTATCTGATTGTATCGATGTACGGTAAGTTTAACTAACCCCCACGCCTACAAGGGGGAAATGGCCAAGTGGGCTTGCGCCATCGGCTGAACTTTGATGGATGGTTACATTTCTGAGGTAGGGTTCAGGGCTGCAGGCTGCTTATGTAGTGTGGGTCAGGCAGTGCAGGGTCTCTCCAACTCGCTTTCAGCTTTCAACAGTCGCCTTGGGCCGTCGTAGCCGTGCGAGAAACGTTCTGTACTTTTTCAGCTTGATTATTTGCAAAAGCCTCTTACAAGTACGCGTGGCGTTGGATAATCCCTTGAAAAGACAAAGACTGCTTTTGAGTTCCTATGATGAAGGACTCGAACGTGCGAATTGAGTAAAACATGTGACAGACTCAGTGACAGACACGGCAAGATTATCAGATTGATAAAACTAAAACTCTAAATGACTGCCGATCTGATAAGCGAAACTAAACTATAAAGTACCGTGCAAACCTAAAAGTGAAACAACTAAGCCCTAATTAAAGAGGATAATATCCATCTACGCAAACCTAACTAGAAATCAAACACGCACATGAATGCAGAGATCCCCCCTATAGACCGAGTCAATTTTCACTGCCCTCCAGAAACTCAAGCAACAGCCTCAACAGCCCTCGAAGCCGCCGCAACATCCACCAGCTTATTCCCACTCCCACTCCCACTCCCACTCCCACTCCCACTCCCCCTCTGACCCACAGCCCCATCATCCACATCCACAGGCCCCGGCATCAGCGTCCCAAGCTGCATCCACCGAAAACAAATCCCAAACCCCAGATCCCCCTGGAAGAACATCTCGCGCGTCTCCTCCCCCTCCACGAGCCCCATATTCGGAAAATACGCAACCGCCTTCCTCCCCACCGCCAGCCCCATCCCAGCCTGCACCTCGTCAAGAGCCACAAACTCCGGCGTCGTCCCGTACACCCTCTGCATCATCTTCTGGTGGATGTTGCGCGCCGCATAGTGGCCCTGGTGCATTGCGGCGCCGGCGCGCTTGACGCCGGACCAGCGCGCGATGTCCCCGGCTGCGTAGTGGTCTCCTGCTAGTGGGGCTGGGAGGCAAGGTGTGTCGGATGGGAATTCGAGGGTTGGTTGGATGCGGATGTAGCCCTGGTCGTCGCAGAGGGAGGGGTGCAGGAAGGAGGGGGCGGATGGTGTGAAGCGGGAGACGGCGTTGATGACGTGGCTGGCGTGGAGGGTGGAATTGTTGGAGAGGGTGAGGGTGTGCGTGTTGTTGGTGCTGGTGTCTTTTTCTGAGATGGAGGTTACGCGCGCGCCGAGGACCACGTTCACGCCGCTTTCGCGCAGGACGTCGAGGGTCTTTGATGAGAATTGGGCTGGGAGGGGTTCGGAGGAGAGGAGGGCTGTGCGGGAGTGGATTAGGGTTACGGGGGTGTCGGGGTGCAGCATTTTGCATTCGGCGGCGATTTCGATGCCGACGGCGCCTGGATCAATATCGTTATTAGCTTTGTCTGGCTCTTTTTGATGGAGATCGTATAGTGGGTTGGGAGCATACCGCCACCGATAACAGCGACGCCCTCCTTCGCATCGCGGACATTCGCCAGGTTCTCTGCCGTCTCGGACAGGAACTGCTCCCTCGTGAACGAGCGCGGAGCACTAGGGTACTCGCGACGGAGGCCGGTGCATGTAATGAGGTAGTCGTATTTCTCTTGGACGCTGCCGCTAGACGTCGCAATCGTGGCTGTCTTTGCGGCACAATCCAGAGAGTCGACGCTGCCCTGTACGCATCGGATCTCTGGTGTTTGAAGGGCGGGGATGTCGGTGTACTTGATCCAGAAAGACTCTGCGAATTCCTGTGAGGAGAGGGCGAGGGGTTGGCCGATTAGGTGGTCTATTCGTTAAATAAGTATATACCCCAGAAATTAGGGTTGGAGGAGAATACAGTAGCCATCTCGGGGATCAACGATGGTAACCTGCACCGGGATTCTCTTCCCAGTGCCATTATCGCCATCGGTAATCGAGAATCGGTGTCGTCGGCCGTGGCACAGATCAACCAGGTTCAAGGCTGCTGCGAGACCGGCATAGGAGCCGCCGAGGATGAGGACTCGGAAGGGTTCGTCGAGGCTAGGCATTTCGTCAATTAACTCAACGCAACGCAATTCGATCAGATTATGGCAGAAAGAAGACAAGAAACAGCAAAATGAACACGAAGACCATTAAAGACAGGGGAAAGCCAGACTTAAGTCAGACTGTCACGCGTCAACCTTGGAATGGACCGAGTCGGCTCGAAACGGATGTTATCAATCTAACGGACCCGCCCGTATCCCAATTACAGCCTGACGTACCGATACACAGACCCACCGCCATGACTCTCCGTCTGGGAAGCCTCGGAGTCCGGCGCTCGACCGCGTCCTGGAGGCGCCACGTCGCGGTGATCCTGATGCACAAATCGACACGCGTGCAGATTCACCCCGGCGCCAATTGCCTGGCGACGCAGGGCTTGCAAATGACACAGCGGTCGAATAATGTCTTGAAGCAAAACAGGTCGACCACGAGCCAGATGGCGCAATCGGACCGGGAGCCGGACGGCTGGGAACCGAGACTGAAACATGGTGTTTGCTTCTGGTGTCGACGGGCCAGAAACCAGAAACTATTGTTCTTGGCCTTTCGGGGACGGTTGGAAATGAAGTGATCTGGAAGGTCCGGGATGCGAGGGATGGGGGCATGGCTATATGATAGGGGAACCTGACGTCTGACAAGTTGCTAGGTCCCCACTCCTTTTTCAGCTCAAGAGCAGGTCTGCCTCTGTTGTAGTCCGCGGACAGCGGAACGGTGGCCGTCGAGATCACCTTAGGTGGGCTCGTTGACTGACGCAAGGCACCATTGCGTACGGGATTGGGACCAACATCGATGCATCAACCTCCCTGGCCATTCGACAAACAGCCCCCCTCGGCTCCAAGCGACCGACAAATCCATTATCGAGGCGTAATCAGCAACGCCGAGGAACCCGAAATTACCTCTAGCAAGAATGAGCAGATGCCAAGATTGACAGAAGAGATTTCGTGCTTTTGTGTTCCCGTGCAATCACAGTGGGGGAAGAGTGGGGTCGGTGAGATTATCAGATTGATAATTTGGGATACGCCAGAATACGGTAAGATTACAGATCAGATAAGATCACGTACCCCTTGCTTACATGCTAGTAGCTACCAGGGTTCCTTCGACTCAACGAGTAGTGTAGAGGGCTAGTGGCAGCTTATGATTATGGTGAGAAGCAGACTGAAATCAAGTACCTATGACCGACATACTAATACATGCAGAAACACACATCTAGTAGATCCCCCACTCAACACCCTGGCTCTTGATATTGCCATTGCAATTCATAAGCCCCTTGGCTCCGACCTTGCCGTTGCTGTTGCCAAACTTCGCAATGGCGTCGTTGATGATATCAATCACGTCCTGTCCGCCGACATAGAACTCGACATTGCCGTTGACACTGGTGGCCTCGATACCAAAGTGGCAGGACTCGAAGTCGAGAATCTCACGGTGCGGCTTGCCAACAACCTGATGCGTGAAGTCGGTCTTCCCATTGCTCTGGATGTTCCTGATGATGGTGCGGCAGTCCTCGATATCCGGCGAAGCGTCGCTGGTTTGGTCCTCAAACGTCGCTTGTCCGCAGTAGTCCTTGCCCGGGGGGATGTCACAGGGGTAGAACTCGCTGGAGCCCGCACTGGTCGTGTCCCAGGATTGATACGCGCGCGCGGCGCTGCAGACGGGGATGTGCATGTACCCTGCGGTTGTGACCTCGACATTCATCAGGTTCCTCACGGTGTCTGGGTCGGTCGGATCCGCGTATTTGTAGGTGTTTTCCCCTTCGTTGTCCCTCCAGGTGTTGACGGAACCCGCGATCAGGTCCTTCTTGCTGATGTTGCCGAAGGCTGTACCGTTGAGGGAGTCGAGACCTGGAGGGGCGGAGAACTTGGCTGGCACGCATTGCTCGTTGCAGGGGCCTCCATCGTTGACCTGGCAGTTGCACTTCTCCGAGTCGCCTTTGGGATACACAAGGTACCATTGTTCGTCGTCGACGCATTCCCCCGTCTCCTTCATCGTCTCCTCGTCGAGGTACTCCTCCATCTCCTCGAGATAATGGTCCACGCCGCACCCTTTACCGGTCCTGAGGATGAAGGGATAGGTACCCGCGGAGCGCCAGAGTGCCGGGATGGTGAAGCCGAATACGCACTTGAGGATGTCGTCCTGCAGTTCACCCGCCAAATCGCGCTCTGCTGGGGGTTCATTCTCGAATTTACCCTCGATGAGTTTTCCATCGGAAATGAGGTCCCAGATGGCGTCGATCGCAGCATCATCGCCTTTGTCAAGCAACGCGGACAGAGAATAAGAGTTGAATTTCGACCAGCCGTTGATGACTTGGCCCATGTAGGCTGAGAATTCGTCCTGTTTCTCGGGCGTCCAATACGCATCGTCCCCATTCATAAGACCACCGGCGACCATGATGCCTTGTTCGAGGACGGTCATGGCCACACTCTGTGTGGTTTCCCCTCTGCTGTTCTGATTGAACCAAGCGAGCTGGCTCAGCACCTTGCTCATCAGGGGTCCAGCAGTTCCCACGCCTCCCAGGACAAGGAGGTTAGTGAGCAAGTCTTGCCACACTCCGTCGTCCTTTTCCGGAAGAGGTGCAAATTCGTTGGTCAAATGGTCAATTTGTAGACTCAGCGTCGTGGCGGCCCTCCAGAGATATGTATCGTAGTCCGTGAACAGCTTGTGGATGGAAGCGAGCGAGTTCCAGATCAGCTGTCCTGCGGGCCCCGACAGCTCGCGATCTAACGGGGCGATGCAGCTGATTGTGTTGCAGCTGTCTTGTATGGCGGCGCCGCAGTTGGCCTGATCCCCGATCCGAAGTGTACTGGACACCGACTGGGTGAAGTTGACCGCGGGTCTCTTGCTGTCAGTCTCTTTCCAGATGCGCACCACGTCCTCCCACGCCGCATCCGCGTTCACTCCGCTCCATCGCTTCGAGGGCGTGTAGTCCAACTTGTCTTCAATGACCTCGTGGGTGCAATCGAAGTCGGTCCAGTTGCCGTTCCGCGAATGGTCGGTCTTGGGATCTTCTCCGCTGCTGGCGATTTCGATGAAGTTGGCCCATTTGGTCTGAGGGGGCGGGACTGCGTGGAAGCTTTGCAGGTCGGTGGCCCAGTCCGAGGTTCCTCCCAGCCCCCACGCGGTGTAGAGGTTTGTTCGTGTCTTCTTGGTCGCGGCGCTCATGTACCCAACCCATTCGTCGTTGTCGTAAACCAGGATGTCACTGTTGCTGCTGGTGTCGATAAAGCTCGTGACCACTCGGGAAGAATCCGCCATGATCTCTGCAATCTCGGCGTCGGCGAGGTACCCTGCAGTGTCGGTGCACTCTCCCTTCATGGCGTTGGAGTTCAAGCGGTCCCCGGTGAACTGGCAGTCAGGGCCCCAGCATCCAGGGCTCGCCATCTTGAAAGATCGCCCATAGCTTGTCACCCCGACAATCACCTTTTCGCCGGGAACCCCTGCCTTGGTAATCATTGCCAGCGACTGCTTGGTCTCGGTCAGATTCACCTGGCTACGCAGGCAATTGCCGGTCTCACATCCTTCTTGGGAGTTGCTGTTGTGGGCATCCCACTGACCGTGGAGATCATAGGTCATGTAGACAATGTAGTCGAGGATCTTGGACATTTGCTGAATAGGGAACTGCTTCAGATACCAATAGGACGACGGGGCAGCAATCGAAATGGACTTCCCGGGCAAAAGATTCTTGAGAACCACCAGGAATGCCAGGTAGTTGGGGCCCTCCTCCTCCGTACCAGGGTCGTACACGGGGAGATCTGGAGCTCCAGGATACTCCCAGTCAATGTCGACGCCGTCCAGGTCATGCTCCTTGATGAAGTTGGCAATGTTCGTCGCCATGGTAAGCCGGTTCTCGGGACGGACACCAGTGCGAAATATCTTGTACGTGGCGTCACTGTTGGAGAACTCCCAGCCACCAAACGATAGAATCCGCTTTGCACCCGAGATCTTTTTAAATTCATGAAATTGGTAGGTCGACAGCACGTCGCCAACCTCAACTTGATAATCGGCTGTCAAGGTACCAAAGCCAAAATGGATATGCGAGTAGAGCGAGGTGTCGATCTGAAGAGCATCTTGATAGAGACACTTTCGGCTCAAGCAGTAGCCTTCATAATATCCAATCTTGATCTCGCCAGATCCAGACCCCTGGACGACATCAAGACCGCAGTTGGAGATGCAGCCATATGTACCGGGTTCAGCGGTCCCGGGGGCGCCCGTGTTGGTGTCAACACAAAAGTCCTTGGTAATGCCACATTGGCCCCAGATGTTGCAGCATGCATTCAGCGGGCAGGGGTTCATTTCTGCAATATCAGAGCCATCGGTCGGGGGCTCGGAACCTGGCTTTTGGGGGCCACAGATGGCATTGGCAATGGGTGCAGGAAACGGGGCAGTGCCTTCACTCAGGCAGATGACAGCGTCCTTGTATAAAGGATCACAGCCATTCCACCCCCAGGTGTTTTTGTTGAATTCCTCAAGCTCGTCCCTGGTCAGACTGTACTCAGCAACAAGGTTGTCGCAGTTGTCATCTCCCTGGACCTGGTACGAATAGCAAGAGCCGTCCTCGTTTTGCGGAGGGCTAAAGTCAGGCAGGTCTCCACTGGAGCAGCAGACGTGCTGCTTTGGTTTCAGATTCTTGCAGAAGTCGACCCCGGGGTTGTACTTGGTAAAGTCGGACGCCGAAATACCACACTTTTGAGCAGCCTCTGGACATCCGGAATTTGGGTCGACCTGGACCGTCCGGCACTCAGCACGACGGTGGAGGGCCCTGGCATGGATGGTTGAGTGGCGGTGGTGGGCCCTGGCGTGGATGGCTGAGTTGCTCGGAATGGTGGAATTGGTGGTGGCGAGGGTGCGATTGCTGTGCAGAAGCGGCGTGGTGAACTTGGCCAGGCCTGGAAACTTAGTCGACCCCGAAAAGGACAGGCATGTGCCATTGGCCCAGGACTTGATGGCGTCCTGGATGGGAGTAAAGGTGCCGTTGCTGGTGGCCACGATACCGAAGATATGGTTGCTGCCATAGCCTGGCCCACAGAGCTGCATAGCCAAGCTTGTCGTCGAGACGTTGAGGTGTTCGAGGTTGTCTTGGAATGTCTTGAGTGCGGACTCGCCGATAGCTTCGTTGAGGAGACCCTGCCCAATGTACAGACCAATAGTCGCCTCGCCGGACTGGCCATAGATCATGAACGGTCGTTCCGTGGTCCCATGGCCATTTTCAGCATACTTGCGGACCTGCTTCACGAGAGACTTGATCCCAGCTGCCGCAAGGCCATAGCCCTCCTTCCACCAGCCAATCTCAAACTCGACATTGTGGGACTCGGCAGAGGCAAGCTGGACGGACTCGGCAGGAAAGGTGGCAAAGTCGGGTCCGAACGAGGAGCAGGCTTGGATGCGGTGATTCTCGTCCTTGTTGTCGACTTGATCGTAAAGGGAGAAGTCATAAAACATGGTCTCGGGGCATTTTCGAATCTTGTTGAAGTTGGGATAGACGGACCAGTTGCCCGTGCTGGGCCCGGAAACGCTGCATCGCTCCGGGCAGACGTTGGCACTGCTGTAGCTGGGGCTTGCTGGCTTTCTGAATATCGAAGTGGCAGTGGCTCCATCTCCAGAGAGCAGCAATACAACAGCGCCAAAGGCTGCGGCCAAACTCGTCAAGGACACCATTGCGTCGGGCCTTGACGAAGAAATGTAAAGAGCGTATGATAGGAAAGTAAGAGCGTAAGAATAGAGAGTAAAGAGTGTATAGGTTGAACCGTAAGGAATGACAAAAAGGAAAGTGGGATGGGAAGCGATATTCACGTCAACAGAGGAAATGGACAGAGACTTTATACTGCCCTGGCTGCTAGGAATCTAGACAGTGCCGTGGCCTCCAGTCCATGGCCATCCTGAAGAACAATCATTCTGTCAACTTTCGCTTCGGGGGATTGCACGAGCCCCATTCTCATGGACCGGATGCCCTCGGCTGAACCCGTATGGACCATTACACAGTCGATACTAGAGGAAGGGCATTGCTGCAGGGGCATCGCCCGATCTTCTGGGCGCAATCCCATTCGAGAGGCGAGTCAAAAAGAGACCCTGTTCGATGTAACGTCCTGATAAGCACGGGTAGGGACACAGACAGTCGGAAAGAAAAGGCAGAGGAAGGAGCTGGAGGCTGCGGCAACTGCAGGGATCACGAGTCGATCTGGGCTCTTGCTGTTTTGGGAAAGGAGGCTCCCATCCCGCGGTGGGCCGGGAAGGAACGACCGGATCGCCTGTCGACTAGTCCTGGCTAGGCAGGAGATGACTCGAGCAGTCGGGTCCATGATGGGATACGGGCTCGACAACGTGCTCGCTCAATGGTTGAGATATACTGGATGACGTGAGTGGTCTGGTTCCTAGCTAGGTAGTACTCGGAATCGCCGTCTATCCGCCAAGTATGGCGCTCTAGCACTAGGATAGTCTGATACCCAATCTGAAACGGAATTGCTAGGAACGACATTTCAAATGACCAGGGCTGCTTGCAAGGGCCTGTTATTCTAACTAGTCTGAGTTGCACATAGGAGAACAGGTTATGACAGTAGATATGTACACAATATCCAGTGGGAAAGCGCATCAAGCACAAAGGCATGAAAGAAACTACCAAGAATGCACTATGGTAAAAGCAGCGGCTCCAATGGTGACGAGGAGTCCAGATACACCGAGAACCATCAACGGCTGGGCCGCATTGCCGGGGCAGTCATCAGGAGCATCCATGGCACGGCATCTTCGATCAGTCAAATTGGCCGAGATACTGGCCGCCATCTCAGGGGAGATGGAGACACCGCACGGATTGGGGGTGTGGACGGGGGTGCCGGAGTTGGAGTTCGTCGTCACCGCGCATGTATCGCGATCCGCCCAATTGAGGTTCGGAGGGGATTGCATCGTGGTATCGGTCACGTTGATGACCACCGCGTTCAAATCATCCGGGCAGCTGGTGTCCGCCGTAGCAGCGACCAGATCCACTTCCTTGTCAGGGGCGGAGGTCGAGTTTGAGATGGTAAACATCCTGGACCAGCCGGAGGTGTGGGTGAGGACACCATCATCGCCAAAGGGGGAATGGTCGGTGAGGGCTTCCACGTCGCAGGATTGGTAGTGAAGTTGCCAGGTCAGCCACCACTGCCCGGGGGTCAAAGCCTCGTGGAATTGGTAGAACAGGTAAGGGTCACTGCTAGAGAGATTGGCTTCGTACACCGCAATAGGACCCGTGTTGTTAAAGGCCTCGCCACTGTTGGCCCAGCGGTTGATTCTGTATGTAACCCGAGGGTTGAGCAATTGCGCCTTTGCGGAATTTTGGATGGCCCACACGATGGGAAAGGCCTCGGTTGGAGAGTATGTTTCGTTGCGAGGGAAGACCAAGTCCACTTCAACCACGCTGACTGCGCAGACAAGAGCCGCCAGGGAGGCGGCCAGCAACCAGCGAACGTGCATTGTGACAAGGAAATAAGATGACAGACTTTGAAGAAGGTAGGCAATTCGCAGGCAGGTGAGAGAAGGATTTGTAGTGCAAGTAGAAGGAAAATAGGGGCATCACTGAGGCTAAGCAGGCCAAGCGGGACAGTTGGTGACTTGGTGGTTTGCTGAGGAGTCCGCCCAGACAGCCCGGCGGACTTGGCCTGCCAAGATGTGCCAAGACTGACCTCCTCCCAATTTTGGAAGGAGCCCTTGGGAGGTCGCTTACCTCTTGTGTGGCAAGGTGCAGCGCAGCGTTACATCGCCCCTCCAGGCCCCAGGCGGGGGCTCCCACGGACTTCCCCAAGCCAGGGTCCACAGCGTGTGCCTGATCTCTCCACCATGGGGACTTACCGGTAAGGCTCGGGGCGGATCGCACCACCTCCGGTTCCTGTCAGAAACCCTGACACCAGACTGCACCCATTGGGCGTAGTTTCGTGACGACTACTATGGTATCAGAAAGTCTCCGGTATTTTTGACCGGACATTGAACTATCCAGAACTACGGGAGAAATAAACAAGACACTTTGCGCTAGATGGGAGGGTAGAAGTCCTAGAGAACTATATAAGTTGACCCAGGCCGAAGCTTCTTGCTCACCATCTCTCATTCATTCGATCGTTCACTCTCGCCGAGCTTCAACTTCTCTAGATCAACTCCCCAGCCAAAATCATGCATTCAATCCACCTGCTCGCCGGACTCCTCCCGGCGCTGGCATCAGCCCTGTCCCGCCGCCACGTGGAATGTCTCTTTGCTACCACCCCTGGTAGCAGTGATACCTGCCAGACCTTTGCCAGCACCTGGGGCCTGTCCGTCAGCGAGCTCCAGGAGCTGAACCCCGGCATCTCCTGCCCGAGCCTTGATGCGAGCCAGTCGTACTGCGTTATCGGCACTGTGACTGAAACTCCCCCGGGAACCACTCTTACGACGACGACGTCGACATCCACAACAACCACTACCAGTACTCGGACTACGACCACTACCCAACCTCCGACCACGGCCAATCCGACGGTCCCATCCCCCACGATGCCTGGGATCGCGGAGAACTGCGACCAATTCTATCAGATCTCTCCCGGTGACCAGTGTGGAACCATTGCCCAGAGACACGGTATCACGACCGGGCAGCTCCTGAGCTGGAATAGCGAGATCAACGCCGGTAAGTCGATCGAGGCAGCAATCGCCACAATGGATCTGAATCCTCACGCTGATAGACTGCACAAACCTCTGGCTGGACTACTACATCTGCGTCCACGTTCCCGGCTCAACCACCACCTCGGCCGCCCCAGAACCAACCGAAGACCCATCCACCCCGACGCCATTGATGCCCGGCACCGCCGCCAACTGCGACGAGTTCCACCAGGTCGTGTCGGGCGACCAGTGTGGCACGATTGCGCAAGCCCACGGAATCACGCTTGCCCAGTTCCGCAGCTGGAACACTGAGATTAATGCCGGTACGTACATCCACGACACCATTCTAGATCAAATCTAACAGATCCGGATGGATGCAGACTGCACCAACCTCTGGGTCGACTACTACGTGTGCGTGCACGTCCCGGGCACAACAACAACCGTCCCAGCAACCCCCGAGCCAACCGAGGATCCCACGGGCCCGACGCCGCAGTTACCCGGCACCGTCAGCAACTGCAAGGCCTTTCATCTGATCGCGAGCGGCGATAGCTGCTGGTCGATCTACACCGAGGCCGGGATCACGCTTGCGCAGCTCCGGCAGTGGAACTCGCACATTGATGCCGCTTGCAGCAATCTCTGGCTCGGGTACTATGTCTGCGTGGGAGTCTAGAACCAGGCGTAGCGCATAGCTGGTAGCATGTATTTCAGTCATGGGCCTTGTGAGAAGATGACTGGACAGGCGGTTTACGAATAAAGAAACTGTCCACGGGGAAGCAATCTAGTCGCGGAGGCGCGCCGAGACGGAGAAAGCATAGTTGATAGAGCACTGTCTAGCAGGCGCGAGTAATATAGTATTGTTTCATTGGACCGCGGGCGAAGCCTTAGCGAGTGAGAATAAGGCTCTTCCAGGGACAATAAGCTCGAACCAGGGCCAGATCAAGCCCTGGCATTTTTTCGGGCTTTCCGCGATGCACAGTATACGCTTAAGGTTAATGCACTCGTGGCTCTGACCCCTTTAAGACTCACTAGTAGTAGCGGTTGTTGCATGTCGCTTCGCCTGATGGGAACTCTTACTCGCCAACCCAGCTCGTAGCGAGTAAACGCTAATGCAGGTCCCCCGTCCGGGCTGCGACTAGGACAATCAAGGGCAATGAACGTGGTGGACTAGCTCAGTAGCACGGGTTAGGACCCTTAGTGTACATTAGCGGGAGCTACAATCTTGGAGCTGCACCGAACGCAAATAGGCGAGGCTGGAATGAATGAGAGCATAGAGGTAAGAGGGTCCCCCGAGACTACCTCAGGTATTCCTCTCACTGGGATTCTTATATAAACTGCCTCCACCACCTATTCCCAGAAAACGCCAGCAGATTTACACACCTTCAGTCCGCCCTCTCCATCCAACCGTCTCAAAATGCAACTGAAACAGCTTGCCATCGCCGGCCTCATCCCGGGCATCCCAATGGTCTCTGCTCTAGTCCGCCGCTCCGGCGACGACTCTATTGCAGCCACCACCACCGAAGCGCCAACCAAGGCCACCGCGGCCATTCCGACCCCAACGATGCCCGGTATAATCGACGGCTGCGAGGGCTACGACAAGGTGATCGAAGGGGACATCTGCGACACCGTGGCAAAGCGAAACGGCATAGCCACATACCAGCTGAAAGCCTGGAACAGCGAAATCAACTACCGTACGCCCCCGTTGTCCTTACGCCTAACAATAACCACCCTCTAATACCTCTTGTTCTACTCTATAGTCTGCTCAAACCTCTGGCTCGACTACTACGTCTGTGTCGATGGACCTGGCGACGAGATCCCCCTCCCAACGTATACCCTCACACCACCCGGTCCAGACCGTCCAACCCCCGCGCCAGCCCCCATCCTCCCCGGCACGGTTGTGAACTGCGAGTTCTACTTTACGATCGACGCCCGGGATACGTGCGCCGACATCTGCGTGCTTGCGGGGATCACGTTTGAGGAGTTGCAGGCGATGAACCCGATTCTTGATGACCAGTGTTCCAACTTGGTGTCGTGGGTGGGATACCGGGTCTGTGTTGGGGTTTAGGAATGAGCTGCGCTCGGGGTTCATGGATGATGTACCCTAGGGTAGTGACTGCTTGGTGCCTAAGTTTGAATAATTCACCCTGCTCACCCAGGTCGCAAACTTCAGGGCAGCACTGCTCACCTACTAGAACAAGGTCGTAGTTTTTTGCTCGGTAGGCTTGGTCGAGTCAATTAAGTGCCCGGTGCGCCGGCGGCTTTCCATTATAGGAAATTGGCCATCGAGCACTTAGTTGGCCTAACTGTAAGCTCAGAATATAAATCCCACTACAAAGTCCAGTCAAACCGGTCAGCAGTAAAAAGACATAGGAACGAAAAAAAGAAAGGAAAAATCAAGGAACAAAGAAAGAAACAGCATAGCCGACAAAATAAGCAAACCACTACGATCAGCCTCCGCGATAGAGAACGGCCTCCCGGCTAAACACGCCGTATCCAACGAACAACCTGCTTGCGACAACTCACCAGACTGCAGCATCCAACCCTCGAGCTGGGTAGCCACCATGCATCCCCACGCAGACAAAGTGGTGCATGAGGTGGACGGATACTTCCTCCACCACGGGCGCTTCCCCAACGCCCGAGCCAAGCAGCGGTTTCTGGCCGCGGGTTTCTCCAGCGTGGTCTGTCTCTACTTCCCGCTCGCCAAGAACAACCGAATCCATTTCGCCTGCCGTCTCCTCACGATTTTCTTCTCGGTCGATGGTACGTGTATCCATGTCCCTGCAACGGCGCCAAGCAAATGACGAACCGGAGCTCACACGCGTATGCCATTCCAGATTTCCTGGAGGAAATGTCCTTCAGCGAAGGCGAGGCCTACAACAAGAAGCTTATGCGTCTTGCCGCCGGCACGACCCTCCCCGATAGGACCGTGCCGGCCGAGTTCATCTTCCATAAGTTGTGGGAGGGCATGCGCGCACGCGACGAGGAGCTGGCTGATAAGATCCTCGAGCCAATGTTCACATTCATGCGGGCGCAGACAGACCAGGTGCGGAGGGAGATTGTCGACTTGCGCCAGTACCTAGAGTATCGCGAGAAGGATGTTGGGAAGTCGTGAGCCCGCCCCTCCCCTACCCGGAGCCCTAGCTCACCGTAATGTATCTAATAAGTTAATGTGTAGCCTCCTATCCACCCTGATGAGACAAGTCGCCATCGTCAATGACATCTGCTCCTGGGAGAAGGAGCTTCGTTCCTCGCGGGCTCTGCACCAAGAAGGGGCGGTGCTGTGCTCTGCCGTGAAGGTCCTAGCGGATACCACGCAGCTCGGTATCGATGCCTCCAAGCGTGTTCTGTGGGCTATGGTGCGGGAGTGGGAGGGGGTGCATGAAGAGATGGCGGCTGTGCTTGCGGAGGAGGTTGTTCGGATGCTGTCCGGCTCTATGTCAAGGGACTGGAGTGTCTGATGAGTGGGAACGAGCTGTGGAGTCTACGGACGCCGCGGTACCAGATGGTAGAGTAGTGCGACTCCTTTAGGGTTCGATTATTGGAATAGACGGTTAGAATGGATGTTTTGCAAAAAGCTGGAGATACATGGAAGATGTGGATTGGAAATGTGGATTGGAACTGTGGGGTTGGGGTTTGGGGTCCGATCCATCGCGTGACCCACATTCCAAAGATCTTAGCGAGTTTAGATTCTAAAGATTTAGAGCGCTTTCATCCTCAGGGCCTCGAGAGAAAGCCATCAACCGGTATACCGAAAGTATTCAGGATTTTAGAAGTCTACGTTCCAAGACAACTCGCTATCCATGAGCCATCATAGCGATCAGGATCTCAATCGACCTCCTTCAATAAATGGGATCTCACCCCGGATCTATTGGATATAACTGACAATGATATGCTCATGGATGACCCGACTGGACTTGGGGACCGGCCAACTTCCAGTTCGAGGGTCTCACCGGATTGCCATGTCTGGAAGGCCTGTGCTACCTACATACATATCGTGTGGACACCAATCAGCCACACCTCCGAAATATTGCTATAAGCGTCAATCGTCCGGGTCTGTTCAAATCTCCCGACAGAGGACGGGTGAGATGCCGATTACCGCTTCACTGAGTTTCCATCAGGCATATCAGACTTGTTAGCCTGGTCTCTGCCCGCGACCTTCTACTCTCTTTGTTAAAGCTGTACCTGGTGGCTATGATGTCGCGATATTCCAACGCCCACAAGAACCCCGCCGGCGCAGGCGATGCCCGGCCGACAGCCATGCAGATCATACGTGACGAGGGGCTGGAAGGGTTGATGACGGATAAGGTAGGTAGAATGACTCTATCTAAGGAACGGAGATAATCATGGCTATGGCTTGTAGGTTTTCCTCATCACGGGCTGTACCTCCGGCATCGGAATGGAGGCAGCCCGCGCTATAGCCGCAACAGGCGCCAGGGTATTTGTGACTGCGCGCTCGCTCGACAAGGGACAGCGTGTCTGCGGCGGCTTCAAGCCCGGTGCAGTGGAGCTTCTCCAGCTAGATACGAGCTCGCTCTCGTCTGTGCGTGCAGCGGCAGCTACGTTCCTGAGCAAGTCTCGCAAGCTGAATGTTCTGGTCTGTAATGCGGGGGTCATGCGGATTCCGACGAGACAGGAATCCACCGACGGGTTCGAGCTCCAGCTTGCAATGAACTACCTTGGCCTGGTTGCTTTTCTGGCTTCTCAGGGATATGATGCTCGCGTCTTCCTCGCCGGCTTTCAACGTCTCGAGCTCCGCGCACCACGAGTCTGAAATCAACTTTGACGATATCAATCTTGTCCGGGATGGCGCGTACCATCCTGGCAGGGCGTATGGGCAGGAAGTGGGAAGCACGGGAGGCAAGTATTTGGAAGATTGCGCTGAAGCAAGTGCGACGGAAATCTGGCCGGGGGTATCCGGCGTCAAGGACTACGCATTTGACGAGAGAAAGGAGACACGCCTTTGGGAGCTGACTCCAGTTGCTGGCCCCTTCTGTGTAACAGTCGCCGGATCAGAGCCTCCAGCTCTTGGGCTATGTTGAGTTCTCGAGACGGCCGTCCTCACCGCTTGCCCATGTGAACTACTGCATTAGCACAAATACCGCCGAGCATCACCGTCGAACTGATCCCTCATCTCCTCAATCGTCCTAACAGCCCTGTCCTCCGTCTGCTGCAGCACAAGCAGCTGCGTATTCACCCGGATGACCCGCAGCCACTCAACCGGCTTGACCAGCTCAAAGTCCCCCACGAAGAGACCTCGATTCCGCACATACCCGGCGGCGCTGCCGCAGGTGCGGTCGAGTCTCCCCGCTAGTCCGTTCCCCCGGTTTGTCACTGTCATCGCCGGCTGCAGCTGTCTGTGTCCCTTCCCCGCGCACTCCAGGTAAAGCGTGTTGAGCCACGCCAGCATCGTGTCCAGGGCGTGCGGGTCGGTGTCGATGCTGTGGGTTTTGTCCTCCATGTCTTCGAGCAGGGGCATGGTCATTTGGAGACAGTCGCACGGGGGGATTGGGGTTGGTGGTAGAGCCTTCTGCTGTGCCCTAACGTTCGGGTTCAGGTTCATGCCGAATGCGCGCTCGGTCTCGGGGTCGGTTACTATACCATGTCATCATAAGTATGTAGTATCTTTCCAGCCCTCCTTCCTCTCAACCACATACTGTATGGTAGCTGCTACTTACTCTGGGTCAGATTGACGGGCTCCTGCTCCTGCGGCTGGGGTTCCTGGCCGCCCGGCGCGATGGAGTTGAGATCCCAAAAGTCGAGTGGCGCACCTGCAGACGCCGGCGTTGAAAGCAACTCGCCCCTGATGCCCATGGTCTCGTTCAAATTTGGTTCCGGTCGAGGAGGCAGGGGCACGGGAGATCTCGCGACCAGGCTAGATGCAAAGCTACAGGTGCCGTGGTCGGCACCGAAGTCTGGGACAGTGGCCGATTCGCACAATGGTCTGTCTGCTATTACCACGGATGTGATTCTCCGGATCGACCGGAGACAGGTTTGGTTCTCGTGATTCTTTTCGACGCCTCGAAAGCTATTGAGATCTCTCCGGGTCCGCGCTACCTGGGGCTGGTCCGTGTAGCGCCGACGCTTCTTCCTGGCCCGCGCGTCGGAAGACGAGTATGTGCACCGGGCTTGGTTGGCTTTGCAGCGACTGCACCCAGCCTTGTGGCCGCTGCATTTCAGCTGCTGCCCGTAAGTACTGTACTAGAGCTCGCGTCCAGTGGCACGCACACGCATACCTTTTTCTCGCGGCAGGCGTCGCATGCTAAATGGGGTGGTAGGGAATAGCCCACCTGCATTAAAGAGGCTCCATCGGCACGTTCAACAAACTCGGGCTTGTCGCTTTGCGGATCTAGCCTTAATGTGCCGAACATTCTATCGGGGATGAACAGATGGATATCATTGATGGGCAATGCTGCTTCTCGTGGTTTGTCAATCTGTCTGTCCCACATTCCCGAGTCCATTTAGATATTAAATATATTTACCAGGAAGCTGGGCACACATGCAGGAGCCTCATCTGTCAAACTTTTGTCAGCATACCGCTAGACCAAATAACCAATTGGCTATATAGGCTGTTCTTACACTCCAACACTCCCAAGAGCCCGCCAAGCTGCCGTACAGGAGCTGATGATTGTGTTTAGAGTTCCTGTCAGCCCTTGCTTCCAGATGCAGAAGGACTGGTGCCCCGGTCAGCAAAGAGTCCATGTTTGATCTTGTATAGTTCTGGACGTGCAAGGTGTCTCCGTGTGTCTGGCCCTCATGGCTTGGAATCCACTTACTAGCAGTTCTATGGCGTTTGATACTTATTCCTTAGCAGGGATATCCCAGCTCTGTCTTGATCTGTCAACTTCATAATCATCGTGCTACACCAGTAATCTGATTGACCAGCCCCCTGCCGGGACAAGAAAGAAAACCACACCAGCGAGCGGTAAATATGTCTCCTGTAAGCTTATATTTTACGGCGAACCCTTCAAGGGTCGTCCCAACCCTTATCATCGCATTAATTCACGTAAGCAATTTTCCGCCCAGGTGGTGCTGGAGTGGCTCTACGGTAGTTACACAGAAAGGTGTCTATGCAGATTGGCCGGGTTGCTATGTTATCCATGGTATTGTCTCCGTTGGACTTGGATGGTGAGGAAGGAGCCTGCCAAGTTCCAACACAATGTTATTGATCCTGTCCTCGGCTTGATCAATTCCTGCTACTTTACGAACTTTTCCTGGCGTGGTGATTGGTTGAAGTTGGCGGTGGTTAACAGGTTCGGGTTATAGGGCTGATGTCGGGCCCGACTTTCAGAACCAACGCTACCAGGGATTTACCTTACCTTGCCTCAGGAGCGCGCCGGGTTGGCTATTGGTGCTCAGTCCTACTTTCACGTGGTTAATGCGAGAACTGAGAACCACTCCACTGCAAGAAGAACCGCAGCCGCCCCTTTCTGGCCTATCGAGTAATACGGCCCTCGCTCGCGGACCCGTGTAACAAAGTCCGCCACAGACAAGCCTTGGGAAAAGAACTCAAGGGCAGGCAATGTGGGTCGGTGCGCCCCTCGAAGAATCCCGATGATTTCTTACATGGTGGTTGGTGCCTCGTATAGCGGACTTTTGCGGTTATAGGAAGAACCCTCATACTCTGGGGCTGGTCTGGTTTGGAGATGTTGCAGCGGGACAATCCATCGTGGATGCAGCATCCAGTCTGATCAATGTAGACAGCCTTGGAATCACGCATGGCTTTATGATATGGACTTTGGGCGCAGGCATATATACCTCGTCCTGCTCACTCACGGGCTATCATGGACGGCTCGCACTCGATCTCTGTTTACCTACCCTATGTTGTCAACCCTCCCGAGGTCGTTCCTCATCAACCTTATTCAGCTGAAGATGGAGCGCACGAACCCCGGGCACTCATCAAAAAACAGCAATGTAACCACCTGCACGTACTACGTCGTTTCATCAATCGTCGCTGGCGCCATGACCCTGTGTGTGGCCCTGCGCCTGTACGTTCGATTTCGGATAACCCGGAGTCCGTGGTGGGATGATGGTGAGCGTTCCAAGATTATATCTGGCAGTTCAATACTAGGTATACTAACAATGACACTAGCAAATGCTGTTCTTTCCTTGGTGAGCAATCCTCGGCATGGTACTATTAAGCACATAATAACCTCGGCTTTCATCAGTTGTTGGAACCTTCGAGCGTACACTGGCCTGATCTGGAGAAGTGACTATTCCCGCCCTTGCTTTAGGTTAGGTATGGCCATGGCACTAACCAAAGCATTGGGAATTAGTGACGCAGGTTGGACTAGGAACACACCAGCGGGAGCTCAGCACGGATGACTTGCTCGAACTATACCGCGTAAGAAGCCCCCTGCCTCTCCTGTCCTTCCTATATATACTACCTAGGTGACCGGTTCAATCTAACAAGTCCCAGCTAAGCCTCATCTCCGCAACCATCGCCCTAATGGCCAAAACTTCACAAAGATCACCCTCCTCCTGCTATACCTGCGGCCCTTCTTCATAAAGACCGGCCTCAAGGTCGCCATCTGGATCGGGCTCGTCTTCTGCAACGCCTATTCCTTCGCACACGTCTTCGTGTACAATCTCGTGGACCGCGGGCCCCTCGTGGCCGTCACGCACTCTGTCAGCATTGTTGGCGCCGTCAGCGACGTGTATATCCTCGCATTGCCCATGTATGTCGTCGCCCAGCTACACATGAGGGCCGCGAAGAAGGGTCGCGTTGCGGCGGTTTTCTTGACGGGGCTTTTGTAAGTCCGCTGCTTCCACGTCCATGATCGCCCTGCACACGGAGATCTAGGGTACGCAGCTGACAAAGATGGGAATGGCAGGGCCGTCATAATGAGTATTCATGGGCTGCGTGTATAGGTTCCACTATACGTCGGATCAAACGTGGTCTCTGCTGCCGATCTACATCGTCCGGTACGTTTCCCAGTCCCTCTGTTATTCCCCTGTGTGGCATGAGCTAAAAGATCCAGAATCGTGGAAACAGGCGTCGGGATCATCTGCAGCTGCCTGCCGATTCTGCCGCCGCTCTTCAAAGCCAAGGATGACAAGCAGATGCGAGGCCAGAGGCTGCCAGTCTTCCCCCCGCGCGGCCCGCAGAAGCCGTTGCCGGTGAATGGGTCGTTGGTGTCCAGCGAGGGAGGCTTCCACGCCGATATTCCAATTTCGATTGGGACTTTGAATGAGGCTAGTTCGTCGTCCTAGTCTGGGGCAACGTCGCATGAGACAACTGATGATGCATAGAGAGCTGGAGGGCACCTTGTGCTGCAATTCTTGTTTCCTGGGATGGCTTGTTGCTTCACCGCCAATATAGTCATAGGGACGGTGCTGTGCGTGTGTGCGAACGCATGCAATGGAAAGGGTTAGAATGATTCTTATATTCTTGTGGTGCCTTCTTACACTCCATGTCCGCCAGGGCTGGCCCGTGGCTTAGGGCTTGATCCGCTAGCCGGGGCAGTGAACACGCTGTGGATAGCCGACCGAGGCTTATGGTACCTAGGCAATCTGATTTATTTTTGGTCCTCCCTGTGTTCCTAAGCCCCTCTATTGGAGCCAAACAGTGTAAGGATTCGGCATCGTCTAATGTGTTGAATCTTAGTCTTCGGAGCGTTCCAATGAACCCCTGACTCTGGGTAGATGGATGTGTGAGGATGGCGGTAGTTCCAAGGAATCTTGGAGAAATTGAGACGAAGGCAGGTACTAAAAAGGGAAGAAATAATCTCTTCTATGCCTCTAGAGCTCCAGCTACGAGGATATCCCCTCCCCATCAGAGTGGATGGACCCCAGGACCCTTCGCACCCTCTCCCGCGGCGAGCCCTCCCGCAGAAACTCCACCAGCTCCAGCACCCAAACCAACAGATTCACCCCCACCCAGAGCACCGCCTCGCGCGGTGTAGACCGGCCGGCCTTGCGCCGCACCGCATCCTGCTGCCACTGCTCACACAGCGCGAGGAAGCGTCCCGGATCGTCCGTAATCACCCCATCGGCCTGGCAGCGGATACTCCGCGCCATCCACTCGTCCGCGTTATCAGGCCACGAGAAGATCCGCCGCCCCTGCGCGCGCGCCCTCGCGCGGAGCCGGGACCCCCGTTGCGTCGCGAGGGCGTAGTTGAGGACGCTGAAATGGAGACCCGGGACGGCCAGCATTGCGGAGGCGTACGCGGGGAACGCGGTCGTCAGCGCGACTGGGAAGCCCGGGAGATGGAGATGGCATGCTGCCACCCATTCTGCCTGGTGAGGGGAAGGATTTAGTTAGCAGAGGGTGCCAGTACCACAGTCGCCGCCCGTTGCGGGGTGCATTCTATGGTACGTGGAAATAGGATCTCAGGAGGGGACTCTGGGGAGTAAGGCAGTTGGGGCTCACCTGCCACGCGCCGAGGATAATACGTTCGTCCCACGGGCGCTCGGAGGGGACTCTGGCTATTGTCTTTGCCAGTTGAGCGCACATAATGCGGGGATCGTCGGTCTTCTACATTTTGCACAAGTCGTTGCGTTAGCTAGAAACGGATGGAGAGGGAAGGAAGAGGAAATGGGCCGGCTCCCTTCTTGAGTTGGCTCCTGCCTCTGCCCTGCCCTACCTTGATATCAAGCAAGATCCAGATCTCTTCCACGCCAGGCCCAGCCAAGTACTCCAGTAAATCCAGCAAGCGGGCCATCGGCTGCACTGGGCCGCGCAGAGTCCGGAGCGTGCTCAAAGCCTCCCACTCGCACTCAGCAACCTTGCGCGGATCCCCGAAGCAGCGCTTTAGTGTCGAGTCCTGACGATCTGTTAGTTGGAATGATTATTTTTGCTTTATCTATCTCTAGCAGCGGACACGGGCTTGGGACACACATGTGACAATACAATCACGCCATCCCTGGAGAGATGGAGGTCTGTTTCGATGGCGTGGGCGCCGACCTCGACGGCCGCGCGAAAGGCAGCCATTGAGTTTTCTGGGAAGAGCGCGCTGTAGCCGCGGTGGGCGATGGCTTGCGGAAACGTCGCTGGGATACCGTCGGGCTTTGGGCTGCTCTGTCGCTGCATATCGGCGGGCGGATTGCTTCGGGGTTGTTGGCGGCTTGGCCCTCGGTGCTGGAGTAAGAAGGGGTTTATCAAATAGAGTCTACTGCTTGAATGAATGAGTCGTATCATAAGAACAGAAAAGCGGTTTGGGAAGGAGCTGTGTTGACCCGTCCACTACCTCGGGACTTTCTTTTGGGGGAGACGGGCGTCTGCTGTACCGTATTGGTCGGTGTTAACGTCTCGCGGGGCTAACGGAGTAAGACGGACATACAGTAGCATAGGCCCAATCTTTTTTTTGGACTGTGGACTCTGATAGGGTATGAGGCGAACGGCTTTTTGTTTTTTCTTCCACCTAAAAAGGATCATTCCTACACTATTTACAAGAGCGGACTTGTTCCGAGTCTCCCACTTTTACCGACAAAGCTGTTTCACTCTGTTGGTCAGTACATACCCAACCACACACTGCCATATAACTCCTAACTAATACAGCACGTATATATATTCTTACCTGGATGATACAGGACGAAAAACACAAGAGAAAATAACACCTCCAGCTCACCAGGCTTTCCGCTCATGAAAGCGAACCAGCAGACGAGGCGTCCACCACATGATATGCGACTGGCCCTGTGCCAGCAAGTCGAGATCCTTGTTGACGAGCTCTCAGTCGTATCTGAATCCCATCTTGGCCAGCACCTGGTTGATCTCCGTTATCGCGAAGCTGGAAGGTCGTGTGCGACTCAGCTTAGTGGTCTCGATATAGGGGAAAATTGAAGAAAAGAAAGGGACATACTTTCGTCCTGGGCAGCTCCGCGGGCCAAGCGAGAAAGGCTGACTTGCTTCTTTCACATTTGGATGGGTAGGGTCCAGCCAGCGGTCAGGGTCGAATTTGAATGGGTTTGGGAAGTACTTCTCGTCGTGGGTGACTGAAGACGCTTGTATAGACCTCTGTCTGCATCCGTTAGCCACGGAAAGAAAGGTTAAGAGACGACATACCCCTTTCGGAACCTAATGTCCATCAATGTATGTACCAGGGGATATGCGAGGGAAGCCCTGCGGGCCCAGGGGGTAAATCTGAAGACCCTCCTGGATAACAGCTCGGAGGTATGGCAACTTCTGAGCGGAGGCAGCCTTGGTCTGGTCGTAGGACTGATAGTGCCCCCGGACCTCTGCGCAGAGCCGGTTCCAAGCCTCTGAGTCGGCACCATCTTTCAAGAGGTAGTAGGTGGTTGCGGCCAGGAATGTCGCAAACGTTTCACCTCCGGCTAGGCTATCAAAAATTTTCGATCAGCAGGCTTTCTTGCTTGACGGGCCCGAAAATTCCCTTGTAGAGTGCCAGATCTTACACTAATGTAGAAGCGTGCGCCGCCATTTCCTCCTCGCTCATTTTGCCGTCTTCCACACTGCTAATCAGATATGTTACAAAGTCCTTGCGATTGGACACATCGAGTAAATGCCTGGATGTATTTCCACTTGTCAGACGGACCAGTCATTTCTCCGCCGTTCGGGCACCTTCCATCTCCAAAACACTCACCGTGCGAGCTTTGCTCTTGTATATGCCGTCTGCTTCTTACCATCCCGCAGTCGGCTGGTTCGCCAACATGCTAGAGTATGAACACCCAGCCATGATACACTGGAATTAGGAGTAAAGTATGTGGAAATTACTGGTAGTAGTAATAATAGTGTAATATTACTGTATTCTAAGCCAATTTACCACTTAGGCTGGATATATAGCGTATTTTAGGTATATATTACTTTAAGGTTACATAACCTTACTGTTGCCACGCCGCCAAGCTTTTGTTGCCACCCTTAGTAAAAACTGGGTGTACATACCCTAGCACACCTAAAAAATGGATACGTTGCGGCAACGTATCCACTGGATTTTAGTATAACAACACGCTAGCTCCAGCGTGTTGGCGAACCAGCCGACTGCGGGATGGTAGCAATCGCCGACAACCCTTGGAAGGACGGGAAGACGATTCTCGCCAGCGCTGGGACAAAAGGGAGGCGCCGCAGATTATTCGCCACGGTGACAAAGTACAGATGGCCTCGGATAAGCTCTTGCCAGCAATGCGATTTGCCTGGGGAGCAGTCAGTGTCAGAAGAAGCAGAAGAAGAGAAAGATCAAACAAAACAAAACAGTGCATGAACCCACCATCCGCAACACACCCAAATCCACTCCCAAACGCCATCTTCCCAAGAACACCAAACGCATGGAAGCATATCAAACCACCTCGTCATATCC